ACCACCCCCTCACCTCCTTCCATCACAAACCCATACTTGTGATGCACAGTAGCTGCGCCGCATGCAAACGTATGCACCCGGCTGCATGGATGTGTCCCTTTAATCTAACGTTAGCCTCCATAACATCAGAGGTCTGAACGTCGCAAAGCAACGGCCTCGTGAAACAGTTTCTGGGGGGGCGGCGACTGTCCTGCCCCCCGCCCCCGATCCCCGTGCTCAGGTGCTTCATTTGTTGCTGTGCGAGAGCAGGAGAACCCGATCAGATCCCCGAGAGGCCGCAGGGCCCCACTGGCTCCGAAACACACTAATTGACTTGGCTCCGCTTGCAGCCAGGTGTAACACACTTTGGCACATCATTTCGCCGAGATCTTTTGGGAAATCCTCCCCCCCCCCCCCCTCCTACCGCGTGGAAGCTACACTCGCTGCACCTGGCTCACCTTCTTAGCTCGCCTGCTCGGCCGCCGTGTAGTTCCTCATCTAATGTTGCAGCATTGATTTATGCTTGGGTGTCCTGCAGCCATTAGGATAATTGCATGATCGCTTAATAACATCCGCCCCCATTGGCTGGGGCTATTTGCCCCCCCATCACCCACCTCGCTCAGTAAGACCCGTAACAACATTATGGTGCAAGAGAATGCGCTGGGATACATCATCTCTCAGCCCCCGCCGATTGATTTTAGACCATTTCCCCTCCCTTCTAAAGCCCTTTTAGTCCGTCTCTCACCTGTGCGGAACATTTGATCTATCGGAGGCTTCCAGGTCTTAACAGCTTCTATTGATTGGAATTCTTCAGCCAGCATCTTAGGGAGGGGGGGGGGGGCTCCGGTGTCACCTTGTAATTCAAACAGCCGAAGTGTTTTTGAGTGAGATCATCGCTGAGACGATGTATTTTTAGCTGTTAGGGCGAGACAAGTGGGCTTTGATTGCTTTCAATGGGAAATGACTGTGTTAAATGATCTCCTGCAACAAAATCTTTATTGAAATAAAGATTCCACAGCCACTATGGACTAATGGCTGCTTAAAGAGGAGAACTTCGACGTCTGCCTTTTATTTGACGGATCGAGCCGAGAGGAAGCACTCAGCTTCTGGAGTCGGGATGAACTTTAAACTGACAGAGAAGGATGAGCCACGATCCAACTCATGTATTCCATGTTATCTTCCCCGCGTACTTGATGAGTACTCATTAGTAATAGTATTGGTGTTTTACTATTGTGCACATCCGATTTCAAAAACAAATCATCATCCAGAATGAGGTGCAGGAAGATTCTCCCAGTGTTTTCTGTCACGGGGCCTTTTTGTTGGTTACTTTTGTTTAAGCACAGTAGTAAAACTGGTTGCACTGATGTGATCAGACATCCGGGTGGCCTCCTTTTTAAAGCGGTTTTAGGGATCCTATCATTCACATCAGGGCACATGAGAAATGATGTTTTTTACCTTTCGGTCCGGGGACTTTGTGGCAAAGACGGGCATGTGACAGGCGAGCAGCGGACACCAGAACGGGGCGATGCTCTTCCCTTCGTCCTGTCCACACACCCACCCGGGCGAGTTCTCCTCCCCTGGAGAAGAAACAAAACAGGGAGTTCAACAACGTCTGTTCCATTTGTCCATCCGACCCTCGCAGAGAGACGCCCCCCTCACCCCCCGAGCGCTGACAACGTAGACAACACAGACGTGCTGCTACGGCAGGTATTTAATGCGCGGGTGGTGTTATAATCAGCCAGAGGCTTGTTCCCTGCCGTGGGAGGCGAGGCCGGGCGCCGCCAACACGGGGCCTCGACAGCGATTAAACCGATTAAACCTGAACCTAATCAACAGTGAGAGCCGGTCCCAGCAGGAAAATTGCAACCGCTGGATTTGAGCCGTATTAATAGATCTGCCCGGCGTGCGCGCCATCTCCGCCCTGAGCTCCGAACAGGTGCACCTCTGACGGGGGACTCCCATCACGTGGCTTGGTGAGCATATATTTCCATTTGCGGCAACCAAATTGTGCATGAAATCCAACAGCTTGCCTGAATTTGCTTCCCGCATCGTTAGCATACGTTACCTCGGAATAAGCTCCACTTTGTGTGTGTCTGCCCGCGAGGCACGGACACAGATGCACGGCACTCATTTATACTGGTACTCTCCTAATGAAGGATTATCTTAATTGCAGAAGTAGAAGTGGAGTTTGTTTGATGAGGTAAACCAGTAAGGAGAGCGGCTCCGGGACAGAGTGACGCATCGGCGGCAGCAAGAACTTTGTTTTATTTCTCTGTGTTGGCCCCACTGACATAACTCAAGCTAAGCTGCATTTCTTCTTTTTTATTATGCAATTCAAAAATGAGCTTTTTTCAAACAAAAATCATTGTGGAGCAGAGTCACATTGCAGATGAAATATACATGTAGGACAGAGAGCATTGGGCGTGCGTGGGTGTAACGTTTCCACATGTGAAAGATTCACTGAATTTTTGCACTTTTCATATTTTCATTGTTTCCTTTTTTAATCTTTTGAGCACATGGAGTTTAATTCATACAGCTCCTCTTCTTATCCAAACAATGGATACCTCGAACCACGCGAATGAAAGAGAAACTGCTGCACACCTCGAGGGCACACATTGAATGAAAATTAAAAAAGGAATTAGTCGTAGGAGCCGTGCGTGTGATTGCACAAACCCTAACGTGCAGATTTCAGTGTTGCAGGTACAGCCGCGCTCTGTGTTCTGAGTGTGTTCGCCAGCTGCCTGTTGTCACGGCGACGGCACAAGCTGACGGGCCCGTCCCCCCGGCCACCCCGGCGCCTTCAAATTGTACTCGTTCACTCCAGAGAGGCGCATCGATTTAGAAAGGGTCGGATTTCATTTCCGCGAACAGGTTGTGTGCAGAAAGAATTTGAATCGGTTTTAAATCATTCGGGCGTTTGCATTGGCGGTCGTCCGGAGTTGCGGTGCGGTGGTCTTCGATGATCGATGTGTTGGCTCACTAAGCGTCAAGCCGGAACACAGGAGAGGTGGGAGGTCACTCGTTAGAAGACATCGTTTGAGCCCTTCTTCTTTTCCACAGAGTAATCGTCCACTTCCTAAAGTTAATTGTTAATAATGTTCCTTTTCGGGTCGGCGGACTTCTGCTACTCAGGAAAAATGAGTCCAGTGACCAATTAAAACAAAGAAAAGGAGGTAAATACACAGAGAGTGATGCAAAGTTGATGTGAGCGGAACACCGATTAGTTTTGACCTTTAATCACATGTAGTGATGATGATGAATAACTGGGGACGCGCAGCACCAAATTAGAAAATGTGAGTGCAGTCACTTTCCCTTCTCAATAGAGGATTACCGTTCTCACTTGTCGTCACAGGGATTTGTTACAACACACAATTTGTTTGGGATAGTTCTTGTACAACTTTAGAAACGCCTCAATGTTTAAAGCCTGATGTCTCCTGCAGGAGGCCTTACTGGGAGCCCCGTCAATCGGTCCAGTCCGGAGACGAAAAGAACACGGAGCGCTCGTGCGCCTGCTACTCGTTTCTGTGAGAGAAACAACATTTAAAAAGGTTTTGGGGGCAAATGGAATCCAAGCATTTATATTACCGCCTTCAGAATCCACCTTTTATTGTTTTGATCGTTTTGTTCCAGGAGTTTATTGTGGTCATGAAGCCTACATCGCGCTTCATTAAGATTTACCATGAATAGGACTTGGGGAGAGGGAGGGGGGGCGTTACCATCAGCCTGCTAGTGGTAATTATCAGCGGGAGCCACAGACATGAGAGTTTCTGTTCAACTGGTGTGTCGACGCGGGAAGAGAACCGAAGCAAGAGCAGCAGTCGGAAATACTACAAATTACAACCCCTAAGTGATATTAATTAATCCAACGGACGGGTTTGTTTGCATTGATTAGAAACATGTAGAGGATTAATATGTCAAACAGGTGAGAATTATTCTGGTAGATTAACATCATAACCAGACTGCAAGAAACAAAAGGGCATCTGATACCATTCGGGTGATCTTCCAAAACTTCACACAAAAACAATCTTGAAAACAGATGAAATGTGATTTAATTCAGGGAGGTTTTTTACGGGACACGTTACCACTTCAGTCGATGTGTTATTTGGGACAGACCAGTGTGCCGTGAGCCCCGTGTACTAAAGCGCTGGAACGCGAGGCTCTCTGCGTCTGAAGAATACACAATAAACCCGTATTCTGCACCATTACTCGCTCGTAAAGGAAGTCTCTCCGGATTCGAACCGGCGTGTCGGTCGCAGCAGGCGATCTGAAGGGCGAGCGGCGGCGAGCCCGAGGTGAAGGTCGCAGAACGATAACTGCGCGTAGCAACGTGATTTGAGAAGGCGGCGGCTCGGGATGCTAAGTGGGGAGATGTAGCTCCTCGCCCTCTGTATTCCGATCATGCTTTTGTTTCAAGTCTTTTGCTGGTGAAGATTAATTTGCGGAGCATGGCGCTCTATCAACCCCGAAACGACACAAAGGGCAAAGATACAGACTAATTAAATACACCAGTATATTTCCCATGGATCAATGAGAGTGGGATCCGTTAATTAAATCCGTGATAATGTTTACTCATCATAAACATTTCCCATGTTTGAGCGCGGCGAGATGGGGAGATAATCTCTGCTGTCTGACAGATTAATTTTGGGGCTACGGGGAAAATCCCTGCAGCACATTCTGAGCGAACGCTCCTCCTGTGATGGGGAGCGCTCGGCTAAGTGTTCGGCTTCAAAGGGAATCTTCCCGGCTTCTTTATCGAGTAGACGCACAACGCAGAACCACAACCCTTACGCATACATCCGCGCTACAAAAACCCGCCTCCGCGGTAGCAGAGCCAAGCTGAACCCCCCCCCGTCCATGAAGCCCACGCAGCAGGGAGGGTTCTGCATTATTCCCCCTCGCTTGTCTAGTGCGCGGCACAGGTCATCACGCAGTGGATTAAGAAGGCGGGTCGCAGTGTGTGTGTAAGTGTGTGTCTGTGTGTCTGTGTGTGTGTGTGTGTGTGTGTGAGAACCCGCGGGCTGCGCTGCGCTCATCGTCCATCGATCCGCCGGCAGAGAGGCGTGAGGCCGCCGCACTCAGCCGCGTAACCACAGGCAACGGCCCCCTGCAGCGGCACTGATTGCTCGTCTCAATCATCCCCCCCCCCCCTCCGTCCCCCCCCGTCCCCTCACCACCACTCGACAGACACACACGTAAACACTTAACGCCCACACACAAAAAACCTCCCCACCCCGGCTTCTGGCGCCGACGTCTCTGCAGCGGTCGCTCACGACTCGGCAGCCCCTCGTTGTCCTCGTGGGGGCCGTCGGATCCGGCGGCCTTGACCCCCGTCTGAAAGGGCCGCGGCTGCACGTTAGGAAGCAATTAATTCTGCATTGAGAAAGCCCATTAATTAGAAACTGCTTGTGGCTATTTTTGAGCGGGAGACCCTTCAGAGAAACAGCAGGGCCACTCGGAGCGGGATAAAAGATGCAGTGGCACACCGGGTTATTAATGGACCCCGGGGGGGGGGCTTCGGGGGGGGGGGGGGGGATTCTCACGTTCCGTTCTTTGTAACACACAACCGCGGCGGCACAAAGTGGGCGGAGTGGCCGTCGTTTTTTTTCCTGTTGGCATCCGACTTAAGCCACGTTTTAAGGAAGAAGCTGCGAAAACACTACTAGGCGTGGTAAGAAGAGGACTTCTGATGACTAGACCGCTGAGATATACTAGAGAAAAAAGCCCTGGCGACCAAACAGCGGTCACGACTCTCACCCTGATGACAGTGTGTTTCCTCCAAATGGAGGCAACAGAATAAACACCGGTGCAAAGATGAGTCTGGGGAAATGTGTTTTGTGATGTCTAATCACTCACTAAATCATGCATGAGAACATTAGCTATTTGTGGCGTCCACCATTCAGGGACGTTCCGCGGCGCCTCGGCACCCATTTTGACCCGAAAACAAGGCTTTTTAAACGCCGATTCAACTGCGGGTCTCCCCCGACGAGGAAGCCTCTACGACGGCGCGCCACCCGTGAAATTAAATCAACAACTCACTTATTGTAATTACATTTGGCTAAATGGGAAGTGGCAAAGTGTGGGTGTGATGCAATTAACACGTCATTTTCATCCCGTCCAGGATGGTGCGGATCCGCTTTCCCCCCCCGAGGGAGCCAATGAAATGCATCACCCCGCCCTCATCGCCGGCGCTTTTAAATGACTCGATGAGTATCGCCGTCTCACACTACTGCAGTGCGCGTCCGTGTGTGTGTGTGTGTGTGTGTGTGTGTGTGTGTCTGTGGTCGAAAGCAATTATAAACTTATACGTCATTATCCCCAAATCACCTTAAAGGGACTTTACATCACAAGGCCATTGTGTGCTATAATAAAATAAAATATACAAATATACTAAATATCAATATTCGACCATTGGCTGTGATAAAGTTGACTCATCCCAATGCATTCTGGGAGAAGCGTCCCCCTGTGACCCTGTGGAGGACGAGGAGCTATAAAAGCAGATGAACTTTGCACAGGCAGGTGATTCCTTTCATGTATTTAACACTGTTTTGAGCTGTAATCTTTGTGTTTTTGACCTCTATGCTCCTTTCAGAGAATCGCCATGAACTCTTCCATTAACCGCAGCTGGCGCGGCTGCAAAGGGAAGGACGGACGTCCACCACGTGGGCAGCGATGCAATAAAGGCTGTTGCCTGAGCAACGTGATCTCCAAAACCTGTTGGTAAGAATGTATACGAAGATCTTGAACATAGAAATTGGTAACAATACATAGGAACTGGCGGCGGTTAACCACGCCCCCTGAGTGAACAACATGGCGGACCATGTCGGATTCTTGCGTGAACGTCTCTCCGCCATGTTGGATGTTTTGAGGGGGTTAGGGTTAGTATTCTATTCTTACAAGTTAACAGTCATTTCTCGTTAAAAATGCAATCATAACACGTTTATTTTACACCGTTAGACTTCACAAAGTGTGTTTACGGGGCGCAGGTCCCCGTTCGCTTTGAACAGGGTGACGTCATCGGTCGCAGTCCGTATTTATTTCGTATGTATCACTACGAATTTGCACCTAAGACTTTCGTATACATTTTTACGAACAGGTTTTGGAGATCAGGCTGTATTCCTGACAGCCTGATCCCACTCCCAGATCACCAAATACCAACTCACGTCAAGCCTGTTTTGACACGTGTGTTGTTGTTTTACTCGCGTTGAGAAACCAGTTCCTAAACCTGCGTGAAACCACGCAGGCCGGAATACTTAAGCTTCTCCTTGAAGACACCGGCCGGGTAACAAGCGGAAGCTGACAGGTCACCGTTTGAAGCTGAGGGCCGCTGACGAGCAGGGACTCAGGATGCGTTGCAACAGCGGAGCAACTGTCAACCAGCGCAGAAAACGTCGCGCAATTGAACCCGAGTTTGCTCGCTGTCAATCATTTTAACAAGATCGACGACACGTTAGTAAAACACGCCTTCCAGCTGAAGGGTGGACTTTGTTCTGGTGACACACATTCTGCTGCGATGAACATTAACGGGGGGGGAAGCCGTCTGCAGGTGACGTTACCCTTTAGGTTCACATGGGAACGCTACTTGTTTAGCTGCAACGTACTTTAAGGATTTTCGAAGTTCTTGCATTGCTGCTGAGGGCGAAGAATGAAAAGAGCAATGCAGACAATATTCTTACTTCATTTTCTCCCTGGAGCATAATCAGAAAGAACCGATGAGAAAGTCCTACCATCCCCAGTCAATGCACTCCTTCCTATTGTCTGACAGTCACTGTCTTCCTCACATCTCAGGCTTCTTCTCCTCACCGGTTTGCCATTCTGGTGATGCAGGAATCTGAGCTTTCTCTACTTTCTCTTTCTCATGGAAACTTTCCACGGACAGCCGCATTGGCTGGAGGCCTAAAACCTTTCAGCCTTTTCCTTGTGTCAATTTCCTCGGATCAGTCGAGTGATCTGAAACTTGAGTGTAAGATAACGACGGACAGAGATTTCATTTTACTTCAAATGGAGGCCACGCGACTGCGGGGGGAGCAAATCAGGCGAAGACGGATCGGTGCTGACAGTCGGTCCGACATATCGGAGTGGAAACAACGTGCAATATTTACATTTCCAGCCTTCGGGGTTGTTTTCTCCCCGTGCGAGATCAATAAATGTTTATCCGGCGTTTACATACCAAAACAATTGTGATTATTCGACGATTTTCAGCGAAGGGAGTTAGAGGGCCGTGCGTTCGTATCTCCTCGAGTCGTTCGGGACCTCGATGTTCTACGTGCCTGCAGCGTGCAGCTCCTCGCCCGTCACACGGCTTTCGGATAGCTTGCATGATTTGGCTTTGAATACGTCGCTCTTTGTCCACACAGCAGCCATGGGGGGGGGGGGGGGGGGGGGGACCTCCTCGGGACGCCTGGTGTGGTGCTGATAAAAGGGGTGAGCAACCAGGAGAGAGTGGGGAGAAGGGGGGGTGCACCCGTCCTCTGTGCTCGGTCCGGCGTCTCTTAAGGAACACAAAACCCGAGCGGGGAGCTCCCCTGGAGGTCACAGATGGAGTGTGCGCTTTGTGCCCACTGCGGAACTGCCCTGTGGAGGAGGAACAGCGGGCCAGCAGTAGAGGAAAAGAATCCAGTGCTGTGTGTGTGTGTGTGTGTGTTCTCTGTTCTTCATTTGCAGAGTGCTGTGCAGGGACGGAGAATCTCGAAAGGTGGAGAAATGTCTCGGGACAAAGTTTGTCGGGCGTGGAACACCGCGGGCTTCTCCTTGACCTTCATCCAATTTGTACTAAAAAGAAACGCAAGCGGCCGAACGACGGATTCCTTTTCATCCCCAGAAAACTTCCTCTGAATCCCCGAATGTTTTCTAATGCTCACAGCAAAGGCCTCTGGGAACTCGGAAGCCACGACGATCGGACTGGAGCCACGCCGCAGCGCAGCGGTGAGAGACGTACCGCGTGCACGGCAAAGCCAGAATAAAGTGTGTTTGACAAGCAGCAGCGCTCAAGGCGATGCGGGGAGGAGGAGAGGATGGGGACGGGAGGGCCGGAGCAGCGAGGGGGTTGAATATGCGTGCCATCACGGGCAAATAAGCAGATTAATGTCCTCGCTGTTTGCCACTGGATGACAGCACGCATTGATGAAGCCCCAGAGAGGAGGACCTCCTCTCACTGCAGCCACACCGCGTGCACTCTGGGCAGAGCAAGGCGAGGGGTTGGGGGGGGGGGGGGGGGGTTAGCAAGTTAATGCAAATTAAAAGGAAAAGAACTGTGCTGCTCCCTGCTGGGCGGCTCCCGGACGGTCTTTTCCTGCACCAGTGTTGACCGCCGCTCCACCATCAGGGAAATATCCGACGTTTGCGGAGAGGTTGCGCTTGCATGACGTCGCCGTCCCAACAGATGGAAGGTTTTTCATTTAACAGAAAAGTTTGCACTTCCGATGACCCAGTTGAGGGTCTCGGTTTTCACTGTTGTGATTCCAGTTGTGCGCTTAGTCAACAAAAGAGCAAACCACTGATGACGTTCTGAGCCCTTTAAAAAGAAAACACCAGGGTAATTCTTTCCGTGTGTGTGTGTACGTGTGTCCGCGCATGTGTGCGTGGACCCTATTTTACTTTTCTTATGGTGACTTAAACCAGTTTACACAGCGACATTATGGGGATGAAATTCCACATTTAAATCATGAACACACCACTGTATGTGTGTGAGTGTGTGTGTGTGTGTGTGTGTGTGTGTGTGTGTGTGTGTGTGTGTGTGTGTGTTCTTACGTTGTGCGATCTTGGCCAAGTGCAGACGGTTGACCCAGGAGATCTTGCTGACGGGGCTGGGGGTGTTGAGGACCACCATGAAACTGACGGGACGCCCGGACCTGCACGGAAACACACGGATGGAATCTTCACAAAACAACCAGCGGAACAAGAAGATTATTCACGTCTCTGCTGTCGAGGTGAAGGAGCGACTGTGGTATTTACTGGGATTCCACACCAGCGTGTTATTGTGAAGACCTGCATTGTGCAATGACGGTGAAGATAAACCTTGGACCAAAATGCATTCCTTTAATGGAAATAAATGTCTTTGTAGCAACCTGTCTCCTAGAAACCTTCCAATAGGATTTTGCTGACAAACAGGATTATTCTCCCAGGTAAGGTTGAATAATGCAAACACATGTGGTTTTGCAGGATGGGATTTTTGGTGAAAGACAAATGAAATGCATTGTGCACTGCTAAATATTTACTATATAATTTCAGTACTTCGACTGGATCAACTGATTACAGTTCATGCACTTGGAAAAATGTTGGAGAGAATGACAATAAAGCACAGTGCATAACCTGTAAATCAATATGCGTGTACTTTAAAAAGAGGTTTGCACAGATGTTTTGGCCTGCAAAACCAAACAAGACAGCAGAGGGGAATTCGAGAGGTGAATAATGAATAATTTGTAATTATATTAAATATAATAATTTAATTGTGTTTTGCATTTCAAATTGCAGTTGTGATTGAATTTCCTCACTTTTTAATACCACACGTAAGGCGCCGCCACAAAAACAAGGTCAGAGGTCCTACATTTTCATTTCAACCTAAAGCTCACAAACTGGTGGTTTTACCTCACAGAGCCGTGAGGTGCAGGACTTTTAAATGAAAGGAGCATGTTTGACATGTAGTGTGGATATATCGACAAAAAGCAGAAAATTGCAGCCACAGAAACGGGACACCGAAAAGGAAAGGTTTCATTTCATAGGACTTTGAGTTCAACGCGTCATGACGTATTGTTTTCCTGCCAGAGGAACTGCTGGAACGCTTTTAGTTCCACAGGGGGTTCGGTCGAGAGGGCTTTATGATTCCCGCGACGTTCGGGGTTCGGAAGGGACGACCACGCGGGGTCACAATAACACGCTTCCAGGTGGGGTCCGACGCTCAAGAAGCCACTAATGTGTCGCCTCCGCTGGAATCGGCCGGGTGACGGCTTTCTGAGGCCAATTCCCACTCGCACGCCGTAGGAGACCACATCTCACAGGAGATGTTTGTGTGTGTGTGTGTGTGTAGGTGAGAGAAACTCGAGGCAACCAAAAGAAAACAGAAAAGTGGTCACTTTTCGACAGGTGCCCCCCCCCCACCACCACCGACAACAAGCATCCAGTGAAATGAGCAACCTCCTTTAAGGTAACAGGAACATCATGACCTTTTTACATCAGGAACGGCGCCATTAGTTTAATAAACTAGACACAATCATTAACCAAAAGGCACAGAGACAGATGTCTTATGCAAAACTGAGTGAAATGTATTTCATTTGCTTTGTTATGGACGTTGAGGAATTCTCCGTACTCCACGGCAATATTACTCATGTGACCACGGTTGGCTTGCGGCCTCGCGACATGTCGTATTTACACCATTTACTCTCAGTGCCTGCATGGTAAATGCGTGGCTGGTGTCGACGTTCCCTCAAAGGGGGTTCAAATGAAGAATTCAAGCACAGACTATTTGCCAAAGTGTCACCTAAAAGTTTCACACGGCAATGCAAAACAACGGTAAACTTTATTTAGGGAAGCCGGTGCAGGAAGTCTGCCAGACAAAGGGAGACGAGAACGTCAGAAGACACCGTTTTGTGGCTTCGATTCCAGGTTATTTATCACCAGACATTAAATGCGTCTTATTAAAACGTACGTGTGACCGAGGCAGCAGCTCGAGCTTCGAGTTAATTACACATCGTAGCCACACGTCACGCTGAGAAAAACACAAAAACGTGGGATTCATCCGTAACTTTTATTTCGACTTTTGCTTGAGTGACAGTGACTGAAGGTCCTGTAACTTGGGAGTTATTTCACAATCTAAAATGTATTACGAACATGTAATTGATTTTCCTTTGGTAGAGAAGTTTCACAAATATTTTTGCTCAAAATGACAGTTCAAAGTATGAAAGAAAAATAGGAAGGTCAAACTTCTAAAAACCTCTTCTCGGGAAAACCAAGAGCTCAACAACCGCCGTGTCAGATTCCACGGCCTCTCAATCCGAACACCACCGACACGGAAATGACCAATGAATACCCGCGGGTGGGCCTTTGGCCTAATGAAAAAAAAATAATAATAATAATAATTAAAAACTAAAAGGGAGGGGCGAGGGGGGGGGGTAGAGACGTGGAGGAGCCAGCACAGCTGATTTATGGGAGCAGGTCGGCGGCAGAGAAGCACGTGTGACGCTGATGCGCGAGGACGGGACAGATTCGGGGGGGGTCGAGTGCTGAGTGGCAGCCTGTCATGCACCCACCCTTCAGGTCACCCCCCACCCTGCGGGGGGCCACGGACGGGCAGAGAGAGAGAGTTGAAGGAGACTTTTCACGCCGTTGATTAAAAGTTGATGCCCGGCAACATACACGTCTCAGAATTACGGCCGAACCAGGTTGTAAAGTTGAGGTGGGTCGGGTTTGATGCCCGAGGTCCGCTCCACGGGCTGCTGGTGCAGAGATGACGAGTTGACGCCACAACAGCGCTCACATCGATTCATGTCTTTTCAAATGGAGCAGAGCCGAGTCGTTAGCCGAGGAGGCTAAATGTCAACTCCGAACTCGACTGAAGGTCATTGACCCCCCCCCCCCCCAGTGGGGATAGTCAGTACACAGCAGCATTTCATTTCAGCCTTGCTGCATTTGGACGGCCTTTTGTGGCATCATACAAAAGCACCGCGATTGGGGTTTCCTCCACTGGCTTAACGCGTGCACGTGAAGGATGACATGTGAGAAACGCGCCGACTGGCTAAAGCAGAAGAATGCGGTTATTCTTGGTCGCCGCCAGGTGCAGATGTGTGAAAAGCGCATAAAAGAAAGCGGCGCGCGGGTTCGGGGGGGGGGGGGGGGGGGGGCTTGAGGAGGAAACTTTTGACCGGTTATTCCGAGGTTCTAGGCCCCCCCCCCTGACCCGCTCGCCCTCTCTGCGGGTAGTCGTGCTCCGCCCGCCGCCGTGTTGTGCGAAGGCAACACACACGGTTTTTAAGTGCTTCTCTGCTCCGAACAAAAAAGACCTGTCGGCTCGGAGCGCGTCCAGCATTTCCCTCTCTCTCTCTCCCCCCCTTTTGCTCGACCACTCTCTCGCTGAGCACACACTGAACTACCCGATGCAACGACTGAAACGCCGCGTTCCAAAAGGAGAAATGAGAAGATCTGTGGGCATTGCGACGTTCTCGTCGACACGAGGGTCTCATGACAGAACAACACTTAACAGACGTGCCGCTGTTGATTTATCGGCACCGTAAACAACTCAAATGTCGGCTGCCAAACATCTCCAATTCGGGTAAACCTACCCGGCAGGTGAGATTCTGCCTCCCTCACTGCTCATGGGACACTCGCGGCGTCCCGTCCGCCCGCCGCTGGACCTCGAGGGCAGCCAGCGAGATGAAAGGCGCGTCTGCAGGCGCACAGTGCTGCTACTGTGTCTCTGTGTGTGTCTCTGTGTGTGTCTCTGTGTGCGTCTCTGTGTGCGTCTCCGCCTGCGGTTGCTCCGGCAGACGCGGCACAAAGAGGACGTTAATGAACTGCTGTCACACGTAGGCGGGGGCCTTTTGAGGCGGCGGTCGGGATTCTCCCCACGTACTCGCTCTGTTTGCAGTGTGCTCGGCTGTGATGTGCTGCCTTCGCGCCGCGGAGAGTCGCTTGCCGCCAGACATGAGAGGGGGGGGGGGGGGGGGGGGGCACCACTCTCACCAGCAGAGCAAAGGGTCCGCACAACTTTTTCTGTGGGTGTGTGGGGGTGTGCCCGTGTGTGAAAACGTGTGGCAATGCGTTCTGCCCGGCAAGAAGTGCTTTGTGAATAAATGGGTCTAAATACAGAGGAAAACTGCCGAACCGCTCTTGTGGCCCCCTAAAAGGTTTTGGAGATCACGTAAAAAAAAAGGGCTTCTTGTGGGGAACAAGCGGAAAGACCACGCGCCGGCACCTGCGGCGGGCGTGGGATGTTTTTGGGAACCAGGCGGGAGCCCGGATCTAACACCGCTGCACACCCCGGGGAAGTGCAGAGAGGGTCTGGGCACCCCGCTGTGCCACCTGTCACCTTCAGCCCTGCGCGCCCTCCCCCCCGGCTCACCGGCTCACCGGCATGGCACCCGCCCGGCTCCGAGGCCCAGCCTCAATTAGATTGCTATCGCACAACCAAGATTGGTTCTTTTTCCCAAAAGGAGCGCTCCCTCTCTTTCGGCTGACATTGTACCTCCACACAAACAAACTCTGTGGCCCTCTCCAGGTCCGGCCGTACATTATTTAGGATTTAAGTGCCACTCGCTGCCGCTTGGACATGTGCAGGGTCGGGAAAATGTCCTTGTCGGTGCGGCTGCGGATGACATTATCACGAGAAGTCAGCAAATAGGGTTCCCCTTGAAGGGGAATTCGGGGGCCTGTCTTGTAAGCTTGACATCTGGCTCCAGCGAACATCTGACTAAGCAGATTGGCCCTGCGGGCTCCGGTGTGACAGCCGACGAGGAAGCCGGGAGACGTGGGAGAAGTGATCTGCGCGGCTCCGCTGCTCAAGCTGTCACTTTGGCTCGGCCTGGCACGGTTTGATTCTCCCTGGCTCCGAAGCATTAGGGCCGCTCCTCCCCGAACCGCCGCCGCCGCCCTGCCAGCGCCGAGCCAAGTCTTTCGCGGGGGGGAGTTTGATCGTCACATTCACTCTTTCTTCCTCCCTCTCTCCTGCTTCGTCTCTCCCAGCAGGACTCAAAATTCTTCCCCTTTTCATCCTCCCCTGACTTTTCCTCACCCCCCTCCCCCCAGACGCCACGAAAATGGGATGCGTTCTAATTCGCAGCTCCTGTGCAGAACTCTAAGCTGCTCATATTCTCTGTCTTTGCCGTTTCCTGTTTTTCTCTAAGCAGGCGTTCAGGCATTCGTGTTGTCGCCACCACATCGAGGTGGCCGGCAGTGGAGGTAAAACACAGCCGACGACCCGAGTGTGAGACTCCCTGCCGACGGTTGCCTGGCGTTCAGTGATGGCGTTAACTTGTACAGCGGTTTCTTTTCTCATCCGCAGCTTTACGGGCGGGCGGGTTTGCGAAGCACCTCGGCAAGGCACTGATGCTGTCAGTCGGCGGTCGACGGCCCAGCTCACAAGCGTCTGGCCGCAGGTTGGCGTCCTCAATGAACAGCCTCGGTGAACGGAGGGAGGGAACGCCGAGAACGACGCGGCTTCTTGCGCACACGGTTTACGTGCGGTGAGTCAGACGAGGTGGAAGCTGCAGCAAAGTGTGTCTCAATTAAATCCTGCAAAGGGAACATTTTGTGGGGGCTACTCATTATTCTGTTCAAGTGCAGAGGGAGATGAATTGTTGCAGTCAGGTAATTACCCGGTTGCGACAGAATAAAGTGTTCTCGCCTTTTGGATTTGCAAAGGTTCACTGTGTCTTGTTGGCCAAGAGATCTTAAGTGTACAAACATTACCGCCGTGTGTTTCTTTCCCCCTCTGCAGTCCTCCTACGCTTTCCGCCACTTTTCAGGTAAAAACAATCTTTGCACATACATTCAAATGTTTGTCGCTGGCTGTTATCTTTCAGCGATGAACAACCAAGATCTATATATATACAATATATATATATACAAAAAAAGAAAAAAAATATATATACATATATATATATATATATACAAAAAAATATATATATATATATACATATATATATATATATACAATATATATATATGTATATATATTTTTTTGTATATAAATATCTATATATATATATACAAAAAATATATATATATACATATATATGTACAAAAAATATATATATATATATCTTTTTTTGTATATATATTTTTTTTTTGTTGCATATGCTTCAATGTTTTTCCAGTAAAACACAAATAAGCTGCGGCTATTTAGCTCGGATGGTTAATAAAATATAAATAATGGGAGACCAATGCCAGAGCTAAAAGGTTTGCTTCAAACGACGGGACATAAGATAACTCGATCGACTGCTCACATTCAAACACAACTTGCTTTGGAAATGTTTGGAACCTCAAGAATAGATTTCGCTTTGGACGAACAGAATAAATATGAGCAAGAGGGAGGGAGGGGGCTTCTCACCCCTCATTCGCTAACATTACAGTGATATCAGAGTAAGCCTTTGATTTCTCCGTTGATTTCCCATTATTTATTTTAGGTTTTTTTAATGCGACGGTAAGGTAGGTACATTTTTCGTCGTTTTCCCGCTTAAATCTTTCTAAAGTTCCCGAGAAATAGACACTGTACTGTCCGATAACACCCTCGTTGTAACCAGCAAAAATGGTTGATGTGATTTGCGAGGCGTCTGTTGCCCGACCGTCTGGCATTAGCACGTTAGCCTACGTCAGAAAGACTGAGGTTCTTGCAGCGTACCAACGTCACTCCTGTCTATTACGGCATCTGGGCAGCTATAGACCCCAAGATGACACGATGACACGAGTTGGCCAAACGAACAAGCTTGAAAAAAATATTCATGACAGCTTGCGCTCGCAGATTACTTGGAGGACCGGACCGAACCGGACCCCCCCCTCCTCAAAAATATTTTTAGTGCTATATCTACTCACTTGTCTGGTCTGCCGGGTACCTGCAGGCGTAGGCGACATTTGTTGGCGCTCTGGATCTGCTCTTCCTTCATGCGGATGAGCCTCTGCAGAGCCAGACACCAGTCCTGGGCCACAGTGGTGTTCAGGTTCTTCGACGGGGGGGAAGGGAAGCACACAATTAAGACGTGTTCTTCTGCCATAGCTTACAGTAGGTCATCTCCCCGAGAAGCAGAGCGCGCTGTGCAGTCAGTATTTATATACTTTCATCCCCTCAAAGGTTGAATCTCAACATCAGCATCCATTTTTATAGCAAACGCTAGTCGTTCACATCAAACAGACGCGAATCAATTGAAGGCAACGAGCTGTGCTGAAGTATTCTGTGTGTTTGTTTGGTGGACAATACGGAGGACGGGAGGGAGAGTGAAAAATCAAACCCCCCCGGGGGACGATGAGCTCGTTATACGGGGAGGATTTGGCGCCACCGTTACCTTAAGAGGTTCTTTGGTGATTGCTGGAGTGCACCTCCTCGGTTATGTAGAGTATGGTACAGTTCATGTGTTAGGGGTAGCCCCCTGGGAAGTGTCCTGATTTGAACCCCCCAGGAGGGGTGAGGGGGGGGGGGGGGGGGGCGCTGCTGGTTCCATTTGGAGCACAGCAAATCTGACATTTCTATCCGCAATATCAGAGGGGAAATCTCATCCTCAACATGGTGGCTCTGTTGATGGAGAGATCGGAATCAATGAACACGACGCTGTCCTTTGATCACGTCTTAAACGTCAAGAATCCTTTTCACAATCTATTTAGAAGCGATAGCGGAATTTCCCCAAATGGTTATTCCTTGCACCGCGCAGACGTGATATCTAAATCACATTAAAATAAGCTATGAATACTTAAACTTCGTCTTTGCCGCCTCTGTGATCCTTTGGTCTGTTCTCGGGGCCGAGGAGCTCTTGCTAAGTAGTCTGCCACTCTGCACAGCACATTCTTTCACATGCGCATATTGTCAGTCAATTTCCTAGCGATAACTAGGCCGTAAATAATTTGTGACAGTGATCATGGAACATGACAGTTTAAGATCAATCTGTCAGCTCACAGAGGAGAGGACTTGAGGGAGCACGGCTGTGTTCCCGCGGTGTGACAAATGGAAGCTACGCCTGAGATCTCATATATGTCATTTATGTTGTGTAATACCCATTTGCGCTGTGAGGAGGTGCAGGCGCAGTGAAAGTGTAACACCGAGTGACATGTAGGTACCTGGTACGTCCCCTGCAGAGTGCCCACGAGGAGGGTGACCTCCTCCACGACGGAAAGGTCATGCTGAAGCTCCTGCAGCTCCTGGTAGAGCCGGGGGGGGCCGAGGAACGCCTTGCCTGAGAAGCGGAGCGACAAGCGAAGCCACGGCATTGGTGAAATCGGCATTGGCGCGCGCGGATTAGGATGCAAAAGACGAAGAAGTACACATTTTAATGTCGTAGAGTGAAAAAAAAATCAAAAAAGCTGAAGGTGGTTCCTGAAATCAGTTGATCAGTTTGCCAAACGGTACGAAGCCCAAGGACATTCCATACACTAAGACTTCTTAGTAATATATACACTAAACATGTATGGTATACGGACTAACCATCTAACGCTGAAGATTGTAGTCTTTAATCTGTCCGAGAGGACACAAGGACATTGTTGCTCAGAACCAGGGGAGGCGCAGAGGGAAAAGTTGCCTTTGCTGAAACTCCCCTGGCGCTAATAAAAGAGGTTTGATGTGCAGATGGGTCGATCTTCATAATTTGTTGAACTACAGAAAATGAATTTCTGAGTAAAAGAGAGGAAAAAAAACAGATGGAGCGACCGTTATTCGGAGCTATGGTGCCCTTTTGCCGGCCAAAAGCAATGCAGGTGTCTCATTAGACGCAAAACTCAGCATCGATTTGAGGCCGCCCGCCTTCCAAATCCCTCTCTCTCCTACTGCTGCGGATCGATAGCCGTGTCTCCTCCTGTCTGCCGTTCTCCGTCCCGGCTCCCTCTGGCTCACGCCTCCCCGGCAGCAGAGCTGCCTAATTAAATTCTGCAGGTAGATTTTGCTCTCGAGCGTTCCGCCACAGTCGCCGCTGCCACGTACTAGCAGCGGGGGCCGAGCCGATCGGCGGGCCTCAGCCAGGCGCGCGCCCGCCCGCTGCCTTTTGGTCTATCCGCCGGGATTGATGGAGGGAGAGTAAGGAGACCAGAGGAAAAGGGGGCGAGAAGAGGAAAGTGGTGAGCTCGCATCGTTCGTTTAAAGAGCTCTGTTGCAGCTTTTTGGGGGGGTTTAATGAGATCGTTCTCATGGGCCACCGGTGACGTCTGTCAACTGTGCAAAGAAATCAATAGGTGAGACATGTGAATACAGACGGGTACGCCGGCGGGAGCGTTGCGCTGCTATCCTCTCCAAAGGGATTGGCTGGACCCCCCCGTGCAGGTTCGTCCAGTCCTCTGCAGCCGGCTGTTGGCTGCGGCCCGAGAGGTGAATGTGCTGAGTTGTAATCCAGCGTAATCCCGTTGGTGAGGCAGGATTGGGGGGGTTTTTTCACACTCAGACACGGCTGTTCACGCGGGCCGCCGCCGCCGCGGCCGGAAGTCTACGCCGCCGTGCCAATGGCGCTGGCCAGAGGATTTGAAAGAAGACAATGCGGCTTTTACACACCTGCATCCTTAAACCCCCCCCACCCCGTCTGATCCGCGGCCAAAGCCCCCCGCTGCACCTCCGACACAAAGAGAAATGCACTCGAGACAGCAGGTCAAAAGCAAAGCGGCGGCGAGGGAGGAGGCGTAATGGGGACAGAATTAAGGCGCGGTAGCGCGGCCGTAAACAAGTAAAAGGCAGAAGGAGACGGTCCGACGGAGACATGAGCCGAGGCGAAGAGGGGGACGGGCCTTAAGGACAGCTTTCTTCAATAAAGACGGGCAGAAGATGAAAAATGACTCAATTTTGAGCCGTGCCGAGGGAGCGCTGGATTCAGAGCAGACACCCCACCGAATGACATCACACGGGGGTGAAACTATAAATAGACGGGACAGGCTGTCTGAGGGGAAACTTTTGTGAGCGGTCCCGCGGATATTCGGGGAGGTTTCTGCGTATAGACGTGACCGCGGTGACTGCGCCGTGTCGAAAAGGAAAAAGATGGGGAGCGTGTCGGGATCCTGCTCCTTCTTTGGGGCATAACGTCTGCAGGAGTTTGACGTGGAAGTGGAAGGGAGACAGGCGGCCGGGCTGTGGGATCTGACCTTAGATGATCCCCGAGCATTTGTGGCTGCACGCTGCCAGGGGAGCCGAACGCTCGCCCCGTACGGCGTCCCAACCGGCAAGCTGCTTGCCGAGCGAGACCCGAGCGGCTCTGAGGAAGGCACCGTTAATATTTAACAGGTGGAACCGCGACCGCCATCGCCTCGCCCCCTTTTCCCACGGCACATTTATCAGGGATCTCGCCCCGGCTCCGTGTGCCGGTTGGGAGAACCGGCGTTCCAACCGCCGATTCCCATCTACCGCTACCGGCTCTCTAATTGGGCCTAGGGAGGAAAAAAAAGGGAGGGAATCGTCCCTGCAGATTGATGACTCCACCCTGTGTGTGTTTTGTGGTCTATCAGAGAGTGAAATGAGACTGTGAGGACGCCGAGGCGGGGGCCTGTCCACCGCCATCATCCCTCTCTCCCGAGATAAAACACCCCCCCACCCCCCAGGCAGATTGGAACAAGTGACCGTCATCACAAACACGCCCTCAATCACAGGCACGAGCACTCGGGAGCAGAAACGGATGAGTCGGAGTCTGAGACTAAAAGACGGTGCAAGTGATGAGATTTTACCTGGGGGGCCGGCTCGCTTGGCCCCGCTCTGTTGGAAGAGGGCGTCTTGGCTTTGGGAGACCTCCTGGCCCACCTCCACCACTTGCACCTGCTGCAAGGGGGCGCTCCACTTCATGGTGTACTTGGGGCCGACGGGGACCAGGCTGCTGACGTCCGGAGGCCCCCTGGTGGAGACAAACCCAAAGGATGCACAGACGGAAATAGGACGGGGTTCTGGAGGGGAAACCACGCTGCTAACAGCGCTACACCCTGAGAGAGAGACTCGGCAGCGGGGAATTAAGACTCCGTGTGATCGCCCCCCCCCCCCCGTTCCTACCCAAATAGTACCCCCCGCTGTGAGGAGGGATTCATTGCTATTCATGTATTCCTGTCATCAAGCAAGGAATCAACATTGTGATCGGGTTTGTCGAGATCCTGGAGGGCAGACAAAGTCAACCTCGGGACACTCGAGTTGAATGAGACGTGGAGTGATAATTTGCTTTTGAAGGCTGGAACAAGAGGGGCTGTGAGCAACATCTTTGACAGGGGCTCCGCCAAATATACAAAATCCCCTTCCTGTTTACTTTGAGAGGGAGAGAGATACGATCAATGGTGCTGTCGCAGGAGATAAATTGGAAAGAAACTCCAAAATGTCTGTCAGTAATCTAGGACTCCTGTAGCTGTAGTTAGGCCTTCTACCCGTTTGTTTAAAGCTGATAAAGCTGCTGCAGCTCCAGATAGGGCTCTGAACCCCTTGCAGCTCTTTCTCTTTCCAATACAGTTTTACCAAAATACCCTTGCAAAACCCCCCCGTCCCCCCCGTGCAGCTCAGCAGACTCTCCTTTACAAACTACCGCGTAGTTTTAAGCATTACGGACGCATTAGCAAAGTCTTTTTGAAGGCAAAAGTCATCCGGCTCCGACTCGGCTCGACAACGGGGGGACTTACTTGACATTTATGTTGGCGCAGACGAGCACATCATCAAAGAGGAAGACCTTTCTCTCCTTCGACTTCAGGACTTGTCCCCTCTCGCCGTACACCGTCTCAATGAGCGTCTCACAAAGCACCAGCGACCCCTGCTCCGAGTTCAGTTGCTAAAAGGGACACAGCAATCAGATCAGAGTCAGGCGGGGGGGGACGGGGGGACGGCATCACAAAGGGCCCGTCCTCCAGAGCTCCATGCCCGCAGGACGCGGGAGTCCGCCTCGGAGGAAGAGATGTCTCGTCGGGGATTAGCAACACATTCACGCTGCTGAAGGTCATTCGATGTCCACACGCGAGGCGCACACAAACACACACACACGCACACACACACACGTCCCTGGCGTGGGCTTAGCGGCGGAGGGAATGCACGTGTTCATTCGCCATCTCTGCCCTGCACACGCGACGGGAGGCACCTCGAGACGGGAGCAGCTCAGTAAACTACTGCAGCGCGAGCCTTCGTGCCATCGACCGCACCGGTGAGTCAAACTGGCTTAGCTAGTGAGCCGCGGGACGCACAACCCTCTCCGCCACACATGGACATGGATGCATGTTTGCCGCGCGCGCACCTTAACACACACACACACACGCGCGCGCAGAATAAATTCCATGAGAGATGCAATCTATGCCACAGCATTGCAGTGCGTCGCTGTCCTCCATGCTGCGCGTGCAAAAGGACACAGCAACAGAAAGGCTTCATCACTTTGCGTCAATGTGCTTTGGCGTCTTTTATGAATCCCTAAATCAATACTTGCAGTGTGACGCTCACTGCAGCGATCTGAGCCGGGGCTCATCAGGGTTCACACCGCGGGCGGCAGGTCGCGTCCATCCTGGATGCGTTCGTGTTTGTGTTTGCTCAACAGGCGCACGTTCCAGCGGATAATGAACCTTCCCCGCTTCTGCAGCCTGCAGTGCGGTAACGCATGCGGCCGCCTTTCGCCCGAGAGGATCTGCTTGCCGCCAGCAATCGCTAGCCGCTCAGGGCTGTAGGGATACACCCGTAAAGTCTACAAGCATCAATAGGCACAGAGGGCACCGCGCCGTGTGTGTGTGTGTGTGTGTGTGTGTGTGTGTGTGTGCGCGCGCGAAACCCACTCTGACTCACATTGTCATCCGTCCTATTTCGGCGACTCGGATGCTTTGAGACAAAAGAATGAATATTTCATTGGACGGTTATGGGGGGGGGGGGGCGCAATAGAGGAGGCTGTTTCCGATTGGAATTCTGCGGAGTCACCGCGGCAAATGGAACGCTGCGCGGAGGAGGAGAGATCGGGCGAATCAGCTCATCGCACAGCGCCGGAGAGCAGGTGCTGATCGAAAGAGAGACGAGGAGAGCGAGAGAGAAGCGGCCACAATGCAGAAAGACAAGAAGACTGTATAAGTGGAGTGAGGCAGTGAGCAAAGGAGCCGGGGGGGGGGGGGAAAGTGTGTGGGGCAAGGGGGGGAGAAAGGGGGGGGGGGGAGGGAATGGGTGAAAAAGAAAACCCCCTTAAAGTTTCCAATTAAATTTCCCATTTACCCCCCAATTCTTCTTATTTAAAGAAGCGTTTGTTCCGATTTGCGGGGGCAGGGATGTAATTTTCGGGTGGTAATGGGGGGGCGGGGGGGGGGCGAAGGCCCTCCCGGGTGATGGGGGGGTGTTCGGGGGCGATAAATGGCCGTCGTTTCTGGGAGATCGTTGCCCGAAAAAAAAATAAGACACGCCCACCTAGATTAATGTGCGGGGAGGTGATAAAAGCGGTTTAATCCGTAGGCGTTTGGCTCGCGGCGATAACGGCGCGGGGGGAGTTTAAAGGGCCGTGGCGGGGGGGGTTGTAAGAGGGGCGGCGGGGGGGTCCAGTCACCTGCTGAGCAGGCGGTCGCTGACGCTGCGGGCGAGCTGCCGGGTCTCGGCGATCTGGTCGGCCACCCGCTTCTGTTCGTTGAGCTTCTCGGCCAGCGTCTCCAGCTCGGTGAGGGCGAGCTGCAGCGGCAGGCGGTCCACGTGGCCCTTCGGCGTGTTCTTCAGCATGTCCTGGGGAAAGGTCACAGGTCGTCAAGCAACGATTGAAACCGCTTTCCATTTGCAAGTTATTTATTACACTTTCCTGTTGGGACTATTTATTGGACTTGTTCGCCTTCTTCTTTGGCCGACGTCTCTTCTTGCACTTTGCTGCTGTAACTCGGCTCAGACTCTTTATAATAATGTCCCCACTTTGCCAAATTTGGGACACTTCTGACGGTTCTGACATTCTTTTTTAAGTGGGAGCGTTTTTTGGAAAGCGAGGACATTTTAGCAAAGCGGGGACATTATTGAAAGTTCCGACCTTTCCCTCTGATGTCGAGCACTCACACATTTAATTTGACTGTGTACGCCGCGTATATACTTCAGTAAACTCTGTGCATGTCATTTTATTCCGATTTCTACCGTTTGGCAGGCCGAGTGGGCTAAAAGGAAGCGAACTGAGCCCAACAGGCTTTCGCGGCTTGCGCGTCTACATCCGCCCCGCCTCTACCGCCTCCTAAAAGTTTGGTATCGGTGAGATGTTCGTCCACCGCGGTGCCTCGGTGCTCCCTGTGATGCATGATTTAAAATACATGCACTTCCTATTTGGAGTACCGAGTTTAGTCTGGAATAAAATGGCTGATTCACATTCATAACTTATCTTTTGAATTCATGGATAATCAATGCCTACTGAGGGATGAAATGAGCTTCTGCAGATCCAGCAAGTTGCGCTGGAATCCAAATCTTTGCTCAGAATGGAAAGTGGAAGACTCCGGGAGGATGTAAAGCCGGCAATATGAAAAACTGATGTGGATAGTCACTTTTTCCAGCTCTAGTTAACTTTAGCGTGAAAGTGACGTCCAACTTCTTGGTACTCTGCATGAGTCAAAATCCATAATCGATTCTGTAACCTTCAGCTCTGCTGCTGCATGTGCAGCCGGAACTGTAATTTGACTCATTTCTCATATTGAAAGCGTCCGGCTCGTGAAACTTCAGTCCTTCCCTTAATTAAAACAAATGAAATAGCCGTTCACAAACAACATTTTATACCTGCAGGAGCAATATGAACTGAGGGAATCGCTGAATGGGCTTAACCATCAGGCCGTAGAGAGTGATCCGGTCCACACTGGTCGCTTGCTTCTTCTGGGAACAGAAAGAGAGGAATTTAAAGGCCATTAGGAGGAAAGTAAATGTAAAGAATGCTATGCCTCGTCCTCAGCAAGACTTAGTAGGCGTGTGAGTGGGTGAATACGTGCTGTAAAACAGGGTCTGTTACTCATACGAGGGAATTAAAGAAGAGAGTCGTATCTCTAATGCTGCACGGTGGGCGGAGGTCAGGAGAAAATTGGTTCGGCGCCGTGTCAAGTCTGTGGCACGATGATAGCATCAGTGGAAAAAGGCACATCTAATAGATGGTGTGGTGGGAAAGGTTGGATAAGGTCAACTGTAAGAAAAAGAGCTGCTGCTTAAACTCAGGAGATTCAAGCCATTTATTGCCACATATGTTCCACATAGAGGCATTTAAAGAATGAAATGAAATAAAATAAGATTAATGAACAATATGTATGTAATATTTAGTAAAATATGGACCCATTAACAGTAAAATAAGACCGTGAAGGAGGGTATGCTTCAGGGCGGGGCTATCCTATGATTGACAGGTTGCCTCGTCTGTGATTCTTTTTGCTTTTAAAAGATAAATGTAATTTTTTGTTTGCCCAAAAATGTCAGAAATTAGAGGCTTCAAATGTCACTTTGTCCACTTCCTAAATACAGCCTGGGGTGTTTTTTAATGGTGTTTATTTCTAAGGTGGTTTTCTATGGTGTTTTTTCTACAGTGGTTTTCCTTTGATGTTCTTTTGTGGTGGTTTTTCTATGATATTTTTTTCTATGGTGTTTTTCTAGCCCTAAATCAGTGTATAAAGCTTCCATGCTTTAGGTCCCAACATTTTGGGACGGTGAATTATTAAATAAATAGCAGCAACCATTAAGGAACTGAGCATGAAGTTGAACCGGATATCATATCGATGTAGAAAGTACGCGGATGAATCATTTAATTAAGACTACAGATTGTGTTTTTAAACACACGGCTCTTAAAGGCTGAGCCACTTGAGTAGTTTCGTACTGCCCAACCAGTAAATTCCATTGCTTTTCGCCCTCTTGACTAAAGAGACCTAACAAGTCCCCCATGAAGTCCGCTATGCGTGAAGTGGCTGGAGTATTTTCCACCTGAGGGCAGCCACGTGGAACCGCTTGACTGAATTTACACAAAACACACACTCTCTCTGGTCAATAGACATGAAATTACCTGTAAACAGCGTAATGACGTCTATTGTTCTGTGCATGCTGCCCTGAGGCGTAGGGGTAAACAAATGGCTGCCGGTATATTCTGCATCAACTCCCTTCTTATGCACTAACGTTTGTACAGCAGTCGCATTCTTCAGACAATAAAAACCAAAGTGAAAGACTGTCATCATTGTGAGTTATTATAAGAGGAATCCGTGCGGTTGCTAATGTGCAAACGCCGACCTGGAGAGACACATTTTACACCATCACAAGGAGGAGACACGTGGAGGGAGATTTTTTATCTGCACGATCCAAAGTTCAGTAACTGGACAGGCATGCAATGTCCAAGCAGCGTCTTTACGCCACACTCGGACAGGTCGGATGAGGACGGAGACGCTGTGGACGGTTCACTGGTGGCGGTTGTGGGTGAGACGGGTTTTGAGGAGAAACTCTCTCTCTTTCGGAGGGCAGTCAAACTGTGAACTAAACCCCCCCCCTCCACACTGCCCGACACCGTATCCATGCAGCAGAACTGTCAGGACATGACCTTCAATTTCTCATTTGATGGAGATGTTTCGCGAGTAATAATCACCAAAAGGGAAAAAAATCCAACTGCCAAACCTGCCCTTGGAGCCAACGAAAGGATCCTTTTGGACTCATATATTTCACCTTTGCTGTCTTCTTTCTAATGGCGTTGATGGATTTATGCTCCACTGCGATGTGGAAGAAGGGGGAAGGAGACCCAGGGAGTTCAGTCTGTCAATGCTTGTCCGTGTTTTTTAGAAAAGCAGCAAAATGCTGATTTGTTAGCTTTAGCAGGAGAAAGACAGAGAGTGTGATCTGTCAAGCGAAGGGGAAATTACCGCTATTGCTTCTGAATGGCAGCTGCCTGCTCACAGGTGGCGGCTCATGCCGCTGCCAGCGTTGGGGTTCTATCTCTGTTTGGGTCTGTTCAGGCTGGCGGTTTTTGCGAGCGCTCATTGTTAGTCTCGGGTCAATTTGCACAGGGGCCGACTTTTCTCTGTGTCCTTTACGCGATTCAGGGTTTCCACAGATCTATTTCAGGTAGCCTCTGCTGCAAAGCTCTTCCTCCCACCGCTCGTCCTCTGCACAGCGACCTGGAGTCTTCGAACTTAGCAATGAAGGTCGACATAATAAAGTTGGCACCTCTGTTGCGCCGCCGCTGTCTGTCGAGCATCTGGGGCGTCTTCACAGTGAGGATCAGCTGCACCTCTGCAGCCCGCAGGTAGAGAGCCGGTTTCCATTAATGTCGTGTTTTTCCTTCAGTCACTGAAGGAAAGTGAATTCTAGTCGCATTTTGAAAATATTAGGGCTCACTGACTGAGCAGGTGATGCAAATTGTGTGTGCCGGGGTCATGATTTATCCCATTAGTGGGCAAAAACTAGTGAGGAACTTCTTGTGGTGATTCATGCAAAATAAGAATAAAGATAAAAATATAAAAGCAAAAATAAACAATACAGATAGATTGATCCAATGTAGTTCTGATACATGAACCAGGGGCATCTTGGTCGTTATATTATAAGTCATCGCCCACACAGAGTAGATGTACTTTTGTTGCCAGGCAACCGTATCAGCATATGCCAGTACGCTGGAACAGATGGAACAGTCCCTTGTGCTAACTTTGGGTTAAACCCCTGACACCTACTTCTGATGTCAAGGAGAGGGGGAAATGGGCAGCACTGGATATGTTATTGGAACTGTCAAGTGGACACTTGCCTCCGTCGCTGACGGGCACTAGATTAAGCCCACGACACCTCCAGCAGGTTCAATAATAAGTCCCTCCATGGGTCCTCTGAGCTGAATAATACACCACCTAATTTCTGACACCACGACCTTCTAATAGCATACTGCCATTCTGAGATGCTCTCTGTCTTATTTGGATTTTCAATATCCATTTTTTTTTTTTTTTGCAAAAAAGAAAAATAAATGTCGCTTGGACAACACGAGTTATTTATCCAGATAATGAAAATAGATTTTTCTAACTTCTTTAGATGATTTACACTGAACTCACGTCAATTATTCTCTGCTGAAGCAGCTCTCATATTACTTTCCCCTGCAAACTGTATTCAAACAATGGATTTAATGATCCCCGTCCCTGTGAGTCTGAATTGCGCGCACCCGTTGCCTCCGCAATATTTCAAAAACAACACGATAAAGTCTGTCATTGATTCGCTCTTTTGTTTCGGTCTGGACAAATTCTTTTATTTGCTTCGTCTTCACGCAACAGTCAGCGGGAGGGACAAAGGGCACATTTCATCTGGATTAACATGCAGGGCTGTCAGCTGTGAAGATCTGCTTCTGTAAATCAGCATTACAGCTCAGTGGGCCACGTCGCCCTGACGCATGGATCCTGAGCGCGCAGGCCATTGATAACCTCCGCACATGTTGAATAATTCCCTGGCACTTTCCCTGCATTACTTTTCCTCGCTCGTGATCTCTAATTAATATCTGGAACATTAAATAAACAGCGCAGAGGATTGTGTCTGGTAGTGCAAAAAGTTCTCAAATCTTGATTTTTTTAAATTTTACACAACCTCCCAATTACAAAAGGGTTGCAATGTCCTAATATTTTGATATTAGGAATTGAATTCATTCATTTTTAGAGCTCTGCTCTAAAAGCTTTTCAAGATATAAAAAATCCAATACAATAGTCGTGTTTTTGTCACACTGAAAAAGGTTTTCTGCATGTAGACACCTTTTTACACACTGAATCATTTGTCTCTTTTGGAGACCTGAGGAAATGATACATGTGTTATTTAAGCCTTTAGCTTTGGGGCTTTGTTTGCTTTAGCATATGACGAACACCGCAGCCAACAGCACAGAGAAAATACACAAAACCCTGTGCTCACGGCTGAAGCTCACCTTTAAGAACTCCAGGAACGCGGGTTTGGACAGGCACGCCTTCTTAATCAGCGCCATGGCATTGGTGAAGTTGTTCACGTAGTCGCTGTAAACATCCAGCACCATGGATTTGGAAAACTGCAAAAACCAGAAACAAGCATTTGTCCTCTGAATTAGTATCACCAGCCCTGCAATAAGACGTCTGATTATCTTGTCTCTACGGCAGCGGCCGCAAACGCAGCCATGTCATTTCCTCTGACAACCTGAATGTTTGGGATAATTTCAATGTAAAAGAAAATGGACGTTTAAGTATAGTGCTCCGGAAAAAAAAAGAAAGAAAAAAACACGGTTTGTTTACCGTCCCTGTTAGCGCGACACCCTTCACGAGCCATTTAAGAGGCCGGGCGAGGAGAAATTAAGTGGCGGAGCGTGAGAGAGAGAGTGTCAGGGGATGTTGTTGTGCAGTGGACATTTATTCCCTCTCCTCAATTAAACTCCCACCAGGCGGCTGATGCTGGCGGTCTGAGGACTGGTGGGGGGGGGGGGTGGATGAGCACTTGGCCTGAGGGGGGGACTGAGCCTCTTTGTTTGGGGATCCGGTCTCTCGGACGTTACAAGGAGCCGTCGCGCGCAGGTACACGTGCGCTGGCCGCTCAGGGAGCTCAGCACTGCGCTCCGTTGGGGCGGCGCTGTTGGAGCCCGGTAACAGGCGGCGGCGGAGGAGGAGGAGGAGGAGGAGGAGGAGGAGAGGGTCGAATCAGCCCCTCTAATAGGCAAATAATAAGCAGACCCGATGGATGAGCACGCAGCAGAAGACTCTTGCTGAACAATATTATTCCAGAGCCAAAATGTGTAAAAACGCGCATGGCGGAGAGCGTCGGGTGCAGTGGAGAAATTCATCACCACTGTAATTGATTGCATGTTTGGGGTAAACCATCCCTGTTTGCTCACCCTGAAGCCTGTGGCTCATTATAACTCTGGTTGCAGCCGTTGTGTTGTACAATTAGAAGAAGAACCATTTGAGTGTCTTTACCCTGCATGTCAGAAAGGGTTAAACAAAGAACGGTGCAGAAAATAAGCCTCCAGTTTGCATTTTGCGATTCGCAAACCCGAAGACGCCATGAAACGTGCGCGCACACTTACCGAGGCAACAAATAAGTCTCCGATTTTCTCGCTGCTGTCCCACTCAGCCACGCGCGACGCCAGCGCAATCTGAAACATGGAGTGGCACTGAGTGATCTCCCTCATTCTGTAAAAAATAGGCCGCAGCTTCCTCGGGCTCAAGATGCGTGGATCGGCCTCCATCAGCGGCCTCTGGTATTCCTGGTGGGATCGGGAGGGGAAAATTTACTGTCGTTGATAAACACATTTTACATCTCCAGCGGTTCAGCAGCATCATTAGACAACTGGGAGGTAGAATATCTGAATGTCTTCAGACTTCTTCACAACCCACGCCGACTGCTAATCGAAAAAGCACGAAGAATTATGGCGAGAAAAAGCCGCTCACAGATTGCAAATTGCAAATTGGACGAGAGTTCATTGATTCTTCGGTCACCGACAGTGGGAATGTTTGCAACTGGCGTCTCCCTAAATAATCAGCCGCAGAAGGGACGTGGACGGAAGAACGGCAGGAAGCGCGACCTGTTTCGCGGCAATGATTGCGTGCGGGTTCAACCCTCGGCGTCTAATCTGTCGTGCCGTGCTTGTGGCCTTTCATGCTTCTTCATTGGATTTGTTGGGAGACACTGAATTCACCGCCGGGCCCGACACTGAATAACGAGACAGATTTAAAATGAGCTAAACCTCCCAGAGCAGCGCGCAACAATCACGTCGCTCAAAGACAAAGGCGGCTCGTTGTCTGAGGAAGTCATCGACTGCTGCAAGGTTTCATTTCAGTGGGTTTCTCTGGTTTCTGCCCACTGAGAAGTGAATTAAAAGAAGCATCAGAACAGCGCCGCAGAAATGAGGAGGGACGAATCGTCGGGACTATTTACGCCGAGACGCTCGGCTGTTTGATGGGACATCGACGCTCGCCTTTTCGGTGTAATCCCTACAGGCTGAATGCCGAACACATTGCGTGTGGCAGAGGACTTAGCGGCTCACCTGCCCGATTCTCCGGAGAGATTCCAGGTAGCTCCGCTCGCTCTGAATGATGGAGCCGAGGATGTGGCGTCTGACGACCTGCGCAGACAACGGAGCGGTCAGGGAATCTGCCGCTGCGAGGACCCGATGTGGAAGAGTTAAGCGCAGCGTGGGCTGACGGACGCCACCAAAATCACATCGCCATCGGGACACAGAGTGATGTTGACGACATAAAAGGCGTAGCAGTTTGCACACATCTCCACACAAAGGATCCTTCTTGGCTTGAAAGACATTTTAAATACTGTTATTCATTGCAGTATGTTATTATAATTGGATTTGTCCCTTTCAGATAAACATAAACACATCTGTGTGTCCTTAACAAACTCATTATTATCATTATTATCATCATAAATCAAAAACTGTGACGTGCACCTGGTGGTTGGTCAGCCCCTCCGGCATGGGGCTCAGCTGGGGAGGAGGATGCTTCATTTCTGACATGGCCACATCCAGGTACCCTGCATCATCCTCCTCCTCTGCACACATTCAGACACAGGATAGAAGAAGAAGGAGAAACACACAGAAGGGTTAAAGAGAGAGAGAGAGAGAGAGGTCTGTGTACCACAGAATAAGATTAAGAAGAAAAACAGAAAGGCAGCTTTCAGATCTCCCGGCAGCTGCAGACACTTCGAGACCCACTAAGTTCATTACCTGGAAAACATGGAGACATTCTAGTCTCCGAACAAGAGATGAGAGTTGTGGAGAAAGGAGTGAAAGAGAGACAAAGAGGGCCGAGAAAAAAAAAAAAAAAAAAAAACACTGTCAAAACAATCCTGCATCTCTGTAGTGTGTCTGCGAACGAACGATCCAACACATTCTCATTCTCTGCATTGGCACAAAGACGTTCGGCAGCCTCTGAAAGAAAAGACGAAATCTCCACCCGTAACCATAAGACACGGAGACCAAAAGCTCCTACCGTTCCAATTAAAGACTTTGGAACGATAACAGAGGGATTGGTGGAAAACGAAATATAATGCCGTGCAGATTCCCCTTCGATCGGCACCTAAAAATAGCAGCAGCGGCCTCCTTACCTCTTTGTGGCGGCTCGCAGGCCTGTTTGAGGCGCGCGTCGGGGTTCTGCGGTTTATGGGGCTGCTCGATACTCCATTAATGGATGGTAATCTCTCTCTATTGTCAGCCGGGGGGCTCCGATGACACAACCTGGAGTGCTTTATCCTTCTCTCACTCACACACCCAAACCGCCACTGGACCACATCGCCTTGAAACCTAGAAGGTCCGTCCGTTTTATGTGTTTGCTGCTGCAATCAGTGAGCTCTCGCCCCGGAGGAATTACTATGAAGAAAAACTACACAATCGGCCTCCAACGCCGCTTTGGCTTTCCTCGCTAGCGCATGCGCGAATAACTGTGAGAAGATAAAACGCGGACTTCATAACCAACTCCCGTTATAAAAAAAAATAGCAGGGAAACATTTTAAAAATTGCAAAGTTTTCACACAAAGTTTTTACCCAATTGATCTTTTCTCTGCAGGAAGGAAACTTTGCGCATGACGGCTATCTTGGTCTTTTCCAGCCCATCCTTCGTCCCGCTCCTCGCCGCCTTCATGAGCTGCTGAACCTGATCGGAATCAGCAGACGGGGGGAAAAAAAGCAACGTTAGAGTACAAGATGGGGCAACCAGCACCCCCCCCCCCCTCCCACCGGACCAATATCACACACCGGGTGGTCGTATTTTCTGTAAATGACGCTACTTCCCAAAAGTAGGTCGTTAATTGGGGGAAAGTTGCACTGCGGTTTATGGAAGTAAATGCGCAGAATATTATTTAATTATTCATGTGTCCCATAAATGCGACTTGATGTTAAAGCCAGGCGGGGGGAGGGAGAGAGAGAGAGGGTGGGGGTGGGGGGGGATGCTCAAAGCAACGGCGCAGTCCAAAGCGGCGGCTCGGAAGGATGCTGCGGGGAGTCAGTTAAGCCTTTGAGTCGTCCGTGCATACAACGCGCCGCGTTTCAGCTCTGGATCGTCATCAATCCTTTTCGAACCGACGTCCAGCCGAGCGACATCGGCGCTCTGAGGAGACGCGGCGCGGCGCCGCTGTTTGTCGCCCTTTGCCGCTGGAGATATACCTTGATGTCATAGTTGTGCTTGCCAGACAGCCTGGTGGCCAGTTCTCGTTTGGTCCTGGCACAGCGTTCCCTCAGGCGACACACGTCGGGCGAGCGCTACGGGTGTTAGGCGGGGGGAGACGGAGCAGCGGCAGGGCGGGTTGCGTTTAACCACAGAGGACAGGAGGAAGAGAGTAGGGGAGAGGAAATAGGGAAAGGAAAAGGAAGCAAAGTGATCAAGGCAAACACAAGCCAGAGAACAGTGGGTATTAATCACCAGCGTAGAGAGTGAGGGCTTTGCTCAAAGGGGGTCTGAGGCTAATGGACACTGATTTATGGAAGGGTGGGACATCCGGGCATTAAAGGTAGTGAGTACTAACCTGCACACCAGAGAACTCCAGGTTCACTCGGCGAAAACTGATCAGGTGATGCTGATTAAAAACATGTTTTATAAGCATGCGGGGATTTTATCATCACACCTCCCTGCCTGTAATTACCTGAGCAGCTCCTGCTCAGCCCCGATACGACAACCTCGCCACATCATCCTCCTCCAGCCTGCCGCCTCTCTCAAAGCGAGGATTTAATTTAGGATTTACTCTGGATCACAATGGAATCAAATCCATACATGGACACCTCCGATGTGTAAAAATATGTAGAGTTAGGCATGAATCTATACAACGGTAATGATTCAACTCAGCAAAATAGTTTTTCCGTCAGCAGGACCGGTGGATGTGCGCACAGTGCCCTCATGTGGAGAGGAGGTGTGCGGCTTTCTCCTGCTGCCTTTCATCCCATAACGAAAGTTTAAGGCCCAGACGGTTTGTTGTACATGTTTCATGGTCTTCGTAGCTTCCTCCCGCTTCTTTACGTTAGTGGAGAGCGGTGCCAGAGGAGCAGGAGGTGAAATATTCCCTTTGATGACTGCCTAAGCGCGGGAAACGACCCGGCCGCTGGTGCGGATTAGAGGCGCGCGGTGACGCGTGCGCGAGATGGAGACGCCCCACCCCCCCCCCCCCGCGCCCGCGCACGCTACCTTGGTGCGCGCCGGGCGTTTGGGCTCCTTATCGGAATGGTCCTCCTAACTCTCGAACTCGCTAGAGCTCCATCCGTTGTCGGCGTCCAGCGGCCGCCGTCTCTCTGGACGTCCTCGTAGATCGTATCTGCTGAACACACCGGACGCAGCAGAACATCAGAACGTCCGGGACGAACAAACACACACACACACTCACAAACACGGGCGCTCACCTTCGTCGGGAGAGAGCGGCCCTTCGCACGGGACGTCGTCGTAGATCACCTCCGGAGGCCCCGGCGCCGGCGGGAGACGAGCGGCGGCGTCGAAGTCAGCAAACACTGTTTTAAATAGAAAGAGACTTCTGCCTTTTTTTTTTTATCTCTCGTCTTCCTCTTTCTCTCTGACAGTCCCCCCCCCCCCCCAAATCAACACACAGAAAGACGTGAGACGCTCCGAAACCGCCAACCCGGAGCCCTCAGCGTCGCATCGTTCGCCCTCAGAAAGGCGCGGGATCGCAGCCATTGACCCAGTCGTCATTAACTGCTTCCGCAGTGTTTCAGCCTTATTTAGCTCGGTGAGCTGTATTGATTTGGTTTTAAACTGCGATTCGTCTTTAACGTTCACTCCTGAGCCCCGAGCAGCAACAATCTGAGCCGCTCTCAATCACTCTGATTGGAGAGGTTCATTCTGTCGTGGGGTCTGTGATTCAGAATGACTTTGGGTACAATCAAGGAGGATTAGCCACACGGATCTTTGTGCAGCGCTCACTTGCCTGCACTTTCAGACTGGATTTAAAACAGGGAAGAAAACCACTGGATTTGGGCTCCCGGCCCCTCGGCTCCTGGGACACGTGGTTTCCCCAGCGTTCCTCTCGGGGGGGGGTTTCTCACTTAATTTGACTTTTCACTGCAGCGGCACAGTGACAATAAACTCATCTGAGGTTCAAAACGACACTGCGCCCCCCCCCCCACCCGTCCCTCCCACCCCGCCAAAGTCAAAGTGTGCCGCGGCCACGATCGAGGAGTGTGAAGGGACAGGAAATACCTCGTGAACTGGTCAGACTGAAACGCCGTCTTTCTACACAGCAGACACCCTTCACCCCCCCACAGCGGGTTAAAAATAGGACCAAAACAGAGCATCGACGTCGATTTCTCATTGAGATCAACACAAATGGATGTCGCTGCTTTATTTTGACACTTTCTGTATTATAATAGAGAGCTAAGGGGAGCGGTGGCACTATAACGGCGCCATGCCGCGAGTAAACACGTACTGTAGCTACACGTTCCAAATAAGAGTGGGACGTGACAAAGAAGTGGTGCGGCATTGCGGAGCTCCTTTGCATCTCTCGTTTCTGAGCCGCCTTCAGACAACAGCTGCACTGCTGACGGAGTCCAAATCCAAAAGCATGGAAATGGATTTCTATTGATCCTCATCCTGAGTTAGTTGGATTCATGCCATGTTCTGTGTATCCGCGCACGCGTGACCTCCTTCACCTTACGGTCGATGAACCGTAGGATGACCTCGGCCCGGGAGTACGGCCTTCTTGCCACTTTTGATCAACGCGCAGTGCTAATAAAACAACGTTATTGCGCCGCAGGGTTTCTACGAGAAGACTGTAACACAAAAGGGGAAATAAGCCTGAATCCCAACGCAAGTTTGATCCCTGTGGTCTTAAGTTGAACCCTCGACCGACAATATACCGTGCATTTCCCCCAGCTGTGTACCTTCAGAGGGGTCCCCGGCGTCCGAGCTTTCCAGGCCTCGGTCTCCCGATCCCTTCGGCGTCTCCACCGCTGGCGTCTCCGCGGATGGCGTCTCCACCGCTGGCGTCTCCGCGGATGGCGTCTCCGCGGGAAGCTCGTGGAGCTCCTCCCCCACACGAGAGAGAGATGAGGTCCCGGGCTCGGCTTCCGAGGTCCTGCGAGGAACCGCAGATGTCCACTTGAGAGCGCGTACAGTAACGCTGAGCGCCGTGTGACTGGTGAGGAGTTCACTTCGGCGAGAGGAAGGGGAGGTGTGTGTGGGAGGGAGGGGGGGGGGGGTTCTTTCTTATCCAAGCATGCGCGTGCACACTCCCTAAAGTCTGACGAGGCCCATCTTGATGATGTCAAATTGTTTTGTGGTACTTTTAGAAGGAACACAGCTGTGGTTTGTTACCTCCAAACAGAAGAGGAAGTGGAAGTGGAGGTCATGGGCCAATGAGCCTAAAACATTCTCACGGAATTTCTCAGTTCTGTAATAAAGGCCTTTTTGCTGTAGTTTTATATATATTTATATGGTGTGCTTTCTTTATTTTTCTATTCCATATTTATATGTTGGGCCTTTGGTCAGGACCTTTGGCCTCTAGTAGAGCTGGAAATGGTCAAATATTCAGAATGAAGTCGTTATTCAAGACGACACTGATGCACTTATTCAGAAGAACTGCGACCCCCCCCCCGCCCCCGACGCCCAGGAGCCCCGTGGGATCATAACCCCATAATCGCCACCGGAAGAGCGACTATTGAAAACAGAGTGTGACATCACAGGGGGAACGCAGCTATCACGTGTGTTGGTGCTTCCAGGGAGGGAGGGGGGTCCACCCCCACACTTGACTGATAACATGACAGGATGCGGCGCGTGGGAGACCCCCCCCCCCCTCCTCCTCCTCTAATTAAATCTGCCCCTCTGCTAAATACCTCAGCGGCGCTGGCAGCCGCTCCTCCAGAGCGATGAGCCGCTCGGAGGTGAATCAGACGTGAGAAATAGGAACCCCCCCCCCCCCCGCCCGTGACAGTTAACCGGACGCGTCATTTGTGAAGCTACCTTCTTAACATCTTCTAGAACAAACAACCACGCACACATCCGTCTCACGGCAGCAGCCATTCGCTTCGGCACAGAGACTGTGAAGCATTGCTTTGCTGCATTCTCCAGGACGCCGGATCGTTCATCTCAATCTCAAACAGCAATGCCCCCCCCCCCGCCCCGCGTGGAAAAGAGAGCACAGCGCTGTACGTCAACACGTTCCTCGCCGTGAACTGATCTCTTGTCGTTAGAAGTGCTTGTGGGGCCCAGAACAATGGCGGTATACAGCTCGCTTCCATTCACGTCGGGCGGGAGTGATTTGAGCGGCGCAGCTATCGATCCAGGCATATCTCTGCTCCCCCCCCGTCTCCCCTCCACCCTCGCAACTTATCCGCGCCTACAAGCCCCAGTGAGTCTTACAGCTCGAGGAGGCGAGCGGGAATCATTTCTCGACGCAAATGACGTCGCCGCGGGCCGAGCGCAGCTTGAGGAAGAAGCCGCCTCAAATGCGAACCTCGCGCTTCCGTCTGTCTGCGTTCCCTTCGGCGGCTGTGCCGGGGCAGCGCTACCTGCAGCAGCTCCACCCGTTATGCACCCCTCCTCCACCCCCCCCCCGCCTCTCTGGAGCATAGCTGTTCATTTCAACGGCACAAGCGGTGTGCGGACCATACTGATGGAGCTCTATTTGAATCTCTCCTCCATAAACAGTGAAGCGTTCCCACAATGCACCCCGTGTTCCCGCCCAAAGTCGCTCTGCACACGGCGGACTCTCAATTAGACAGCTCTCCAAGTCCGTGCTTCATGTCTTCTCATTATATTTGATTTGTTTTTGACGCTTTTACCGCCCTTTTTTTTGGTGCTTTTGCAGCACATCCAGCTGAGGAGAGTAAAGCGCGGTGGGGGGGTGGGGGGGGGCAGCGGGTGTCCTGTGAGATCCTGTGAGGTTCTGCAAGCTTTAGGTTCACAGGGGCAAAAGTCAGTGAAGTTCAGCAAGGCCTGCGGAGGGCAAACAGGTGGCGGGGGGCTTCTGGCTGGCAGTTAAAGTGAAGTTGCATCTCCAGGTCGCCATGGTATCCTTTGTGCTAACCTTTCTCACCGCCGGGGCTCCGTGCAACGCGCCTAATGAAAACCATCCGTTAAAAAAGTCCGGAGTCACCGGTGGCATCAAGCGAGCTCAACGGCCGCAACGGGCTGTTGTGCTGCCGCTGCAGTGTTAACAAAAAAACAATCGCAAAGTAGTTTTGGCGATATTGTTCCAGAACCGCTGACAGGTGTGGAGGCCGTGCTGGCGGTCTGAACACCGTGACGGCGGGGAAGTGGAATTGATAGTTCTTCTTTAAAAAGGCGCAGTAGCCACCAAACCAAAGTGGAAATGTGCACTCAGCAGAAATCTCCCTGTGCGACTGCACATCCCGCACACACACACACACACACACACACACACACACATGCATTCATGTACTGTGTGCACACACACACACACACACCACCCATACCTGTGCACAAATAGAGGCTCCTCTTTTCAGCAGAGGCTTTCTTGAGCAGGACCCCTGCGTGGCTTCATCATGAAGGCCAGAGGGGGATTTCATCTGAACAGAATACATGTTTAATGAAACCTCACGAACAAGCAGCACTGCATAACCTCACTTGTCTCTGAATTACTTTAGTGTGGTGTCCGCTCACTAAGCAGTTACAGTTATTGTTAATGTGCTTCGAGGGTGGTCCAGGCTTTACGGATAATAACTTCATATTGTTGGTTTTATTCTTCTTGTGGCATCAAATGGTTGTCTTTCTAAATCCAGTCTCTTTCAAATGATCACAACTATCACACTATCATTTACTGTGCTCAGGCCCTTTGAGGAAATTAAGAAACAACAGTGTGTTCGAGAGGCCGGTTTGGCCTTTCTTTGATGTCCATTAAAAGGCTCACGCAGCATGTGTGCACACTCCGCTCACGCTGGCAGGTCGGTGCTTTAAACTGGCTCAGCGAAAGGTCAATTTTCGCCTGTTGGGTGTGAGAATTTGGCGCCACGGTCGGTGGGCCCGCCACCGTAAGACGGCCCGTGGTAATCTGAGCAGCTGTCTCCAACAGCTCCACGGCGGCTCCCCGCGTGCCGCTGCCGTGTCCAGATCCGCGTCATCGGGGCGGCCGGCGTTCGCGCTTCCACCGCCAGACTCGGCGCCAATGACACTTTGCACGCGCCAACGAGAAGAACTAATTCATAACGACTACAAGTCAGCTGCTGACTCTGTGACATTTTCATCACTCCAGTTAGAGACTGCTGATGGAGCAGAGACCCGCTTACACCGGACGGCGGTAAAGAGAGACACCATTGCAAAGGCCTTCAGTCCAGTTCTACTGGCATGACAGACGGAGCTTTATTCTGCATCCACAACAACTCTATTGTTTCCTTCTGTAGGAGTCTCATTCCCACAATATTTATTTGAGTTTCATACGAAATGCCCATCTTTCTTACGTGTGGATTCTTTCTACCGGCCGCCGCCGCCGGGCGACTCACAGGTCAGATTGCATGGAGGTTTATGAGAAAGGGGACTTAAGGCGAGGCCTGATCAAAATCCGTTCCCTGGGTGAGGACGGCGCACAACGAAAGATGAATACTACTTCATCTGTGCAACTCAGAGCACATACGAGTGATATTTGAAAGATTGGCCGTGTCTTTACAGGCACACTACACCCCGGCTGATAATCCACTCAGAAGCCGGCTCCCACGGGCCTCTTTAGGAGTAAGTGTCCCGGCCGCTAACGCACAGGTATTTCATTCAGGTGTCCCAGTTGATATTCCCCATTATTATTAACACGAGCTCACTGGAATGGCTTACGGGGAGACTTGATTGAACTCAGCCATCGTTAGTATTACTTACACACGTCTGTCTCTTGCTATTTAATAGTTTATTCTAAACTTTTTGGGGGGAATTGGAGGGATGGCAGAAATAGATGCCTTTTCCATTAGGTGACTTTTTAAATGAGATTAATTGTACGTGTTAACACTCCATGCATCGTCACACATTTTGCAACTGTATCCACAACATCAGTAAACGTGACACTGTGGCCATCTGGCATCTAAATGTTGTGCAAATAGATGCAGCGTAACAGTGTCAGGGTATATCAGGCCCAGCGTGGCGTGTTTGGACGGAGTGTAAGTGCGACGTTATCTCAGACATGACGACACAGCACTCTTGCAATATGTCGAGTTTCTCCAACGCTCTTGGGTCATTCTTCCCGATAGTGTAGTAGGAATCGAAAGCAACTCACCCGCTGGCCGACTCGTTAACCGGAACGCCTGTCAGAATGAAGAAAACGGCGACCATGAGACAAACCGCTCCAAAGCAGAGGAAGCGCAAAGCAGACAAATGCAGGCTTGAAAGAGTGACTTTGTCTTGTAATTACTTCTTCCCGCTCCCTTCTTGCATGCGGTCAAATATCAAATCAAACCTGCTTATACGTAGGACACCGAGTCTGAAATACTTGAGCAGATGGCACTATAAAGTATAAAACTAAATGATTTCATTTGGCGAAGGAGGTATCTGGATCCCTTCATCTGGGGTGTAATTACCGGGGCCCGTTTGGCAGCGATAGCACAGGTAGTATATGCATCATACTTAATTCTACATAACTTCAACCAATTAAGGGGGATGTTAACTCTGCTCATATTAAAGCTACTCATCACCCACACGGCGGGTTGCCATGGGAAACTGAACCTATGCATCATCTGAAGAGGAAAGGTAGAATGTTGGAGGCAAGACGCGTTATTTTGCAGTGAAGGAGGTGGTTCAGGGATCGGACCGCGTTGAGAGGATGGAGCGTGTGGGTATTAGTTACAGTACAGAAACTTCCACCGCTATCCGGTGTCTCTTGTTAAAATAAAGGAAAAGATGGTGTCAAACTGTAAAAGTTCACATCCTTATCTCCCAATGTGCCAGAGAGACCAAAGAAAATGTCCAACGTACGTTAACAATACACATGTTCCTCTACATTTACACTTTTCTTCAATTTTTGTCTTTTTCTGCTACCTTTTACTTCCATTCTCTACATACATATTTATTGTATTGTATTTATTGTCCACATTTCTTCCCACTTCCCACCAGAGCTTAATTGTATCGAAGATATCAAACATTCAGCGGCAGCTTAAATAGAAGCTTATCGCTCTGAGGACGCGTTACCCTCAGCGGGAGCTGGCGCGCCGTCCTCAGTGCAGATGCCCTCCTGTGCAGCAGGAGGCGATGCTCCGACGGGGTCAGAGGTCACCCCTCCACCCTCCTCCGGAAGCTTCTCTTCCTCCACACTGTCCTCAAACGAGAACTCTTCCCCTTGCTCCTCGTCCTCGTCCTCTTCCTCCTCCTTTGGCGGTCGCTGCTGAGACATCTCAGACATAATCCCTGTGAAAGAGACACAAGACGAGGTTCAAGTGTGTGTTCTCAAATGACACTCGCGATGAAGATAATGACTCAACTAATGAGGATTTAAATCCTGAGTGGCATTGCTCTCTTTCCGTTGGTACATCAGCTTCAAGTTTTCATAAATGTGTGTGTGTGTTTGCTTTTTATTATCCATATCCACGGAGGAAAAACTGAAATGCAGCATGCGTCCAGGAATGTCTCCCCCAGACAGTTTGCAAATATTACAATCAGCGGACCATAGGCTCATTCGTCATTGTGTGTAGACATTCACTCAACAAAGGAAGAAAAACACATCATATTGTAACAGGTCTGCACTTAATGTGAACTCAGCACATCAAGGCCTTCATATAATATGAATTATTTGGATAAAGACACAACAAAGATTACGGGTTTAAATGTTCTCTGGTCTTTATGGACATAAGTTACACCAAGACAAAAGCACCAGACCCTGACTTTGGTAAACTTGACTTGGACAAAAGGCACCAAGAGCGTAAAAGCATTTTCTACTCTTTCTACTCTTTGCTTGCGATTTCAGCAAATCCCTTCTTGTTAAACACTACGAGCCGTTTCTCACATTCAACACAGACAATCAGAAGGAGAAAAGAAGAAGGATGAGGAGAACCGACCCGGTTCCATTCAATTATTTGTTCACCACTGCACAGTTATTTTACGGTAATTATTTTTGTTGAAGTGATTTTATAATGTTACGGTACAGTAATTCTGCCTTTGTTTTGTGAGGCTGTAAACACTTAAGCTATGAATACATTGCGTAACGCCTTTCTTTGTTGTATTTTCTTATATGTGAGTACATTTGCTGTGCTGGAATAACCTTTCAGAAAATCCTTTATGAGAAAATGAAAAAGGAATACCGCAGCGTGCCGCTTTGAAGGAGCATTTCAGATTATGCATCATTTTCCTGTGTTGAAAAAGGATTTGACTGCAGAGTTACACTTTGAATTATAGACACCCCCCCCCCCCTCCGAAAACATGTGCCTGAACATTACAAACATCAATTATGCAGGAGGCTAATTTCATCTGGCCCTATCAAAAAACACCAGAATGACAGCAGACAAGAGGAGTTGATGAAAAATTAATGGGAAAACAACACAGGCAAGTATTTGCAAACACGTAACATGCTCTGCAGGGATTTTGACCCCACGATACTCGCTTGACAAATAGCTGTGTGTGTGTTAATTGGCAGCTGTAATCATGGAAATGTACTTTGTTGTTTGTTGCATATTATCAAACTAAAACGGACATTTCCAAAGACACGCATGCCTTCAAGGCATCGAATTGCTGCATGCAGTAATCGTTTCATTACTACACAGAGTGGGGATTTTCGGTGACGTTTGGACCGTTTGTTCCCGATCAAAATGCAAAGCAGATGCCAGGTTCGTTGAGCGGTACTCAAACGGCTGCCAACGCTGGAACATTCTCGGGCCCGGTGGGGTGGTTTGTTGGGCTCCTTTGGGGAAATGACAGCGAGGAGCGGAGGCGGCTTGTAAATTCGTTGTGGGCGTTTGCCTGGATACAAAGGCTGTTGTGATGTCATTCAAAGCGCTCAAGACATCGCACACTGCTCACTGAGGGCTGAATTTCGGGCATGTTTGTTTGCTCTGTTCAGGAATTGCAGTGACTTTGAATTTCATTTCAGTCCCCTAAACCTCGAGTTATTTTCGATTGCCTCTCAACGGCCCTCAACATGGCGACTGCAAGCCTGAGGCTCACATCTTACGGCGCTAACAGCTAACCGGTTAAAGTGCTCACAGAGCTAACAGGGTTTACATTAAGAGGTAGCATGAGAGTAGTTTCATTGCTCACACAGAATTAACGTTAGCTCACATCTTACGGCGCTAACAGGTCAAATGTCAATGGTGAAAGTGCTAACAGGGTTTACATTAAGGGGTAACGCGAGAGTAGTTTCATTGCTCACACAGAATTAATGTTAGCTCACAGCGCTAACAGGTCAAACAATGGTGAAAGTGCTAACAGAGCTAACAGGGTTTACATTAAGGGGTAGCGTGAGAGTAGTTTCATTGCTCACACAGAATTAACGTTAGCTAACATCTTACGACGCTAACAGGTCAAATGTCAATGGTGAAAGTGCTAACAGGGTTTACATTAAGGGGTAACGCGAGAGTAGTTTCATTGCTCACACAGAATTAATGTTAGCTCACAGCGCTAACAGGTCAAACAATGGTGAAAGTGCTAACAGAGCTAACAGGGTTTACATTAAGGGGTAGCGTGAGAGTAGTTTCATTGCTCACACAGAATTAACGTTAGCTAACATCTTACGACGCTAAGAGGTCAAATGTCAATGGTGAAAGTGCTAACAGGGTTTACATTAAGGGGTAACGCGAGAGTAGTTTCATTGCTCACACAGAATTAATGTTAGCTCACAGCGCTAACAGGTCAAACAATGGCGAAAGTGCTAACAGAGCTAACAGGGTTTACATTAAGGAGTAACGTGAGAGTAGTGTCATTGCTCACACAGAATTAACGTTAGCTCACATCTTACGGCGCTAACATGTCAAACAATGGCGAAAGTGCTAACCGAGCTAACAGAGTTTACATCAAGGGGTAACGTGAGAGTAGTTTCATTGCTCACACAGAACTAGAACAACTTATCTCCGGAGGAAGACTTTATTCCACTATGACTTAACAAAGCAAATACTTCTTTACTGCTTTATTGATGTTCCGAATCCTCAGCTCTTTTTAAACTACCGGAACGATGGCAGTTCTTCAGAAGTCCTCTCTGATGATATGCCATCTCCTCTGCACCACAAACACAGTTCTTTTCAGTCGGCCCACACGTCAGTCAGATCAACAATGACTCTTTTGTGGGGGGTGAAAAGTTCTGCTCGGCCTTTAGAAAAGCTCTGTTTCACAGCGGAGCTGATTAGCTCACAGGTTGTTTGGGTCATGGCTGTGCCATGTATGGTGTGGCTCATGGGGCTGTGGTGGAAAATAGAGGACTTTCGTCACAAGAAAGCAGCATCTTCTTTAAATAAACATTATAGGAGCCATTAGTGTGAGATTTCACACATTGGCACTCCCCTTCCACACAGATAAAAGTCATTCTTCATACGAGTAATTTCCCAAACAGTGAGTTGCCAAATATCTTATTGTGGGTCGCCAAATAAATTTTGAAATTGTTCCATATATTTGTTTCCAGGCACATGAGTCCAGTCTCATATTCAAGATTCACATCCGCGGTAAAGCTTGGGTCCACATGAGGGAGCATCAATGTTCGAGTTATTGTCGCCTACGTGAATCAAATGTGAAAGAGTAGATTGCATTAATGTTGTTCTACTGATGAGAGGAAATGAAAAGTATGTAGGCGTGTTGCATCTATTTGGTCTTCTTTTTTTTTTAAATAGGGTTTGTTTCTTTGAAACGGCCGGTTTATCTATTCAAGAGACAACGCTGTGAATTGACTGTCAATTTTACAAGAGGCTCCCCAAAAAATATTTAGTAAAACGTAACACAATAGATGTTTTCACATAATTAGAATCAGAAAGAAAGCTTGTGCCTTGAATGTAAGTAAAGCTTGTTTGCATTATTACAAAACTAAAACCCACAGGTTTGACAGGTACTCTGAGCTACTTTCTTTGAGATGAGGGGGATGGACAAGCCATCAAAAACTCTCCAGCTGAGGGAAATAAAAAGCCCTGAGGGGTAGAGCTTTGTGAGAGCGATTTTCGAGGGAAAAGTAAGATGCATCAAAGAAAAGAGATGAAACCAACCCCTATACACCCCGTTTCTGACCTACATAGAGAGCTCTGAAAACTTGTGTACCAAACGCGCCAATGAGTGAAGGGTTGTTTCACAGCTCCTCACATCCAGTCCTGGCCAATCATTCACAGAGTTCCATGTTTGACCGACCGGGGTCGCCTATATCAACAGACAATGGCAGAGAGCAGCAGCTGGTGGCCACTGAATAGACAGCGTTGGAAAATCCAACAGAAAGTCAGAAGAGCTCCGCTACTTAAGGCCCCTTTTTTTTTCCTTAGCGCGGAACCAGCCGACCGCTGACAACAACAGCCCGTGGCAGGCGGGGACGCCGCCTGCCACGGGCGCCGCATCGTTCTGCAGCTTCCCCCCCCAAGGACGTCCTATCAAGGGATATGTACCAATGTGTGACTCGGCCACGTAAGGAACCCTTGCAGGCGGAATATATCTTTCTTTGGCTGTCAGCGTGCGACCTGAGCGGGAGGCCGGTTGCTGATATTTGTGGACTTCAGGGCTCCGCTTAAACGTAGCGTCACACAGCGCCTTTTGCATTGTATACCACAAACGTTATGGATATGTAAAATGTCACTTGAAATGAATTTCGGCCATTGATCTCTGTCATGTCACAGTCGACCAGAGATCTGCCCTTCATGTGCCCTCTGCTGTGGAAGGCAGATCCAGTGGTGCCCGTCCACAGCAGTCCGCAGTGACCTCCACGTGCTCACAGATGACAAAAGAAAAAAATGCTTCCAGGGTCATTCCAACACGACTTTATAAATTCATAATGTGATCACCTGGTGTTCATACTGACATTTCTCTCCATAATTACAAAAACAATTCGTATTTAATGTTTGAAAATGGCTCAAAGCACAATCTACTGTTCTGAATCAGCTCTAATCTTGCAAGGCCAATTCTGAAATGAAGTTAACCGTTTGTGACTAATCTACATCGTGAAATAAATGATTGTTAACGGCCTGTAATCAGGCCACGCATCCGTATCCTCCACAGCACAGACCTGTTCTCTCCCGTCCATGGACTTGAAGATGAGCTCATCAGTACATGGCAACATCTGGTGAAACCGTGTAAAGGACTGATTATCTGGCGATGGCACTGCTCCTTCCCACGACGTGACAAGAGTGGTTTCGATTTGGATTCATTTTATGTGTCATTTAGCAGCTGATTTAGCCAGCGCGCTAACATTACCTTGCAAAAACTAACCAGGATTTCACACGGGCGTACAGTAGTGGGTATGCGGATGTGATTGTTGTCTGGATAACAGTAAAGCAATCAAATGCATGCCATATGGCTATATTTAAAGATATTATAGCCATCATACATCTGTGGAGCTTTCGTCACCTGTATCGCCCACTTCACTCTTTGAAGAGAAAGAGTAAATCCCGGGACACAAAGTGAACGCTGAATCGGAGTCCTATGTGCAGTGTCCACCAACCATTGTTGCAAAATGCGTTGTATACAGTCGTTTGGTTGTCATTAAGGTACCTCGTGTTGTTGCATTACTGCTATGATTGGCTAATCCATCACGGGTTGAAGGCTGGGACACAAACTTATGTAGGGGGGGGGGGTATGTTTGATTGCTGCTGCCGTATTTCTGGACAGCCCGTAGAAATGAATAAAAAGTTACTCAAATGCCTTCAGGGGTTTCTTGATTAGGTCCTCGTTGGTCACCTCACATTTCCACTGCAACCACCAACGATAGATATCTACAGTGTATGCACATTCTGCGCTGTGTACTCTTTGGAATGGTCCAGATTAAACTAACAGAAGGAGACGTAGTCTGGTCTGTTCAGTGTCAAGGTAATCCATTAATAGCTGTAGATGTTTATTCAAGGATAGCTAACGGGAAAGGCTAAATGCTAACGGGGCTTACTTTTAACGAAACCAGTTTGCATGCTGTGAACCAGCTCATGCTGTAAAAAATTGTGTTTGTTGCCCAAGAATATGGAGTGGATGATGACTAAGTTTAAAAGCCGCAACAGATAGTTAGACAGGCCCGGGCCGGTACACGCCGGGGGCCTCTCTGACTCACAGTTATTCCTGGAGAATCTCTCACTTGATTCAGCTTCTCCCGAAACTGAAGAACTGCTTGGTTGTCCCCATGACAACCGTAGTCACTTTTACGTGTGTCTGTGGAATTCTCCTTTTGTGTATTTGAGTGGAGGAAATGATGCTTTTGGTTCCTGCTGCGTCTGTCCGTGTTGCATGTCTGGCAGATGTTCTGCTTGTGCACACTATAAATAGTTAACGACCAAACTGTAAGCATATAAATCATTTTAACACTTATATTTCCCACTCAAAAACCAAACATTCCAGGATGGGGTTTCTTTTGACTGCTGAGGAGACATGTGCACCCAGATGTGGCTACACCCGTATCACCACGAGAACAACAATCCGGGTGTGATCTTCACTCGCCCAGACCTGAAATGTCTGACGAAAAACAGCCTCCTTGTAGTCAGCGTTTTGCGGGCGTGCGACTATTGTGTTCCCACAGCCGGTTGTTGTCTTGGCATCGGTGGTTGTGTTTGTCTGATGTACAGCGTCAGGAAGCGAGACCTCCTGTTGCTCTTCTGTTCTGACGAAAGTCACTGCTGCTGCTTTCATTATGGAGGTAAACTCTCAAATGACGTTATTCAAGAACTGTTTCGGTTTTGATTATTCATCATCAAACCAGTTGAGTTGAGTTGCTTTGGTCTTGAAATGAAAGTTTGATTGACAGAAGCTGTCACAGGTTGGTGGGAAACAATAACTCTCACAGGTTGGTGAGGAGTTGGTGGTTGTTGGGTTTACTAAGTGTGACGCAGTTTGGGCCCAATGGGAAAACGAGTACCCCCAAACCCAAAGCAGGTTGTACCCGCAGCCAAATCAACCACTTTTAGGATCGACGTTGGCCGTCCAAATACTGAGGGTCGTCCTCCTCCAGCTAGTTAATTATTAAACAATCCCAAAGGGACGTACTCAGTGTGTAATGCAATACACCTTCTGAACATTTGGCGGGCGTGTCACCACTATCAAGTGACTGATTGTGCATTCACAGAACCGCGACCTTGTATGTGTTTATTTGACTCGGTTAGTGCGGGTTTTTCATGGGTGAATGTGTGGCGAAAGGGAAAGGGTTCCCATTGAAAGGGAAGCCTTTGTGGGAAGGCCATGCATGCACGGATTGTTAATGTCGGTTCCGAGTGCTAGACTGTGAGTAAGGAGACAATCTGGTACAGTGAGGAGAAGGAGTTCCTTCATAATAAAGGGGCGGTGGGGGGTAGGGGAGGGGGGCACATCCGGCAAGTGAGGCAGAAACAGCGCCCCAGCTTAAAATGCAAATGACTCGGTCAGAGGTCGCGCAGCTTCCCCCTCACCCCTCTCCTCCCCGCCGCCCCTCTCCATTCTGCTCAGGGTACAAGGCAGCGTGAAATCCATCCTGGGAGGGGCTATTGCACTCCGGGGTAAAAGCAACCGTCAAACTGGAGCGGGGCGTGGGCCGGGGAATCCCTTTCATTAGCCCCCAGGCCGTGGGAGCGCTGTGCCGAAAGGAACGGCCGGGTCGCCCGACCGCCGGCTCATCCTTTGCTGGTGTCAGTCTCCTCCCCGGCAATGATGCTATCATAACAAGGCCTCTCTCTCCGAGGCCGGCTCGGGTTTAATCGTCCGTGGTGGCGCGTGCTCTGCCAAAGAAAGAAGGGCCAAAAGGGGGTATCAGCCGGTCCCGTCCTCACCTCCTCCACCACCTCCATCTCCTCCACCACGTGCCCTTGTCCTCCCTGCTGCTCCCTAGAGCTATCGGACTGAGACGGCGAGGCACGGACCAGCACCCCCCACCCCCCCCCGCCGAACGCCCTCCATCAGTGGACAAAGCTGCTGCCTTTGCAACACGCAAGCCCAGCTGAGAGTGAGAGGAGAGGAGGGAGAGAGAGGAGGGACAGAAGGAAGCGAGGAAAGCGGGAAAGTGTTTAGAGAGACAACAAATATTCACGCCTCTCACCTCCTCGTCTTCAGCGGCGGGTCCCTCCTGGAAGCTTCAGGCGCCTCTCTGGTGACCCTTTAATCCTGTCCAGTCATGTTTGCAGGTTCCTTCGAGGGCTGCAAGTGGTTGGAATCAGATTGGAATTTCTCCTCTGCTATTTACTTTCCCACAACTTCTTCCCTGCGCCGCTCTGGATGAGGCAACTCCCTCAGCTCCCTCCCCTTTCTCTCGCTCTCCTTCTGCTTTTGTGTCCCTCCCTCTGTCTCCCCTTTCTTTTTAGATGGGTCCTTTGGCCCCATTCAGCCCCTCCGGTCTCATTCTGTCCTTTCTTTGGTTGTTCTCCCTCCTCCCACTCTCCAGACCCCCGCTGCTGCTCACACAGCAGCACGAAGCAGGGGGAGGGCGGAGCGCACGCAGCTGGCCAATGGCAGCGGGAGGAAGTCGAGCACGCGGCCAATAGAAAACCTCAGGGGGCGTGTTTGAACCAATCAGGGGAGTGAGTCAGAACAAGGGGGCTGGACCAAAGGAATTAGGGGCGGTGGTGTCTCGGAGCACTTCCGTGTGGGATTGAGGTTGGATGTCTTGCTGTTGTGTTTTCTCATTCTTCACAGATCTTTTGACAAGATAAGTCGATAAACCAAATAATTTGGAGCAGTACATGCAACACATTTGATTAAACCTATTAAAAAAAAATACTTACTATGCCAGCTTACATTAATGTACATTAATGTACTTTACCTGAACCATAACCACTACCATCCTAACCCAAGTCTGCATGGTAATGATTGTATTGTGGGAACATAAACATTTTCCCCCTTTGGAATGACCTGAAAAAACAAAAATGTATCACATGCCACAATATTATAAGATGAAAAGGAAGTGTTTTCATTTGTTTCATTCATTTTACAAATATTATTTTACATAAAATTATAATATAATATTGAAGTAATGTTTTTTTTAATGTATTTGAAAAACCACTAATGTCAACTCTTAAATGGAATCTCAGCTTCAGTAAAATAAATGAAATTAATAAATGTAGAAGTAGCAGACATCAGTTTAACTTATTGTGTAGCTTTATTAACCTTTAAACAAACCCTCTTGTATCAAACTTTTTTTTTTGTTGAAGGTTAATTTCTTCGTGAATTATTTAGTTACACAGCAGCTTCCTCAGACCTTCTGTTTATTTTTAATGTACTTTGATGTACAATGTATGTCGGAGAGAGCAGGCTAACGTTACCTGGAACAAAGGGGAGGTCCTGTGTTGTGGTGGGAGAAACTGTATTTTTTTCAGTCTTCATAGTTTCTGGATGCTCTGTGAATGGCCCCTGTTTGCTATTTCTGTCCCTCATTACATCGGGGATTCTATTTCGGCCTCTTAATCACATTTACAACCCTGCCGGCGTGTGCAGTTTGTGACAAGGTCACGCGGTACCGAGCCTCTTCGTCGGTGTGCGGAGACGACCACACGTCGTTACTGTTGTCCAGAAGATTTATTAAAACACATTGAACAAATACACAGAATACAAATAAAAAGATGACAATTCACTTTTGTTTTTTCATTCAAATGCTATACAGCACAAATATGGGAACCATGAACACTGCTTGGAGCTGGTTGTCTGTAAATGCTAGTTCCACTACCGCCCCCCCTCCCCCCCCCCAAAGTGAACCGTCAAACGCTTCACATGCTTCGCATTCGCTGCAGCAAAGGTGCCTTTTCTCAGGGTCTTTTGTAGCTTTTGAAGCCATGTTAATAAGCATGTACATACATTGTTAACATATTTATAATATTAGACTGAAGCCTTTTTTTTCTAACAGACATTACATTCATACTGACTTCAGTTTGATTGCATTTCATTGGAGTTTTGTGTTTTCAACGTCGTCATTCATCTTTTTTCCCCCCCAGTTGGATACGTAAATCTCTATGAGACGTATCTCTGGGGAAAAAAAAAAAAAAATCTTTCAAGTATTTACATGTTTCTGAGGTTCTATCTGTCGAGCCACCACGTGGCGGTCAATCGATGGCGTGAACGTTGACGCGATGGACGAAGCAGCACTGATAAACACTAACAGAAGAGCGCAAAAAAAGCTCATGGGATGCACTTCACGGTCGGTTTGATGGCTGCTCTTAAAAACTTGTCCCATAAAGTTAAAGCGCGTCGTCGGAGCAGGAGAGGGCACCTCGGAACAACCGTTTGAAGTTTGCAAAAGGAGAGTAAGAAAATACGCTCGCCAACTCTGTACATCACTGCCTCTTCGGCTTTACATTATCGTCACCCCGACAAATAAGTGCTGGAGCGACACAAACAGGTAATGCCCCTCGTCTTTGGAGAAAACAAAAAGATAATCATGGGCACTTTTAGTCCAAACATTCGATCAATGCCTTCATATAAAAGGAAATACAGTAAGCTTCAATTTATAAAAGACCGTTTCACGTGGTGCACTGCCACTTTAGCACAAAGTAGTGGTGGAATGGACAAGATGTGCGGCTCTACTATGCGTAAAGTGTCTCCACCCCATTAAAGCGTACGCTCTCAGCGCTCGTCCTCTGGAGCGGAGATGCAGAGAACATTCCCACAGCTGTGGAGTCAAATATTCCTACTGAATCGTCCCCTTAAATCCTCACCGAGGGACCGAATACGTGACAGTTTTACTTCAACGCAAAGAGAAGCGAACAAAAAGCTCATTTCGCGACAACAACTAGAATTAAAGTGACCCGTGTTCAGCAATGTTCCTATTCAGTTCCAACGTCCCTGGGACGTAAGAGTAGGAAAAGAGCCCCCCCCCCCACTGAGAACATCAGAGCCCTGTTCTTAGCGCAGTCACTACGAACATTCAAATATAATAACAATCACAGATATTCTACCGTACACAGAAATACTCCTCGGAAATGCATTTAATAATGGAGGGGGGGGGGCGGGGTCTCTGCAAGCCGGGCCTCTGATTCCCTCCCTCCCAGTTATTTCAATATTAGCAGCAGTCTCTGAGTATATACAGCACAAGAAGCCGGCCGCTCACAGGTCGCTGCAGCTGCAGGTTATTTTCTCAAACTGGCGAGTGGGCGGCGGCCTTCAGAGGATTCACGCCGTGTACAGCTACTGCATACAGGAGACTAGATTTCAATGCTTTCAAATCAATATTTTATCCACTGGTTACTACATGAATGACGAAAACAAATACTCAGTTAAAGTAGCAATATTGGCCCTCAGGAAAAATAAAAACAATCTCCCATCCAACCATGAGTGCGGGCGCCCTCGGCTCCAGCGGGTTACAGTGCACAGCGTCCGGGCACGATGGAAAGAGTCAGAGCACAAGACACCTTCCCGAGATCGGAATGAGGCCCGATCAAGGGCACCCGGAGCTCATCGTCGTGCCAACCAGCTGGAGTTTCGCCTCGAAGCGCGAGGCCGAGAACGAGAGTCCCCTTCGCTCTTGCCCGTCCAGCAGCGAAAAGCAAACACCTACTGAGAGACTCCGATTGGACCCTCGAGAGAGATAAAAGTGCAATCGTTAAGATGGACACATCTGCATTAATCAAAAAGTCAGGGGGGAGGGGGGGAGGGTGCAGGAGAAAGCCCCCTCCCTATTGGGGACTTTGTGACCTCGGGTCAGTTTTACAGAGCTGGCCTAGTCCTCAATGCAGATGACATCACTAGGTTTGCCCGACTTGAGGTCAGGCGTGCTCACGTCTCTCAAGCAGTCCAGTGACTTCTTGTCCAGATGGCTTGAAGGGGGCGAGGGGCCGTTAGAGGACACTGAAGAGGGGACATATTGATGTGAGAATTATGGAACATAAAATGTTTTGATTCAGTGGTTTTTCAGGCAGAACAAGCACATTAACTTCAGAATCTTATTGGAAAACAAAACTGAAAGTGAGCATACCCAAAACGTCTGCAAACCCTCATTGTGTATGCAACTAAGGTAAGTAAGATAGGTCAAAGTCGAATAAGGACGTCGGTCTGTTAGCTGTGATAGATAGGACAGTTTGGAAGAGAAAACAAAGGAAGTGGAGTTATTACTCAAATAAGTTTGGCTCACCAGGGGGGGTCGTTCAAAACATGTCTGAATGCTGGTGTTTCACCACCTATCTGGCTTCTGCGTGGGCCGATGAGATAAATAACTGTGTTTGAGGTGGTTCCAGATTCATTGCAAATAGAAACGATCAAAACATGGCGACAAGTTGTAACAAACCAGAATGATGCTTTAATCTCATCGCGCCTCACATTTATGCAATTTATCTCAGTTGTGTGCAACTCACGAAAGGTCCTCAATTCAGTTAAATCACCTGACAGCTTCATTTCAACTAGCAAATCGTATCATTTAACAGCAGCTCTGACTACGTCCTGGTGTGAAGGGTGGTGCTTACCGCTGACGTAGGGTCCCAGAGGCATCTGGCTGTAGTTGACCATGGGCTGACCGCCCGGTCCTCTGAATCCTCCAGCAAAGCTGCTGCTGTACATCTGGGAGCAGCCAAACCCCCCCTGGCTAAAAGGCTGAGAATCAAACACAATAATAATGAGGATAATAAATAGTAGGAAGATCTTTGCTTCTTCTATCAAACATTTAGTGTTCATCCTACGGCAGTAAAGTAAGCACACCCCTTCCCCCCCCTCCCAAAAAAGAGAAAATCAGACTGTTTCCGTGGTAACAAGAACGGTTGGCACAGCAACAGGGGGGGGAGGAGGATAAAAAAACGACCAAAACGCGCTGCAGCGCTGAAAACATCTCCTGCATAACGGAGAATAAAAGAGCCGGGGTGAAGTCAGGAGAACAGGTGCAGGGACGATGGAAGTAATGAGACAATCCAAACCCCCCCCCCCCCTCATCTCTCCCTCCCCCCTCATCTCTCCCTCCCCCGGGGCCGACGCACGGCGCGAGTAAACAACTTAGGGGAGACTCTCATCATTCCACCAGGGGAAACTCTTCCGTGGGAGATACGGAGTCGGAGTCTCTGCAGGTTTTCTTTTGGGTTTTTTTGAAGGAATAATGCGGCTGCCGGCTCGTAACCACAGAGCGCTTCGAAAGTCTTTGTGCCGTGGAGCCTTTCATTTTCCAGCACTCACTCGGCCTTCAGCCGGGCTTCCTCGCCAGCTCCCAGCGCACAGCGGTGCCCAGCCAAGTCCAAACCACCAGGGAGAGAGAGAGCCCTGTGATTCTGAGCCGGACCAGCAAACCCGCTTCGCAAACTAAAGAGCGGCTCGCGTTTTGATGAGATCTGGTCGGACTCGGCCTCTGACGCCACGTCGACCTCGCCGACCTCACCTGCTGCGGCGGGGGCTCGCTCCCTCGGCTGGTGAGGCGGCTCAGGATGCTCCTCTCGGACATCTGCAGGCGGGCCGACACCGGCGGGATCCTGGACAGCATGTTGGGCAGTCGGGTCACGTCAGCTTTCATGTCGCTCAGAAGTTCCTCCAGCTGGTTCAGCACTGCAAGAGGACAGAAATAAGGAAAACGTGTACTCTCATGTGATCCAAGTGTAAATATCCTCAAATCAATACCAAAAACGGAAGTTAATGGTGTGATCCAGAGCCTGAAATGAACAACTGCCATAAAATGTTTCACTAACAGATGATCAATAATCCTACTGGTCGTGTGAACATGTTTTGCGGCTGAATCAAAGGAACACAAAGTGAAGCCACTGCGTCAGAGACATTGTGCGATGACTCCTTTCGCCCTCCGCTTACCGTCGGGATCCATAGAACTGTTTTCAATGGATCTCGCGTTTTAATTTCACTTTTGAAACATCCGGAAAAGCCTTTTCATTACATATTCACGTTCTGTGTGAGAGTGCGTGACAGAAATAACGGTTTGAAATAACTAAATTGCACACAAAAGTGCCCCCGGCGGGTAAAGACCTTGAGGATGAAAATAAATGATGAGTTAAAAGATAAATAAATTCCCTTCTCTCATTAGAAAATGATTCAAATGGTCTCTGTGCACCAGGAGTTGTTTTACTTGTTTAATTTAATGATTTAGCTACAACGTGGAAACTTGATCATTAACATTCATAAATTGTTTTACAGTTATTCTTTTTACTGTATTGATATTTTTCCAAATGAAGCATCATATGAGTGGAACCAATGGAAATGCATGTTTTTTAACCAAGGATCCCTTTTCTCCCCCAGTGCACCGGCCTTTGCCAGGCGACATTGTGACGATGACAGACCTTTGTGCAGCACGGCGTTGGCGGGTTTGTTCCCGGCCAGCGACTCCTTGGACAGGTGCTGGTGGGACTCTGCCAGACATTCCACCTCGGCGAAGCGAGTGTTGAGGGCCATGGCCGGGTGGCCGGGGTCCTGCGTCATATTCAAGTACGCCGCCCGCCTCAACTGCTCCTCGATCACCAGCGCCTGCTCCAACAGCTACAGACACGGGGGGGGCGGGGGGGGGGTGATGCAATTTCAGAGACGGTGTTTCAATTTGCATTTAGATAAAAACAAATCCTTTAATCCGTGAATTATTTCAGCCTTCAGTGGTTATTTTTAATTATGAAGACGTGGGATTGCCTTGAAGCGCCGGGCCAGGAACTTGTTCTTCATCTCCAGGTAGTTGCCCTTGTGGATCTCCGTCTTGAAGGGCTCATTCAGGATGGCGTAGCGCGGGTCGTTCTGGATGTCTTGCCAGCGAGCGTAGCCGTGTCTGAGGTGGATTCAAGGTCAACGGAAAGCAACGGGATTTTTGCATTTCCGCTCCCAGTTTATAAATATCTTGTCTTTTGCCCGCGTCCCCGTCCCCCCCTCCCTCCCCGGCTTAAGTCACTACATTACTGTGCCAGATGCTTATGTTCTCGTACACTGTTGAAGGATACGTTACGATACCCGCTAAAAGCCAGTAGTCGTGGCGTCGGTGCCAGATGTCGTGCATCTTTCCAGAAGACAGCGCCGCTCGCTCCTCCGTTTGCCAGAGGGTGTGCAGCTCTGTGGGCGAAAAGACTCGGTTACAACAAATGCCAGAAGACGAAAAAACAAAAAGCAGAAGAAGAGAAGAAAGGATCAGATTCACAACACAAACAAGGTTCATGACGCGACACAGCTGTTTCACTGTGGCACCGGAGATAAAGGACCTTTGACACTTGGCTCCGTCTATTATTCATTTTTAAAATGGGGAGTGGATTCATTTGTCTCTCTGCATTACATCACATCTTTTTTTTTTTTTTGGTCGATGATCAAAGTCAGTCTCATTCTTACCTGTAAAACCTCCGTCAGCGATATTAAACATGAACTTGGCTTTGTATCCATTTTTGTCCTCCTTCCTGCTCTCGTCCGTCTCGTCCAAAGGGTCCTTGTCTCCATTCAAACGACCCTCTAATGCGTCGTCACTCTTCAGATCGTCTGCAACAGCGCAGTGAATGACCTCAGACCACCGCGTGGAAGTAGAGTCGACGAAATGGACCACGACTCTTTGCTTAGTAAAATAAAGTTTACCTGGCTTATTTTCCTTGTCTTCAGTCTTTGCCAGAGACGATTCGGTCTCTCCCTTCTCCGAGGGCCTCTCCGTGTCTTTGACGGACTCCGCTGCGGACAGAAAAAGACTCCATTAAAGAAAGTACGACCTGGTGTAGCGTTGAGCAGAAGACACGCGGCGGCGCCCCACTGACGTCTAGGCGAGGCGCGACCGGGCGTCGGCTCTTTGGAGGCGGCAGGCGGCTCCGTCTTCGCGGCGGGCGACTCGCCTCCGTCCCTCTCGTCCGCGGCCTTCTCCTCCGAGCCGGCTTTGCTCTCCTCGCTGTCGGGTGCTTTCTCAGGGACGGACGGCGGCTCCGCGCTGGACGACTTTCCGGAGGCAGAAACAGACAAGACAACGGGAGAAGAGACGGGGACGTTAAAAGGTGTTTGTCAGATGCGTCTCCTGAGGACGGCGCGGTGGGCCCGCCGGAGGACGGGTAAGACGATAAAGGGCAACAGATCGACAGTGATGGATTGCGTGAGACAACAGAGGACTCACTTCCTGCTCGGAGAGTTTCTTGCTATCTTGCTCTGCGGAGTCCTTGTCCTCAGTGGTCCCCAGGAGACACTCAGTCTTCTCTGCGGTCCAGAAAAGAACAACTCAAACTTGTTTATTCCAGCAAAACCCTTTTGCTGAACATGACGTTCGCTCGGATAAAAAGAAACCCTGATCAGCGTGGACCCGGTGCTCTGACCTGGTGGGACGGGTGTCCCGGGCTGTGTGGCGACCGGGCTGGCAGGCACAGGGGTGTTGGGGTCAGAAGACAAACTCTCAGTCAGTTTCTTCAGCTCCATGCCGATGGGAATCAGATCTGGGGAACTCAGCTTGCCATTAACGTGCTCAAACTCTTGAACCTTCAAAAAAAAGAAAAGGGATTGGTTCAACTGTGAGGAGGAAATTTGTCCAAATAAATGTTAATTAAAAACATGAATGCATACTAATAGAGGAGATGTATTGAACCATATTCATCTTAGCCAGCAGCAGGAATGTGACCGTAATGTTTTCAATACAAAAGAAAGTAAAGGAACGGATTCTACGACAAATAACTAACAATAATTCATCATTAGGAAACACGCAGAGCTACAGTTGATGTTTGACCCATTTAGAGAAAAACTACAGACATTTCATAATGAATGACGGAAGTAGGCTTTTTTTTTTTTGTTTTTTTCCTTCTGTTGGACAGTGTGGCAAAAGTCTCCCTGCGACCAATTCACACAAAAGATTTGCTCAATTATTTACCAGACGAATTTGGTGAATCACTAAAAACTCAGGCTCAACCTCCTCTCTCTAATCTCGGCGTCTGGAGGACGTCTTTGGTCGAATCACCTTTTTCCTGACGAGGGACATGACGCCGATCCTGGTGAGGACATGCTGACGAGACAGTCCCTCGCGTGGGACTCCGTCGGCGAAGGTCTCTGCTCCGTCCGCCCCCGGCTCACATAGATGCCTCATGAACAGGGACACGTAGGCCCTGGTGGAAAAGGAGACAAACGGCGAACGCTACGTGTGACCAGGGGGATTCCTCGCTGGTTACGACCGCTCGCGCCAGCCGGACAGTTTACGCCGCAATTCCATTGTAACTGAATTTGTTCTTATTTTGCAAACAAACCAAAATCTAGAGCTCTATGTGAACAGCTGCTTTAATGCACCAAGCACCACTCACAATATCTAGTTCTGCAATATCCGGCTCTGTTGCTTTCTAAAGTGAAGTAACCCTGAAACTGGGAAGGGCAAAAACCTTTACCAACTTTATATGAGCATTCTGGAGCTTTGCCCTGGGCTAACCAATTAAATGTGAGGAGCAAATGAAATAGCCCAGAGCTGCCTCTTCACCGGATGACGGGCAGCCCTTGACTTAAAAAATATGCTTTGTGAAAAGAGAACAAATAACCTTTTCAGTATATTCTCACCTGAACTCACGCTCACTCTTCCCTCTCAGGTCTCTGACCAGCCAATGCGAGTTGAAAGCGTCCTGAGGAGGCATTCCCCAGCGCATGATGGCGTTGAGGAAGGCCTTCCTCTGGCGGGCGTTGAACCCCAGGACCTTGTGAAGAGAAGAAACAGCTTCAGACGGACAATAGCGTGAAGTACAGGGGGTCCTGCTGAACCACCTGGTGCAACACAGCACGGAAATGCCCATCCCATTCCATTCCGTCCCATCCCAACCCGTCCAATCCCATCCCGTCCCATCCCATTCCATCACATCCCAACCCAACCCGTCCGTCCCATCTCGTCCCATCCCAACCCAAGCCGTCCCATCCCATCCCATTCTGTCCCATCCCAACCCAACCCGTCCAATCCCATACCGTCCAATACCATCCCGTCCCATCCCATTCCATTCCAGTCCGTCCCATCTCGTCCCATCCCAACCCAAGCCGTCCCATCCCATCCCATTCCGTCCCATCCCAACCCAACCTATCCCAACCCAACCCGTCCCATCCCATCCCGTCCCATCCCAACCCAACCCGTCCCATCCCAACCTATCCCATCCCGTCCCATCCCATCCCAACCCAACCCGTCCCATCCCAACCTATCCCATCCCATCCCATTTCGTCCCATCCCATCCCAACCCAACCCATCCCAACCCAACCCGTCCCATCCCATCCCGTCCCATTCCATCCCAACCCATCCCAAGCCATCCCATCCCAACCCGTCCCATCCCAACCTATCCCATCCCATTCCATGCCGTCCCATCCCAACCCAACCCATCCCATTCCATTCCATCCCAACCCAACCCAACCCATCCCATCCCATCCCATCTTATCGCCTCCCCTCGTGTCGCGCAGCCAAACGCAGCATTTAACCTCTGTATTTGTACCTCAATACTGCCCCCGACTCGTGCCAGCAAGGGCGGCAGGGGTTTGTCTTTCTCATTCTTCATCTGCCTACGAGACTGTCTGCGTCCACCTGCGAAGCAAACCCTGCGTTGTTATACGGACCTCTCTCCAGTGCACGTCGCAGTAGAGAGGAATCAATACCGAGTCGTGGTGTTTTATCTTTAATGCATTTTTTGTTTTTGTGTTAATTTTTTTTGCCGCCTACCTTCAGGCCGCTCCTCGAAATCTTCGTCCTCGTCCTCGGACCCCACGGAGTACTCCGACTGATTGTCTGAAAGATCATCCTGCCACTCTGAGCAACACATCACAGACAAACAGTACATTGCGATCGCTTCTGTCGGTGGCCACCTGGGGGGCGCCGTGGCACTGCAGGTTACCACAGACCACTACAGCATGGCACGCACGCGCCTCACCGCTTTGGGAGGTGAGGTGAGAGTGGACCACTCTGCAGTCACTTTAGACTCAGAGGGGGTGTGATGGGCTTTGAAATCTGGACACTTGGAAGTCAAACTACAGGACGTATGTTGCTGCAATAGATTAGTTGAACGATAAAAAAAAGAATTGCTTTGAAACCTACTAAAAGCTGTATAAGTGCGTGATACACCATGGAGCTCTAGGCCAGTACAACACACTCTGTGGTAGATTTAATGGAGGTCAATAGAACTTATTGAGACTAAGAACCCCAAAAGGATTTAATTCCTGTGCAGTTCCCGCCTGGACTGATTCACCCAGATCATTAAATTAACTCAAGAATGAAGCCAGGCGTGTGTGTGTGTGTGTGAGTGGCTTTGTTGTGTTATTGAATTGATTGTGTTGTTAAGTTAAGAGTTCAGAGTCGAACATACAGCATAACAAGAGCTGTTGACCTGCATTGAAGCCGGCAGAGAGGATCCAGTGTTATCTGAACCAAGCACACTATCAAAATAAGTGTCCTGTTTGCATGAAATAGTGACATAAACATGCATTGTTTCTGATCACTGTCACTCTGGTCGAATAAAGAGGTCTATGAGAATAACACTTCTCACTTGATTTATTCATTTATTCATTATTTATAGTCTCAATCGTAAAATAGATCATAAAGCAGGTCGTGCTTTGGTCCGGGGCTACCTGTTGATTGACAGGTGCCAGCCGGCGTTCGGCCTGTGTTTTAGACCTTAACCCTTTCAAAATGCGTGTTCCATGCGTTGAGGTCAAGTGAAGCGCTAAAAAGGGCGAGTCCTGAGGGGACCTACCTTGGTCCTCCTGGGTCGTGTCGTTGTAGTTGACCTGCTTCCGGATGCGTTTGCCCTTGCCGAGGTTGCGGGCCAGATCCTCCTGCTGCTGCTCGTAGTGGTGCCGGAGGAGCTTCTCCCAGTAGTCCGGGTCCACGTTCTCCTCCTGCTTGATGATCTCCCGCTCCGGCTCTTCCTGCACGCGGACACAAAAGAGGAAAATGTCGACCTTTGGTCCGATGTCTCTAACTGAGGACACCGGATCCATCGTGGTGATCAGCTTTTCTGAAGACGTATGAAATGCTCATTCTTTGCTTATCTGGGCAAAAAGAAATTCCCCCGTCTCTCAGTATTTTCCCAAATGAGAATATTGAGAATATGTAAATAAAACATAATATATAAATGTAAATAAATAAAACCTCTGAGTTTGGTCATTAAAGACAAACAGTTATTTTGTTACTTCGACTGCATTCGACTTCCCGCAGTTTCTCTCCAGGCCTTCCAAACACTAAACATGCATCATTAAACATTGAACAACATGTTTATTCTTTACTCATCCAATGATCTCTTTCACAGTCGTCCCTCTTTACAAAAGCAAACCCGACCTTCGGTCCTGTGAAGCAGAATCATACATCTCCGTTCCCGAGCGCTCGGGCGGGTTTTTTCATCCTCACCTCTCCGTCCTCCTCTTTCACCACGTACTGAGCCACCTTGAAGGAGCTCAGGTACTCGTTCATGTTCTGGATCTCGGTGTCTTCGGTGGCGTCCTGGCTGCGGTCCAGCAGCTTGGAGATGGCGTCGTCGTCATAGTGAATCACGTTGCCCTCCTCCCCCTCCTTGTTGTCACCTGTTGAAGAGAAGCTCTTACGTTCAGATCATGAAACTGCTGATTCTATTTCATATCCAAAGCTAATTTAGCACAAACTACGGCTGAACTTTTGCCCTTTTTGGCCTCCAGACTACCGTAGTTTTTCCTAACTCAACGCAATAACAAATGCTGCGGTCGTCTTGACCCCAGACGGTCAGTGCAGTGATGTCATAGCGGTGTGTTAAGTACCCATGGCCCGCGCCGCCTCCATCTCATCTTTGAAAAGCTCCTCAGTGCCGAACTTGAGGATGTCATCCAGCTCTTGTTTGGACATGGAGCCGGTTTTGGAGCCGAGGCCGGGCCGCACCACCAGGTGGGTCAGCATCATCTTCCTCTTGGCCACCTGAGTGATTCGCTCCTCCACCGAGCCCCGCGTCACGAAGCGGTAGATCATCACCTTCCTGTTTTGGCCGATACGATGGGCTCTGCTAAAAGCCTGCGAGAATGGAAAGAACCACCAAAACCATCCAGACGGCTGCTGAACAACGGAGTGTCCAGCGCATCAATCAAAATGCAACATTTGCCTGTATGGTAAACAAGGCAGAACGCAAAGGGTCCGTTGGGAAGTCTCGTACTTGGATGTCGTTGTGGGGATTCCAGTCGGAGTCGTAGATGACGACAGTGTCGGCGCTCGCCAGGTTGATGCCGAGACCTCCGGCCCGTGTGGACAGCAGGAAGCAGAACTGCTGAGCGCCCGGTGCTGCGGCGAAAGGAAACAAAAACTAGTCGCTGGGCCGGTGCGTTTGAGAGGGAGCGAAAGCCGTGTAGCAGAAGAAGAAGAAGAAGAAGAACAGGAGTCCCTGGATGGACCAACTCACCGTTGAAGCGGTCAATGGCCTCCTGCCTGAGGCCTCCAGTGATGCCTCCATCAATACGTTCGTATTTATAACCCTCGAACTCCAGGAAATCTTCAAGCAGATCCAGCATCTTTGTCATCTAAAACATATAAGGCTTTTATTGTTGCGGTTAAAACAAAATGTGAAAGAACAATGTGATCTTTGTTTGGAGAGCAGCTAACAACTGAGAATCCATTTGAGCGGATAAACCAGTGAACGCTGTGCCTTCCAGCCCAGACACAACATTTATTCGACTGCTACCTGAGAGAAAATGAGGACTCTGTGTCCTTCGTCCTTGAGCTTCTTCAGCATTTTCTGAAGCAGCGTGAGTTTTCCTGAGGACTTCACCAATTGGTTTCCATCATACGAGCCGTTGGCTTGCACAGGGGCTTCCTGCAAAGATCCAAAATAATAAATCTATCAATCCAGCCAACCACTGGAAAGATATATGAATACTTTTGTCAAATAAATAGAAATAATGGTCTTTCGGCCGTCATGTTTCACACACAGGTTGTTGCGTTTCAACTTCATCAGGCAACATTTATGGAGTTAGAATATTAAACTGTGCTTCACCACGGCAGCCACTGGGAACAGGTAGGGATGGTTGCAGCACTTCTTCAGGTCCATCATAATGTTGAGCAGGGACACTTGGTTACCTCCACCTTTGGAGTTCAGAGCCTCAAAATTCCGCGTCAAAATAAACTTGTAATATTTCCTGCAGGTCAGAAGTCAGGTGGAAGCAGGATAATTAAGCCTTTGTGTGAGGAACACGCATGGTTTAATGGAAATAACTACTAAAAAGCTGATGTAGATCAGACAAAAACCTCCATCCTTCCTTCAGTGCTTACTTCTGCATGGGGCTGAGCTCCACTCTGACGATCAGCTCTGTCTTTGAAGGCATGTTCTTGAAGACATCCACTTTGAGCCTCCTGAGCATGTGAGGGCCGAGCAGGTCGTGGAGCTTTTTGATCTGGTCCTCCTTCGAGATGTCAGCGAACTCCTCCAGGAAGCCTTCGAGGTTACTGCGCAAGGAACAATTAAAAGGCCGGCTTTAAAAAACAACGTTTTCTCATTTATATTTGTGCACAAAATTCGAGGATCCATTTGATGCAGACGTGAAGACGACTGAAGGCGGACGTACTTGAAGCGCTCTGGGGTGAGGAAGTTAAGCAGGTGGAACAGCTCTTCCAAATTGTTCTGAAGAGGAGTCCCAGTGAGCAGCAGCTTGTAGTAGATCTTGTACCCGTTTAGGATTCTAAAAAACTGGACAGGACACATTGTGCGAGATAAAACACAATCGTCCTCAAATAAGAATGTGTCGCTGGTGACATCCATGCTCAACGTCAGCTCAACGTCAGTGCCAGACACACTTTTTTGTTGTTTCTTGTACCTTTGACTGGTTGTTCTTCAGTCTGTGGGCCTCGTCAACCACCAGGCAGGCCCATGTGATGGAGCCCAGGATGGCTTGATCTATGGTGATCAGCTCGTAGGACGTCAGCAGCACGTGGAACTTGATGGGCGTGTCTTTCTGCAAAGGAATGAACAGCAACAAAATCCATCTCACTTTGAGCATCTCACTTTTTTTTTCTTTTAGACGCAGCGCCATGTGGGGGAGGAAACTTCTTCTGCTGCAATGTTCAGGCAAAGGTATGCCTGGAAGTCATTGCTAATCCTCATGCTAAGCTGCACGAGGCAGTAAAGACCTTCTTGCACATGTCAATGTTATTGGTTGATATCAAAAACGGGCCACGGATTTATTTTTCGTTCCCCCGGAAATAGCAAACAAGCCAACGGACAGGAGGCTGGACGCCGCCGCGCCAGCACCACGGACAGCGGCGGAGGTTTGTCACGGTCGGGGGGTCATGTGCTCAAACCTGTCAGATAAAGGATCAATGAGTCAGGCAGACGAGGCCAATATATTCAACTGGACAACCCTCTGCTACCGGCGGATGGTTAGCGGTTGACAAGGGGAGTTAGTCAGGACCGCTTTGTGAAGGTCTCGTTCTCTTTAGAAAAGAAAGGAAATCTTTTATAACATAAAACATAACATAGTGCGCCGCACTTCATCGCATTGGAAAGCGCGTTCAAACAGTGGCCCGTGTGACGCGGCAGCGCGAGGTACCTTCATGCGGAACACCTTGCGTCCTGTTTTCACGGCGCTGTCCTCGAAGGTGAACTCGTTCTCCCTGATGATCGCCCGGCTGTCCTTGTCTCCGGTGTACGTCACCACGTGGAAATCCGGAGCCCACAGCTCAAATTCCCTCTCCCAGTTGATGATGGTGGAGAGCGGCGCGCTCACCAGGTAGGGGCCCTTAGAATGACCCTGAGGGAGAAAGGGGGAGGGGAAACATCTGCGCTGCAGGTTCAGTCCTTTACTTCTTTAAACTTGTTGTCCTCTGGCTCTTTATTACCATGAGAATCCACTCAGAGAGCCAAAATGTCATCATCGCTTTGTAACGAGGGAGTTTAAAAAAAGGTGACCCTCACCTCCTTGTACAGCGAGTAGAGGAACACGATGGTCTGCACCGTCTTCCCGAGGCCCATTTCGTCGGCCAGGATGGTGTCTGTGCCCTGAGCCCAGGAGAACCTCAACCAGTTCAGGCCTTCCAGCTGGTATGGGTGCAGCGTTCCCCCCGTGGCGTTGATGTACCACGGCTGGTGCTCAAACTTGATGGTTGGCTGCGCAGTAAAGGAGTTGCATTTAGGCCAATAGGTGTTCTACAAGAAGACCGTACGCATTAGAACAAGAGCATATCCCAACTTACATCTATGATGGGGGCATCAGGAGGGACCTCCCTCTTTTGGTGGTCCTCTTTGAGTTTCTTTCCTTTCTTCACCACCAGGGGGCGTTGGTCCTCCCCTACTATTTGCTCCCTGGCAAATAATTGCAGCAACGCGATGAGCAAGGCGGGTCATCAGACGGTAACAAAGATAGAAGGCAGCCGCATGTCCCTCTAATAAAGAAGACGTGAGATCACGTCCATGCAGCTCACCAACCTGTGGTCCCAGTAAGTGGCTTTATGAGTGTCGTACTCCGGGACGTCAAAGTCATCCACCTCCCAGGTGCACTGATCGTAGGGCAGGTCTCTCCACTTGATCAGGTAATGCACATCGCCATCCTTATCAAAACTGCACGGAGGAACACACGCGGAGAGAAAAACAAGTAGGAAAACTTTCAGTTTCCTTTCAGTTTTTCGACGGTGAATGTAGACAAACAAATGCCTCGTTGGGTGGTCTCCTGCCCCCGTGCCCACATGTACCGAGAAGCATTGGGGGCCGGTTTCTGACATCCAGAGGGTCCCTGCGGTCCCTTTTATACCTCGACTCTTACCTTCAATTATATAGTACATCTCATTTATTTGGGATTGTCCCGTAAAATGAATGAACATATGAGTGACATTAACATCTGAAAAACGTAATGAAGGTACTTTTAAACCTCCAGCCTCTCCCATATTCCGAAATCTCCATCTTTAATGTGTTCTTACACGTAACAGCAAGATGAAACCAAGTAAGAGCCAGCAAACCTTTCCAGTTGGTCATATGGTGATAGATAGATAGATAGATAGAGAGCGCGCGCGTAACCACCTGTGGTTGATTATCCGGTGCATGACCATCCACTCCGGTTTGATGCCGTAGCGGTAGAAGCGCTCCTCCATCGCGGCGTACTGGGGATCCTTGCTCTTCCGCTTCTCGTTGTTGAGCTCCTCCTCGCCGGAGCCGTAGTCGAAGGGCGGCGGTTCGTCCATGTCGTTCTTGCGCTGGTAGTTGCGATACATCACCGTGTGGTACAGCTCCAGCTGCGCGGCAAACAGACGGGACAAAACCATCGATGCGGCTCAGCAGGCAAAGAGGGTTTTTCTGCCGAGACGGCATCATATCACCTATGCACGGCCATCAGACAGACTTCGTTAACCATTTCGAGTTCCAGAATGGATTTGATGGAGGCGAAATGAATCAGAACAGGAAGGCCGGCTTCTCCAGGGCCGAGCCTAAACGCGAGCAATTGCTCAGACATCACGGAATGAAAAGTCGGCTCAGTCGGAGGGCTCTGATTGGCTGAGTAATTGAGATTGCAGATTGGGGAGTTTGAGGTGGGAAACAACGTGCACTTAAAAGGACTGACGGGTGAATGGAACATGCGTTACGGTTCGATGATAAACTGCAAAAAGAACTCTGTCGGCTCAGTTTGAGCAGAAATTGCTCCTTTGAGTTTGGACCCGACTTCTGGAATCTCACCTGCAGCTCGCTGACCCAGGAGCAGTGCCAGTACGACAGGGCGGCCCACTTCACGAAGAACTCCCTCTCCGGACGGCCCCTCGGCGGGGGGTTGGCCAGCGGATCGGCCGGCCTGCCGTCGGGGCCGTCGGGCAGTTCGGCCGGCAGCGGCGGTTCTCCCCACGTCCAGTGTAGAATCTTTTGGACCTTCCCTTTGAGGGGAGGGCACTGGGGAAAGCACACACAAAGAGCAGTGCTGTGATACATGCAGTTTTCTATGCTGAGGGGCGAAGTAATAACGTTCCAGAGTCTCTTGGCGAAGGGAAGAGAAGTCGCAGAGAAGGTCACGTGCATCTTCGGGGTCAACGTAAGGGTCCCTCAGACGGGTCCAGAAGGCTGAATTATTGTGCTGGTTCATGCACGTCACGTTAATGAGGTAAAATATTTAACTGATGTCACCACGACACTTTCCGAGTTACTTGATTAAATGTGCAAATGAGGCAATGTTGTACTCATCTGCACATAATTGCGTTACAGAAATCGGAGCTTAGGATGAACTACTATACTTCTACCCTATTGCCTCCATATGGGTGGAGTAGTTTTGGCGTGAGGAAGAGGAAGCTCACCATGCAGCGAGGACACAGCCACTCCCCGTTGGGGATCTCGGGGAGGGGCGGGTTGAGGCAGTGGATGTGGTAGGAAGACGGGCAGGTGTCACAGCACAGCAGCTCGCCTCCATCTTTACACACTCTGCAAAACTCCATGTGGTCGTCCTCCTCCACCTCCGCCGCCGGCTCCTCCTCTTCCTCCTCCTCGTCTTTGGCCTCCCACTGGATGCCCTCTTTCTCCTGGGGGGGGCGACAGGTCGCGGCAGATGCCGTGAATACCGCTGCGTTCAATTCACCGACTCCTCGTGCAAAGTGATGCAAAAGGGAATTCGATTCGGGGCCAAACATGAAGGTGGTCTGAATCGTAATTCATAACTCCCATGAAGCATCACTTCGGCGGGTCGTCAGCGTGCTTAACAAATGACTGGTGCGGGTGGACGATTTCCCCCATAAGAAACAATGCGCTCACACAGTGTGGACAGCTCCATTTGCCCTCGGGGGCCTTCTCCAGCTCGGGGTCCAGGCAGACCAGGTGGTACGCTCGGGGACAGGTGTCACACAGGATGATCTCCCCGCCCTGCTGGCACACCTCGCAGTAGTCCTGGTGGTCCGTCTCGTAGCCGTCGCCGTCTTCCTCTGGAGCGGGAAGAGGAAGAAGCCGATGGGGAGGATTCCCAACATGCGGACGGTGCACTTGAATGCAGCGCTTGTGGACGGCACACGATGTGAAGAGGACTCTTTTGACCTCACCGCACCGGTGTCCTTTTTTAAAATGTCTCAGGTTTCCACTCCGGGGATTTAAAACTGTGGCTCGGACACGGTTTGAGACCAGTTACCATAATATGATAATCTCCCAATGAGCCGGAGGTCGTTATGCGGTACACCAGGCGTGACGTTTGTTCCCCTTTTTAAAGCCTTTTTTCTTATTCCATTATCATATTCATTCCCTTTTTTATCTTTTTACTCAGACGCACTTTGTGTCTGTGTGTAAATAAACTTTGATTCGCTGCGAGTGTGAGCGCAGCAGCTGCCGAGAAGGAGCATCCGCCTTCGGAAAACATTCCTAAAACAAATAAAGCTTTAAGAAAATGCATTTTAATTTCCTCGTTACCCGTAATCAAACAGACGGGTTCTGAGGGACTTAAATGGGATTTTTGGGAGGATGGAGGGGGAAAACGCACACAAACACACAAACGCACACCACAGAGCTCGGCGCGTGCCGACGGTAAACATACTTTTCCTTTTTTTACGCCCACGGCGGGCAATCTTCTTGGTGGGGGCCCCCGAGGTGTCAGACAGCACGGAGGCGCTGTGGATGCTGATGTCATCAAAGTCCGACTCCTCCAGGAAGTCCTCCTCACTCTGGAAAAGCACACGCACACACGCGCACGCCAAAACTAAAGAGCTCAGAGCTTCACAGTCAAGTGCAGCAAACGGTCTTTGATGCCACTGAAAATATACGTATAAAATACACACACACACACACACACACACACACACACACACACACAGAGAAGCTCAGAGGGTGAATCGGCGGCCGGAGACAAAACGTACCGAGGAAGCTTTCTTCTTCTTCACACTCGGGCCCGACTTTGCTTTGGTCTTCTTCGGCTTGCTCTTCTTCTTCGCATCCTTCGCAGACCTGCTTCTCTTCCTCACTCCGGGTCCTGAGGGCGCACACAATGTCACGGCCGGGTCCGATCCTCGCCATTGTCCCTGGAACAAAAAAAACCCATTTTCTTTTTGTCGCCACTCACCCTTTCCCTCTTTGGTTTTGGCTTTTTTGAGCGGCCCCGGCTGGGAGCCCGGCGGGCCGCCGCTTGCGGCCGTCGGCTGCGCCACGGTGACCGTTTCCACGGCGGCGGCCACGGCGGCGGCCACGGCGGTGGCGGACGCGCCTTTGAACGGGTTGTTGGCGCTGAACTCGCGCCACTTGGCCCCCAACACGGTCATCATCTTGGACATGGGGATCTTGGGGTTCTTCTTGGCAATGAGAGGCCTGAAGGGGGGGGGAACTACAGCTTTATTACGTCACGCTTCATGACTAAAGCAGGAGAATGCGATGCTTGCCTGAGGAACTGGCTGAAGGCCTTGTAGTTGGTGATGGTCTTGTAGTCGTCCTCGGAGAAGCCGTACTGGACGTCTTCCAGGCCCCACTCGTGCATCAGCTGGCCGGACGACTTGGGTTCCTTCAGGGGAAGAACAGACGAGAGGCGGCGTCGTCATTCAAAGTCCCCGACTCTTTTGGTTTGTGCTTCCTCATCAACACGTGATGAATACAGGACACGAGCGACCCCGTCCCCGCAGTCATGACTCGCCTTCATGTTGCCGTCGTCGTCGTCCTCGTCGTCGTCTTCCTCGTCTCTCTTCTTCTTCCTGGGCTTCTTCTCCTTCTTCTCCCTGGGTTTCTTCTTCTTCTTCTTGGTCGGTCCGTAGGCGCTGCTCTCGCTCCCAGAGCCGACCTCTGGACGCTCCCGTTCCTCCTCCACCTCCGAGGTCTCCTCCAGGTCGCTGTCCGCTCTCGGCTGGATGCCCCCCTGAGGCGTCACGGACACGTACAAGTGAATGCAACGCGATGGGCAATGAGGCAATGAATATAAGACACGAGTATAGAGATGGTGTACTCTTACTTTGATTACAAAAACGATAAAAACTAAAGTATCATATTGTTTGAATGATGAAGAAATACTAATGGTCCATTTCTGGGTACAAAGAGACTTCTGAAGGACTTTCTTATTGCTCCTTGATGCTTCTTGATTTCCCTTTACCGCCAAGACTGAAGCTTTGGAAAATTGCACTTTTACTTTCATTCAGAACTTGTATTGGCCGCATCTCCTCACTTCTTGGGTCTGTGCCATATTTGCGCGCACAACACCTGCCCTCATATTGTGTTTTGACGGCATCAGTCTGCCACAGCCTCGTGTTCACGATCGAGTGGGTTTTTTATAATCGTCCAGCACATCTGGGTCTGAATGGCAAAGAGCGTTCGGTGCATCTTGATTTCCTCCATTAGGACATATGAGAGACATTTAAGGGGACGTTGCTGCATTCAGGCGGATTTCACTGATGAAAATGTGCGAAGCTGCAAAACTATTTTTGCATCACCTGGAAAGTCTTCTTCACCTCTTTGAAATATTCAAGAGCTCCTTCCAAAAACAGCTATTTTTACTAATGTAAACAAGTAGAATCTGCCTTGAAGCGAGCGTCAAAGCCACATTCCCGGGTCTGAACTGAATTCAATATCTGTATTTCACCGACGAGGCGACGGGAGGAAATCTGCATGCAGTTAATCGGTATCCTCAGGGACGGAAATGTGATCTCTTGATAAAATATGTGGATAATTAATACGTGAAAGTCATCGATGAGGGCACATGAGCAAGGCGTTAACTCCACCGGGGTTCAGGGATTAAAGCTCCCACAGAGGCTGTCAGGCCGCCACGAAGCACGTGGGATAAAAGCGTCTTCTCGACAGCATTTGCACAAATTAAATGACGAACTGCTTCACGGAATAATATCATTCTTCCCGCCGGCGGGGAACGTGCAGATCGCTGCGCCGCGAGTCAACAGTCGGCGGGCAGGAGTTGACGAGGGGTGCAGGAGAAAGAGGCAGGTCTGGGTTTTCACACGCGGCGGAGCGAACCAGCCGCCAGACCCCCTCCGGCGGCGCAGCCAATCACAGCGCGCGGAGCCGTCGCCGGCTTAATGCGAGACATCTGGAGGGCCGCGTGGATTTAACAGTTAACAGGTGTTGTTTGTGCGATGGAGAGTGTTGCACGTGAGCAAAGTCACCGGTGCTGCGCGTGTCCCCCCCCCCCCCCAGCGTGCACTCAACTAACCGTTCGCGCGCGTACATGCATGCGCACGGATACTAAAATACCACCAAGAGTTGTCACGGCGTCTGTATTCGTGTGGTCGTCTTCGTGCCCCGACGTGTTTGTGCGCACTTTCATTCACACGTGAGCGCGCGCGGGCGCGCGCAAAGTGAACGCGCGTGCTCGCTGCCTGTTGCTCAGCGGGCCCGCGTGGATCCGTGGAGAGACTTACGGGCGTTTTTGCTCTGCAGGCGCAGCGGAAGGCTCACTGTTGCCCGCAGCGCCGCCAACCCCACCAGCAGCCAGGCTGTGTTGCCATGGTGACACCATTTGAGCAGTGTCTGGCTCCCTCCCTCTCTCTCTCTCTCTCCCCTCTCCTCCTCCCCGCTTCCCTCCCCTCCCGCCTTCGCGTTCTCTCACTTTCCCTCTTTCACATCTCTCGTGCCCACTACCCCCCCCCCCCACCACCACGATTTTGTTCTCTCTCTTTTCATTCCATCCCCCCCCCCCCCCCCACCAATCTATCACAGTGGCAGGCAATGGAACGGCGCCATCCAATCACAGGCCTCTGCATAACGAGCTTGTTATGCAGAGGCCTGTGGTTGCAGCGCCGGTGCTTCAACACCCGTCTAGACAAATCTCATTTATGCATAAGGAGAGAGAGAGAAAGTAAATTGGAGATGGAGGCTGGGGGATGGGGGAGACGTGGGGGAGGGGGGGGGGGGGGGCAGCGAGTTGGAGCCGTGCAACAGGGTTCACCGGTACGCACACATCACGGGGGGGGGCCGGAGAGACAAAGAGGGCAGAAAATCAAAAGGGCGCCGATAGCGTAATCAAATTAGACGCCCTCCCCCCCCCCCCCCGTAATGGCCGTGCCGCGGGGAGATTGCAGAGGAAACGAGCGAAGACGCGGATATTCAACAAGATCCAGTTCAGCGAGTGAAAAACGCTGCTGAAAAAAAAAAAAAACGCAACAAGCCTCCTCTTCACAGCAACGGCTCTCTGCTGACCCACAATCGCACAAAGAAGAGTCTCCTCTTCAAACCGGCTGGATTCCAGCGAGCAGCTTCCTCTACGGCCTCACGCAGCCTCTTCTCTCAGCCAATAAAACTGCCCTCTATGAACCTCCGCTCCCTTGATTGTGTCGTCTTTTTGCTTTTTGCAGAGGGACGTCGTCCCTTCATGTCCACAGGCCGGCTTTGTTTCACTGCAGACGAGCGAGCGGGCTCTGACCCGAGACTGGGCCACTGTGACGGGGGTTCTGACCCCAATTGACTCTTGGCCCCAGCCTGACACCGACCTCGGCGAGGGACGGCGAGAGGATCACAGCCACGGCGGCTCCTCGAGCGACAGAAAGAACAACGGGGAGGGAGAAAAAAAAAGAGCGAGAGAGAGAGAATTCGCTTTGACGCAAAGGCTGCGAGAAAAGAAAAAAAAAGGGACGCAGCGGCACCACGATCAAGGCGAAGCGAGGTGATGCATGTGAGAGGAGAGGGAGCAGAATACAGAGCAGAGACTGAAGGAGGGGGAGGGAGGGAGGGAAGGGAGAGTGTCAGAGGGAGTCCCCCCCACACCCCCCCCCCCCCCATCATTAGCTCAGTGTTTACCACGAGCAGCCAATGGGCCGGGTGGCAGCCTGGACAGCCAAAGCTCCTCGCAGCACCGCCGGCACCTCCAGCCAGCAGAGGGGAACATCCCGCCGCCGACAACGCCGACCGCGGGAGCAACAGAACGCCGCGGGGGGGCGGGGGGAGGGGTCCAGAGAGCGCCTTTAATCGGCGAATGAAAGGAAAGTCTTATCCAGCAGCGATTGTGAGTCGGTGTGAATGAGACGTCAGTATGTGGTGCAGAACCGGCCAATGACCTCTGCTGACCTCATTTGCAGCGGTTGCAGGGAGCTGCTGTGTTGTGTTTTTAGCAACAACAACAACAACAACAACAAAAAAGCTACGACAAACACTAAGCCCAACACCAAACCCAGCCGACCAGATGTTTCGCTCTGCACAGCTCTAAAGCTTAACTCCTACACAAAGTGGAGACACAAACGGAGCGAAAAGGAAGGCGAATGAAGGGCTTTGATTTGTTGAGTGGGAACTTCGTGTCCTCAGACGTGTTCACCGCAGCTACAATGTAGCACTTTACCTCCTTTTTCCTCTTCTTAACTTTGGGCATTTTCCCCTCTTTCATCTTTTTGGGCTTCTTCTTCTTTTGCTGTTTGAGGGAGTCGCCGTCGGAGAAGAAGCTGCCGAGGGGCGCGAGGGGGACCGCCATGCGCTTGCCTTCGTCGTCCTCATCTGTTGGCACAGAAACAAAGATATTATTCAATCGGGAACCCAACGTGGGTTAATGTACACACGGTGGTGGCGTTGGGGGGGGGGGGGGATTCGGCAGCTTGGAAGGAGCCTGAATGGAGCTTTCAGGGGTCCCAAAGGAGCTCTGCGTGCACCTCGCTGCGGTTGTGCGGTTTCCGTAGAGGTGCAGGACTCGTCTTCAAAGCCACGGACAGTAAAATGTGAAAACGAGCAAAAACCGACTGGGCTTCAGACGGTTTTACTCATTTATCAGAGAACGCTGTCGTGCATTTACTGGTCCCAGAATGTAAGACAATTGACAACATTGTTTAAATTGTTAATTTATTGTTGTGGGTTTGAACAGATGGTTATAAAACACGTGAAGGCGACACCTCGGCCCCCCCGTCAAGTTTAATAGACAAACCCAGTGATCACAAAGATAGGGAGAGATCGATGACAGAAAGTAATCCTAATCCTCATAATCACTCGCCGTCGGGTGTGGATCTACTTCACCCGTCAGAGCGAGGAGAGACGGAGCCCCGCCCCCCGCCGCTAAAGGGCCGCTGAGGTACACGGAGCGTTTCCCCCGGCCTTTAATGCTCGCTGGCACTAAGGCGGCCTGCTGCTGCCTGTCAGCTGTGCGAACACGCAGACTGCTGAGCGCTGAGCGGACTTCCCCCGATGCCTCAGCCGGTCACAGAGGAGGGAAGGAAGGAAGGAAGGAAGGAAGGAAGGAAGCGAGGCAGTCCACCAAAAGATACCTCGCTGTAAAGAGACACCGCCGCGTAAAAGGTCGATATGATCTCCTCCGTCTGTGTCTTTCTTCTTTCGTCTACCCAGCGAGCGTCCGCCGCTGTCGGCGTCCCATCGTGCCGACGGGCCGGAGGCCGTGAAATATGCAGCGCGTATCGGAGTCCATCAGAGTCAGACGCTGGTCCACCGGCAGCCGGGGTGAGACAGCAGAGGTTCCTGTGTGGTAGACACACAAGCCTCCCCCACCACTTATCCTCTATCTAGCAAAGCTAGCAGGAGGCGCACACACACACACACACACACACACACACACACACACAGTACACCAGAGGTGCTCCATCTTTTGTCAGCCGAGGGGATCCCCTTACGTACGTCCCATGGAAGGATTGACCCACAGTCGATTTCTATTTTGATCTCTTTAGATAATTGAATCAGACGGATATCCGACACGTGTTAAGAGATATTTGCAGATTTCCAAGGATTATAAGCTTCAACGTGATGCCGTTTGCTTTTGCCGCGACCTCCTGGGTGAAAGTCCTGTGTTTTGTCATCAGCCGTCCCAGCCGCTGACTCTCCCTTTGTGGCTCTGCAGGATTCTGTCACTTATTTTTGTACCACACGGATATGCTAATGCTGCGGAGACCTGACACGGCAACATTCAACCCTGGCGGCTGGACTGTTGATTAAGAAATGAATAATATGAACTGCCCATTTAACAGTGAATCCCTGCGGCGGACGACAGACGCACGCCGGCCGTTTAACAGCTTTAATCAGAGGCGCCCGACCGGCGGATGAAGTGTGTCATCCGCTCTTCTGTGCTAATTGGGGGTAACTTGTGCTTTCATCTACCTACCCGTCCGTCCACCCTGTTCTGCTTCCTCTCCTTCGCTCCTCTTTCTCAATAAAGCCTGGACTTTAAATTACCACCGTCTCAAACAGGGAGCTCCTCTCGGGTCTCGGATGCGCGTGAGTCTGCCTGATAAGAGGCGCGTCTTGACGTTGAGATGACGGCGGCTGTGGCTGACGGGTGGACCGCACATCACTCATGAGATTGCTGGTTACTGCACGTCGATGTTGGTCTGCGGATCTTTGGGCCACACTGAAAATATGTCAAAAACCATTTTGGTTGCTCGTATGAAACGTTTGACGAGACGTTTCGCTTTCCCCAGAGGATGAACCCTGCTGGTTTTACCGATTCCACTCACTCCTTCTGTCGCTCCAGCAGCTCGTTTAGCTTTTCCCAAGAGAAACAACTCGACAACAGGCAGAGTTATTGCCGTGACATTTGGCGAGGTGCAAAGTCCTATCATTATAACGGAAGGGGGGGGGGGGGGGGCGCTTCACACCCACGACCAAACTTTACAAACACATCATTAAAGCTTAAAACGCTCACAATATGGCCGCTCACGCAACTCTGCCTGCAGCAGGACACCCTCAACGTCCTGGTGTCCGAGAAGAGGCCGCGTCGCGCATTGATCAAGCTTCTCACGTAAGCCAATGGATCGAGATGTTGTTCCACCAACAGACGTTGGGACAAGCTGGTCTCGCGCAGCCTGTCCGTCTGACTGGGTGTCGTTTATGGTGGAAAGTCCTTTCTCGCACCAGCGAACAATGGAAGACAAAAACAACTGTTTAGAGACGCCCATACATTTTGCTATGGAGGTGTCTCAAGTGTTTCGTACAATGCATGTCCCCCCCCTCCAGATGAGCTGCAGATACCCGTGGAATCGCCTTCGGCTGTCCATTATGTTCAGCTCTTATTAGCGCGCTAACATGCGACATCAGCATGTTTTGCATTCAGCGTCAAAACTGTGAGAGTCGTAATAAATCATGCGGAAATGTCACACACGTATATAAAGGTGTCTCCCAGTCACGCGTCTCAATAAGCATCGGGTACGACTGCATTGATTGGAGAAAAAAAAAAAATGAAAGAGGTCTGTGTTTAACACCAGAGTTTCCTTGTAATGAGAAACCTGTGGACAGTAAACGTCCCGTGCAGTCCCCAAAAGCAAGCAGGTGAATAGTAATCTCTGCTTGGTGAGCGGACCAGGCCGTGCCAGGTGTTAGAAGGGGGGCTGTTGCTCAGTCATGTGGCACCGGGATGGTCTGGCAACAGATTATTTCAGAACGAGGACCAAAGCTCCTCTTGGCGAACGGGTGGACGGGTGGCACAGACGCAGTAGTCCTGACCTTCCCGCGGGGGCTTGGCCAGCGGGCCGACCCCATTAGAGGAGAGATCCACGAGCGACTCCCCAGGGAGCACGCTGGGGTTTATCCGAGAGCACATTAGCCCTTTCTGTGTTGGCCCTTGTGTGGAATATCCTCGTAATGTTGCCCAGCATTGCTTTCCTAGGAGGACCGGGGGGGGGCGTAGCTCGTTGCCTCTTCTAGCTTAGGCCTGAAACGCCTTCAGACAAAGACATCCATGGAATATTATTGGAAAGCCTGCTCATCAAAGTGATGGGAGGATGGAGACTGAGAGCAGCATTAGAAGCATGTCTATCATAGACGATGCATAAGATGGGATATCAAGCTGGAAGGCGGCACCGCTCATCTGCAAATACACATAAAAAAAAAAAATGTAAAAAAGCATCCTCCATGCACGGGCTTCATGCACGCGCAGCGGGGGGGGAGAAAAAAAAATGGTGTCAACTTTCACAACGAAGGATCCGAAAATAGACCCCTTTTCCAATTGGGGATAACATTTGTGGGCACACAAAAGCCCACGATAATCTTTCAATTTTCTGGAAGAACGGAACAATTAAAGCAGAAATCACAAAAGGGACAATCTGTGTGAGCGTTGAGCGCCCGGGGAGAAACAAAGGGAATTATGACGCTACGCCACAACAAATAAAGGCTGCGATAGGATCTCTTTCACGGGGTCCAACGCCCCCAAAGGAGCTGCTCCTACGCTGCCGCGTTCTAATTGCCTGGAAGCGTCTCGATGGCGGGAAAAGCCTGACCTGGATCCCCTGACCTTGTCTGTCACTCTGACGCCTGTTGATGGGGGTTGTGAATCGTCTGCTCGCCGTATCAGCAGCATGACAATCGGTTGTAACACCATATCACGGTCGGTGAAATGAGAGAAAACAGGAGACGTCAAAGACATTTACCACTGTGTGTGTGTGTGGGGGGGGACACAATCCTACTGTGAGAAATAGCGTGATTATCTCAATTTGTCAACAAAAAGAAATCAGTGTTATAATAAGGGATCAGTGTGTTAAAGAGCTCCTTTGATACGACGATAGCAGACGAGGTTGTTCACCAAGCGGCATCGAAGGCGGGCGACAAATCAATTTTCGAGCGTCAACTGAAAATGTTTTGCCTTTTCAAACCGGATCACGGCTCACGTGTCTTTGCTCACCTGCCGTCAATCAATCAGTCAATCAATCAATCGCGCCGCAGCTCTTTTATACATATTCAAGCAGCTGCAGGGCGATCGGGGACACGCAGCATCACTGCTTGTGTTCTCCCTCGGGCTACAAATGGCAGTCGTAGATGCCTCCGCTGCTCAACGGTCGTCCCCGTCTCTCTCGCTCTGTCCGTCTTTTTCTCTCCGCGCTGCACACCATGTGATGCACGCCCGTGTTTAATTATCTGGCTGGTGTATATATATATATATATATATATATATATATAAAAGAGAAACAGCCACGTTTTAGAAATAGATGGTGATGCCGATGAGCTGTACGCTCTACTGTCACTGATGTATCTCCTTTTGTTGTCATAGTGGAACAAAACACACACGAATTTGAGGCTGAAGACCTTCATGAAAAGAGCATGAATAATGAGCAAGAAATGCACCATGGCAACCATGTTGGTTTAGATGATTCATTCATTTTTATCTCCAATAAGGACCTGGTGCTGCTTTCAGAGGATGTGGCTTTGTCTGTCGTTTCGCAGCCAAGCGGCGACCAGAGGCCGCGTCCGTAACACTCTCAACTTCCCTTTTCCTGCTCCATCGGTCCAACTTTTCCACGTTGAGAGAGCGAGCTGCGATACGAGTGAGAAAACGGGAACGCGTGGCAGGACACACGGACGCCGCGGCCCGACAATGAGCCGCAGAACGCACCTCGTCGCCCCGGACTTCAGCACCGGGTTCGTCCCGAGATGCAGAACGTAATGAGGACGCCGCTTTGGCCTCCTCTTCCTTTTCTCGTTGAAGACGATCCCGGTCGGAGTGACTCCACACTCTTGGTTGCGATGCATCGGTCAAGAAAATCCAAATGTCGTGTATTAATATGAAAGTGACACTCGTTTCAGTCAGCACACTGTAACATTGACGTCCCCCTTTGGGACAAAGAATCACTGGATCAGCTGCCACGCAGACAAACATCACAGCTAAGAGAAAACGAATTGACCACAATTTGGGTCATTATTTAAGGAATGTGAACGTGTCCACGGCCTCCATCAGCGAGGACGTCACACGGACAACAATGGGTCGATGTGAAACATTCACATTTTTTGCAGCCACACGAAACATTGCACGAATCCGTCTTGCAGGCTGAAGCCTCCCGTGGGAGCGTGTCAAGGATGTGGGTTACATTTCAGTTGGCGCGCGCGACCTGCAGCTGAAGGGCCGTGCATGACCTCACCGCGGGCCGTCCAACAGTGCGCGTGAAAGGGCTCGAGGAGAAGGCGCACACGCACGCGCACGGTCGGGCGTTAAGCCCTGTTTACTGTGGCCGACACGTGGCTCTCACACCTCTGCGGCCGCGCAGCGCGAGACCAACATCCAAAGTTGGAGCAAGTGCGAAGAGCGGCGGGGCTTTGCTCAAAGGCAGGAGCGCGCGTCGACTCGCGGTCACGGGTTCGAATCCGCTCCCTCCCCACCCCCCCGAGCCGAACTCGTGCGTTTGCACCAGAGGTGGGGAAAGCAATTCCCTGTAACACGCATGCATGACCCCCCCCCACACCAACCAAGAAAATAAAGACCATAAATCACGCAACATTCATCATGCCCTCCAAACGATGCGTGTGATAACAGCCGCAGGAAAATCCCCCCCCCCCCCCCACCACAAAAAAACCCTTCCCACCATTAAGTCACTAGGTCGTGCAACAAAAAAAAAATGCATGGCATGACTCTGCTTATTGCCCCCCTCCTCCTCCTCCTCCTCTCCGGTCTCGGGGACGCAGGACAAGCCCTTTTCCTCGCATTCAAGGCGCAGCGGCGAAAATAATGTGAAGGACACCCCGCCTCCCCCCCCCCGCGCGCGCGCCCCCCCTCCCCCTCACCTGGCATATCGTCTTCAAAATCCATGTCGTCTCGTCCCTCGTCTTCATTGCTCAGCGACCCCGGCATCTTTACCTCATCGGCCCCCCGAGCCCCTCTCAGGCTGAGAATGCTGGAAGTTAACCCTGCAGACGCCGCAGCCCGGGATCCTTCTTCACCCAAAAACAAACCTACCGCCACTCACTTACAAAGAATATGAGTGTTCATTATTTATTTCTTTTCCGGGGAATCTCGGGCTTCTCTCCACATAGAAGAAAAACATATTTAAAAAAAGAACAAAAAAACATTCTTTTTGCACTGATGTCTATCCAGGTCCTCCAGTCTGAAAAATAAGAAAGACAAAAATGGAACACACATGCCCAGATTGTGACGTCTGGTCTGTTGCCATGACGATGCATCCCATAATTTCACCCACAACTAGTTAGTCACGCTGTCTTGGTTACCACTTTAACTAGTAGTGGTGCGGGGAAGAAAGAAAGAAAAAAAAAAAAGGGAAGAGAAAACGGCCCCGCGCGGGGCGACGCGACGCGACACGCGGGTAAAAGTCCCGCGATGTCAACCGTTTCCTCCCGGCGGTCCGGGGGACAGAGACGCAAAAGTTCCCCGCAACCTTTGCTCCGAGACCGGAGGACAAAGGACAACACCGCTGCGCTATACCGTCCTGGAGGGCGGGGGCATGGTTGTTATTGGGAATACGTTCGTCTAGTTTCCACTTTTAAACATCGCCACAAGCCGAAGGTAGAAGTAGTGATGGGAGGAGAGCCATGGCGACCGGCGGTTTAACGGTTGTCAAGGTTACCGCAGCTGTAACGCTGGATGGCGCGACCCACGTGACGAAGGAGAAAGGTAGATGCAGGGTCCTGAAGGAAAATGCTGCTGTGAAGGTCATTTTATTTAATCAAAACTATCGTCTTGCTCAAATCCTTCTAAAGCCGCATTATACACACACTTTGCATGTAATATAAAACACCAAAGCGGAAGATTTTTTCCTCATCAAAAGGTCAAGAACTCTAAATATGTATATGGTTAATTTATAATAAATACAACACAGAAGCACTCATGCAGGGAGATGTGAGCCCTGCTGCGTGTGACGACCACAGAACATTAAAAAGCACATAAAACAAAAGCCAACACAGATTTTTTTCCCCACTCTATTTTGAAAGTTTATTGAAACTGGTGTGAAGCTTAATCTTCATCTTCCTCCTCCTCCTCGTCCTGGTTGATCTGGAAGTAGCGCAGCTCGTAGCTCTCCTTGGTGTTGGCCACGACCCGCAGCCAGTCCCTCAGGTTGTTCTTTTTCAGATATTTCTTGGTGAGATACTTCAGGTACCTGCAAGATTAAGAAGGCAAACACCTTGAATCTGCTCCAGAGTCTCCAGGTGTGCATTCTTTAAATGTGTCAAGACTAAATAATACCAAACAACCTTTAGATAAGTCTGATAATCGGCAGCAGTACGATGCAGTGAGGTGCAATGCCACTAAAGCTTCATTTTATTGAGGGGTACAAAAAGTGCTGCCAGATGAAATAAAGTATACACACAGTAAGGGAGTGTTGTACAGGACATATTTAGATTGCTTTAAGGAGAGGACAGCAGATGTACAACTAGAACTTTGGGGTATGTTAGCATTTGGAAGCCTTTGAGCCTTCATTTGAGTCACATTCTACCATCTGTATCACTTACACTTCAGATGGAGTAACACTAACGTCATTTGGTAAGAAAAAAGGTTTAGCAATTCTAGTCTTTTAGGAATTTTCACTTCATTTTTCATTGGGGATTTTTCACAGGGTGCAGATTCCAATTCCTGAGCCGCTCGGAGAGATTTGAACAAGCATCTATTTACGCGTCTTTTTTTGTCAAATAGCACCTTTGAGCTCCCGCATTGAGCAGAAATCGCTGAAACGTGAGACGCAAACAAAAATCCCACACGCGTCAGTCGCTGCACATCATCGGCCCGACACGATGAGCAGCGTCGGTTCGTTTGTTGGCTTTACCTCTTTGAGAAGGGAACTTCAGAGTTCACTGCGATTTTACTCTTGCTCCTTTCGATGGACACGACCCCGCCGCCGAGGCTCCCGGCTTTGCCGTTCACCTTGATGCGCTCCTGCAGGAACTGTTCCTGTTGGGTGTAGAGGAGACACACACACACACGATGAGCCTCTTAAATACTGACAAGCGACACACTGGCACCGACATCTGGTCGAGTTCCCATCGAAGCCCCACTGGATGATGGTGGCCTCTGACACGCAGGTGGGCTTCAACCCGCTGCTCTACTCACGAAGTTGGCAGCGTCCATGATTCCATCCTCCACCGGGTGCGTGCAGTCCAGGGTGAACTTCAGGATGGTCTTCTTCCTCTTCCCACCCTGCTTCCGGACCACCTGCTTCTTCTGAAAACCACAGATATCGAGAGGGTTAAACTTCCTAAGCGTGACGTAGTTTGAAGGAAGAAAAACAACACAAAAAAAAAAGCTTTATGATAACTTGGCGATTATGACGTATAACGTCACACGTGCTAAGCCTTCGTATTTCCGGGGTAAATGCGTTTAAACGCTGCATCAGTCTTAGAAACTTTTCCTCGTGACGGGTGCCCGCTAGCTAGCTGTTAGCATTACGTTAGCCCAACGTGGCTTTATCCCTCACAGTAAACACAGGTCTAAAAAGGAGCGTTCAAACGCCCGCGGGCCCCGCGGCGTTTGAGCGCTGGTTAAACACACGCACAATGGCGCGGAACGCGTGCGGAAATACGTCGTCCGTGTGCACTTTATTCGGTCGTTTTGACAAGCTACTCACAATCGGGGCCATGGCTGACACACACAGCAAAAAGGAAGGAGCGAGGGCGACGCAGGAGCTATAACACCCCGCAGAGAAGTCGATCGCATCGACTTCTCTGGGATTGATTAAGCGGGAACGTGGATTCCGGCCAGCTAGCGAACTCGTTGCTCATTTTTGGTTCTAACTAGTTTTTTTTCTTCTTTTTGAAATGACAAACATTGTTAATGCAGGAGAATTGACTCAACAATGAGGTCAGACGTCTTGTTTACCGGACAACTCTTTTATTTAAAACCACAGTAATCAATAATACGGTTGAATAAATTCACCTGTGAATAGCTTCGCTTTCAGTCATGACTTTTCGATTTGTAGTTCCAATATTAAGTAGGAATATTGAAGAAATGCAAAGCCTTTTAGCAAACAAACGTATAGTCTATAATGGATGTGAGCAACTTGTCTCCATGACAACAGAGTGAAAGGATAAAAGCTTAGTAATCTTATTTGGTTTTACATCTCTAATTTACTCACTCGTTTTTCAAGTTTATTGTCAAAAACAGAGAAGCTACTCAACACTTCAATTCATTGTAATCAATTGTTATCTTACGTTTCATCAAATAGGTTCTCACATGTATGCTCTTGAATTAGAAATGGAGCAAAACTATTTTTATAATGTTGAAATGTACACATTTACACATAACAGCGCTTCAATAAGGTTTTTTCTAGTTGGCATAGTGTTAAATATCACAGGAGGAAAGTATTAACCCATGTTCAGGGTAAATATTTGTAGTATTATCCAGTCCACTTCCCTCCAGTCACGTCCCGACGTAACAACACAAGTGTGACTTCACAAACAGGATTACTGTATTCTTAATCTCCAGGCCGCACTGATATTAAATGTCCCTTGAGCACTTTGGCGACGCCGGGGGGGGGGGCGGCCTGAGGTGCGCGCTGCCAGCTGCCTGGCGCAGGGACCCCGGAGGCCTATACCATCCGAGGGCTTCTGCATCGCTGTCATTCCCGCCGGGGGGGGGCAGCTGACAGCGGCACCGACAAGGTAAGACAGTCGCTCTCTGAGCTGCAGAGCCTTGCTGTGATGTCGGTGCTTTTGCAGGGGCTCTAGTGGACGTTCCTCTGTGCGTCGGACGAGGTAAGAGACTGAATTAGAAGAAGCTTGTTTACTCCAAACAATAGCCGACATGCCGGATCAAAGAGTTGTGTAACACAGTCAGCTGAGCCTCCCTCATAGCAACTGGGATATTTGAACCATTACACATGCTGAAGCTGCTGTTCGCTCCCTTTCCCGGTAAGATGGCTGGAGAAATCTTCCCCGGCTCGGATCACCTGTGCAACGCGGACCGCGCCAACGTCCACCCGCTGGTGTGTCACCTGTGCCACGAGCAGTACCAGTCGCCGTGTCTGCTGGACTGCTACCACATCTTCTGTGCCCGCTGCCTGCGAGGACGGGCCAGGGACGGCCGTCTCAGCTGCCCCCTCTGTGGGTAAGAGACAGCGCCGGGAGGACCACTTTTGGAAGCAGCGGGAACCCCGAAGACGGGTTTATGGGTTCGTTACTTTTGGCCACAACCACAGAGGACATTTCTTCCTGAATATGTTCACATTAGGATGTAAAATACACCCCTCTACCTAAGCATGGATATCGTACGTATGATACGAAGCCTTAAAACCCCCAAATAACATCATATGTAACATTAGATCCCGTTGGATTCAGAGAGCAACCTCTCTCTGTTTTGGGTTTGAGGGATCTGCTCGGTGACGATCCAGAGGGGATCTGAGCAGCTGCAGGGTCACCAAGGTCTGATATTTAGTCCTCGGACCTGATGCCCCCGGAGGGAAAGTTCCTCTAAGCAAACAAAGCATGTCGGTATTTGTCACCGGTGAAGGCGGGTTTAGGGCCACATGATATCAACCCATTCCATTTACCAGTCACCTTCGGGTCTGCAGGACCGACTTTCACCTCATCAAAGCCCACGCGGATGAACAGGAGAGGACCTCCGCCGCAACGTCGTTGTAACGGGAGTCGTTTCTTCCGCGTCAGATACAATACATCTTTTTTGTAGTTTTCCCTTGTGTGCGAATGAGTCAAAGGGCGACGAGCTTCGATGTCTTTGGCTGCTCGTTCACCCGGAGATACAGAGTCAATAATTGATGGTTTGTCCCATTTGTTTGCAGCGTGGAGTCTTAATGTGCACAACAAGACAACATGCAATCAAGGGGTAATCAGTACACACGCTGCACCGCGACGCAGGTCTTATAAAGTAACACAACTCGTTTGTCCCTCTAATGCTAAAAAAACGAAATAATTCCAGATCAGCCACCTGTGGTTCTGTCTCAGCACGTCCTCCCGTTGGCACCGTGAGCCTGTTGAGGCTTTACCTTTGAATTCCTCGTCGACGGCGCGCTACGAGCTAACCGCTTTGGGTCAAACCGAATCATCATGTGACCTACACACTGAACCCGAGGCGGCCGCCACGTCCAACTGCCTCAAAGCGGTTTGACGTGAAGCTGCGTTGATGTAGGCGACGTGTACCAGTCAGCTGCACAAGTCTGATTAAAACCAACAACTGTCTCTCATGGCATTAGAAAAACGAAAGGAGGCCGTCCGTGTTTCTCTTTGGAAGTAACCACGTGAGCAGAGAGCCGGGCGCGCTCAGGCGGCTCCCGTTTCCATCAGCTGGTCCGCCAACAGCTGCTCACTCAAGCAGCGTGTAATCTAGGAATTCTCTCCTCCGCTATTAGTAGAACACAATGGATCCCCGTTGCTATGAAAGCCAGATAAAACATCTCAGCGGACAGCTGGGGACACAGCGGCCGGATCAAAACGGAGGCAAACAGCCTTGTGGGTAAATGCCACTGGTCACAGCATCAGTCATATTCTATTAGCGTGTGTATGATTTACTTCTGTTCATCAATAGAGATAAAATTAGTTATTTATTAGCTATTTAGTTCCAAACCAAAAAGGAATATCGTTGGGATTTCAAATGAAGGATGGATCAAAGATGACTTCTTTGTCTCTGGTAAATAATTGATTTCCATTTCCTGGCAAAATCAATTAACTCTGCATTACAGCGATCATTTACAATTCTACTCTGATCTTTAGAAACCCTCCCTTTAAATCCGTAGAAAGCACCCAGACTTTAATCTGAATCCACCATCCTGTGTTCGTTGTGACGCAAACCACGGATGTTCCTCCAGATTAATTCCACCGATAAATTATAAACGGTCCGTCTTTCAGCGGCTGCCAATCCGAAGAGATAAACTATCAATTAAGCAAAGACTTCATTTTAGGTGTCACGCTTACCCGTGTATTAAAACAGGAATTTGTCACAGTGTGTTGTTTTCAGGAAGGGAATGAAAAGCCTTTGAATCAGATAACAGGGCGCCACCTTCTGGAACGTCACAAGAAATGCACCAAACCAGGAGATTAAGGACGCATCTTTAATGACGGCAGCATTTAGGCAACTTAGACAACAACAACAAGTCCTTTTTGCCAACAAATACACTGCTGGAGACAACCGTCCACCCAGGGTTCAACTTAAAACGTCTGTTTAATGGTAGAAAATATGAAGCGATGTCATTACGCCGGGAGTTCCGACCCATTTAGTGCTTTGCGGCGCCGCTGCCACTCGGCTGCTCCTCCTGGTACCCCTCAGTCTTCATGTCGTTCAGACCCAGGTCCTCGTTCTGCTCAAACGTGCGCGTGTACTTCTCCGTGGTGAGCTCGGGATCCGGATCCGGCGCGTACACGTTCTGCACGTAGCTGTTCCCCGTCGGGTCGTCCAGGACGACGTGGACCTCCAGCTCCCCGGCCATGATCCTGTCGATCTTCTCGCCGAACGCGCGCAGCTTCTCCACCCGATCCGAGACGCCGCTGTCGCCGCAGATGAAGGGGTTCTTGGAGACGACCAGGTTTTTGATGTCCGTCAGCAGCCCCTCCAGGGTGGTGAACTTCCCGCCCACGGCGGCCATCCCCAGCTCGAACTCCAGCTCCGGGATGCCGATGCCGCACGTCTCCGACTTCAGCACGTCCCGGGTCATGTCGGACACGTCGGTGACCCGCAGGGTGATCCTGGTGCCCATCTCCTCCGTGGCGCCGCCGGATTTCACCTCGTTGGTCCGGTGGCCGCAGCTGTCGCAGTTGGTGGCCATGATGATGACCTCCTTGAAGTGGGGGATCTGGACGAGCTTCATGTTGGTGGAGGCCGGCGCGTTGCACTCGGGGCAGTTGGTGTTGAAGGCCAGAACCTCGCCTCTCATGGTGTCGATGTCGCTGCCGGCCGGCTCCTCGTCCGGCTCCTCGTCGTCGCCATCGGCCCGTAACCCCAGCTGGATGTCGTGCTGGACCGTCCTCTTGAAATGGGACACGGTCAGGGCCTCGTCTCTTTGAGGCGCCGTGGGGTTCTCCACGAAACTGTTGCCGGAGGGATCCTCGATCACCAGCGTGAACTCGTCTTCCACCTCCTTCAGCTTCCTCAGCTTCTGGATGAACCCGTCGATCTTCTCCGCCACCTCGGGGTCGTTGAGGCGCCGGGCCGGCTGCTCCTGCTCCAGGCCGGCGGCGGCCCGGTCCAGCAGGCCCTCGATGGTGGAAAGGGCACCTTTCTGGGTGAAGGGGGGGATTTCGAAATCCAGCTCGGGTATCCTGGTGGTCGCGCTGTCCGCCTTCACCACCTCCCGGTTCAAGTCCTCCTTGGTTTTGACTTTCAACGTGTAACAAACGCCTTGGTCCTGTATCCGACCCGCGGACTGGATTTCGGTGTTGGACCAGTTGCAGTTGTCGCAGCTGAACGAGCTGACGATGACTTCTTTGAAGAAGGGTATCTTGGTCAGGAGCAAGCGCGTCACACCGTTCAGGTGGCAGTTCATACACATGCTCTCCAGCTCGGTGGGCTGCCAGTCTTCGCCGTCGGCGCCGATTTCCTTGAATAAGTTCTCGCCGCGGACATTTTCCTCCGAAATAACAGACATTTCTTTCCCCCCCCGCGTTTAATGCGTCTCTTCTCGGCGGAGTGACTTGCTGGAACTTTCTGTGTGACCAAGCGCCGAGCCTCTTACGCACGATGGATGTGGTGCGCACCTTCTTTCTCAGCTACTTCCGCCCTTTCTTCTTCTACGGTGGAGGCGTCTTCAGGCTCACTTCCGCCCCCTCGAGGCGCCGATGCGTTACTGCAGAGCACCTTCCGCTGCGCACAGGGCGACCAAACAGGTGTTAAAAGTCATTTTTAGGACTATTTTCTGTATATATTTCACTGCACTGTGGGTGTAACTTTGTTTGTCGTAAGTTTGTGTTCTGGGTTTTTTTCTGCAGTTATATTTATTATCATTTAATATACAAATTCGTATCGTGAATTTAAACTACCCTTTTTTTTAAAGCATGAAACATTTTTGGACATTTGTCTTTCATTTTAATTGTTTTTACAATTTACTTAGTTTGTTTTATTCGGGAAGGATAACTCATGCCGATGTGTAAATGAGGCATGAATAAGTTGTTATTTAAGGGCATGTATTTTGTAGAGGTTCTGCACTTGTTTGGATTTTGACGACTCTCTTGACGGACGGAAGATGAAATAAATAAAGGAATAAAAACTAAACCATCCAGACGCGTTTTAAGACACAACTTACCTTTACTTACCTAATAATATGCTACAAAACATCTAACTTTGTCAAATTTTTCAACATTGAAAAATGTGATGGATGAATATATACATGTTATTAAAAACAGTTTGACTGCTGAAGTTTAACTTTTAAAAGTAAACCACACGTCTGAGTGGACAGAAAAAATGAAAAGAAATCGAATTGCTGTTCTTGTTTTACATCACCTGCATTCTTATGAGATCAAGCTGTGGATTATTCTTTAACACATACATGACCTTGAAAGAATAGACCCCAATGAATGTCATGATTTCATCAGGTTGCGTAAATGTCTCTCTTTGCCACAGTTACCCGTCGATACTAAAAGGGAATAGCGCGCTCCCTCCAGAGGACCGCCTGCTCAGGTTCCTGGTGGACAACAACGCGGACGCTGAGGAGACAGTGCAGTGCGCCAACTGTGACCAGGAAAGCAGCCACAAGGTGAGAATTGACGTTCACATTTATTATGGTGACGTTTCACACAAGTATGGTGATTTTTATGTCGTCCTTTCTCTTGATTCGACCACTTGGGGGCACCAAAGTATAAAGAATAAACAATAGCTTGAAGATGGGCTTTCTTGCATCAATGTGTAGCTTGGAAACAATAAACAACTGCAGCATGTTTCTGTGATCTCATTTGTGTTTTTGTGCGGTCAGGACGCCGGGGGGATGCACTTCTGCAACACCTGCAGCCAGCCGCTTTGCGGCGCGTGCAGGGAGTCGACTCACAGGGCCAGGATGTTTTCCCACCACGAGATCGTATCCCTCGCCAAGCGCTCCAAGGCCAAGCACAGGAAGTGCTGTGAGTGCCACCTGTGGCTCAGCGGGAGAGGAGCCAACGCGGCGTGGAACACGTAGTAGGTGTTGATCAGCCGGCTAATCAGGAGGTTCACGGGTTGTTCTTTGTCACCACAGCGCTCCACGAGGAGCCCTACATCCTGTTCTCAACGGAGAACACGTCCATGCTCTGCATCAAGTGCTTCAGAGACATGCAAGTGTGAGTCAAGCCTCTTTTATCCTCCGCTTTGTGTTCATTCCTTGAATAATGAGTGCGGGCTTAGCTCACGTTTTCAAAGCTCAAGCACATTTTCCTGTTTCACAACATGCTGTTGTGACGGGTCTCCACATTCCAAATAATACTCCAAGTATTATACAGGACGACGGAGGCTTATTTTCTCGCCATAAGATCTTCAGAGGATTGGAATTTGTTATAAAGAGTTGCCTTTTCCAGTAACAATTTAGAGTTAATTCATTTAGTAGTAACCCGTCAGTTAATACCGACAAACGTGATTCCTTCCGTTCCTGCAGGAAACCGGTTTCCTCCTCTGATATTTAAGTCCAGATGTTGAAAAAGACGCTGGTCTATAGGAGGACACGGGGTGCTTATCACTCCTCCCACGCCCGGCTTGCAGCCCCGTCCCAGAGATTCATTCAACACAAAAAAAAGCAAAAGGAGGTCTTTTTATTTTAACATATTTTGAAAAATGCCTTTCCAAAAAACCTCCATCTGGCCCTGGAGCTCCGTCACTTTGCATAGCTTTGATAGCTGCTACTACTTCTTCCAAGCTTAGCGGGGAGTCCGCAGCCTCACAGGCTCCCGGGGTCTGAAGTGGAGGCCTGAAGGCCTTTGAAAAAAAAAATGAGGTCACGGCAGTGACGTCACTCTCTCTTCTCCGCCGTGAATCCGGCGTTGTCTGTTTACCGCAGGGAGAGTCGGACTCACTGCATCGACATTGAAACGGCTCACATGAAGGGGTGCGAGATGCTGGACCGGGCCGTGCAGGTGAGAGAGGCGCATCATGAGGCGATGGTGTGTGTGTGTGTGTGTGTGTGTGTGTGTGTGTGGAGAGACGGGGTGCAGGTGCACCTGTGTAGCTCATTACAATACAATTTGAATGCATAAATGAGCTTTTCTGAATTAATCCGCGGGTCAAAATCAATTACATTTGTAACACAGCTAGTGTCAGTTTTGCAGTACTGCATAAGCTTATTTATAAAGAGTACATCAAAAAGAAAATAGTGTTTCCGTTGTAATGAGCTGAGATGAGCGAAACCGCCTGGACAATATTCTCATGTTTCGGTCCTTCTGAAGGCCCCGGTGACGAATGTGTGTCCCCGTGGCTTTTGATTGACAGCCAGCCTCCTCCTCCTCCTCCTCCTCCTCCTCCTCCGTCCGCAGGCGGTGAAGGAGCTGCAGACCTCGGCCAGGGAGGCGATCGATCTGCTGAGGGCGATGATAGGAGAAGTGTGTCTGAATGTGGAGGAGGAAGAGAGCGCGATCTGCTCTCTGTTCAACAGCCTGCAGGTCAGAGGATCCGATCCGGGTGTGAAGGAGCCTCTCAAATGTTGCTTTTCGTCCCCCAGTAACTCAATGGAAAGAAGTTTCGGAGTGATATCTGAACTTACATTTTGATTGCTGAGGCTGTTAACAGGGCTCGGCCACTGGAGGTCTCTGTTAACCTGTTCGGGTCAAAAGAGCGAGCTTTCTGTGTGTCGTTAGCAATGCAATAGAGCAGACAGCACAGTGGTTTTACACACTCTTATTTCTCATTTCTTTTATCTCGACAATTCATTAAGTATCGCAGAGCTCAGGGCCACTTGCACAGCGGCGCGATGAATGAAAGGCTCCGTCTCCTCTGTCCTTGTCTGACAGGAAAAACTGGCAGAGAGGAAGAAGATTCTGCTGAAAGCAGCTCAGAGGTAAAACTGCAATATAAGATTTAAATGTTTTATGCTTTTGTTGCCTTGAAGCTCGGGACTCGATATTCACCTGATTGAATGCTATTATCCAGCTGTTTTTCCATCGTGTCCTGCTGCATTGTGCAGCACCCCGTTGGCTCTTGAATAGTCGCAAACAAACATATTTTCAGTGGGATTACAGATGTTAAAGCCATTTGTTGCACACGGGGCCTCGACCCGCTCAATGAAAACAAAGCCGACTCAAATACAGGGACACAAATACACATTATCTACGATATAGACGTTCTCAAGTCCCTAAAATCCACAAGCGCTCCTCCGCTTTGAACCTTCAGCAGCTGTGTCTGTTATTCCGAGGAGGAGCTCATGTAGCGCATCGTCACATCATACGAGTTTAGAGTTGAATTTGCAAAGACAGGATGATTAATCGCCTATTCGTCGTCATCATCTGAACCGTAAATGATTACGATGGTGCAAAAGCCACACAAAGGGGGAATATTTGACTAAATGTCCTCCCAAGGTTTGCAACTCATTTCTTTCAAATGGAATCAAACATACCATCAAGGTCCGCTGCACCTTTTTAAGAAAGGGGGATTAGTCGGTTGACCATTCGGTTAATAAAGCAGAACTCTCTCCACACGCAGCGGATCTCCAAAGCCTCATTTATTTCCAGCTCCAGATGAAAACCCCCCCCCTGAATGATTTCCGAGCACTTTTCCCTTTCAGCCTGCGTCTGTGCGTGAGATTGAATGGGGACAATTTAGTCCATGTGAGTGAGTGAGTGTCTCCGGTTGCTCTCCGTGGGGATCTCTAATGAGATTTTTCGTGTCCTCCATCTCGCTCTCTGTCTCTCTGTCTCTCTGTCTCTCTGCGCTGCCTGGAAGCCGTCCAGCGTCTGAGCTCCCGGAAGAGCGTTGAAGGCTATTTATGTCGGTCCTTTGTGCGTCCGGCTGCTTGTGTGCAGACAGAGAAGACCGATTAGCTAAATGTGGAGTATGTTGTTTGGTGGTTGCACCTCCTGAGCTGCATCCTCTTGAGTCCTAACGTGGACACATGCGTGTGTGTGTGTGTGTGTGTGTGTGTGTTTGCAGTCAACATGCGGAGAAGGAGAAAGCTCTGAAGGAGCAGCTCTCACACCTCACTGCGCTGCTGCCAACCCTCCAGGTAGAGGAAGAGGAATCCCCCATGAGCTCATGTTACAGTGTTTGTGCAGCCTCCATCAGAAAAGCAGAACCGGAGTCCCGTCGGCATCTGGTTTGAAAATGAATCTCTGTTGTTTTTCAGGTGCACCTCGTCACCTGCTCGGCCTTCCTCAGCTCAGCCAACAAGTTTGAGTTCCTGGACATGGGCTACGTGAGTATAAGGGCCTTTATGGAGTCATAAATGACAGTGGATAACCACCGCGCGGCCTGTGATTCCTCCCGTGATTCCTGCAGAGACCTCGGTCGCCCGAGATGAAGCGCGTCACTCCGGTTTCTTTTTTCTCGCACAGCAACTCATGGAGCGGCTGAAGAGGATCGCGAAGCTCCCTCACCGGCTGAGACCCGCGCAGAGCAGCAAAGTGAGCGCCAGCCGTGCCGCCGGGGCCGGGGACAGGTCACGTCCCCGGCCCGGCGGGTAGCAAACAAGACTTAAGATATAAGATCAACCAATAAGAGGGAAGCGGTTATTCAGCCAAGCTTCATAGCAAGTCGACCTCAAGGAGAGATTCTTTGTGGAAGTTGGTTGTTTTGTGTGGCAGTTTTCACACACTATTAGTTGCCAGGTTGCTATTGACAACCAATTCGAGATATTGGCAACCGATTCTTGGCTCCACCTCCTCTTAACCTAATAAATATGTGCACTCCGATAACACACGTATCATTTTTAGTATTTGTCTCAGTGGTTTTATTTCAGCGATAGATTTTGGCACCTAGCTGAAGCCTGCTTGTCAGCAGCACTCAAACGTTATTGTTCAGCCCTGCTGAGGGTCCTTAAAAATATATTGTTTTGTGTGATTGAGTAATTTCTGATGCTTGGTGTTTTTTTAAGAAATGTAAAATATGTACTGAGAATCCGTCGCTATTACCTCAGTAAATAAAGCTGAAACACGCATGTGAAGGAAATACACGTTATCCTTTTCATAACTCATGGTGATGGTGGAGTCATCAACACACCAGTGATTTCACGTTTTAGTTTCAGTTTGTTGTTTTAATGTGCGGCTCTTAGTGAAAAACCGACTACTGCTTTGACAGTTTAATGTGTTTTCTCTCTTTACTTTTGATTTGTGTACTTTGCTTTTAAATGAGGATGAGAATAATAACGCTGATTGTGATTATTATTGATCTTATTTTCCTCACTCTTCCTATTTTCTCACAAGAAAAAAGAAAGAAATGTGTGCGCGAGACTAAGTGAGCTTTTCCTCGGTTTCCCTTCAGATCAACACGGACTACAGGAGTGAGTTTGCTCGCTGTCTGGAGCCCTCGCTGCTGCTCGCCCAGCGCTGCCCTGCTTCTGCCGCCGGGCCTGTGAGCGTCGCCGCGAGGTGAGGTCGCTCCCCGAGGGGCCGCTGTCGCTTGCACGTCATCACAAAACAATCTCAGGCTTTTGTTTCAAATGTACACACACACACACACACGGGGGGGGGTGTCTGTGTGGAAACATGCACTTGTTTTGCTGGCTGAATATTAGAATGGCATCTGTCACTGGATTCTTCCAAGAAAGCAAAAAGTGTCACGCGCGTGAAGCGTCCACACGGAAAATCCCAGAGCGCTCGCGGAGGTGCAGATGGTCGACGGCGATGAGTGAAGTGAGAGGAAAGGAGGCGCCGTGCTGAGTCCCAGCATGTCCGTCCTTAAGCTCCGTACACTGATATGTTTACGTAGCCCGCCTTGCTGCGTGTGGGGGGGTCACCGAGCACCGTGTCAGAGCTGCTGGATGAAGATGTTCGGTCGAAACCCCCCAAACTGCGCGAAGGCTTCGACGGAGGCCGTAAAATCTCTCCCCAGAAAACCACCTTTGTTTCACCGCTACTCAGAACCATGACCGCCGGCGGCCGCTCACGCACTCTGACCCGTTCTTTCCACGCCAGTGGAAGCCTTAAGCCCACCCGCCGGTGCCAACATACTAACAGCTCTCCTTTCCGACCTGCTCCGCGGCGCGTGGGTGCGAGTGGCAAAGTGGGCCGGGGTCCGGGGGGTCTTGGGCAACTATTTTTATCATGATTTCACAGAACCTCCCCGGGATTCATCTGGAAGTTGGCACGCAGGAGCCGCCGGCCCACTTTGTTCCCGGGCTGACGATGGCGCGGCTTTAGCGGGGGTTTAATTGGCCTCGGCGGTGGGAGGTCAGAGGGTGGGCGTGCGGAGGAAGAACATGTGTAGGGCGGAGAGAGAGAGAGAGGGAGGGAGCGAGGGAGGGAGGGGTGAGGACACACGGTGGAGACGGGTCCTCTGTTGCATCAGCACTGGGCGAGAAGGAAGGAGTACGAGCCAGCCGGACTGCAGGTACATTTATATCAACTCTATTATTCTCAAGTCCTCGCAGTTTATCTGTCTGGCATCGAGTTTCCCTGAGTTTGTGACGCGTGTCTTCACTTGCAGTGGGATCCACAAATGCATGAATGCAGATGCAGCTTTTGAAATGTGGTTGAATTGAAGGTGCTTCTACTGATGCCAGATGTGGTTACAGAACTTCCTGAAGTCCACCTCGTACTTCAGTTAACAGACGGCTGTTTGTTCAGAATAACTCCCACGTGGTATTTTACTCTGAATGTGACTGAATGTGCGTCTGATACTTCGACTTGCCGTTTCCTCCTCTTGTAAGCCGCTAACACAGGATGCGGAGCCGGGCCGGGGATTTGCTGGACGGCCCCGTTTGTATCACCGTTTCCCCGAACACGGGTGACGTTGTTCAGCCGTGTTCTCTCGTGCCACTGATGCTGTGGTATTGACAATGTCTTTAATCGGTTGCGTTGCGGGACACAGTCTGGAGGCTCAGGTCGTACTCTGCGCCCTACGGACCCGGGTCAATATATGTTTATCAGCCAGAGTCACCGTGGCCTCGAGTGATCCTCCATAGGTCTAAAGATGGGGTCAACAGTTGCACTTTCTCCGAATGAATAGGTGTTTGTGTGTGGTGTACAATATGCATTTAATCCCCAGCTGATTGCAGTGATAGAAAGCTCTGGCAGCTCCGAACTCAAAGAATATTGCACTGGGTTCTGAGTGCATTGAATAGTGCAAGCTGTGCACGTACAATATTTATGTAATATATGCAGAGTCAGAACGGAGCTGGTCAATTATCGAGTTCAATAAATGTAATATGAGGTTTTATTCCCGAGGAGAGATTCAATGCTTCGTGCTCAGTTATTAAAAACACACATCCCTGGTTATCGCTCCCTCGCCTCAGGCACCAGTCGCCGCTCTCGGCGTCTTTCCGCTCGCCGTCCCTCAGCGAGATGCCGCTGGGCTCGGTGTGCGGCCGAAGGCCCGCTTGTCGCCGCAACGTCTGCACCAAGGTGCTCCTGGCCGAGGGGAGGGAAACGCCCTTCACCGAGCACTGCCGCAGCTATGAGAGCACCTACAGGGTGAGTCACATGACACGGCCACAAACCAGAACAACCTTCTCCGCAGAACGTCGCTAGCTTCTCCTATAAATGCTCCCACGTCGGTTAGAGCTGCTGCAGCGACCTCTTGACCCGGACCAGGAGGCGCCTCTGACCCTCTAACTCAACCTTGTAGCGTAAAAGACGGGTTTTCACGCTCAGATGCACTTCACCTGCCGCCCCCACCCCCATCAGAATCCCACACTGAAGCACCTCTCGCGTGTTCCGTGCGTGCATGCGTGTGTGTGCGTGCGTGTGTGTGCGTGTTTGTAGACTCTCCAGACGGAGATTCAGAACCTGAAGGACCAGGTCCAGGAGCTGCACCGGGATCTGACCAGGCACCACTCCATCATCAACACGGGTCGGATGGGAGAGATCATGGACAGGTCGCTGCGCATCGACGGCCAGATAGCCTCCACGCACTCCACCGTGGAGACCATGAGAGTCGCGTTCGAAGAGGTGCGTCACGCGCCGCCTCCACGGTGACCGCCTCAGTTAGCGGCCCCGATCGCTGGTCCTCAGCGCGGAGCTCTAGCCGCCCACTAGCAAGCCGTTGTCATGGATGTAGAATTATCTCTCCACGTTCTCCTCACAGATCTGGGATGAGACCTTTCAGAGGGTCACCAATGAGCAGGAGATCTACGAAGGTCTGTCTTCTGGACTTAAGATGCATCACTCAAACGTTTTTATCTTTGCCTCACCGACACAATCTCCACCCTCCTGGTTTTACGGGTTCCAGCGCAGCTTCACGACCTGATGCAGCTGAAGCAGGAGAACTCTTACCTGACCACCATCACCCGACAGATCAGCCCCTACATCCTGTCCATCGCCAAGGTCGAAGAGAGGCTCCAGCCCAGGTCACCGATTCCTGTGTATCTTTTACATGAAGCCTCACTGGAGCATCGCTGACAAACAAAGGAAAACGGTCTGATTTCAAAAACTGTACTTTTTTCAGGTTCCAGGAGGCCACGGATCACCATGACGACCGCACGGAAACCATGTTGAAAATCTACGAAGACGGCGCGCCGGCTAAAGACGGTGCAGACAGGTACCGACGCGGATGAACAGGTCTCGCTTTGGTTCGGCAGCATCGGCGTAGTTTGCCGACAACCTTCTCAAAACATGACATCACGCGTTTGTGTATTTCGCAGTCAAGCCCCTCGTTTGTTTCCTCTCGACAGCGACAACCAGGTCTGTGTGGCAGACGCAGACCGACTCAAGAACCCGCCGCCGCCGCCGCACGCCGGCCCTCGCGTCCGCGGACGGCTCGGTCAAGACCGGCCGTCCGGTCAGGCCGAGGGTTGCCACGGAGACGACCAGCCACAATGAGACGTCAATCCGTGAACGATCGCGTTTCTGTGTCCGGTCCTGGATTCGGCCTTAAGGAGCCCGGGGACGGACGTCCTCGTCTGTGAGGCTCCGACCTTTTCTCGGTGCAGCGTTGACCTCGGACAGAGACGGACGTGGACAAAGACAACAAAGAATTAGTGTCGTTCACCTTGAGGAACAGAGGGAATTTCCTTTGGTTCCTCTTTGTGCGTTTATTGTTGAAATGATTTTATTGTTTTTTTATTTGTGAAATCTGTGTGTGCAGTTGTTTTTTTTGCAGAATCAATTTTTTGCATAAAACATTTCCGCGGCGGGAGGCCGATGATGGATGACTGCCAAAGTCAGATGACGGCACAGATGGAACACGGCGAAGGCAGTGTGTGTGTGTGTGTGTGTGTGTGTGTGTCAGTGTAGGTCACATGTTGACGTGTGTCTCCTCCAAAATGAGGCAGTCATTTCCCGCGTGGCGTCTGCAGTCGGATCCTTTTTTTTCCCGCAGCAGTTTCAACATCTCAATGCAGGAAGTGGAACAGCTGGAGTTACAGAGGTGTGTGAGCTGCTCTCAACCTCAACCATCTACTGCCAGTTTCTTTTTCTTTTTTTTCCACATATGTCCTCAATTTTCCATAATGTCTAGAAATATATTCCTCTTGCTTTGCCTCTCGACTGCACGTCGGTGCTTTAAGGCAGGAAATCAGCAGCTATGTGCTTCTCCTGTTCCTCCCATGTACTTAATTTACCATGTTGGTATTCTCATCATGTTAAATCACACAGGTAGTGGAACAGAAAGCCATTTACCTTTTCCCTGCAAAGGCAGAGGCACCCAGAGGACCTGAATCATTTGCATTTTAAGTGATATCAGGACCCTAAAATACTAAAGAAAAACAACAGAGCTTAAACACAGGAGCGTGTTCGCCAGACAAAACCTCCCCGCCTGCCAGCAGACAGGTGAGGGACGATAACGAGGAGCCGAGCCGATGGCTCCGGCAAAACCCACGAGGAGGTTATTTACATACACGCTGTGTGAGGTTGCGTTTGTGCAGAACCCTCGCAGGAAACATATCGGGGTCACGCCGGCCTCGGGGGAGCGCCGGAAGGTGCGGATTCATTAAAAAACGCGTTGGTGACAGCGGAGTAACAAATGGCTGCGCCGCGTTCCTGTACTCCCTCCCCGTGGTCGTTCATCATCTGCTCCCATCGAACGGCCTGTTCATTATTCCCACGCGCCTCCGCCGGGCCGGAGGGGGGAGGGGAGGGGGGGGGGGGGGGGGGCCCCCCCCAAGGTTATTTGAAAAAAAAAACTTTGTTTTTGGGAGGTAAAGTTCACGCAGGTACGGTTCTCATTTCCTCGAGCAACCTTTTTTTTTCCAGGAGGGGGGCGATATGTCTACAGAAGATATGCTGAAGGGGAAGAATTCCCTTTTTAAAGTAATAGGAGAAAAACATTAAAGATAGAATTAAAGTATAATTATCTCTTTGTAAAAAGTGGGTCACTGAAGCAATAAGAGAGTATGACATTAAGAAGAGTACAATTAGAGCAAATAGAGCACGTTGAGGACACGAGTGGTTGTATAATGAGGCTGCAGACACAGTTAAGAGTCTTAATTATGCTGCTGCACAAAACCTGGTGCTCGCACACAGAACTGCTTCTCACTGATTAATCGCAGATGTATATTTTAAGACATTATTGCATTTGCTCTACGGACGCGTGGTCTTCAAACAAGACGACGGTATGATGCGTATAAATTGCAGGACGGAGGGTTAACAAGTGAAGAATATGTGCGACCAAAATTCAAAGCAAAACCGAGATTTTATTTTCATTTCAAAAATACCGAGAAAGCTTTTGTAGGCGTCCTCTACATTTGTCTTGATTTCTCGTCAGTAGCAGAGGTTTTTTATATATTTGTACACACTTATTATTTTTTTCTGTACCTCTAGCAATAGTTCCCCAAGTATCCCGCACATGCAGATTACTTTGCCTCAAAGAGTCGAATGAGCTCTGATTAGTCTTCGTTCAACTGTTGACTGAAGTCAGGCCTTTCACAATAAGAGCAGCAGTTGTTTGCCTCCGTACAGAAATTCTTATTTTTAAAGCACCGCCTACTCCCCCTTACTTCCAGCACATGAACCCAACCACGCCCTTGCCCGACGGCGAGGGATTCTCTCCTCTGCTGTGGACCGGGAGGGTAATTGGAATCAATTTTGTTGCCGTTATCAGCGGTGGCAGATGCACGAGGCCCCTGTGTGGAAAGGTCAAGGGTCGAGGGAGCCTTCCCGGGGGACTCGGGAGCTTCGACGCATTAAAATGTCATTCCTGAATCAATCTCACACGAGGTCACGGGTTTAATCTCTGTTGTTTTTCACTAAGCAGCCGCAGGAAGAGGTTAAGTGAGATGTTTCTGAATTTTACTCCATCGCTTTGTTTACTGGGATCATCCCGCCCGGCCGAGGGATTATTTCTAGTGGGAACCTGAACTCAGAGACGTAAGTCAAATGTGTCAAAATTATGTATCACCGCTGGCCCCCGTGCTGTATAATCAACCCCCGACTCAGCGCCACGAATTCTAATTTGACCCCGGCGGCTCCGAAGGTCATATTTGGATTCCCATCCTGCTCGCCTAAGAAAACACCATTAAGACAACATGAAATAAAACATACTGCTTCGTCCTTCAGGGTGATTTGTTTTGGGCTCCAAGCTGCTGCAGCGCACAACGCGCTTTACAGCTCCACGACCCACTCACAAATATAGCTTCTACAGTCTGAACCCAATAAATATGGTCAAATGAAGTTGTCCTTTATTGCATTGATTTGGATATTTCTGAGGTTTTAATTGAGACGTTACTAGTCACGTTGGAAGTGAGCCGTCCTGAAGCACACGGATTCGTTCCTTCCAAACCTCGTGGGGATCTTCACTGATGCAACAGCAGAGCGGACGAATCCAGTTCCCCTTCCTGAGGAACTTAGTACATCTTTGTTCCTTTATTCCTTTCATATGAACGAACAAAATGTCAGATTGTTTGAGGGAACTAGGCAGCGCCTGCGGTCAAAAATAGTTTCCAATTAGTTTCCCACACATGCATATTGAATGATGTTCGCTTGGAAGTATTTATTTCATCTTCAGCTGACAAAACCCACACAATTAAGTATTTACATCTTACTGTGTGTGATGGTTTTATGATTCCTGTCGTTGCCGCAGCACAAATAAAGAGTTTTTCCAAAAGAGGCCCAACGACCGAACATGTGACAAGAGCCACGTGAAGCCCCCACAGATCCAGCGCCCATCGACCTCGGGACAAGAGACCAGCCGAGCGAACCAGAGGCGACGCCAGGGACGGAAGCCTCGGCCGAGAGTTCAAATCCAGCGCGTCTCACTTCAATACTTTCATGTAAAGTAAACCAGGCGCATGCAGCTCGACACCAGAACGGAAAGAGAAGAGTCAACAGATGCTCTGCATAGTTCTTTATTTTCAAGACCACAGCTGAAACGGCCCAAAAATATCATGTTTGATATATTTACACTTTCCAAGAAAGAAAAAAAAAAACCCAGTGAGTTGCGACATTTCGCTCTCTCTTCCATGACGCTTCGGAATTGCTTTTAAATATAAAACTTTATTAGGAAGGGAATTCCAGACACAATTGCCGCTGCCTTTGTGAGGACATCATATGGTTTTAAAGAGACAGAAGAGGTTCGTGTGTTATCGTGTAATCACGTGAGGCGTCTCTTAAGACGTAGACTGGTTCTCAGAGTGGTGATCGGGTCTCCGGGGGGGTCGGAGCGTGTCACGAAACTGAAGACGTCCAACTGACGAACCCAAGTGATGCAACCAGTCGGCGGAGTCCACCCTGCTGTGTCTCCACACCCGAACCGCTGCACGCGGCCCGACGAGCGGGGCGTTAGCGCGCCGCTCCCCTGGAAATATCCGACGTGATCGTCTTCATCCAGCATTTGGGATGCGACTCAATGCCGCCACGACCAGAAGGACCTCGAACTTCAATCTGCTCACAACGTCTCAGGCTCTCAAATATCACGGCATACGAAAGGCACGACACTGAGCATTCATGTCAGTCATGTGATTAAAGCAAAGAGGCAGTGGATATAACAACTATACATGTAACGCAGAAGAGAGAATCAAACCACATTTGTAAAAAAAAAAACGAAAGTAAAGACACAACTGCTCCAATCAACACGTCTCTACTAAAGAAGCTGAGACGTGGAGCAGCGTTTCCTCTGCATCCGTTCAGCACACATCATCAGCAAACGGGTTTAACGAGGCCAGATTCCATCCTAAAACTACCAACACAGCTAATGATTTGGCACAACGTGAAATATTAATTCTGCTGTCAGTGCAATCTGCAGTACACAGCGACTGCAGGAGAACACGGGGACGCATGTGGAATCCTTTGGGGGGGGTAGATGCTGCTGCATAGGAGGCGAGAGGAAAAACAGCGGGCCGGGCCTCTCAGTACGTGCGGGCCGCTGGCTTGCTGTCCTGGGCCTGGTTGAAGGGGTTCGCCGGGCCTGTGGACTCGTCCTGCTGGTCGATGGACTGGTAGGCTTCTCTGTTTCGGGACACGGAGGGGAACCCTGCGGAGACAAAACCCCAAAACAGAGTCTTCAACCCGCACCGGAGCGCCCTGCTCATGCGCAGCATCGCGTCTGCGTAGCATCACTGCTCCTCTTTAAACAGTTTCCAGCACGTCCTCGAGCTGTCGAACGCGCACACAATAAGGCAAAAAAAAACAAAATCAAGCAGGCACTTTGAAGTTCAAGGGATTTGACTAAGACTGCGGAACTGATGTTTATCATTTTATTGATTGTGAAAAAATAAAGAATCATGCTGCTGAGCAAGCCTTTAATGACTCGACTCTTCCTCCGAGGGAGCATTTCAAACAGGTCACATTCGTTGTCTATTAGAAGTCATTACTCTGATTAGGCTGATTGGAGAACGTGCACCATCACGTGGCTCTGCTTTAAATATCCGCAGACAGAATACACAAACACAAATGAGGCGTCTGGAGAGTAAAGATATGAATAATGCATAGATGGGAGCTTTCAGAAACATATAAAGTCACATGATAACAAAAACAAGAAAGCAAACCCACTGAACTGACAAAACACATGCATGAAGGAGTTGGACAGCAAAGCGTAACGTGAATAAACATAAAGCTGGACAACAGAGCATTAAAAAGTTAATAATCGGGAAACAAAAAAAAAATGTCTGTTTCTTTTTTGTCCTGCAGCCTGATGTGTGATCTTACTTCCTGTGTGCGAGAGGATGGAAGCGGATGATTGGAGAGGAGGAAACGGTAAAAAAGGAAGAAGCCGGGAATCAGTAGCGGCGGCCGATAAAGGCACTGTCCGCACTGTCCGTAGTGCATCGACTGTCCACAGAGGTCTCTAAGTCTGCGAGGTCAAAAAGGGTCAGCAGAGAGGAGGAAAAAGACACAAGACAAACAGTCAAATCACAACAGGAGACACATGGGACATGAAACATGACGGAATGTGAGGTTAGAAACGACGGCGTGCGGGAAAAGTACGGGACGGCATTCGGAGACATTCGTGTCCTGCGGGCAAAACATACAAACAACATACGAATGAATAACACAAAACCAGAGGGATTTAAAACTGGTGTAAGAGGGCCTCCGATCGACGGAATCAAGCAGGCTTCTCGCTCTCCAGCACCTGATCACCGGTCTCGTTCCGCCGGGGGAACCCGACGGACGTCAGCTACGCCATCGTGCAATCGGGTGTCAATTAAAAACACACGTTGTCGGAAGCAAACATTATCTGCGCCCGTCTGTCGCCTCGCAGCCGATCCCGTCCTGACGGACGTACCCGCCGCGTGTCGCTAAAACCGAAGATCAACCAATACTCAATCACCCAAACAAGACTGGCTGCAACGTGGGAGGAGTCTCATTGCTTCTCCCCACAGCACAGTGTCATAAATGACGATCTTAGCAGTTAATGTTAAATCATCCTCCCACCTCTCGGTTTGTTTTTGTCACTTTTGTTGTTCTTCTTTCTACGACGGCGAGAAAAGCTCAACGAGGCCACGAGGAGGGATTTAAAAAAAAAAAAGATTTAAAAGATAAAAGAAGAAGGTCCAAGTCCCCAAAATCAAGGGCCACACGCGGCCAATCAAAGAGCTCATCGGGAGTTCCTCCCGAGCGCTCCATGAAGTGCTCTCAACCCAACAACCAGGAACGCCACCGTTTCTGCAGCACAAACTCTCTGGGCTGCAGCGCAGTTCATTTCCCGTCTTCCTGCAGCTCAGATACTTGCGAGGCGCTCGGCATTAAAACAAACTAGCTGTGAGCGTCTGAAAGCGCCACCTGGTACGCGCAGCACGCCGTACTCTGGCTGGCTGTCATCGTCGGTCTGCAGGGACGCATCTACTCTACGGTTGAGTAACGACTCATTCAAAAAGGGGGGAATTTGAACCCACTTACACGATTAAAATAGAAAAGACAATCCAGCACGCTCAAAGATCTCCTACCAGAGGAGGCGGGATCTGTTTTTCGAAGCGTATGAACTCCCGTTGACGTCTTTATCGGAGCTGAACGTCTGTCAAATAATCCCTCCCTCGATCCGTCTGCGAGCTCCTCGCGTTCACCGCCCTCGAACCACCTGGCGGCGACTCACCGAAGTGGACGTTGTAATCTCCTCCGCGCTCGCGGTACATCTGGTACGCGAAGAAGCAGGACGCCGGTTTGAGCAGCAGGCTCAGGATGGCCATTCCGGCGCTGAAGCGGAACCGGTTTTCATTCGGCAGGTCGAGCGTCGGGTAGAAGATCCCGAAGTGGACGATGTCGGTCAACACCGTCACGACCATCCCCATCAGGAACTGCAGCTGGCGGGGAGGGGGGAGGGTGGGGGGGGGGAGAAGAGAGACAGACGGGTTGATGGACACAGATGCTCGTGGTTGAAAATCCAGAGACATTTGAGAAACGTGAAGCCTGCAGTTGACAGTAAAAGAAAGATGCAGACTTTGAGGAACACAAGGTGAGAAATTCAAAAGTTAGGCCGCCCGCGATGGAGCCGCATTCTTCACATAGCACCGCGTGAAACCTCTCGTCCCACCACGACGGGGGAGGCGCCCTCCCTCCCTCCCTCAAAAAGGGAAGCTGGCGGATCGTCCCAGATGCGTCGCGTGACCCGAGACCCACCATGAGCACGGCATCCACGGAGTCCCTCTGCGCGATGGCCCAGACGCCCACGGCCAACACGGTGAAGTTCCCCCAGGCGAAGGAGCCGGGGAGCCCCCCCATGCAGCCCCTGCAGCGACAAGACACAGGTCACACAGGTCACACGGTCTCAGGAGGGACAGACACGTGGGACGTGGAGGAGAACTGATGCAAGGGTGTGAATCAGTCTGCATGTGTGTGTGTGTGTGTGTGACTCAGGAGAGGAGAGACATTCCTCAGGTTCGTGGTAAAAAGGAGGCGGAGCCTGAACTCACCATACTGTGAGCAGCCAGTGCACCAGGACGATGGCCTACGGCAGAGGACAGGGGACAGAGGACAGGAGTGTTAAGAGGGGAGACTTTTCCGTTTACACCACCCGTCAGTCAAAAACTCCAAAGATTGGGTTGCAGAAATGAAAAAAGGAGATTCGAGGTGTCACTTTGCAGCATATTTTACGGATTTCTCGACATCCTACGAACCAATAAACAATTAGTGAAACACAGAACAGGTTTTTAATGCGAATAACGTCGGATTTCGTCTATTGGCAAACATCCGAGCACGAGGCCACAGAACTAGAAACGTGTGACCGGCTTGAGTCGGCGTGGAGCCAGAAGCAGCATCAGGTTGATCGTTATCGCTCCGCTGGTTTTAATGGGGGGGGTTTTCGTCCCAAATTATAAAATCAGTAAACTATTTTTCTCTCCAGAATATGAGAGGAGCTGCGTGCACACACCGTCTGCATGCTTCAGCCACACTTCCAGGCCTTTGATGAAGACTTTTCCAAACTGCTTCTGAACCGTTGTGGCCTTCACAGATTTAATTCCTTTTAAAAGGGACACGACACTTCTTCTCCAACTCGTTACTTTACACGACACCTTTCCCCCTTTTTACACATGACGAGTGGAGAAATCCAAAGCGACTGACTCGGTACTGTTATGTGGATCACGTGATTAAAACACATTTCTATTTCTGGAGGCAACTTCACAGTTACACAATTCAGCACTTTGTGGGGTTTTTTCTTACATCCAATTGTGTTGAAGTTGTCGACCCGACCGCCGCAGGCAACTTTACAGTAAACGTACTTTAACGTCAATAACGGAATGTTGCAACAAAACCGCAGGAAGGTGGAGACGTTTTACCCCTTTTGGGGAATCGAGGAGCAACAGAGTTGACGTCATCACATCGAGCCTTCATTAAAAGAGACGCGCGCGCGCGCACTCACCTTCAGATTTATGGCAGGGTATTTCCATCACGGGCGTCCCTTCCTCGCGCTTCACCGCTTCAGCTGCTGGCGGGCGGGAGGGAGGGAGGGGGGGCGGGGGAGAGAAGGGGGAGGGGGTGGGGGGGGGGGGGGGGACTTCACGAGAAGCCGCAACGACAACACTGTTTCTTCCTGCAACCCCCCCCCCGTGAGACTCCGCCTCCCCCCTTCAGATGAGCATGCGAACGCCAACCATGTGACATCAGCCTGACTGCCTCCCACGTGACTTTTTAGTTGTTTCGTGTTTCCCGTTTGTGAGCGTAACGCGACCACGTGACAACACGTCACATGTCAGCCGCGCGTGGTTGAAAGATTAAAACGGCCCCTTTCAGTCCCGTTAAACCGCGTCTGTAGTCACGTGATGGACCGAAAAGAGAACTATCTTTATACCCAAATCCAATCATCTTCAATTTCAATAACGTATCAATACATCCATGAATTAATCTGCAACGTTGAGTGAATCCTTATTAGAGGAAGTACGTTATTTACTCACAACAGTTACACGTGTCTCTTTTCCAAAGTGAGACTTTGGGGGAAAGTCTTTTAGTAGCAAGACATACACATAATTACAGTTTCTAGTCGCTATGCATTTAGTACGGATTCATGATCCCCAGAGGATGCACGGCTTCTATTGATTCTCACCTCCTCCTCTCATTTTGCATCTTTTTCCACAATCAAGTCAAACAAATACGTTCTTGTTCTTCCCTTTGGCAGTGAGGACAAACACGTCCTGTTGTGTCACTTGTCTCTAGACTGCATTTACAGGACGACTTTCTGGTGGCTGCTAGTTTGTTACCACCTGGGTCTCATTTTGCTGTTTGGTGGAAGAAAAACCTCTTTGATAGCAGTTGTGATGAAAATAACATAAATGTAAAACTTGTTTTTTTCATCTTTTTTTTTCTTTACTCAAACAGATGTGTCCTGTTGCAGTTTATGAGGAAACCATGAAAACGTATTGCTCAGAAATGTATATTTCTCCTACATCTCCTTCAAGGTGTGAATCATTCATCCACCTGATCATCTCACCTGGTACCATCACTCAGGTAACTTTACAGCTGCCAAATCCAGGATTTCCTCCTCAAAGGAGACGATGCGTTGTGTGCTGTGCGCTTTTGGCAGATGGCTCCCGCACTCGCGTCTTCCGGTGTGAACCCTGACCCGCCGAGGACCTCCTGATCACCTCCAGATGACCTCTGACCCCCTGCTGACTGAAGGTCGGTCGATCTCATTAAAGTGAGCGTGACCTCAAACACGTGTTTGTGTGCGTACGCGGGGCCAAGACATGATCCCTTCCACACCCGAAGCTGAGTGCGACCCCATCTGTCTCACTCCCTCTCTATGCATTTCTTTTGTCTATTTTTCGACACCTCCTGTCGGAGGGTTTATTGCCTGTGAAGCCGCGGAGGAGTAAACCGGTCCCACCAACCCCAGAGAGGGCGCTGAGCTCAGGAAGTCGGGTGAGGATAAAAACCCGTGGTCATGAACTGCTTTAAGAAGTCCTGAAGAAAGGGAGAAGGGCCTCCTGTGTGTCATCCATCACCCGGCGGGTTCGGGGGGGCTAGAAAAACGAGCGTTTCTTTCTGCGTCTAATTGAATATTGATAGTTTGTGGGAGAGCTCGTGTGTGGGGATCAGAGGGGCGCCGGCTGCCTTGTTGCCTCCACTTGCTCTAATGTGTCGTAAGCTTCCCGCGTTAAAAGGTTCCGACACTGTTCGGTTTGGAGACGATGAGCTGGGAGGATCGCGGCGTTCATTTCACGGCGTGGAGACAGACGCCTCGGGAGGAGACGACGTGTCCGGAATGCGTTTGTGGGACAAAGTCGGCTGCGTTTTCGGTTCTTCTGAAGCGTCTGACAAAATAATCTGTCCTTTTCCCAAAAGAAACAAGACATTAGACAGAGTGTAACGTATCACGCTTATCACGTACTCGTCATGTATGTTTCTGATCACTTACTGTTGTCTTACTTCTATTCATTCACTAACATTAACATGTACACATGTGCTATTTGTGTTTATGGCTGACTTATATTCTCATACGCATGCAAAACATATTTTGACTACATTTTGCCGTGACTTCAGATATCTACTCCCAGCAGTTTGCTCTTGTTTATTATTATTCATATGATATATTATTGCATCACTCTGATTGAAGCCCGAGGTTACCGGAGTGATCCCGTATTTCAAAACCAGTGATTAGAAAGGAGGAAAACTAAATAATATAATATACATTAGTTTCTACTCCCGTAGGCACAGCAGTAAAATGCTGCTTTCATATTGCCGAATCCTTATTAACAATATGATAATGTAATATGATAATATATCAGGGATGGGCATTTTTATCATAAATCTATATTTTGATTACATTTCACTGATAATGCTGCTTTACTTTAATTTACTGCTTCAATGAATACTTTATACTTTATTTACTCATAAAAATGCACCGTTAAGTGACTGCTGTTACTATATAAATATATATGTATCTATATATACATATTTATCTGTCTATGTTTGTAACCCATATGTGATTTAGACATATTTAAATAACTATTTTAAACTCAAAAACAAACTGTTGAAGTTTTGAAGCCTGAAAAAATAAATTTAAGAAAATAGGACGGAGAAAGACATAATAATAAATACGTGCCGTTGGTTTGCACCATAAAAAGCTTTTCCTAGCAAGTGTTTAATCATGAAAACAAAGAGCAAACACAATATCCAAACTGTGTTTAAGTGCAGTATAAATAAAAGATACAGACGAGTGAATGAAGGTCGTCTTTGTTTATCGTTCTACTGTTTAGTACATTTGAAGAGAAGTGACGTCAAATCAATTTGCAATTCCAACACATTCTTATTTACAACACAGGACGAGAGGCTCACATATCATTTACAGATCATCTCCAGCGTTTACTCCGACAGCAAGTTTACCGAGAAACCAAATGTAGCAGAGAGCCCCAAAAAAAACACCCCAAAGTCCTTTTAACACGCACGTTTGATCCTGAACCAATGCACAGAACTCCTCGTGGACTCCAAACACAGAAACTCATCACAAAGAAAAGAAGTTGTTGTAAACATTGTTGGACTCAAATCAGCTGCAGGACAAAAAAAATAACGGACAAAAACAGTTTTTTGCTGAAAATCAAACAACCAACAGGCGAACATCAACACATAAACTACGAGCTGTCACTCAGGTCACGTGCTGCCAGTCAGGTGGATCTTTTATAACAACGGCCATCGTGCGCTGAGTGAGACGAGTGCTCGAAGGTGACGTCGCGCTGCCGTCCCACAATGCAACAGTCAAGCGGCGGTTCCAGTTGAGGTGTTTGGCTTCGACCGTTGCAGATGCTCAGATGTTTTTTTTTGACAAACCAGCACAGCGTCGCCTTCGAGCACCCGTCGCCGTGTCATCGTCGAGACGCGACGTCATGGCTGCACAATCCGTGGAGACCTTTTTCCCCGCTTGTACCCGTTCAAGCATCCTCCACCTCCTCCACCTCCTCCACCTCGTCCTCCTCAGATGGTGATGAAGCCTCCTTGGTCACTGCTCACCGACTCGGGCACCACGCAGCGACCCTTCCTCCTGGTCACGCGCCGCTTGCGGTGGAATTTAGCGTAACAGCGAAACCCTGAGAGGTCATAGAGAGTGTTTCACGTCATGTTCAAGCTCACATCGACATTTCGTGGCGTCGTTACTTTAATTCATCATTCAAGGGAGGCGAGCGTGTAGCGCTACGTGCTAAGCCCGCCCACTTTTAGAGGTAAAATAAAATAAAAACTAATCCCAGGTGGAGATCAGCTCCATTAGCACGGATACAAATTCTACAAATTCTCTAAACCCAAAAACATTTTACACAAAAAACAAAGTGTCAGAGGATGAAAGAGCCAAAAGAGGAGCAACGCTTTGAAGTAAAAGGTAAAACTTTCTAAAGTGTCAAACTATTCCTCGTGTTTCTTGAGATGCGTGGGGGCCTCTTCCTCACCCACCTTCTTCACACATGCAGTCGTCGTAGCATTTGTTGTTCAGGCCTCTGTTGTGCGGTTTACACTCGTGTTGTCGCAGGTCGCAGCAGGAACCTTCCACCGGCGAGGGAGACAAAGAAAGTCACTTCATCTTCACACAGAATATTTGTCCTCTTTTTCTTTCGCTATAGAAAGACATTACGTCACATTACCCGATGTCACATTTTCTAATTTATTTAACGCCACACAGACCAGAAAACACAGCGCTGGCACCTGTCAATCACAAGGTAGCCCCGCCCTAAAGCAGAACCCGCTCTATTTGACTCTAAATGGGCCAAGAAGCCGAGGGACACTAGACTGAAGCCATAAACGTCCTCTTGGGGGGGGGACTGACCTGGGAGACAGTCCAGGTGGTGGTCACACGGCTCGATGGCGTCGGCGTCTACGGTGGCGTTTCCGCTGCTGAGGTTCTTGCTCCGCCTCTTGTCTGCAGCAGGAGGAATAGATTAGATAGATACTTTGAAGTAGTTTGGATATTAAACGTCTTCCGCTCTGGGAACATTCATGGTGCCCAGAGGGTGAATCCCGAACTGACTCAAGTGGCCTCCTGACTTTCCCTCAGCGCCAACGGGCGCATTAGAAGCTCCCCCCCCCCGTTTCTGTCATCTAACGCCACCACGAACCTTTCTTCCTGGAGGACGGCCATGCGTCCACAGGTTTCATGTCCTCGTAGTCTGTCCAGTCAAACAGAGCCATGTCCAGCGTGGGCATCACGTCTCCTTGTCCTTTCACCCTTCCGGACCTCTGAAAAAAACAAAAAAGACAACTTGAAGTGAACTGACTCAACGGGCTGCATCAGAAATGCAAATATTAAATAACAGCATCTTCTTGAAGTCTTTTAATGCTCAGTGGAAGCATTTGGAGGCGACCTTGTTATCGGTTGTTGTGAAATGGTTTTACTGGTCCCGCCCACTTGAGATCCGACTGGGACTAAACAGAGTTTGACACACCTTGAGACCTCCAGAGACCACTTAACCCCGACGGGGTAATTAAGTCAGCAGGACTTCGAGGAGCCTCTCGAGGAACAATCGGTCCACAAAAGACGTCCGTCAAAACACATGAGAATCAAACTCTCGGTGGAAACAGATCCATACGTGTTTGTTCCCTCTGGAGGAATAAGCCCACATTGGAACGACAATTACAGTAATTGCAGGCGGCTTTCTGCCCGTCTGCTCTCTAAACCATCGGAAGATCGAAAATGAATTAAGCCGCCGGTAATGGAAACGATTCCTGCAAAGAACCTCAACATTGTGCCTCACGACCAGTATCCTTCAGTGGAACCGTTCGCTCTCGTTCATCGCATTGTGATCAATATCAACTGAAGAATCCCGACTTCTCATTTTACGCCTCTGATTTCACTTGGACGGCGTCCGACTCCGCTCCTCGACGGCACATCTGCTCGTCATCACGTGAACGGAGGCCTGCGGGCTGTCGGGTTCTCAGGGAGTCTCGCTTGTAAGCGTTCCAGGGTGGAAGGAGAAAATACAAACGCCGTTTATGCAAACTGTCGAAGCGGCGTGCTGGGTGATTGTAGCAGGTGTGGGGAGGAGGGGGGGGAGAAAAACGACTCTACATTCTGTCCTTGTGTTGGTATTAATAAAAGAGCAGGAGGGTTGTTACAGGAACCGTTGCGCTGGACTCCGGTTTCTGACCCCGCGGGCGTCGTTTTATTACACAGAACACGGCCCAATCTGTGCTCCTCGGAGGGGCCGGCCGGAGGATATTTTTCACAAGCAGCACTTTCAGGTTCTCACTGTGTGTCATTTTCCCGAGATGAGCTACGAGGTTTGGCGGCGGCAGTAGCGGGGGCCCCGTCTTTTCTCCCCTCCCTATTTCCCCCGCCGAGCCGCAGCCTCATAATAAAGCACTCGGGCCTCCGCGGGGGGTCACCTGGGGTTTGGTGGAGGCCGGGGGCAGCGTTGGGGGATGCTCGTTCATCACCGTGGTAACCATGGAGGAGCCGGAGCCGAAGACGGCGGCGATGGGGGAGGGGGCGTCACCGGGGGGAGTCATGCTGAGGGAGGAGGAGGAGAAAGGATCCTCGAACAAATCTCCGTCCTTAAACGCAGAGCTGAGCTCCGGCGCCGCGAGGAACCCTGGAAGGAAACGCGATGTTACTACAGATGTGTAACGTTAAAAATAACTATTTATATATTTGCGTTTCTCTCTGTAAAGTGGCGTCACGCGTTCAATCTGAGCGGAACAATGCGCCGAGACCCGTGGCCACGTTAACGCGTCACATGTGCGTCCGAATCCGCTCACCTTTCCCATGCCGCTCCTTGTCACGCCGACCCGCCTGCCGCCTGTCCCCAAAATGGTGCCCGTGTCCATTGCCGTGTCTCCGTCCTTTGCGTGTCCCCAGCAACAGCTGGTTCTCCCGGGTCGGGGACAGACCCTTCGCGCTCGCCCGGACTCTGTCCCTGTCCCTGTCCCTGGGGCCCGTCTCCAGCCTCACCGGGCTCAAACCCTCCAGGCCCGTCCCGTCGTCCCCGGGCCTGGCGAGGGGGTGCAGGGGCCTGCGGGAGAGCAGCCCGGCTCCGGCCTTGGCGGCGCGGGCCCCCTGGCCCCCGCCGTGGCGGTGGCCCTGGAGACCCCGGAGAGGGTGCTGCAGGCCGTTGCCGCCGCCGCCGCCGCCGCCCGCCGAGGCCGCCGCCTGTCTCCTCTTGGCGCGAGGAGCTCCGGGCTCGCCGCTGTGTGACAGCGTCAGGGCGGCGAGCAGCAGCGCCACGAGGAGACTGCAGGAGAGAGCCATCGTCCGTCAGGCACGAGCTGCTGGAGAGAAGAACGCCGTAGATTCAGAAACTAACCGGAGGTACATTTGATTTTACATTATGAGGGTTTGAGACTATGAACTGAATAGGAAACAGATCTCAATGCGTATTAATATAAACGAGGCAGAATTTGGGCCATTTAGGTCATTTTGTGGCACCTCGTTACCGTGAAACAGTAGTTTGGTTTAAGCAAGAAAAGAACTCGGTTTGGCTTGAAACACAAACAAAGTTCGATAAGAAGAAAAGCGCCGAGTCATTGGCATCTGGACCGGCTGCAGATTTTCAGGCTTTTTATTGCCGGGTGGATGAAAAAAAAAATAAATGCAAATAACCTTCTTTGACCGCCAAGAAATTGCCGTCAGATGTTTCTTTTGATAGAATTAATCTACAACATTATTGCGGCATTTCACAACATTGCTGGAGATGTGGTCTTTTCATCAATCGAACAACCAGAAGCGCTTTTCGAGTATTTTTACATTCCTTCGGACGGCAAACCTCCAGCCCGATTAACGTCCCTCTGAAGATCCTCCTTCAGCTGACCTTCCCTCAGGTGTTTAAAGCACAGGATCTGTGTCCACTCTCACCGTGTTCATTCTCCCATCCCCATCCTGCAGGTTTACGCTGCACCACACATCACCCATCGCGCTGCACACGCAGTACGCTCACATCCTTCCCGCTCAGCGGCCCGTGCCTTTCATTACACAAGTCAACACAGGTGAGCTGTGACTGGAATATGAGGTTCCGTCAGAGACAAACCGTAATGAAATGGTGCTTTTATTTCCATCTGAATGTTCAAAGCTAAAGTTGCAGGAGAGGCTCGATAATTTAGATTTAATGTCACTTAAAGGTTTTTTCTTTGCATTTAGAGCATTCCATTTATTTGTACAGTGGGAGGCCGAGAGTGCTTTCTCAACCTTTAAAGTAGCTTTAGATGTCACAATATTCAAATAGCTGCAATATTGCATGTTAAATTTGCAAATTGGTATTTAATAAGTAGCTTCTATGCATTTGACTTGTCACTTATTAAACAAAGTCTTTCATTATTTTTTTTAATCCTTTTAATTCGACAAACAATTGGTAGATGTGTAATGAATCCATCGCAGGGGGGGGGGCTGTGGATGATGCTGGTCATGTCGGGGGATGTTTGCCGTGCGAGCGCAGGCGGCGCCCCGAGGGGCCCGGAGGCCAGACGGCGTCGGTTCGACCAGCTGTGCAGTTTGCAAACAAGAGCGTGATGCTGTCTGCTGAGGTGAGACCTTTATCTCTTAACAGGCCGACAGAGTGCTGGAGGGGGGTCGGGGGTCGGCGGGGGGGGCAACCGGCCGTGTCACACAAAAGTGTTTAGCCGGGATTACGATCGGCCTGTTTGGCACACCAGGTGCTGCCGCTGCGCCCCGTACGGCCAAAAGGCTCGTTTTGTTGGTGACAACAAAAAAGACGTAAGTTAGCGGAGAGGGACGGGGGACCAGAGGACGGCCTGAATGATCACATCCGTCTTATATATATATATATATATATGGGCATTTTGGGAAACAAACTTACATCCTGGTTTGAAGAGAGTTGAGGTTAGAAGAAGTGAACCCAAAGAATTAGGATAGCTTAGCATCTGGAAGCGGGTGTGAGGCCGCTCACCCGATGAACACGTCACGCCTGAGTTGATTTCTGTGAAGATTTTATTTTTTTTAATCCCCACAGAATTAGATTTTTAAGTCTAAAACCGTCGATACCAGTTGATATTTTTCCAGGGAGGCCGCAGGCCACCATCCCCCAGTCTGTACACCAACATGAAGCTACAGCCAGAAGCTGGTTAGCATAGCATAAAGGCTGGAAACAGCTAGCCTAGCATCGTCCACGGAAGTGGTGATGCGTTACGGGGAATATTTAAAGCTTTGTTCTGGTTGCATTTGGACGTGGCAGGCTACAGTTTGTGCTAAGCTAACTAGCCTCAGATTCACATTTACTGAGCTCTTCTGACGAGCATATCTTCCACTATCTTTAACTATCCATTCATAGATATTCTCAGACAATCAAATACCGAGATAGATTTTTGGCGCAATATTCGTTGAATGTTAGCAAGATTCTGAAGATTTCACTTTCGTCTGCAGTGAAAGCAGATGCATCCATTCATCGTAGGAGTCTGTCACCAAAGTGTTTGCAGGAATAGAATCAGCTGCGGTGGAGATGACAGAAGCTGAGCAAAATTAATCTTCCCGACATAAAAGAAAGATGTGACGCCTCCAAAGGAACTGAGAGCACTACGCGTCAACCCCATCAAATCTAAGGCCTGAATAGGCGTATCATGTGAAAGGGGGCGCGGGTGGAGGGAGGGGGGGGGGGGAGACTGTCATGTGCTGCTAACAGGTGGTGCTTGGAGGAGACACAGGGGGGTGGGGGGGAGGATAATGGAGCACCCTGGGTGGCATGGAGGGCTTTTTAAGCGCAGTCTCTGGTGTGCGATAAACAACCTCCGCTAACAACGCGGCCTCCTGCCGGAGTCGCTGCTCCTCCTCCGAGACCTCTGGGACGGAGGAGGAGGAGGAGGAGCAGAGCATCTGCTGCCGGGGGGGCGATGGGAGGCCGAACCAACCGACGGGGCTCCTTCCCCAAGGAGATGATCCGCCGTTCAATCAGAGGACGTCTACTTAGGGTGGGAGATAATAATACCGACAGTAGCCGCTACGCTAAAATTAAATTGGAAGATGCATTAAATTGTAGCTCCTCTATCATGATACGTATCGATTCTTCTCAATAAACAATCAATGTTCAGGAAGATTTGAAGTAATGGTGACAACATTTTTAAGATGACAACATATTGAATCCAACAACGGTAGAACAGGTATTGTTATTTTACCGCAGACGTTTCTGTTTTGTTTTTTTAATCTTCTCGCTGGTTGGAAGTGGGCGGAGCTATGTTGGTAGAAAATGATGTCACTCAGGATTAGACAATATTCCATCAGTCACATGGTAATTTTAATCAATCTCATGGTAGTTGGTGTTACCATCTGCTGTCAAAATGCCCTAATGTTAATAACAATGTACGAAGGATTTTTGGCCTTTGACTTTTACAATTTTAAGATTTAAAATCCAAATATTGAAAAAAGAAAAACCCTCTTTTGGTTTGATTTAATTTGTTCCCCTCTACATATTTATATAGAGCCTGTTATATACAGCTGCTCAGACTTAGAGGAATTCAGTGATGCTGGATTATTGTGTCGTCGTGACAAAGTGAGTTCCTGCAGACCTTTTTTAATGTGAAGAAAAGGAGCGATCACAACCGTGCATGATGCAATCAGACCGGAGAATCCATTGGAAGGCGGTCGTCCTCAAGGGAGGCGTGATCACATCACGAGATGCTTTCAATAACTGCAAAAGCTGAGGAGGAAAACATGCATGTGCGTGTGTGTGAAGCACACATAACCGGTCTTGAAAGCTCTGCATATCTCACTCTGACCTCGGGCTGGAGGTTGTAACGGGAAGTTCATGGACCTCTGAGCTCTCATGTGAGAAAAGAGAAAATATGAAACGCAATATCACAGAGAAAAAAAAAAAATCAATTCTACATTTTTTCACGGCACCGGAGCAGAGAAGCTGAAATTGGTTTACTGTTGGAAAAACAATATATTACAGTGTGTGTGTGTGTGTGTGAGTGTGTGTGAGAGAGACGGACACCAGGGGAACATGAACGAGAGCAGAGTGCGATAAGCATGACGCGATAGGTCATCTTGAAAGAAATTGCAAAGGAGGCACTACAGGGCGGCTGGATGATTAAGATCTGATTGAATCTGAGCCTGTGATTAATCCCTTCAACCCCGTGACACACTAGTTATGAAAATCTACATAACTGACGGGCGGAAAAGGCAGCGAGGCAACTCTGCTATTAAACCGCTGTGTGTGTGTGTGTGTGTGTGTGTGTGTTTCTTAGCTTCACCTGCTGTGACACCAAACCTCCAGGAGCCATCTGCTCCTGTTGTTTCATCTCTCGTAGCAACCAGCGGGGCCATAAGGATCCAGCAGACAAAGACTCCAGACACATGCTGCTGAGGCAGAGCCGTCATGTCCTGTAAGGTTTCCTTCTTCCACAGGCCACGTGCACCCGGGTCTAAAGCGCCAGCCAAATACGCTCATTCTCCTCCTGGTGGAGGTGCTGGACGAGAAGACGTGAAGCCAGAAGCTAATGAGCGTAGCTTGAGAGAATCAGGTGGGAGAAAGACAACGTGCCTCCGTCTGAATGGGACAAAATGTACTGGCTGGTCTACTTTTGACATATTGTATCTGTTTTGTGGTGTAAAATCAGCCATTTCCGGCCATGATTCCTCACACGGGTAAATATCAACATCTCAGCTGCACGCCACGCTTCAGTGAGCAGCGCAAACAAACATGACACATAATGAGAATAAAATGCAGGATGCAAAATAATAGTCATAGATGAGACTGTTGAGACACAAATCACATCGCTTTACTGTCTCATCTCTCATCTCTCGTTGCCGCCACCAAATTATGCTAAATATCAACGCAATAACAAGCACCCAAATTACAGCTCCGGTTACCCCCCCCCATAATGAACACCAGCGCCAGGCTGCAGAAACGCCACAACACTTCATTTCCTGAAGGGCCCATATAAAAGGACGTAGTCCCCCTCAAACGATGTAGGTGGGATTCACTGGATGTTAAAGGCCCCTGAAAGCAACACAGGGTGAAGAAAAAAGCAACAACCAAGCACCATAAGGAGCCAATAAGGAGCCAATGAGGAGCCAATAAGGAGCCAATGAGGAGCCAATAAGGAACCAATAAGGAGCCAATAAGGAGCCAATGAGGAGCCAATAAGGAACCAATAAGGAGCCAATAAGGAGCCAATGAGGAGCCAATGAGGAGCCAATAAAGAACCCAATAAGGAGCCAATAAGGAACCAATAAGGAGCCAATAAGGAACCAATAAGGAGCCAATAAGGAACCAATAAGGAGCTAATGAGGAGCCAATAAGGAACCAATGAGGAGCCAATAAGGAACCAATAAGGAGCCAATAAGGAGCCAATGAGGAGCCAATAAGTAACCAATAAGGAGCCAATAAGTAACCAATAAGGAGCCAATAAGGAGGGTTCGTCTGTCGGCAGGAGAGCGAGAGAGCCAAACACCAACTGACGTGGTTGTTATTTGGTTGCAGGTACAACAGATGTGAGACCACGACATCGCCCCTGGTGCAGGGAAACATCAGCGCCACCGTAGAGGCCCCAGCGCACACAGACTCACTCACACACACTCACACACACACACATTCACACACACTCACACGCACACACACACGCACACACGCGCATTGAGACAAGTGCGTGCACACAAGCTCACACTCCCAGCAGGGAGGCCTCCTCCAGACACCCACACTGAGCCATGTTCCAAAAATGCTGTGAGACATAAACAGCACCGGGAGGCGTCCCACAGAGAGGACAGAATGAGAGAGACAAAGGGGGGGAGGAGGGGAGAAACCAAGATTTGATGCAGAGAGAGAGAGAGAGAGAGAGGATGCTTTTTTCTTCCGGTGGCAGATAAAGACCCCAGTTAGAACAAAAAAAAAAAAATTTTTTGGCGTTGGAAGGGGGACGACATTTAAATTTAACCGGGAATCGGACCCCTGGTCCTGTGTGTGGGAACGGTTTGCCCGGTCAGCGCTAAAGGGGGGGGGGGGGGGGCTCCTGTTTAGAGGCGATCAAGTGAAGCATGTAAACGCATTATATGAACCCCCCCCCCTCTCCCCCTCGCTCCCTCTCTTTTGAAGGAGACGAGCGGCGCTGACTGCCAGCCAGCGTTGGAGTCTCCATCAAACGGACATGTTCTTTTGGAAAATACACAACTAAAATCCACTTGAACATCACATGACGTCCCTCATATCATTCAGTTATTAGTGAGCGCGAGCTTTGTTTTGGCCCCCGGCCGACTCACCGGGGGGTCCCTCCTCCCTCTGATGATCCCTCTAACGCCTCCCTGCTGATTGACCTGCTGCTAATTATCATCGCCTCCTGGATGCGAGTCCACAAACGTCGCTCCTAAGCAACCGGGTTGCAATTTTTAATTTCACAGAATCACACTGAGACTCTCCAACTTTAATCTCCCCAGTATCCCTCCCTTCCTTAACCCCTCACACACACACACACACACACACACACACACACACACACACACACACACACACACACACACACACACACACACACACACACACACACACGATGAGCTGTCAAGGAGAGATAATGGCTGCAATAATTTCTGATTTTCTTCTCCATTCATGGAAATTAACTCCTCGGCAACGTTGACTTGATTTAAAAGCCGCAATAAAACAGCGACATCCGACGAAAGTTGAACTGATTATCGGATTTTGCGGCGTGACATCTAATTGGCTGCTTTCGAAATATAATATTAATTTAAAAAAGCATTTTTTTAAAGTGAAACTGTGGGAAAAACATTTGCAGTAATTGAGTTTTTGACTTAAATAACATGATTACAGCGTTTTACGCGCGGGTTGAAATCATAGTGCAGCGTTTTTACCAGTAAACCCTTTTATCTGCAGGACTCAACACTTCCTGGTATGTGTCACATAAAATAATCCAAAATGTCCCAATGACCATGAAGTGGATGCAAAGTCCTCCACGCGCCGCGGACCCGCACCGACCCCCTTCAGGAGCATCGAACCCCACCAGCGGGTCCGCGTTCTGCAAAAACCAAACCCGCAACTCACCCCGGATGAAAAGAATTCCTCCTCAGCCGCTGGTTTGTCCGGTTGTTTGTTTGTTTGTTGTGCTTCTCTCGTGTTGTTGTTGTTTACAGCGGCTCCGTCCTTCGGCTGCAGGCTGACGGATCCGTGGTGCGCTCTCCGTGCGCCCCGCGATGTGCAGCATCCGGGCCGTCTCCTGCCTCTTATGAGGAGGAGGAGGAGGAGGAGGAGGAGGAGGAGAGGCACCACCTGCTCCGAGTGTGCGCGCTGCCGACTGCGCGTTCGCGTGAGGTTGGGCTGTCGGTCGAGGCTCGTCCCAGCAGGCAGGAATCGTGAGTTGTACCTGTGCACGAGTGGAAGAACAGGACGACAAGAGGCCGAAGGAGAAATCAGGATTTATTCATTTTCTGCAACATTTGGTTCTTTGAAGAGTTTTTCACTGACGTTTAAATAAAGAACCAAACATGAAACCAAAGGTTTAGTCCTGTCAGAACAAGGGGCCGGCATTACCCACAATGCAACTCGACCGCTGGCAGAATCCCAGTTCCCACCAGGAACACAGACCTCCAGCCCCCAACCAGAAGGTCCCTGGTACTGGGGTTTGTTCTGCGTATTTGATCCTTTCAGTGTTTGGTTCCTCGCTCCCAACGTGGAGGTCTGCTTCTGCCCACCACCTCACAATCAAAGATGCTTCATGTGCCGTCCTGCCTGGTTCTAGACGTTCCTCTCGTATTCAAGGGAAGTCTTGTGGTGCCGCTGAAGGAATCCCTTGTTCCTCCGCCGACTGAAGGCCAGATCACGTCCTCCACCTCCTCCCCTCCAGCCGGCGCCTGCACACCTGTGAGGTGAAGCACCCCGCCTGCGTGGTGACAGATGTGGAGAAGACCTGGATAAGTACAAGATTCCTCCCCTCGCACCTCGTTGGGCCTGAAGAACCGTGCATGACGTCGGGCGGCGCGACTTCTTCCAAATCCACACGATGACGCCGTTTGCGCATAAAACACATGAGGGACCTGGTTGACATTTAGAAGGTTTTTGTTTTGTTGTGTGCCCCCCCCCCTCGAAACAAACAAAAAAGAAAAATGAAAGCATGTTAGCATTATTGAGCCCAATGAAATGAGCTCTGGTTCATTTGGACGACAAACAATGGTGACATGCAGCTTAGTGAAGAACGAGTGTGACACACGGGGCCCGTCTGCAGCGGGAAGATAACACGCGTGTCAGAAAACCTCCGGTCCTTCTGCACTGTGGGGTCATTTGACTCTGTTACATACATATAATACAGTGAATAAACACACACACACACACTTAAAAGCGCGTTAAAACCCTTCTAGTCAGCTTCCCATTTAAAGTCCAGATTCCCACTCATTGCTCCGTGCTCGCTGTGACGGGAAAGTTTGAGCAAAGATCTCAAAAGCTTTAAAGTACAAGTTGGCATTTGAAAGGACCCCCTCCCCCCCCCCTCCCTCCTCCTCCTCCTGCAGAAACCATGAAGGGAGTCGGTGTCACACCGCTGGAAATCAAAGGAAATGCATTCTCTCCGGTGTGCACTCTGCAGGGGAACCCAGGTCCTCTCCTATGCGGGCGGATGACGGAGATCAGTGAACCCCACCCAGGCAACAGGACTATTAGTGGGCTGTTTTTTACAGACATTAGCAGCTACAATGGGCTGACGGCACGTCGCCCTCCCTCCTTCCCTCCCTCCCTCCCTCCCTCCCCCGGATCCATCGCCTCAGCCCAACGCCACCTGCTGAGAACGAGCACGAAGACTTGAAGAGGAAGACAGCGACTCTTATCGGCGCGCCATCTATTTTTATATGAACGTCAGGTGTCTAACTGAGAGGTTTGGGAAACACAGTTTTTAAATGTCAACTATACGTCAACGTCAACTATACTAGAAAACGCACAGCGTTATTTAAAGAGCCTCAGAAGACGCCCACAGAATTCAGTGTAATGATCTGAGTCTTAGTCTCTTGTCACGGAACAGTCTTCTTCCATCTCTGCTCGCTGTTACTTTTTCACCGAGCGCTTAATCTCCCAAGTGGGAACTTAATCCTTAAACCAACACTAGACTATTTTTGTCCCTCTGAACTCCATTTCTAACTGAGACAACGTCATGTTTTAAATTACTTTTTGTAAAATGTGGACAAAACCAACAAATCCTTTGCGTCAAACATCAACTGTTGAGAGGTTATTTGATCAATGAGCGACGGCACGATGGAAGCAGGCAGCGCGTCCCGTTTGAGGCCCTTTGTGGATGCGTGACTCACACACCTGTCAGGAGGACGGAACGCACACACCCCGCTCAGCGTTTGGAGGGACGCCGCTGTAATTCAGCCATGAGCGCCGGGGGAACTCGCTGTGCTTACATGTATCCGGAAAAAAAGCAGCGACGCCACAAAGTGCCGCATTGTGCGTCTCGGGGTCACGTGACCCATCAAATTGATGTTATTGTTCCTCGGGAGGCACAAAGGGTTCAAGCTACCGTGCGTTGAATTCAAAGCTTGAGAAAATAACAGCGCGTCTTTTCAAACGCTTGTTTACTGTAACTACAGTAATTAGTGTTATGCAAACAGCCGCAGTCAATGCCGCTCTGTGTTCTCAGGGCCCGCTGGCGTCGGGGCGTCAAGAGACTCGCCCGCGACCCGAAAGAACGCCGTGTGCAGACTTCTGCTGTAAAGACGCCGGCACAGCGATGTCGAGCCTCCCTGGTGAGAGAGAGTGTGTGTGTGTGTGTGTGTGTGTGTGTGTGTGTGCGCGCGCTGAGAAGGACCCCCTGCCAGGCCTCCTCATGCATTATCAGCCCTCAGCTCCACAGCAGGCAGCAACCGCTGCGTACCAGGGGGCCGCCGGGGATTAAAAAATATGTATATGGGACAAGCTCCCCACACACACACACTCGCACATAAAACGGAATCAAGAATCAAAAGGTTTTTCACAATTTAATTCAAATCGATTGTCAGAATAATACACACGATTGTGCTCGGTGTGCATAAGTGATGCAAGTTCATTTTATAAATGCATTGCGTGTGTGTGTGAATTATACAAACACACATCCCATCACATCTTGTATGTACAGAGGACAAATACAATATTACAATCTGATGTCAAGCAACGGTTACTTTGTGATTCTGCCATTTCACACATTCCCACGGTTTGTTTACAACGAGCTGCCGCCCCTTTATTCCCGTCAGGCAGCTGCGTTCATCTTCACGGGTGGATCACGCGTGTTCTTGTACACGCCACATTCTCACAGTTAGAAGTCTTTCAACCTGAAATGGGCGGCGTTCATGTTCACGCCGGTCACCGGGGCAAAGATTAGAGAAACCATCATTTTTAAAAAGTCCTACGTGACAGAATACTGCCACCTGGTGGAGGAGCTCCGCGTCTCCTCCGCGACACAAGTGATTCATTTATTAATCTCAATTCCATCGCAAAATAAACAGGAGATTTCTGTGGATGTTTATGTGCTTCTTCCCCCTTTTTCCAATCGATCCGAGTGAATAGTGCCCCAATCACACCAAGGCACATTAAATACGCGGCACCTCACTTCCCTCGTGTGTTGACGACGGATGAAAAATGAGTGTCTCTCATTGATTTTCCCGCTCGATGATGACGTCATCAACAGTCGGCGGTGGCGAGCTAAGTGGGAAATCGAACCTGGGAGAAAAGCAACGCCGTTTTAAAATCATATTTCCCCACACAGACACCTTTAAAACAAACTTCTGCCCCCCCCCCCCCTCCGCGGCGGCATCACGCGACCTTGACCCGCTTTCTTCCGACCACCAGCTTCGCCGAGGCTCACGAGGGCGTCAGCGCCGGCGAGTCGATGCCCGCCGCCGGCACCTCGTACTTGAAGACCACGCTGAACAGCTTCCCGCCCAGGCGGTCCGCCAGCCACGAGTTCTTGATGACGGCCATCTTGAGGCTCTCGCAGCTGAGCATGGCGTAGTAGTTGGTGTGGATGGCGCGGCCCATCCCCTCGATGATCACCAGGTCCGTCTTCCGCTCGCGCACCACCATCGCCAGCACTTTGTCCAGGCGACTGTGGGGGAGGGGGACAAAGAGACCGCACTAAAGGACATGGACGCAGGACGTCAGATGGCCGCAGAGGTTCGGCTGTTAAAGGTTTGCGGCCCGTTCTCAACGACGAGCTGGAGGTAAACCAGGCGGAACATTGCTGCCTTTTAGGAAGAAATAAACCAACCTCAGATCCAGGCAGGGGGAGCTGGAGCCGCTTTGGACCAACGTCAACCTGTCCTCCCCCAGAGCAGCCCTGAGCAGCAAGCACAGCACCGTCTCTTTATAGAAGGCTTCTTTAGGTGGGACGGGACACCAAATCAGACAGGGGAGCTGATCGAACACTCACCGAATCACTGGATCCATGGCGGCGATGCTTTCGGTCAATATCTGCAGCTCGCCGTTCGTCACGTCGTTTAAAGCCGGACTGGAGTTGCTGGCCAACACGACCTGAGGACACGCACAGACAGGAGTCGGATTAGCGGGACAATAAAAAAAAAAGACAGAACAGACACGTGTGCTGAGGGACGGTCACCAAGAATTCAGGCAATGCTGCAGCTCCGTGTTTTATTCATTTCAAATCGGAAATCCGTACGCATCGCTTTGTTGAAAAGGGGGTTAAGAGTCGCTTACCTCGGTTCCTCGAGAGAGAAGCTCTCTGACAAAAGGCATCACACCTAGAATGATGTCTACTCCGCTATTATCTACGAAAAACAAGGCACACTTATGAGGAGGACCCTGCAAGAGAAAACCAGGATGGATTGTATTCAAGCACTCATCGTCAAGAGCACGCGACAGGAACACCAACTTTGAGGAGAGAAGAGAAAGAACCTCACCTTTAGTCGCTCAAACCACTCGTCGTAGGAATCCACCAGCCACGGCCGCTCTGAGGAGAACACAAAAAGGAAGGAGACACTCAAAAAAAAAAAAATCCCACTGGTCAAAAGAATTCGAGAGCAAAGCAAAGGAAACGCTTTGGTACCTTCCAGCTGTCGCTTCGCCTGCTCGAACCCGAACTCCGGGTCAGACTCGAGTACGCTGCACAACGGCAAAACAAACGCTTGGATTACGGCGGGAAACTAATGACACGCATGTGCACATCGGCCGCGGCGGCAACCCGCGATTAACGGTTAATCTCCCGATCGCTTTCGATAGGATGTTGAAAGAAAGACGACAAGATATGATCCGATAAAAGCGGCGCTCACTCGGACACGGCTTTGGCCCCCCAGTCGAAGACGTTCCCGGCCAGGACCCCCCGGACCAGAGCGAACTGCCTCTCCTCCCAGCTCAGCTCCTCCAGCGACTGCACCGCCTTCTGGTAGTACTTGAGGGCCGCGTCGTTCTCCCGCTGCTTGATCTGCCGCGCGCAGAGGAGGGACGGTGTGAGGACAGACAGGCAGATGAGAGACAAGACGGGAGGCACAGAGGAGGACAACGACCAGGAGGCGGGGGAGATTTGGGCCCAGACCTTCGAGTAGGGATCAGGGAAGTTGAACTCGTTCAAACAGTGTTCCCTCGTGTCCAGCAGGCTTCTGACAGTGAGGGACCCGTAGGCGCTGCGTGGGAAGAGGAGAAACCGCCACAGCGCCGCCATGTTCAGTTACAGCAGGAAGAAAGACCCGAAACTAATGGCCGCATTGAAGAAAGGACGTAAGCGGTGCTCACAAAGGCTGGTGGCGGAGGGTCTGAAGCTTGTGTCGGTATTTCTGCCGGAACTTCTCGGCTCGCTCGGCCGCCTCCGGAATGTCGGGCTGACTCGCCAAAGCTCTCTTAACCACCTGCTCCGAAACAAAAAAACAGAACCACGAGCAGTCAGACATGTCGGTGACCTCGGACACGCAGAGTGGATTTTATGTATATTTATATATATATATATAGCTTTGCATGAATTAAAACTGTTAGCGGGTCAGTAACAAACTGTAACAGACATTTATTTGGAGAGCAAAGGATCTGCTTTACAAACACAAATCCGTATGAGACGGCGGAGGTTTGAAGGATTGCAGATGACCCGGTTAACGCCCCATTGACTTTTCTTTCTTTAACAACCGGTTTGAGCCCCCGTCGTACCCCGTCGAGCGCCTCCTCGAAGCAGTACAGCCAGTATTCGCGGGCCAGCGCGTCCTCCGTGAGGTCCACGGTGTCGGGGATGTACGACGAGGCGTCCTGCAGCAGAGGCAGATTGACCAGCTTCCTCTCCAGGCGGTCCATCTCCAACATGTCGAACTGCGCAGCGGAGAGAAGGAGGAGAAGCCGCGGCCGTCTGTCTCGCTGATCAGCTGCAGCCAGCGCGCAAACAATACTGCGCTGTATTTCACTCGCGCGACTGCGCTTTTAATTTAGAAAGTCAATAAGACAGCAGAAGCCAGTAGATTTGTTAGTTGTAACGGCAAAACTTTCTATAAATTTGAAGGCTTGAAGTTATGAAAAACAGTTGACCGGTTATCAGACCAGAGCACACCAGTGATGCAGACAGATACTTACTGGGAACTGAAGGAGAGGGGGAAGTAGACAGGGAGAGGAAATGGAAAACAAAAAAAGATTAATGAATGGGATGATCATGTCGCCAGAAAGATGATATCAAATTAAAAGAAATGCAAGATTTGATGATTTCTGGAAGGGAATGGGGGAGACGGGGGGGTTAAACCAATGACCCGGCAGCAGAGCGATAACGCGAGGTTCGCGCGCTGGTTCCCGATCCCGGAACCAGACTCACCGTTCCACTGCGCGCGCGCTGCATGGGGTTCATGTCCGGGGAGACGCTCATCAGGCCCGAGCTGCCCGCGTAATTCTCCCCCCAGCTGTACTGGTTCGGATCTAGAGGGACACAAGACCACAGTGATCCGTTTATAATCAAAGACAAACTAAATACTTCGAATAAGCCTAATATCTAAATGTGTGCGTTTTCCCTTACTGTCCTCCTCGGCCCCTTTAAGGAACGCTCCAATGGCTCCCAGATATCCTTCATGTCTGAGGAACAAGGCCTGAACTTCACCCTACAGACCAAAAACAGACGTTGTGACACAACTGGGTCGTGGGCGAACTCTTGAGACATATTCAGCCTGTCTTGAGGTCAGCGGCGCCAGGAGGGCCGCCTTACCTTGGTGAAGAAGTTGATGCTGTAGGTGATGGTGTGCATGGTGACGGGGTGTCCTCTGATGAAGAAGCCACCGAAGTACACCCGGGACAGGCTGTGGAGTTTGGCGTACAGGCAGGCCAGCTGCCCGATGTCGTTGCTGATCATATGCAGTAAGCTCTTGGCCATGTCTTCCTTAGAGAAGCCTCCTACTCGCAACAGAGTCACATGCAACGGGCAAAAACATCACGAAACCGAGAAGTGAGCCCTGAGCATCTGCACGCTGCAACAAAGACGAGGGGAGCAGCAGAACTCGTGTTTAGAAGCTACAGGACAGCGCTAGAATCAATGAGCCCGTCGGTCACCTTTGTCAGCGGTCGCAGACTTTCCAAAACTGCTGGCGATGAGATCTCCGGTCAAGCCCAAAGATCCGTAAGACCCTCCGTAGATGTCTTTGACGAGCATGTCAACGCTCGTGTGCTGCCCCTTTGAGGCCAACTGCAGCAACTCGTCAAACCTCTACGGGGGAAAAGAGAAAAGCTCTTTACTGGTTGACTTCAAACGGCCGTTACAGCCCGGCAGTAAAACGAGAGCAAGTCTTTAAAGATGCCTTTGTTTTGGTGAGCAGCGCGCCGAGGCCCCAGAACGTCCCTCCTCCTATTGAGCTTCCTCCTATTCGCTCAAATTTGTCCTCGGATTCGACCTGTTGGGAGACGAAGAGAAGGGGATGTCGGTGTGCTTTGTCTTCAATCCTCTACCACAAGAAAGCTGGCGGATTATCCACGCAAATACGGAAACGTTTTCTGTCGCTGGACGCTAAAATGAATCCTCAAATAATAATAAATTGGAACAGGGAGGACTACTTGTCCGAGACAACACACTCGATTGGGGGCTTGTTACCTTGACGATGGACACTCCGGAGCCGATGTTGACGAGCAGGTACGGGAAGATGTCGGGCTGAGTCGTCTGGAAGCGGAACTCCGAGTCGGCGTGCTTGGCGTACACGAAGGCCTCGTGCGGAATGTTCCTCAGCACAAAGTTGCAGCCCTTGATGAGACAGGTCATCTCGTCCTCTTTGTCCACTCTGCCGCAACCAACCCACGTGGGGAAAATTCCATTAGATTGCATCGTCGTTAGTCAAATGTGAGATATATCCAGAGAGAAGGAGACAGGCTGGTTTGTCCCCCAACTGGTGAATCATTACGTATAATGTGAAATCACCTCTGTGTTTACATCTGCAGCTTTCTCCACCGAGCAGCTGTTTGCATTCACACGAGCAGAAACATCAAAGCTGATTTCATCTATTCGCTCCCTGCGAGCTCATTTTCTGGACTCGCATTTAACTGGAAAGCTTTACAAACACGATGCTGGGTGAGCAAACAACCCGTCGGCCGCGCTTCACAAGCCAGCATACAATGGACACTAGGAAGTGGAAAACGGCGCAGCCAGAAGAGAGCACCATTGTTTAATCCAGCTGAATCATCTGGGACCCGACTCCTGCCTCCTCCCCTCCGGTTTGTGTTTGCACAACGACTCCGATTCCGCTGCTCAGAAACTAAAGCCTGAACGCTCACCTGAGGCCCAGTTTCCGCTCGATGAGTTCTTTGAACTTGTGCGCCCCTCCGCCTGTGGCTTTGATCACTTTGGTGTCCGTGTTGACCAGGTGGTCTCTGACGAAGTCCAAGCACGTTTCGATGTAGGCGTTTTCAAACTTGATGAAGTGCAGCCGTGCAGTGACCTCTTCCTGCATAGTGATTTCATACAGCTCGTCGCTGGTGGCCTCCTGGGGACACAGAGGAGGGAGGGAGGGCTAGACCACCAAGAAGAATTGTGCTCAAAGGCAAATGCAGGCCAACGCATGAGCCAGCACATCCCAGAGAAGCGGATGTGACAGAAAAGGTGTTTCACCTTTGCAGTGTGGTCGAAGGATCGCACTTTGGCCACTTTGTGTTGGACTGTTGAGTAGTAGGCGAGCTTGGTGAGAGATCCCCCTGTTGAAATAATAAAACCGATAATAAAAAGCTAAACAAGCGACCGTCGGGATTAATAATCAAACTCTAAACCATGTCAACTAACGTTAGCTAACCACAGACGATAGAAACCGTAACACCAGCTAGCTAACGTTAGCAGCTAACACCGGGGGCTGCTGCGCTTGTCAAAGTTGTTCAGGTGTTTGTTTGTTTTTGCGCACACGTCCGCTTCATCCGCTAAAAGGTTATCCGAGGCTCACGTCCGTAACAACCTCGGACTACACACCGACTCGAACCACTAGCGTTAGCTTCGTGTTGTTTACTGCCGCCGGAAGTCACGCGTTAGCGCAGCATCGGGTTGCGGCGTAGCAGCTCCGCGGGGGGGAAAAAACGCTGAAATACTTGAGAAAGTCAACCGTTTATACTTCCGGGCAACGTTACCGATGTCTATCGCGAACCGCTTGGCGTTTTCCAGGTTTCGGAATATTTCGTCGGGCGGGAGAGTGATGCTTTTGTCCATGGTGTGTCTTCTCGAGCCGCTGTGTAGTCCGCCACATTCCGCCATGGTCGGCGAAGCTCTGACGCTGCGTGCGCGCCGCGCGTACGTGCGTGCGCGTGCAACGTGAGGGGCGTCGGTCAACGTCGGTATTTCAGACGCTCGGGTTTTTCCAACTCCTTTAAATTGACATTGACAACACGATTGACATGTGAAAAATAGATCGATCATGAGAGTTTTTTCTTCTTGTTTTTGTCTCTAAATTGTCGTGAATAACAACTAACAAGTTGGTGTTTAAGGTGCATCTCAAAATAGTCCACGGATGCTTAGAATTCTTTTGATGTAACGATGGATGATGATAGAAAATGAATAGAACTAACGAGACGTGGAGCCGTGAATGAAATGTTGATAAAGTAATTAAATACTTGGTGACAAAGTGGAATGAAATGTCTTCACAACTACATAAGTACACGTACCGTGATTGAAGTGCACATGCAGCAAGTAATCACTGGGGAGTACTGCTGAGTCATCATAGAAATATGAAATTCTGCAGTGTACCACTGACTAAAACCCAATAAATGCCAGAAATCAGATAATGTTGATAATGACTGACAAAATGATGCAGTGCTCGATAGTTCAGTTGATGTTTTTTATTCAAAGATCTTGAATGGGTCACATCATAGAGGCACTAGTGGTGATGATGCATCACAGTGGAAAACACTGTACTCAGGTAGATTACAAAAACAAATACACTGTGAACTCTCTTACACTGAGAGAGAAATAACTCCAAGATAATCATTCTCACTTAAAACAAGAAAGAATGTTGGCAACAGGGAAGACATATTCAAAACCCAACATGGGTCAATATTCTTTTACAGAGTAAAAACAAGAAAGTGCCACCAAAGAGTAGCTATGCAGATGTCCAATTCAGAGAATGAATCTTGATGTAAAACTCAGACTTATAGGACTTTAAGGCAGTTGTGATCATTCTGGCCGATACGGGCTAAACACCTGATTGTATTCATGAATGAATACAAGAAAATTAGGAATTCATAGAATACGAATCTATGCTGCTCAATATTTTCACAGAAACAAGATAAAATACAAACATATCCCAGTGATGGGAAATATCCGTATAAGTAATTTAAAAACAATGACAGGCATTCCCATGGGGAACGATGACGTTTACTTCACAGAATAACAGCTGCAATAAGTGACTAAATCTTTGACGAACAAAGTAGTAGCGAACCTGCAAATATCACAGACCATCAGAATGTGACCTTTACAAAAGGTAAACAGTAACATGTGCAACAACTCTTCCAAACGAGTCCACCTCGAGAATGAGGAGGTTTAAAGTACGACAGCACAGATGTTCCTCTCGCTTATGAGCTCCCCCTGAAGTCCTCGGGAGTCTACCACGGCCTCCAGGGGGCGCTGCTCACTGGACTCTTGTCTTTGCTGCTGCTGGTCTGGACTGTGGAGCTCAGAGGAGAGAAGTCAGCCTCTCTCAGCTTCTTCTCACAGGAAGACTGCAGCTTGTTGAAGTGGTTCAGCAGTCTTCTCTGGGACTGTGTCTCCACCTGCTCCTCACGCAGGAAGTGGGTCACCTCTTGGACACATCTGGAGTAGCCCTGTCCAACAGCTGCTGAGTCCACAGCCTGACGATTCTGCTGCTGCAGTCGTCTCAGCACACAAACGGTCATCTCCAGGATGTCGGCCTTCTCCAGCTTGGAGTCTGGCTGCTGTTTGAGGAACTCTGGATCCAGGAGAGACTTGAGCTGCTCAATGCTGCTGTTGATTCTCTCTCTGCGTAACTTCTCCACCAGAGGCTTCCTGAGCTGCAGAGAGAAGAAGCAGGTCATTAGTGAACTTGTTCTGGAGGCCCGAGTCAGCATGAAGAAAGATCACGTCTCAATGACAACACGTGAACCTTGTTGAATCTTCAGTTTACCTTGTGGGTCAGAGGCAGGTGCTCCTGAGAGTTGGTCATTGCTGCAGTGATTGTAGGAGCCATGTGTGGATCTCTGTGCTGTAGAGGTCTCTGCAGAGAGGATCTGATGTCTGCTGCCTTCATCCCTCCTATTTATACTCACACATCTCCATATCAATGTGTGGGTCTTGGTCTGCTCGGAGGTTCCCACAGTCCCGACCAATCAGAGAGCTGGGCGAGACAATGAGGGAGGCAGCACACTTACTGCTCTTAATGCCCGGGGGACAATGGGTGGGTCTCGGGGGAACAGGTGGAGGACTGGGGGGGTGATGGAGGGAGCCTCTCAGAGCTCTGTGTGAATCTGGGAAAGTGGTGACCCTGCAGAGAGAGCAGATCTGCTGCCTGATGCTGGGATCAATGACTCGGACTGAGCACACGCTCATCATCCCGTGGTCCATCGAGTGGTAGGGTTTCTTAAAAAACATCCTAAAGTGGCATCTTGGGCAATAAAATCGAGTATTTGTACTTGATAAGCTTGTAATGTGGAGCCGTGGAACTTTGCCAGTTGATTAAAACCAACAACTTTTTTTCTGTTAAAATGTACAAATTCCCACTGTGCTTATTATAGATGGATATGGCCACGTTATTAGGATACAATATTTAATATGTATGAACAAACCCCTCTGATAAATTAATATAGAAACACTTTCTTAGTTGATTACTCACATTGAGGCAACAGTGTTTTGATTGCCAAGTTTTATGAAATGCCATATTTAAATATGCAAATGATGCACCACAATGTGTATATTTGATATTTTCTTTCCCAAACTCTGAAAGAAAGACAAACAGCCTAAAATTTCTCAAAGCCGACATTTGCATTAAAATGCAGCCGAACACAAATAGGTAACACAACTTTGTTCAGGCTAACAGTCTTGGAGATTACAATAAATGTGTTTAGTTCATATATTGTGATCCGTTTGTAATACAGTGACATCAAGCTCAGCTGACATTGGTCCAGATGTGCCAGATGTGCCTTCTGTCTCTTTCCAGTGAATGGAAACTTCACGTGGAGGCCTTTGGCCCTCCGCTGACTAAAGGTCACAACTTGGCGCCAAAAAAACATCTGGAGGTCCAAAAGGTGAAGGAGAACTAGGCTGCAAAAAGGTTACGGTTCATTGATTTAATGAAATATATTCCATTTTTCTTTATTTCCAAAAGAAAAAATATCTTTCATCTTTATTTCTCTGTTCAGTCAGTTTATCAAGATACAACGGTACACGTACGTTCAAAGACGAAGCGAGTCTTTACGACACTTTTTGTTAAGGGCGACTTCATTCGGCAGTTTGGCCTCCATCCATAAAAATGAAATCAAGATCTTGTAGGATGAGGGAGAAATAAGTTGGCTAAAGTTTATAGAGCTGGGACCAGAGAAAGGGAGAGTGAAGGAATGTGAACGAAATACTGGAGGACAGAATGGAGAATAAGGGGAGAAAAAGTGTGCCAGGTCCCCTGTGAGAGCAGTCGGGTGCTGTCGGGGGGCCGGGGGGCCGGGATGCTGATCACACTGAACTGTGACTCTGCTCTCACGGCGTTCCCACACTCAGCTCCACAATGGACATGCGCCTTGTTAAATGCTAATTCACTCCCCCACAAGTGGCCCCCCGAGGGGGACGTTTGTCGTTCAGACGCTCCTGGATTAGGAGACGAGAGCAGGACAAATAAACTCCAATATTTAGACGGGGAGTCAGTGGACGTAGCGTAATGTCCCAGGCGGTGGAATAGATGCGTCCAGCTGCAGATTTCAAACCGCGTCTTCTTTTTACAAACACTTTCCATCGAGGGTTTGAAACACAGCGTAATGTAGAACTTTTAATTGATGTACAAAATTGATCGAAAATGTCCTATAAGGACTGCTTTTTATATAAATATCACCATTTTAATGCATCACTGTCATCCTTTTTCTGTTCATGCACAAGCTCAATTGTTTAGTAAACATTTGTATCGTGTTACAGATTAAAGACTAAAGAAGAAGGGTGACGGCAAGAAGTCGCTGACTCTTCTTCATGCAAACGATTGATGCTGTGTGTTCTCGGGTTTAAAACATGTTTGATATCTAAAAGATTAACTATAACTTCTTAAATCAGATAAAAGCATATTTGGTAATGCAGCAACAGTACATTATTATTTTATAGTTATTTCAACAAACAACAACAACGTATTTCAAAGTGGGGGATATTTTATTTGTCAATGTTTACACACACGATGCAAATTCACGCACTGTGAAGTCTGGGAAGTACAAAACAAAAACATTTAGATTTCAGACGTCTTTGTGGGTGTCTTTAGTGCCGGGGCGGCTCTGTGAGTGAGCTCTCCCTGCTTTCCCACACTCGCTCCATTCTCCGCCCCAGAACAAGAGAAGTGTGTCTGGTTGCACATCACATTAATTATGGAGTCAGTTTGCACATTTTGTCCCGGTGCCTCCGAAGGGAAATTCCTGTCATCGCGACTCGTCATTACCGGGCTTTTGTAAAAAAAATGCCTGCCAGGAATGCAGACATGCTGACAATTAACGCCCCTCCCTCCCCCTTCTTTGCATTCGAATTGCTCCTCTGCATTCCAGACTGTTTATGTTGCCGAGAGGGATGAGAGGGCGTCTGCCTCTGGATCACTCGGCTGCAAAAACACCGAGTTTATCTTTCATAGCCTGCAATCAAAATACATGTAACACACGAACAAGACGTCTTCATCCAGCTGTTGAGAAGAAGATTTGAGTTTACAAAAGCGGTTTTGCTTGACTACCCCCCTAACTGCAAAGTTTGAAGCGCTGGTTTTGACTTTATTTTCTCTCAGTGTTAAAGATTGCAACTTTTTTTTTCTCATTCTAGCACATTTTTCTCCATCTTTGAGAGTTTGAGGAAAAAAAATCTTAATACAATTATTAGTCACAAACCATGGAAAAAGACACACATATAGGAATATGTTTTTGAACGTAATATACAATGTTAAGTTTGATCAATTAGCTTTATCTAAAACAGAAATAAATGTAAGATTAAGTGACATAATTTCATCCTCTCTCCAACGTAACGGGGTGATGAGCGTGTGCTCAGTCCGAGTCATTGATCCCAGCATCAGGCAGCAGATCTGCTCTCTCTGCAGGGTCACCACTTTCCCAGATTCACACAGAGCTCTGAGAGGCTCCCTCCATCACCCCCCCAGTCCTCCACCTGTTCCCCCGAGACCCACCCATTGTCCCCCGGGCATTAAGAGCAGTAAGTGTGCTGCCTCCCTCATTGTCTCACCCAGCTCTCTGATTGGTCGGGACTGTGGGAACCTCCGAGCAGACCAAGACCCACACATTGATATGGAGATGTGTGAGTATAAATAGGAGGGGTGAAGGCAGCAGACATCAGATCCTCTCTGCAGAGACCTCTACAGCACAGAGATCCACACATGGCTCCTACAATCACTGCAGCAATGACCAACTCTCAGGAGCACCTGCCTCTGACCCACAAGGTAAACTGAAGATTCAACAAGGTTCACGTGTTGTCATTGAGACGTGATCTTTCTTCATGCTGACTCGGGCCTCCAGAACAAGTTCACTAATGACCTGCTTCTTCTCTCTGCAGCTCAGGAAGCCTCTGGTGGAGAAGTTACGCAGAGAGAGAATCAACAGCAGCATTGAGCAGCTCAAGTCTCTCCTGGATCCAGAGTTCCTCAAACAGCAGCCAGACTCCAAGCTGGAGAAAGCAGACATCCTGGAGATGACCGTTTGTGTGCTGAGACGACTGCAGCAGCAGAATCGTCAGGCTGTGGACTCAGCAGCTGTTGGACAGGGCTACTCCAGATGTGTCCAAGAGGTGACCCACTTCCTGCGTGAGGAGCAGGTGGAGGCACAGTCCCGGAGAAGACTGCTGAACCACTTCAACAAGCTGCAGTCTTCCTGTGAGAAGAAGCTGAGAGAGGCTGACTTCTCTCCTCTGAGCTCCACAGTCCAGACCAGCAGCAGCAAAGACAAGAGTCCAGTGAGCAGCGCCCCCTGGAGGCCGTGGTAGACTAACGAGGACTTCAGGTGGAGCTCATAAGCGAGAGGAACATCTGTGCTGTCGTACTTTAAACCTCCTCATTCTCGAGGTGGACTCGTTTGGAAGAGTTGTTGCACATGTTACTGTTTACCTTTTGTAAAGGTCACATTCTGATGGTCTGTGATATTTGCAGGTTCGCTACTACTTTGTTTGTCAAAGATTTATTCACTTTTTCCAGCTGTTACTGTGAAGTAAACGTCATCGTTCCCCATGGGAATGCCTTCATGTTGTCAGTAACACTGAAAATGATGTACGTACCTTTTGCCTCATTTTGGAGACACACTTAATCATGTTAAACATGTCTGAGATTTACATGTGATGTTCACATATTCTGTTTATTGAAATGTCATTTCTGATGTATCTTTAAACATATCCATTGTCTGCATTTCTTGCAGACACATCTTGCATTTTCATTAAGACAAATGTGCCGCTTCATGACTCTGAGTGGCGGCGCTTATACCTTCAATGAAGGGCTTTTTGTTTGGAAAATGTAAGAACGTGAATGTATGTCTTTAAACCAAGTGATGCGCATTAAAACAATCACTAAAACAATGCAAAAAAGAAAAACCCTCTGTTTGCTCCTTTCTTTGTCACAAGTTCATGCAATTTACAGAACATAAAAGCTCCAAACTTTAATCTGCTGCATATTTTAAAATGTATTCTAGATCAGAAGATATTAAGGAGCGCCGTTACACAAAGCTGACAAATGTCTCTGGGTTGCATCCTTTTGGTGAAACTCACCACTGCTCACCTGGCTATCCAACGTCATGTCATCGTCACACATCTGGAAAACAAACGTATGATGGACAATGAGCCAGAAAAGGTCCCTTCAGCTGTGAGCACGTCAACACAATATGTCTTTAATCCCGTCTCTCTGCTGAGAGACAAGTCTGTCTCGTTGAGTCGATGAACTCATCTGAAGCAAAGGCCACAGTACATCATCATCATCATCATCATCATCATCATCACTCAACATCTTATGAGCCTTCTCTGTCCTTTCAGTAAGCAAATTACGTTTATCCCTTTGCACAAGTTTTCCTTTTAATGTCTTGAAGTAAAAATGGCAATAAAATACTACCAGAAGTACCAGAATTCAAACCACAAAATCGTGCATAAAGGGGCTTTTTAGTGGGAGAGACGTGATATTGCAGCTGGTGAATGTGGAGCTCATCCTGAATGCGGCTTGGTCACGTGAATCAGATTGATTGTAATTTGTGTTCATAATCAAACCCTGCAAATTGAATACAGCTGTTGAATAAATGTATCTGAGAGAAAAGTGAAATATTTGCCTCTGTGATTTAATGGAGTAGAACAGAGTGTCTTCAACGTTTTTCAAGCCAAGGTCCCCCAAACTGATGGCGAGGTGGAGCAGCGACCCCCTATTCTACGGAGTTTGGTCCGCCGTCCTTTATTTTTGAGCTTCACGCTCTTTAGACGTGAGCATAAACGCGATCTGATTGGCTGGTGCTGGCGCGGTCGTATCAGCATGAAAGGAGCAGTGAGGGAACCGGTGTCCAGCCTGAGAGCTGCTGAGGGAAGCTGAACGCGTGCGTTGCGCACTGACAGATGACGTCTTCTCCATCAATTTATCCGTTCGCTTCAATATGTTGGATTCATGTTAATGTGTATTTAAAGACCATAAATAAAACTCTGACTCTGATTCTGAAGACATTTACATTTGTGGGGGAAACAATCGTTTAAAAAAATTGTCTTATCAACCAAAATTTTCGCGACCCCCCCTGCAGTACCTTCGCGGACCCCTTGGGGGTCGCGGACCCCCTGTTGAAGACCTCTGGAGTAGAAGATTAAGGGGGGGATGGATACATTTACTATAGTAAAGTTGTCACTTGTCATGGAGGAAGTATTTCAGCTGTTGACAACTTGACTATGATGAACAAAACACCCCTAAAAAGGTCTATAAAGTTCTGAATGTGGAGAGTTTCAATGAGGCGACACAAACGTACTTACATTCCTCACATATTTATTTTCTTTACGTCTGCAAAAGCAACAAAACAAATTTCAATCCACTTTGGATGAATACAAATAAAACAGGTGGATAAAACCAGAAATATGCATACATGGCATACACGAGAAACAATAACAGATCCCTTCTCAGAAGAAAGGATGGTGTTTAAGGATAAGGTTCATTTTACCTTGAAACAAGGCAGTAAGGCACTGAACGCGATATAAGCCTCTGCAGTAAGTTCACAGGAAGAACAGGATCATAGTACTGCAGGTAATCAATATATACATTTAGAAGAATAAATTAAATCCTTTAAAAGCACCTTGGTCCTAACTTCAGACAAAAACTACAACCGCAGGAATCAAACATCCCACAAATAGCAGCACAACCATGACAAGTCAGCTAAGGACTCTTCTTCCTCATCTCCTTCTTCCCTGAATCCAGCTCCCGTCTCTCTTCATCTGGCTTCACGTGGAAGCTCAACGTGGAACCGCAAGCGTTCTGCAGATCTGCTCCTCCTCGACGCAAACGCGAAAGTCTGAAGCTCACCAAAGCACCGAGCTGCGACTCTTCCTCAAGGTCCCTCCTCAGAAGCACAGCGGCGCCAGGTCCTCCTCTTCGTCGGGAAACAGACGCAGGATGTCCCGCGAGTATTTGGAGTAGCCGCCGTGGGACAGCAGGACCTTCTTCAAGGTGAGCAGGGACTTTGTCTTCTCCAGGATGTCCCCCACGGGGATCCCGTTCTGCAGGTGCTCTCCGATCAGAGCCTTCAGCTTCTCCACGCCGCCGCTGCATTTCCTCTCCAGCGCGTGCAGCTTACACCTGAGAGGGGCGGACACAGGTGCGCGTGAAGGGAAAAGAACAAGCGACGGGTCGCGCGTTTGGCGCGCAAAGACACGCGGCGCTTCTGCTCACCTGAAGAGCTGCTCCTTCACGCTGTCTTGGAGGGCGAGGTCCGCGTAGAGAGCCATGTCGAGGGGGAGCGCGCTTCTGGGGGTGCTGGCCGGGGCTTCGAGGGCGGAGGAGGGAAAGTGTCCGTTGACGTCCGTCGGTCCTCCGCATCCTCTGCTTTTATGCCGTCCGGTGCGGGGCTCCATCTGCTCCTGGGGCCAATCAGGGGCGGGGGGCTCCTGGCTCGGGACAATGGGGGCGGATTTAATGGCTGTCACGCAGAACAGGTGGGACGCTTTGTCTGTGCGCCACGCATCGGGGAGGTCAGTGGGAAAATGACTCTCCCGAGGTAGACACGGGGGAGATGTTCGATACAGGTGTTGGTTTCATTTGACCCATCAGAGACTATTTAATAAGTCAAATGTAGGGAAGTGGAAAATAAACAACGCACACAAAACAAAAACAAAATCACTGTCATGTCTTAACAGAAGTCCGCTGCAAGATGTGTTTTTATTAAAAGTTAAAAAGGACGAGAATTTAATTCTGATTGATCATATAAATGAATAGAAAATGCATTAATGAAACGATGAAACCAAAATAAATATTTGAATAAAACCAGAAATCCTCCCCTCCCCCCTCGAGCAGATGGTCGGTGTGCGCGGCGGCTCGCTGCCTGGGAACCGGCCCGAGGCTCCGTGGGAGCGGACACGCTTCTTTTGTTGCCCGCAGCTGAGCAGCCTGCGCTCGCCAGTGTGGGAAGCCGCGTGCCGCCGGGGCTCCAAGCTCCGCAGAGGGGGGGAGGGCGTGTGACCGGGGGCACGCTCAGCCCCGCGCTGGGACCATGGGGGGGGGGGGCTCAGGGGAGGGGGACTGGGAAAGCTGAGACCCCCCCTCGTTACACACAGACAGATGGAGAGGAGATAAGCAGGAGATGTGAACCCGCCTGGGAGTGATTTCAGCTTGCAGTTGTCTCAGTGGAATCACACGCAGGATACTTGGACAAGAATAATAATTCACAAATATTAAGGAAAAGTAAAAATATGCTTATGTTTTACAAATAAAAAGTGATTTTATAGGTTACCATTAAAAGGTTCTATTTAATCCCACGGTTCTAGATAGAATATATAAACTTTCAACTTGACGAGAGGTTTGTTTTCTCGTAATCATGATTCTGTCTGCCAACAAACAGTGTTGATCTTTACCACCTAAATGTGGAGTCAACATAAAATGCATCCTTCAGCAGCAACGCGCTGATATAAGTCCAATAAATAAGCCTTTTGGTCCAAGTGATTTTGTACAGGGGGGTCGTCGTGGCGCAGGGGTTAGAGAAGGTGTGCTGGGAAGCACAAGGTTGTTGGTTCGATTCCAGGCTGCCCCATGTTCCACGTCGAAGTGTCCCTGAGCAAGACACCTAACCCCTAATTGCTCCCCAGGCAAAAATGTGAAAAAGCCATATGGGTTTAAAGTGTAATGTAAGTCGCTTTGGATAAAAGCGTCTGCTAAATGACCTGTAATGTAATGTAATGTAATGTACAGAAGAACAAAACTCTATCTTTTACAACTAAAATATAATTTATACTTTATTGTTAGCAATTGCTTTCATTTTGTGTGCTATTAGCTTTATGTAAATAAGAGTAACATGTGACTTAGATGTCACAGGTTATCATTTGTGGGGGGGGCAGAACTTTAAGTTACTTTAAGGAACACAGCTGAGGAAAGGCATTTTGCATTATACATGCTAATAAGGATAAAGACAAGCTGGCAGTGTGGTTTCATTTATTTAATGAACAATGATATGAGAAACACTAGATTGCACATATGCAACTTTTTAAAGATGCACACGGTTATATTGAAAGTATTTACATTTCAACACCTAAAACCTACAATTATACTGAATGTTCTAATTGGTCGGATGAATTGATAGTAACTCATCATTGATGATTCCTCTTCATCAATAATCTTAATTGAACCACATTCCTTGACTTGACTTATAAGGAAGATAACGTTGAGTTTGGTCTGAACCTTCTCTCAATCTGTCTCTCAAAGATGTCATAGACGTCCTTCAGTTATGATTAAATTCATAAACAATCGCAACATGATTTTCATTTTGAATGTTTATTTCATTTAACAAGTCACAATGAGCCACACGAAGAATGAAAACTCCACAACTAGAGGTGATGATTCATCACAACAACAACCTGTAGATTTCTACAAGACACACTGTACTCACAGAGAGTGAAGGAACAACCGTCTTTATGAAAGACAAACACATTTGACAAGAGACAACAAACGTCTCAGCGATAATATTTGCTCAAATCAGATAAAAGCAAAACAGCAAAGGTTGATCTTAAAACAGATCAAAATTATTAGTGAATGCAGGTTAATAACTGCTAAATGTAAGAATGTTGATAAAAGAAAACAATAGTCACTGAAAAATTCTCTTTTAGAAAAAAGAATAAACAATTTGATCCAACAATAGATCATTTATGATTGATCAAAGTGATTCAAGTAAATTCTAACAAAACATCTAAAGTATCTGATCAAAATGATCAATAACAGTTCAAAGATACCATTGGTATCCATATCTTTCACCACTCCACCAATACATGAAGCACAGTGAGGTATAATAATTATTGCTGATGCAATCAGATTTGCTTCATGCAACATGCATGACAAGACGTTCTCTTTCTCAACTTGAAAGATGAAGTTGACGTCATTTCCTCAAGAAATATCATCTTCCTCAAAGAAAAGAGACAAAATAACTTCTGTTCAACCAGAAGAACAAATTCAGAACATTGTAGAATTGAGAAGAATTTCTTTCCAGTCATCTTTGACCAACGTGGTCCTCTCAGTGTCTCTGGTAGCAGCTGCAGCCTGTAGGAGTCTACCACGGCCTCCAGGGGGCGCTGCTCACTGGACTCTTGTCTTTGCTGCTGCTGGTCTGGACTGTGGAGCTCAGAGGAGAGAAGTCAGCCTCTCTCAGCTTCTTCTCACAGGAAGACTGCAGCTTGTTGAAGTGGTTCAGCAGTCTTCTCTGGGACTGTGTCTCCACCTGCTCCTCACGCAGGAAGTGGGACACCTCTTGGACACATCTGGAGTAGCCCTGTCCAACAGCTGCTGAGTCCACAGCCTGACGATTCTGCTGCTGCAGTCGTCTCAGCACACAAACGGTCATCTCCAGGATGTCGGCTTTCTCCAGCTTGGAGTCTGGCTGCTGTTTGAGGAACTCTGGATCCAGGAGAGACTTGAGCTGCTCAATGCTGCTGTTGATTCTCTCTCTGCGTAACTTCTCCACCAGAGGCTTCCTGAGCTGCAGAAAGAAGAAGCAGGTCATTAGTGAACATGTTCTGGAGGCCCGAGTCAGCATGAAGAAAGATCACGTCTCAATGACAACACGTGAACCTTGTTGAATCTTCAGTTTACCTTGTGGGTCAGAGGCAGGTGCTCCTGAGAGTTGGTCATTGCTGCAGTGATTGTAGGAGCCATGTGTGGATCTCTGTGCTGTAGAGGTCTCTGCAGAGAGGATCTGATGTCTGCTGCCTTCATCCCTCCTATTTATACTCACACATCTCCATATCAATGTGTGGGTCTTGGTCTGCTCGGAGGTTCCCACAGTCCTGGCCAATCAGAGAGCTGGGCGAGACAATGAGGGAGGCAGCACACTTACTGCTCTTAATGCCCGGGGGACAATGGGTGGGTCTCGGGGGAACAGGTGGAGGACTGGGGGGGTGATGGAGGGAGCCTCTCAGAGCTCTGTGTGAATCTGGGAAAGTGGTGACCCTGCAGAGAGAGCAGATCTGCTGCCTGATGCTGGGATCAATGACTCGGACTGAGCACACGCTCATCATCCCGTTACGCACACGTTGGGGATCGATAATGGGGTTAAGTTACATTCCTTAAGTTACATCTCTTACATTTTTTTTCATGTAAAACAATTTCCTCAAAAATCATTAGAAATCCTTTTGCTCACTTGATTTCACTTGAAAGTAAAATAAAGTTATACTCTCGGATGCCAGACAATTTTTTACAAGGTAATTTATTTTTATAATTTTTATTATAAAAATTAATTAAAAATTAATTAATTATTTTTTTCACTTCAAAAAGAAATACAAATTTAGTAGAAGTAATCCCTCAATCTCTAATCCACAATTTAGTTAGATTTCCCTGTTTTCTTTCAAACGTTGAATCCCAAATGCACCATTTTGTGAAGCACAATGTGAGAAAGCAACTTGATGCCGACTCGTGGCACCTGAGTGAACTCCTCACAATGAGCGCGCTGCCGTCCACATGCAGCCGTCTTTGTAGTCAGTGTGAGGAACAAGTCCAGCTCAGTTTCCCACACTGACACCCTGAATGCTCCCCTCAAAGAACCACTAAGGCACTTCTGTGACAGATGCTGCCTGTGCGTTGTCATGGAAACGAACAGTGACATCACCAACCATCTGGAGGGAAAGGGCGCCATTGGCTGTTTCTCACTATTTGTAATATTAGAAACTACAGTCAATAATCCTTCACAAAGGATCCCTAAATGAATGTATTATGTCTTATCATTAATTAATAATAATATTGATAGATCCCGACTCTCCATTGTTAATGAGGCTTGATTAATGACTATTAACTCGATTACACCTCCAGCATTACACATGAAGAGGGGGGGCGGCTGTTTCCTGACGTGTGCCGGGGGATGAAAGTGATTCCCACTCGACTCTTTCCTCCAGAGCATTTTCAGCAAATATATATATATATTTTTACAGCATCATAATGTCATTATATTTTGACAAACCTTCCACATGAAGACCTCAGACTAAATAGAATTATTTGAATGTGGTGTGATGTGGTTTACAGCACAGCTAGTGTTTACTTTCAAATGTTGAGAATAAATGTTAATGAATGTCAATAAATGAGGTCAAAATATGTGAGAAAATATTCATTTCAACGTCACTTTTCCTGCAGTATTATTTAAAGGTTCCAGGAGTTTATAGTTAAGTGCCATGTTTTAGAGGTCAGACATTGAGTCTCTCATGATGTCTAATGAGGCACACTTCTATTGTTCCTCCAGTCAAAGGACAGAGTGGGAAACCAGAGGAAGCTCCCTCACAGAGCCCTGAGGGACAATACGTCCACACCTTTGTCCTGAAGGGACAGAGACCCAAAGAACAGAATTAGGCAAAGTTGTTTTTAGTCAGTGAGGTTAAAAAAATCAATTTTTATCAATAAAATGAAGAATATAATTGTTTTTATCAGCATTATAATCTCATGATATTTTAACAAAAGAAAATAAAGCAGTGTTCAGATTTGATGCCACATGAGACGGTGATTTATTGACAGAACAGAACCAAACCTTCCACAGGATGATCTCAGAGTCCATAGTTACATTATTACAGAATAATAAAAAGAGACACAGACGGCCCAAATATCTCCATGTGTGAACAAAGAAACACCAAAAGATCTATTTGGATTTAGAACAAAAGCTTAATTTCTTTTGATGGACAGAGTGTGAAAACTGTTGACATCAGAGTTCAGTATGATTATTATCATCGGCTCACCAGCAGCACTCGATTCTCCAAAGGGATTTGGCACACTTCAGGAAACAGCTGCTTTAACCTCCCCCCTGCTCTGCAGAGAGGACATCTTTAAACACAAATAACACACCAAATATTCACCAGATGATCCAAATCTCTTACTGTTGACTAAATCATTTGTCAAATAAGCTCAACGAACCAATTATTATGAAAGCTTTATCATAACTTTACACACTGTCAGAATCAGCCAATGGGGTTCTTTCCCTCCAGATGGTGGGTGAGGTCCGCCTCTGTTTCCGTGACAACACACGTCCAGCATCCGTCCCAAAGGATCCATTCAATGTCCTTTTGTTGTTTATTGACAAAAGCCTTCAAGGAGTCAGTGTGAGAAACTGAGACCAACTTTCTACCCACACTGACCACGAGACACAAAACAGAAGAATGTCAAACATCTGGACTGAAAACTAACTGTTGGTCTTTTTTTTAATAATTATTTTCATCACACTCATTTCAAAGTCTGTGGGAATTGTCTTGGGCAATAGACCACCTGGAGAAAAGTAGTACATTCTACAAGTTGAAAGTTCTGAAATGATCAATAAAAAATGGAGAAGTCATGAGTGGCACTTGGTGTTATTTTTGATTTGGCTAAATCAAACCTTTTAGACAAATGTAACATTTTACCACTATATTGATACATTAATTTACAGGCAAGTCATTAAATACTCTTTAACCAAGACGCTTCTAATTATCGATCCCCAACGTGTGCGTAACGGGATGATGAGCGTGTGCTCAGTCCGAGTCATTGATCCCAGCATCAGGCAGCAGATCTGCTCTCTCTGCAGGGTCACCACTTTCCCAGATTCACACAGAGCTCTGAGAGGCTCCCTCCATCACCCCCCCAGTCCTCCACCTGTTCCCCCGAGACCCACCCATTGTCCCCCGGGCATTAAGAGCAGTAAGTGTGCTGCCTCCCTCATTGTCTCGCCCAGCTCTCTGATTGGTCGGGACTGTGGGAACCTCCGAGCAGACCAAGACCCACACATTGATATGGAGATGTGTGAGTATAAATAGGAGGGATGAAGGCAGCAGACATCAGATCCTCTCTGCAGAGACCTCTACAGCACAGAGATCCACACATGGCTCCTACAATCACTGCAGCAATGACCAACTCTCAGGAGCACCTGCCTCTGACCCACAAGGTAAACTGAAGATTCAACAAGGTTCACGTGTTGTCATTGAGACGTGATCTTTCTTCATGCTGACTCAGGCCTCCAGAACAAGTTCACTAATGACCTGCTTCTTCTTTCTGCAGCTCAGGAAGCCTCTGGTGGAGAAGTTACGCAGAGAGAGAATCAACAGCAGCATTGAGCAGCTCAAGTCTCTCCTGGATCCAGAGTTCCTCAAACAGCAGCCAGACTCCAAGCTGGAGAAAGCAGACATCCTGGAGATGACCGTTTGTGTGCTGAGACGACTGCAGCAGCAGAATCGTCAGGCTGTGGACTCAGCAGCTGTTGGACAGGGCTACTCCAGATGTGTCCAAGAGGTGACCCACTTCCTGCGTGAGGAGCAGGTGGAGACACAGTCCCAGAGAAGACTGCTGAACCACTTCAACAACCTGCAGTCTTCCTGTGAGAAGAAGCTGAGAGAGGCTGACTTCTCTCCTCTGAGCTCCACAGTCCAGACCAGCAGCAGCAAAGACAAGAGTCCAGTGAGCAGCGCCCCCTGGAGGCCGTGGTAGACTCCTACAGGCTGCAGCTGCTACCAGAGACACTGAGAGGACCACGTTGGTCAAAGATGACTGGAAAGGAATTCTTCTCAATTCTACAATGTTCTGAATTTGTTCTTCTGGTTGTACAGAAGTTATTTTGTCTCTTTTCTTTGAGGAAGATGATATTTCTTGAGGAAATGACGTCAACTTTATCTTTCAAGTTGAGAAAGAGAACGTCTTGTCATGCATGTTGCATGAAGCAAATCTGATTGCATCAGCAATAATTATTATACCTCACTGTGCCTCCATTTATTGGTGGAGTGGTGAAAGATATGGATACCAATGGTATCTTTGAACTGTTATTGATCATTTTGATCAGAAACTCACACTATGAACTCTTAATCTCTCGGATTACTGCAAACTGATCTACTTATTAGATCCAAATGTAAATCTTTAGTTTTTCTAAAAGATTTGTTTAATGTCACAATTCCTCTGTGATATTTTTATTCCTTAATGGTTTTATTCCATATCAGTACAATATTATACATTGTTACTTTACTATCAAAAATGTCAATTGTCCTGATTAAGGACAGTCATAATTGTGTTTTTCTCCGTTTATATGGAGAATGAAAAATGATCTGTTTTGAGATCATCAAGTTCATCCTTTTATTGTTAAAGGTTTGTTTAATGTCACATTGTCACAGTTTTTCAGTGACAATGAGAAATGTAAAATGTAAGATTCAGTTGAATGAAAGAAGAACATTACTTTCTTTAAGGTCAGTTTTCACTATTTGTTTTTTCACAATGTGAAAATTCTTCATACTGCATTTCAAGTGTTGGTACAATATTATGCATTGGTGATCATTTTTACCGTGTGATTAATTCGAATCATTACTATCAAAAATGCTAATTGTGCTGATGTGGACATTATGGACTCATAATTGTGTTTTCCTCACTTTATGTGAAGAATGAAAAATGATCTGTTTTGAGATCAATATGTTTATCCTTTTATTGTCAAAGGTTTGTTTAAAGTCACATTGTCAGTTTTTCAGTGACAATGAGAAGATTCAGCAAAAATAATTTTAGATTCAGTTGAATCTTTTAAGAAGAACATTACTGTCTTTAAGGTCAGTTTTCACTATTTGCTTTTTCACCATGTGAAAATGTTTAAATCCATTTGGAAAAGTATTTTTAATTTAGTGAGTACTATGTCCTCGTATATTATAAACAGTTTGTCTTTCATGAAGACGGTTGTTCCTTTACTCTCTGTGAGTACAGTGTGTAGAAACCTACACGTTGTTGTTGTGATGAATCATCACCTCTAGTTGGAGTTTTCATTCTTCATGTGGCTCATTGTGACTTTATCGAATAAACAAACACTTCTAACTGAAACCTTTCTCTTCTAATGGCGTGTTTTTTCCATAGTAACTTCATTTTAATCAAATGCAATTTTTTTTGTATAGCTCAAAATCACAAATGAACATTTTGGCTCACATGGCTTAACAATCTCTAAACACGTCCTCTTTCCTCAAACTCTCACATCGGCACAAGAAAAGCTTGCAGGGATCCAATCTTCCTGACTCCTTTCAAGCTCACTGTCCTTGTTGTCAACTGCTCGACCCTGAACCTTTCGCCCATAAAATGTTCCTGTGTCTGTTCCCATCCAATATCAGTAGTCGGTAAAGCAAAAAACATTGACCATGATCAATGACCTAAGTGCACAGTGTTACCTCGAGGCAACACACCAAAAAACACAATCATAATAAAAAAAATATAACAAAATAAGTATTTAAAATCAAAGATACCTTTTTTTGTCTTTCAGTATTTATTACTATTATTAATAGTACATTACTACACTACTACATTACAAAAGAACTTGGACCAGCTTCCCTGTCCTTCTCGACACCACTGTCCCCTGGTTGGCCGTTGACCTTCTTTCTGGGTTCATTCCAAGGAAGCACAAAAATGTAATAAAAGAGAAAGCATATTATTTGCACTTAATTCTGTGCCCATGTGAGTCTGAACGCAGGGCGGATCCGGTGCTTCGTTCAGAGTCTTATGAAAATCGTCAAACCCTTCCAACCTGAATATAATCACGGGTCGATGATGTCTACGATTTCTCTACACTGTCTTTACATTGAATGTGCTAAATAAAAAGTAGACACTTGATGCAATGTGATTATATGACGCAAATAGTGGGCGGATTTGGTCAATGGAAAAAGGAATAAATACAGTTGTATACTGCAACGGTAGCGTCAGCTTTTGCTATATTTTACAGTATTCAACTGTATTTACGAATAACAGTATATTACAGTAGAAAATTTCTTGTAATTTTACAGCAATTTGTTATCTATTAAAAGGCAACTATTAACACAATACATTACATTATTATTGATAATACTACACTACAAAAGAACATCTCTATCTCTTAAAAGGCAACTACATTACTTAACACAATACATTACATTACTATTGATAATACTACACTACAAAAGAACATCTCTATCTCTTAAAAGGCAACTACATTACATAACACAATACATTACATTACTATTGATAATACTACACTACAAAAGAACATCTCTATCTATTAAAAGTATATTACTTAACACAATACTATTAATACTACTGAGCCGGAAGGCAAAGCTTTCGATCTTCATTCCTTCCCTCCCCTATGGTCATGAAGGATGGCTCATGACCGAAAGAACTATGTCACGGGTACCTGGAAGATATGAGCCACTTTTGTGAGTGTTTGAGGAAAGAGGATGTTGCGTGTTTGTAGAGATTGTTAAACACTCTGAGCCAAATGTTTCATTCATGATTTTGAGCTATCCAAAAAGAAGAATTGAATTTGATTCAAATAAAGTTACTATGGGGAATCACAACATGAGAAGAGAAAGGTTTCAGTTAGAGGTGTGTGTTTATTCAACAAAGTCACAATGAGCCACACGAACAATGCGAACTCCATCTAAAGGTGATGATTCATCACAACAACAACAACAACCTGTAGATTTCTACAAGACACACTGTACTCACAGAGAGTAAAGGAACAACCGTCTTTATGAAAGACAAACAGTTTATAGTATACGAGGACATGGTACTCACTGACATGGTAAATATTAATGGATTTAAACATTTCCACATGGTGAACAAAACAAATAGTGAAAACTGACCTTAAAGAAAGTAATGTTCTTCTTTCATTCAACTGAATCTTACATTTTACATTTCTCATTGTCACTGAAAAACTGTGACAATGTCACTTTAAACAAACCTTTAACAATAAAAGGATGAACTTGATGATCTCAAAACAGATCATTTTTCATTCTCCATATAAACGGAGTAAAACACAATTATGACTGTCCTTAATCAGGACAATTGACATTTTTGATAGTAAAGTAACAATGTATAATATTGTACTGATATGGAATAAAACCATTAAGGAATAAAAATATCACAGAGGAATTGTGACATTAAACAAATCTATTAGAAAAACTAAAGATTTACATTTGGATCTAATAAGTAGATCAGTTTGCAGTAATCCGAGAGATTAAGAGTTCATAGTTTTAGTTTCTGATCAAAATGATCAATAACAGTTCAAAGATACCATTGGTATCCATATCTTTCACCACTCCACCAATAAATGAAGCACAGTGATGTATAATAATTATTGCTGATGCAATCAGATTTGCTTCATGCAACATGCATAACAAGACGTTCTCTTTCTCAACTTGAAAGATAAAGTTGACGTCATTTCCTCAAGAAATATCAGCTTCCTCAAAGAAAAGAGACAAAATAACTTCTGTACAACCAGAAGAACAAATTCAGAACATTGTAGAATTGAGAAGAATTCCTTTCCAGTCATCTTTGACCAACGTGGTCCTCTCAGTGTCTCTGGTAGCAGCTGCAGCCTGTAGGAGTCTACCACGGCCTCCAGGGGGCGCTGCTCACTGGACTCTTGTCTTTGCTGCTGCTGGTCTTGTCTGTGGAGCTCAGAGGAGAGAAGTCAGCCTCTCTCAGCTTCTTCTCACAGGAAGACTGCAGCTTGTTGAAGTGGTTCAGCAGTCTTCTCTGGGACTGTGCCTCCACCTGCTCCTCACGCAGGAAGTGGGTCACCTCTTGGACACATCTGGAGTAGCCCTGTCCAACAGCTGCTGAGTCCACAGCCTGACGATTCTGCTGCTGCAGTCGTCTCAGCACACAAACGGTCATCTCCAGGATGTCGGCTTTCTCCAGCTTGGAGTCTGGCTGCTGTTTGAGGAACTCTGGATCCAGGAGAGACTTGAGCTGCTCAATGCTGCTGTTGATTCTCTCTCTGCGTAACTTCTCCACCAGAGGCTTCCTGAGCTGCAGAAAGAAGAAGCAGGTCATTAGTGAACTTGTTCTGGAGGCCCGAGTCAGCATGAAGAAAGATCACGTCTCAATGACAACACGTGAACCTTGTTGAATCTTCAGTTTACCTTGTGGGTCAGAGGCAGGTGCTCCTGAGAGTTGGTCATTGCTGCAGTGATTGTAGGAGCCATGTGTGGATCTCTGTGCTGTAGAGGTCTCTGCAGAGAGGATCTGATGTCTGCTGCCTTCATCCCTCCTATTTATACTCACACATCTCCATATCAATGTGTGGGTCTTGGTCTGCTCGGAGGTTCCCACAGTCCCGACCAATCAGAGAGCTGGGTGAGACAATGAGGGAAGCAGCACACTTACTGCTCTTAATGCCCGGGGGACAATGGTTGGGTCTCAGGGGAACAGGTGGAGGACTGGGGGGTGATGGAGGGAGCCTCTCAGAGCTCTGTGTGAATCTGGGAAAGTGGTGACCCTGCAGAGAGAGCAGATCTGCTGCCTGATGCTGGGATCAATGACTCGGACTGAGCACACGCTCATCATCCCGTTACGCACACGTTGGGGATCGATAATTAGAAGCGTCTTGGTTAAAGAGTATTTAATGACTTGCCTGTAAATTAATGTATCAATATAGTGGTAAAATGTTACATTTGTCTAAAAGGTTTGATTTAGCCAAATCAAAAATAACACCAAGTGCCACTCATGACGTTTATTCTCCATTTTTTATTGATCATTTCAGAACTTTCAACTTGTAGAATGTACTACTTTTCTCCAGGTGGTCTATTGCCCAAGACAATTCCCACAGACTTTGAAATGAGTGTGATGAAAATAATTATTAAAAAAAAGACCATCAGTTAGTTTTCAGTCCAGATGTTTGACATTCTTCTGTTTTGTGTCTCGTGGTCAGTGTGGGTAGAAAGTTGGTCTCAGTTTCTCACACTGACTCCTTGAAGGCTTTTGTCAATAAACAACAAAAGGACATTGAATGGATCCTTTGGGACGGATGCTGGACGTGTGTCGTCACGGAAACAGAGGCGGACCTCACCCACCATCTGGAGGGAAAGAACCCCATTGGCTGATTCTGACAGTGTGTAAAGTTATGATAAAGCTTTCATAATAATTGGTTCGTTGAGCTTATTTGACAAATGATTTAGTCAACAGTAAGAGATTTGGATCATCCGGTGAATATTTGGTGTGTTATTTGTGTTTAAAGATGTCCTCTCTGCAGAGGAGGGGGGAGGTTAAAGCAGCTGTTTCCTGAAGTGTGCCAAATCCCTTTGGAGAATCGAGTGCTGCTGGTGAGCCGATTATAATAATCATACTGAACTCTGATGTCAACAGTTTTCACACTCTGTCCATCAAAAGAAATTAAGCTTTTGTTCTAAATCCAAATAGATCTTTTGGTGTTTCTTTGTTCACACATGGAGATATTTGGGCCGTCTGTGTCTCTTTTTATTATTCTGTAATAATGTAACTATGGACTCTGAGATCATCCTGTGGAAGGTTTGGTTCTGTTCTGTCAATAAATCACCGTCTCATGTGGCATCAAATCTGAACACTGCTTTATTTTCTTTTGTTAAAATATCATGTGATTATAATGCTGATAAAAACAATTATATTCTTCATTTTATTGATAAAAATTGATTTTTTTAACCTCACTGACTAAAAACAACTTTGCCTAATTCTGTTCTTTGGGTCTCTGTCCCTTCAGGACAAAGGTGTGGACGTATTGTCCCTCAGGGCTCTGTGAGGGAGCTTCCTCTGGTTTCCCACTCTGTCCTTTGACTGGAGGAACAATAGAAGTGTGCCTCATTAGACATCATGAGAGACTCAATGTCTGACCTCTAAAACATGACACTTAACTATAAACTCCTGGAACCTTTAAATAATACTGCAGGAAAAGTGACGTTGAAATGAATATTTTCTCACATATTTTGACCTCATTTATTGACATTCATTAACATTTATTCTCAACATTTGAAAGTAAACACTAGCTGTGCTGTAAACCACATCACACCACATTCAAATAATTCTATTTAGTCTGAGGTCTTCATGTGGAAGGTTTGTCAAAATATAATGACATTATGATGCTGTAAAAAAAATATATATATATATATTTGCTGAAAATGCTCTGGAGGAAAGAGTCGAGTGGGAATCACTTTCATCCCCCGGCACACGTCAGGAAACAGCTGCCCCCCCTCTTCATGTGTAATGCTGGAGGTGTAATCGAGTTAATAGTCATTAATCAGGCCTCATTAACAATGGAGAGTCGGGATCTATCAATATTATTATTAATTAATGATAAGACATAATACATTCATGTAGGGATCCTTTGTGAAGGATTATTGACTGTAGTTTCTAATATTACAAATAGTGAGAAACAGCCAATGGCGCCCTTTCCCTCCAGATGGTTGGTGATGTCACTGTTCGTTTCCATGACAACGCAAAGGCAGCATCTGTCACAGAAGTGCCTTAGTGGTTCTTTGAGGGGAGCATTCAGGGCGTCAGTGTGGGAAACTGAGCTGGACTTGTTCCTCACACTGACTACAAAGACGGCTGCATGTGGACGGCAGCGCGCTCATTGTGAGGAGTTCACTCAGGTGCCACGAGTCGGCATCAAGTTGCTTTCTCACATTGTGCTTCACAAAATGGTGCATTTGGGATTCAACGTTTGAAAGAAAACAGGGAAATCTAACTAAATTGTGGATTAGAGATTGAGGGATTACTTCTACTGAATTTGTATTTCTTTTTGAAATGAAAAAAAATAATTCATTCATTTTTAATTCATTTTTATAATAAAGATTATAAAAATAAATTACCTTGTAAAAAATGGTCTGACATCCGAGAGTATAACTTTATTTTACTTTCAAGTGAAATCAAGTGAGCAAAAGGATTTCTAATGATTTTTGAGGAAATTGTTTTACATGAAAAAAAATATAAGAGATGTAACTTAAGGAATGTAACTTAACCCCATTATCGATCCCCAACGTGTGCGTAACGGGATGATGAGCGTGTGCTCAGTCCGAGTCATTGATCCCAGCATCAGGCAGCAGATCTGCTCTCTCTGCAGGGTCACCACTTTCCCAGATTCACACAGAGCTCTGAGAGGCTCCCTCCATCACCCCCCCAGTCCTCCACCTGTTCCCCTGAGACCCACCCATTGTCCCCCGGGCATTAAGAGCAGTAAGTGTGCTGCCTCCCTCATTGTCTCACCCAGCTCTCTGATTGGTCGGGACTGTGGGAACCTCCGAGCAGACCAAGACCCACACATTGATATGGAGATGTGTGAGTATAAATAGGAGGGATGAAGGCAGCAGACATCAGATCCTCTCTGCAGAGACCTCTACAGCACAGAGATCCACACATGGCTCCTACAATCACTGCAGCAATGACCAACTCTCAGGAGCACCTGCCTCTGACCCACAAGGTAAACTGAAGATTCAACAAGGTTCACGTGTTGTCATTGAGACGTGATCTTTCTTCATGCTGACTCGGGCCTCCAGAACAAGTTCACTAATGACCTGCTTCTTCTCTCTGCAGCTCAGGAAGCCTCTGGTGGAGAAGTTACGCAGAGAGAGAATCAACAGCAGCATTGAGCAGCTCAAGTCTCTCCTGGATCCAGAGTTCCTCAAACAGCAGCCAGACTCCAAGCTGGAGAAAGCAGACATCCTGGAGATGACCGTTTGTGTGCTGAGACGACTGCAGCAGCAGAATCGTCAGGCTGTGGACTCAGCAGCTGTTGGACAGGGCTACTCCAGATGTGTCCAAGAGGTGACCCACTTCCTGCGTGAGGAGCAGGTGGAGACACAGTCCCAGAGAAGACTGCTGAACCACTTCAACAAGCTGCAGTCTTCCTGTGAGAAGAAGCTGAGAGAGGCTGACTTCTCTCCTCTGAGCTCCACAGTCCAGACCAGCAGCAGCAAAGACAAGAGTCCAGTGAGCAGCGCCCCCTGGAGGCCGTGGTAGACTCCTACAGGCTGCAGCTGCTACCAGAGACACTGAGAGGACCACGTTGGTCAAAGATGACTGGAACGGAATTCTTCTCAATTCTACAATGTTCTGAATTTGTTCTTCTGGTTGAACAGAAGTTATTTTGTCTCTTTTCTTTGAGGAAGATGATATTTCTTGAGGAAATGACGTCAACTTTATCTTTCAAGTTGAGAAAGAGAACGTCTTGTCATGCATGTTGCATGAAGCAAATCTGATTGCATCAGCAATAATTATTATACCTCACTGTGCTTCATTTATTGGTGGAGTGGTGAAAGATATGGATACCAATGGTATCTTTGAACTGTTATTGATCATTTTGATCAGATACTTCAGATGTTTTGTTAGAATTTACTTGAATCACTTTGATCAATCATAAAAGATCTATTGTTGGATCAAATTGTTTATTCTCTTTTCTAAAAGAGAATTTCTCAGTGACTATTGTTTTATTTTATCAACATTCTTACATTTAGCAGTTATTAACCTGCATTCACTATTAATTTTGATCTGTTTTAAGATCAACCTTTGCTGTTTTGCTTTCATCTGATTTGAGCAAATATTATCGCTGAGACGTTTTTTGTCTCTTGTCAAATGTGTTTGTCTTTCATAAAGACAGTTGAACTGTTATTGATCATTTTGATCAGAAAGTTTAACTGTTTTTTGTGACAAATGTTAAAATAATTGTATCTCTTTGATTACCTCAAAATTATCTGTTATTAGGTCTTAATTTAAATCTTTAGTTTTTCTAAAACATTTACTTAATGTCACAATTGTTCAGTGATACTCTAATTCCTTATTACATGTAATGTTTTGGTACAATATAATATATTGATGATATTTGTTACCTCTAAATGAATAATAATTATTACTGTCAAAAGTGTTAAATGTCATTTTTGGACTTTAAGTAACTTTAATTGATAATCCAAAAAGTATTTTCAGATGAATGTTTTTTCCTTTTGTGGTTAAATTTGTTTTCATTGTCACAGTTTTCCAGTGACAATAAGAAATTAGATGAACATGTTTTCTTCACTAAGTGAAAAGTATTTTTAAAGATATTGAGTACCATGTCCTCAAATATTATAAACTGTTTGTCTTTCATAAAGACGGTTGTTCCTTTACTCTCTGTGAGTACAGTGTGTCTTGCAGAAATCTACAAGTTGTTGTTGTGATGAATCATCACTTTTATTCTGAGTTTTCGTTCTTCATGTGGCTCATTGTGACTTTGTTTAGTAAACAATCGCTTCTAACTGAAAATCACATCTCCTCTTGTCGTTGTTTGTTCACTTCAACATAACTGATCTTTCCATCACATATTTAGACAAATCAAGGGAAGGTTCAGAAGATACAGGGATTGATCTTTCATGACTAACAATAAGATCATTGATCTTGAAATGTATCAAACCGTATAGCCAAAAGCACCTTTTCAAAGACAATTTTGATCTATTAGAAATAGACATTAATATGGTTATATTGTAAGTTTCAAGTGTTAAAATGTAAATACTTTAAAGTTAAACAAGTGTGTGAACAAGGAGGTTGGTTATAGTGTCTAATGTGCTGTGCAACAAGAGACGCTCCTGTTGTTCCTCCAGTGAAAGGACAGAGGGTGGAAACCAGAGGAGGCTCCCTCACAGAGCCCTGAGGGACACCCAGACCTTTGCCCTGAACGGAGAGAGACTTAAAAGTGGACTCGTTACAAAGAGAAAAGGCAACCACAGAGTTGGAATAAATAAAAAACATTCTTAGAATATGGACATTATTTAAATGAGAGACAATTATTTGTTAAAGGTTTTCTCCAATTAATCAACAGATCCCGTAATAATTTTGTTGATTAGTTTAAAGTTTGAAAGTATTATATTTAAAGGTTTTTATTGAAAGACTATTAATAAAATAAAAAATAACTCATTTTATTAGGTGAGAGACAACAGTTTTTTAACTTGTTGTTGAAAAAGGTTTTGGGCATACAAAATGTTGAAATTATAAATAAATCAATGATATGAAACTTAGAATTCTACATGTCTGAGATCCAAAGTGTCTTTGAGTCTCGGTCCCTTCAGAACAAAGGTCTGAATCTATTGTCCCTCAGGGCTCTGTGAGGGAGTTTCCTCTGGTTTCCCACACTCTGTTCTTTCACCGGAGGGACAATAGAAGTGTGCCTCATTGGGCAACACGAGAGACTCAATGTCTGACCTCTAAAACATGAAAGCAACTATAAAGTCTTTCAACAAACTCAGTATAACATATGTATAGCCATATGATTATAGTGACGTAACATTAATAAAACACTCATCTGTTATTTGGTTCAACTCTAAAAAGATATGATGTTGGAAAAAAGTTGAATTTATCAAAGGTAGGAAAATTATAAAAACGACTCTCTGTTAAGTTAAAATGAAAAAGGAGGAACAAGAGAAATATGACTTACAGACTTCAGAAACTGAAAAATACATGGTAAAAAATAGTCAGAAGATGTTGTGTCGAACATTTTTTGGAAAAATAGTTAAAATATATTAGGTCAAAAAACGTTTTTCAAAAAAGTCAAAATGTGTTAGGTCGAGAAATACTGTATAATGGAGAAAAATAAAAAATATATAAGGTCAAAAAACGTCATGGGGAAACAAGTCAAAAATATTAAATCAAAAAGTAGTCTTGAAAAAAAGAAAAAAACGTATTTGGTAAAAAAAACTGTTATGGAAACAAATTCAAAATATATCAGATCGAAAAAATATTATGTAAAAAAAAATGTTGAAATGTGTTAGGTCAAAAAATGTCATGGAAAATCTTTTAGAAAAAAATCTCATGGAAAAAAGTCAAGAAATATCAGGTCAAAATGTCTCTTTAAAAAAATCTTAAAAAGAAGTCCAACATTATTAAGTAAAAACATTTCATAGACAATCCAGTCATAGTAGTACATAAAAAAAGTTATGTAATGGATGATGGATCCCTTTATGTCCTGAACCTTCTATTGATTTATCTAACAAAGATGTGATGGACGCTGGGGACCTCTATAAGTAGATGAAATGAACAAACAATGACGTAAGGAAACATCATTTTCATTTAGAAGTGTTTTTTTATTCAATGAGAGAGTAATGCAACAATTGTCTTTATGAAAGACAAATAGTTTATAATATTTGAGGACACAGTACTCAATGTCCATAAAAATCCTTTCCATGTGGATTAAAACACTTTCACAAAAGTAGGAACTGACAATACAACAAGTCACATTCTTCTTATTGAACAAGACATTCTTTTGATTCAAAGGAATTTCCATTTGTCAATGTCACTGAAAAACAGTGATGATAAACAAACCTTTTACAATAAAAGAATAAACACATTGATCCAAAAAATGATCATTTTCAAAGCTTCACATGAATTGAGGACAATTCAATAATAAGAAAAAATACAAACAATACAACATTTTTGTTTATAATTATTAATACTAATCGAGAGGTAACAAGTATTATCAATGTGTAATATTGTACACCAAAATAAAATAAAGGAATAAAAGTATCACAGAAGAATTGTGACATTAAACAAATCTTTTAGAAAAACTAAAGATTTACATTTGGATCTTATAACAGATCAGTTTGCAGTAATCCGAGAGATTAAGAGTTAATAGTTTTAGTTTTTGATCAAAATGATCAATAACAGTTCAAAGATACCATTGGTATCCATATCTTTCACCACTCCACCAACATGAAGCACAGTGAGGTATAATAATTATTGCTGATGCAATCAGATTTGCTTCATGCAACATGCATGACAAGACGTTCTCTTTCTCAACTTGAAAGATAAAGTTGACGTCATTTCCTCAAGAAATATCATCTTCCTCAAAGAAAAGAGACAAAATAACTTCTGTACAACCAGAAGAACAAATTCAGAACATTGTAGAATTGAGAAGAATTCCTTTCCAGTCATCTTTGACCAACGTGGTCCTCTCAGTGTCTCTGGTAGCAGCTGCAGCCTGTAGGAGTCTACCACGGCCTCCAGGGGGCGCTGCTCACTGGACTCTTGTCTTTGCTGCTGCTGGTCTGGACTGTGGAGCTCAGAGGAGAGAAGTCAGCCTCTCTCAGCTTCTTCTCACAGGAAGACTGCAGCTTGTTGAAGTGGTTCAGCAGTCTTCTCTGGGACTGTGTCTCCACCTGCTCCTCACGCAGGAAGTGGGTCACCTCTTGGACACATCTGGAGTAGCCCTGTCCAACAGCTGCTGAGTCCACAGCCTGACGATTCTGCTGCTGCAGTCGTCTCAGCACACAAACGGTCATCTCCAGGATGTCGGCTTTCTCCAGCTTGGAGTCTGGCTGCTGTTTGAGGAACTCTGGATCCAGGAGAGACTTGAGCTGCTCAATGCTGCTGTTGATTCTCTCTCTGCGTAACTTCTCCACCAGAGGCTTCCTGAGCTGCAGAAAGAAGAAGCAGGTCATTAGTGAACTTGTTCTGGAGGCCCGAGTCAGCATGAAGAAAGATCACGTCTCAATGACAACACGTGAACCTTGTTGAATCTTCAGTTTACCTTGTGGGTCAGAGGCAGGTGCACCTGAGAGTTGGTCATTGCTGCAGTGATTGTAGGAGCCATGTGTGGATCTCTGTGCTGTAGAGGTCTCTGCAGAGAGGATCTGATGTCTGCTGCCTTCATCCCTCCTATTTATACTCACACATCTCCATATCAATGTGTGGGTCTTGGTCTGCTCGGAGGTTCCCACAGTCCCGACCAATCAGAGAGCTGGGTGAGACAATGAGGGAGGCAGCACACTTACTGCTCTTAATGCCCGGGGGACAATGGGTGGGTCTCGGGGGAACAGGTGGAGGACTGGGGGGGTGATGGAGGGAGCCTCTCAGAGCTCTGTGTGAATCTGGGAAAGTGGTGACCCTGCAGAGAGAGCAGATCTGCTGCCTGATGCTGGGATCAATGACTCGGACTGAGCACACGCTCATCATCCCGTCGCACACGAGGAGACAATTAATAATGTCTTCGTTACAATGACTCGTTTTACTGAATCTTCACTACATTAAATAATGAGAGGAATAGATATTTTTGTCGAATTGTTTCATGTCAGTAAAAACTACTTTTTGCTAAAGTATTGTTTTTTCTTGATAAACTACAATATTTAACTTTCTTTTTTACAGTTTAACTTTTCTCTTAAACTTTAAAAATACTTTAAAAAAAACAGAACTTTGGAATATCAGATACTTCTTGTATTAGTGCAACTCATACCATGAAGTTAAAATGTCATGACAACAGTTAGTTTTCAGTCCAGATGTTTGACATTCTTCTGTTTTGTGTCTCGTGGTCAGTGTGGGTAGAAAGTTGGTCTCAGTTTCTCACACTGACTCCTTGAAGGCTTTTGTCAATAAACAACAAAAGGACATTGAATGGATCCTTTGGGACGGATGCTGGACGTGTGTCGTCACGGAAACAGAGGCGGACCTCACCCACCATCTGGAGGGAAAGAACCCCATTGGCTGATTCTGACAGTGTGTAAAGTTATGATAAAGCTTTCATAATAATTGGTTCGTTGAGCTTATTTGACAAATGATTTAGTCAACAGTAAGAGATTTGGATCATCCGGTGAATATTTGGTGTGTTATTTGTGTTTAAAGATGTCCTCTCTGCAGAGGAGGGGGGAGGTTAAAGCAGCTGTTTCCTGAAGTGTGCCAAATCCCTTTGGAGAATCGAGTGCTGCTGGTGAGCCGATGATAATAATCATACTGAACTCTGATGTCAACAGTTTTCACACTCTGTCCATCAAAATTAATTAAGCTTTTGTTCTAAATCCAAATAGATCTTTTGGTGTTTCTTTGTTTATACATGATGGTAATTAGATTTGTTCCCTGTGAATTTTTTCACTATTATTATTATTTACATGGTGATAAACCAGTTTTACGTTTAACCTCACTGACTAAAAGGTCAGGGAACATATTTGTCTTGTTATTTTCCTTTATAGCAATACATGTTGAAATGACACATCTATAATTTGAAACAGATCAGGAAATGAAATCTTTGAGGTCCCGAGTGTCTTTGAGTCTCTGTCCCTTCAGGACAAAGGTGTGGACGTATTGTCCCTCAGGGCTCTGTGAGGGAGCTTCCTCTGGTTTCCCACTCTGTCCTTTGACTGGAGGAACAATAGAAGTGTGCCTCATTAGACATCATGAGAGACTCAATGTCTGACCTCTAAAACATGGCAGATTTATTTAACGCAAATAGTTTTGCTGCAAAACTAATATCAGATTAGTCAACAGTTACTTTATGTGCTGAACTGTGTCTTGATTTATCAGCCAAAGATAGAAAAAGATGAGGAAAACATCTGTTAGGTCGATATGAATAACAACAACATGAGAAGAGAAAGGTTTCAGTTAGAAGTGTCTGTTTATTAAACAAAGTCACAATGAGCCACATGAAGAATGAAAACTCCAACTAAAGGTGATGATTCATCACAACAACAACTTGTAGGTTTGTACAAGACACACTGTACTCACAGAGAGTAAAGGAACAACCGTCTTCATGAAAGACAAACAGTTTATAATATTTGAGGACATGGTACTCGATGTCTTTAAAAATACTTTTCACTTAGTGAAGAAAACCAATATGAAAAACTGACCTTACAAAAGGTCACATTCTTCTAATTAAACATTAAATTCATTTGAATTCAAGCATCTACAATTTCACATTGTCACAAGAAAACTGTGTCAATGTGACGATTAACAAACCTTTAACAATAAAAGAATAAACATATTGATCTTTAAACAGATCATTTCCTGATGATCACATGAATTGAAGAAAAGTCAATAAAGGGCCTATTAACATTTTCAATATCTTAATATTTGATACTAATATTAATCGAGATGTGACAAATATCACCAATACATAATATTGTACCAAAACATGACATGCAGAAAGGAATTAAATTATCACAGAGAAAATGTGACATTAATCAAATCTTTTGGAAAAAACAAAGATTTACATTTGGATCTAATATCTAGATCAGTTTGCAGTAATCCGAGAGATTAAGAGTTAATAGTTTCTGATCAAAATGATCAATAACAGTTCAAAGATACCATTGGTATCCATATCTTTCACCACTCCACCAACATGAAGCACAGTGATGTATAATAATTATTGCTGATGCAATCAGATTTGCTTCATGCAACATGCATGACAAGACGTTCTCTTTCTCAACTTGAAAGATAAAGTTGACGTCATTTCCTCAAGAAATATCATCTTCCTCAAAGAAAAGAGACAAAATAACTTCTGTTCAACCAGAAGAACAAATTCAGAACATTGTAGAATTGAGAAGAATTCCTTTCCAGTCATCTTTGACCAACGTGGTCCTCTCAGTGTCTCTGGTAGCAGCTGCAGCCTGTAGGAGTCTACCACGGCCTCCAGGGGGCGCTGCTCACTGGACTCTTGTCTTTGCTGCTGCTGGTCTGGACTGTGGAGCTCAGAGGAGAGAAGTCAGCCTCTCTCAGCTTCTTCTCACAGGAAGACTGCAGCTTGTTGAAGTGGTTCAGCAGTCTTCTCTGGGACTGTGTCTCCACCTGCTCCTCACGCAGGAAGTGGGTCACCTCTTGGACACATCTGGAGTAGCCCTGTCCAACAGCTGCTGAGTCCACAGCCTGACGATTCTGCTGCTGCAGTCGTCTCAGCACACAAACGGTCATCTCCAGGATGTCTGCTTTCTCCAGCTTGGAGTCTGGCTGCTGTTTGAGGAACTCTGGATCCAGGAGAGACTTGAGCTGCTCAATGCTGCTGTTGATTCTCTCTCTGCGTAACTTCTCCACCAGAGGCTTCCTGAGCTGCAGAAAGAAGAAGCAGGTCATTAGTGAACTTGTTCTGGAGGCCCGAGTCAGCATGAAGAAAGATCACGTCTCAATGACAACACGTGAACCTTGTTGAATCTTCAGTTTACCTTGTGGGTCAGAGGCAGGTGCTCCTGAGAGTTGGTCATTGCTGCAGTGATTGTAGGAGCCATGTGTGGATCTCTGTGCTGTAGAGGTCTCTGCACAGAGGATCTGATGTCTGCTGCCTTCATCCCTCCTATTTATACTCACACATCTCCATATCAATGTGTGGGTCTTGGTCTGCTCTGAGGTTCCCACAGTTTTTAGCCAATCAGAGAGCTGGGCTGAAAGAAAGAGGAGTCCTGAGCTGCCACATGCTCAGCGGTCACACTAGAAGGGGACAATAGTCTGATCTCAAAGGAGCAGATGGAGCATCACTGACTTGAATGAATCCCACATGCGCAGTGAACCACACACTTCCTCTGATGACTCACATGCAACTAAATAAAAACACTGGTAGAAAACGTCATCTGTCAGCAGAAGGTATACAATACTTCTACAGATGATAGAGGTTCAACATTATCAATTAAAAACGTAATGGATGAACCGATTTTACCAGAAAATCTCCATTCGTTTACATTATATATTTTCTTAACGTACACTAACATATGATGGCACCTGTTGTGCATGAGGCTGTAAGAACTTACATTTAAATATATCTGCTCTATAAAGTTTGACGTGTTCTTAACGTCACACACCAGCAAGTGATGAATGCATGAAGCAGCTTTTCATTTCAACACCCGCGCACTCCTTCTTTGCCCCCCAGCTCCTTCGGGGCAGAGGTCTTGGTCTTTTGTCCGCTCGCCGGGCTCTGTGAGTTTCTTTTCCCAGGATTCCCACACTGGATCAATACACGTGTGCGTCATTGTGTGTGGACAAGCGTGTGGCTTCTGCGATGGAGAACAGTTTAAAGCAAACTTCTTCCGTACATCACCCGATAACTGCGGCAAAAAACTATATAAAAATAATGATAAAATAATATTATTAATATTACATGTTATAATACAATAAAGGGCACTTTTTCAATTGAATCAAATAGAAGTGCCATAGATTTGAATACCTGTGCAGTGCTTCTCAAAGTGGGGGCTGTAAAAAAATCTGATTTCATTTTTTAAATTGTGCTGTACCATTAAAAAGTGTGTACACGTCACGTTCTAGAGGTTCTGTCTATTTTTAGGCCACCAGGCGATAAATACAAGCATTTATTATGGAGTTTCTGAGTCTGAGCGAGAAGAGAAGATAGATCTGTAGATTTATTTATTGCTAATTCTGGATTTGTGGTTGTTGTTGTTTTTTTAAACCAACCATTTCCAGATTAAAATGTTTCCTTGATTTGCTTTTAACAGAACAGTTAATCAAATATTTGATGTGTAGGATGGATGTAAAGGCAGAATGTCGTCTTTTCTGTCCATAAAAAATGTGGCCTCAATTAATAATATACAACAGTAATATATTAATTCTGCTGCTCCAACTGTCCACGACTAAAGCCCAGCTGACATGATGTGCAGCGTGTTGTTAACGCATCAGTGAAAACACAGAACCACCATGTCATAGCTAATTAAAATCTCTTTATTACAATCACATGTACATCATCAAATTCCCCCCCAAAAAAAGCTTGCTGTCGTGAGAATCACCCTGGGAACGGACGGGTGCAGGTGGTGTTGCAGGCCGGATGGAGCGATTGTCAGATGGAGTAAAACGAGTGCCTCCGCTCCGGTGTGCTTTTTTAAATTTTACATCACGAGAGGACAGAAGCTCTATTTTCAGCTCTCAGGGTCCTTGTGTAACGTCAGCAAAGAGAGTGAGACAGAGGGGGGCGAGGGGCGGGGGGGGGGGGGTTCTTTTATCGTCATCCATTATTCAGACTGTTTGAGTCACAGCCCCGAGAGACAGAGAGAGAGACAGAGAGGGAGAGGGAGAGGGAGAGAGAGGGAGAACGTGGAAACAAACAGTTGCCACATCCTTCCTCTCCCGGCTCGGGGGTTTGAACCCTCGGTGGGAGGCGTCGGTTGGACTCACAGGCGGTCTGATTCCAGGTGAACCTCCCTGTGGTGAGCAGGGAGCTTTCCAGTGTTTCCTGCCTTGTGTGTGTTTAACCACCAAGGCCTGTCGGATCCTTTGTTGGGGGGTGTTACGCATCGGAACGTAAGAAACGAACAAAACAAAAGGCAAAGGAGGAAAGAGGGAGACGTTCAGGATGCTGTGAGTCAACGTAAACAAAAAGGCCTTTTGTGTTGCCATTTTTTGATCTGCGAAAAAATCAACTGTATTAATATTCTCGATTGATTTTGGACTTTGGACTCTCTCTTTTGTTGGATTGATAACTAGTCTTAGCAAAGAGCATATAATACATGAATCGGACGGCTCCTCGAGTCCCCAGCCACTGCTTTAGACTGAAATATTTCAACTATTTGGACGTATTTACCTGAAATTTAGTTCCGACATTCATGGCACCGCCAGAATTAGTTGTGATAACTTTACAGTTACATTTGACTTTTGGTCTGTAACCAATAATTCCTTTTTTCCCATCAACATCAAACCTGCGCAATGTTTCAAGCTTTTTGACAAATGTTACCATGCCAACGTGGTGAACTGAGAAGGTCACCATGGTAACCATTCCCTGCTAAACATTGGCACGTCAACACTGTCAACATCCTGACGCTAGCACGTAGCTCAAAGTATAGCTAGCATTGATTAGCTTTTTGATGGAAATAGGCTGGTAGTTCCTCTTGTGCCCAAACAAGCTAAACACATCCTATATATTACATTTCTACAGATGTAAAAATACTAATATTAAACATTTTAAATTGGCTGTTGGAAGTTTTTTTTCTTTTGCTTCCAGTATTTGTGCAAACGTCTCTGAAAATTGTTGTGTTCCTTCAAGCATTAGAGTGTCAGTGATCTTATTTATAATTCATGGAGGCCACGTTTGACATTCAGAACAAACTGAACCACTTTCTATGAATTTTGAGGATATTGTGAGTCTTGAACGTACTAATACTACAATGTTAATCTCTGTGCTGTATATACAGCCTCCATAACACAGCTATAAACCTACAGAATCACATGACAAAACACTGGAGGCGTCTGATGGCATCAGCGTGTCCCGTTGCTAACTCCAACCTCATCTGCACCATCCGACAAAATTAATATGTACATGTCATAATGACACAAAACAACAGTAAAATTCAATTTGGCCGTTTAAAGAGACAATAGTATTTACATTTGGGTTCACTCTTTGCAAATGGTAAATCAAAGTGTCACCAGTAGATTTTAAAGATCAAACGTCACAAGAAAAATATTGAAATATGTCGAACACAATGACAATAAACTTATTTTTTTCTCCTTCCCAAATCACTATGAGTTCATAAAGAAAACATCAACCCACACTGTCGTTCTGTCTACAGTCGTTCCACTGGCCTCCGTCCCTGGCACAGAAAGGGAGAGGAAACTCTTTTGTATAAAAAATGATGTGCAAAAAGTTGTTTTCTTAGGTCAAAAAAAATCAAAAGACATAATGTAAATATCTACATAACCTTTGCTCTTACCGTTTTTAGATTGAAGGATTACGGCGCGCTTGCGGTGACTCGTCACATTTGTGCATCTGTTTGATTTAAAACGAGTTACTGCATTCGATGGACCCCTGACAGGAAGCGCACAGAACCCCGTCGTTGTCATATTAGAACTATAGCTTGAGGTATTATTGCACTTTTTCCCAAATTTGCAGATCTGGAATTAGAAGATTTCAGATTTACTGACGATGTACCTGCTTTTAGTGGAATGTCAACACTGACTCGAGCTCAAAGTACAGCTGCTGCAGAAGTCTGGACACGTAGATTCACTGTAGATCTCAGTAAACATGCATAAGCCGTTGCCTGGGAAGGTAGATCTGTAAACAGCCCGCCAACAGCAGAGACACCAGCAGGAACAGAGAACCATGTACCGTGAAGGGCGAACATACTAAGCTGGGTATTAACAAGCGCGTATGCCTGCAACGTTTACGCAGGAAATCATGGAGGCCTAAATAATGATGCATTTTAATGTATTACTCCTTTTTAATTATCTGAATGAATTGTGCGAGTCTTAATTGTGCGTTTTATTAGTAACCGCCAGTGGTGGTGATTTGCAGCCGTTTTTCCACTGTCGTTTTTCACAAACTGTAAATTCAGCATTTCATGACGCCAATGCGGAATGAACACCAGCTGAAACACAACATTTTACTCGGTTAAAGCTGCAGTCGAAATTCTCAGCAAACCTCTGTGGCACATTGTTCCCCATCCCTTTCACTGGCGTTTTCTTCTTTTTGTTTTCATTTCAGTTACGAAAGCTCCCACCGATTTAAATTTCAATTGTAAACAGAGTTTCTATAAAAAACATTTGGGATTTGGTATCAAATCTCAGTTGCCATTGTCTGCGTTGCTACAGTTGATGTGTTCTGTGGCCCCGATGGAAAAGTCTCGGCAGGCGACCTCTCGTCAGCGCGCTGTACACCACGCAGGACGGTATTGCTCCTCTAGCGGCCCGTCAGAGGTCTTAACCCACATTTACTTTCTCCAAAGAAATAAATGTAGCATCAAGTGTAGCATCAAGTGTAGCGTGAAACACGTGGCGTAAACTTGCGCGGTAATCCAACCTGGTTCCGTTGTTTGTCTTGTCTCTGTGTCCGCAGTGCTGTACAGTGGTGACGCAGCCACACATGAAGTTACCATTTGAGGTGATGTACGGCAATGACAGTGAGGTTCCCTTTCTCGCACGCATTCGTTAAAGGAACAGTGGGACATTAACGCGAATCCTCTCGTTCGAGTCTCACGAGATGATGAGTACCAGTTTCATTTCAGTGCTTCTGGTTCGGAGGTGTAGGGGGAGTTTGGGGGGGGGGGGGCTGAAGCCTCAGAAATACTCCAAAAAAAGGACGGAGACAGCACGCACTGTTCTGTAAGTGTGTGCAGTCTGCCTGGAGAGTCACACTAACATCCTCAGAGGGGGGTCTGCGTGGAGCGGAACAGACACTTGGAGAGCTTAAGAGCTTTTTCCACAGTAGATAAGGTCCAACATTGGCTGCATTCATCGTCAAAAATTACAACGATCAACCGATTGTTTGTTTCTCCCCCGAGACCCAGAATGAAGTTCACAAAAATCAAATTGGTTTCGAGTTTACCGTCAAGACACAAGAATTACGTTTTCTTTGGTCTTCGCCCGGGGTTAACGCGCTCTGGACGGGACACGCAAAGATGAAACTGATATGCACCTTCTCATCTGACTTTGGAGAAGAGTGAACGCGAGGATTTACCCAGATGTTGTTTTGTTACACACTCACACACACTCACACAGGGTTACGTTACACGGTGGTGACCGTCAGCAGGGAGCTGGTACACATCAAGTCGTCGTGGTTGTTCAGCCTGGTACCGTGAGTCAGCAGCTCCTCCACTGTCGTCCAGTCGTCCAACAGCTTCCTGTTCCTCAAGCGACTCAGCTTCCTCTGACTCAGCTCCAGGACCGTGTTGCACCTCCCTTCTCCAAGAGCTCCGCCGCCTCTACCGTCCAGCATACCCGCCTCTCCGACGGACGCTCCTCCGCCCCCGGCGATGGCTCCCCCCCTGAAGATGACGTCGCGTATCGTCCCCCCCCGGGCCTGCATCTGCTGCTGCTGCCTCTGCTCGCGGGCCAACAGGAAGTGTTCCCTTCTCTCCATTCGACTCCAGTAGCGACCCATGAGCATGTCGGTGTTGGTCTCCTCGTCCGTGCTCATCCCGCTGCGCTCATCCGCCAGCTTAGACGCCCGGTCTCTCAGGAGCTGGTTCCTGGAGATCCGCGAGGTCGCGTTGGGTTTGGAGCTCGGGTTTAGTTTTGGCTGCAAAGCGCAACTGGGATTTGGGCTTGGACACACATCCATGTGTCCTTTCGGAACATCCCGTCCGCCGGCGGAGGCAACCCCCGTGTGGCCCTCCAGGGTGCTGTAGAGACCTCTGCCTCCCCCGCCGCCCTGGGACTGGCGGTTGGCCGGTTTCGGCCACGTGTCGTTGACGTCTCCGGCCTGAGGAGGGTGGACCGAACCCTGGAGGTGCTGCTGCTCCCTCGGTCGGCACCTCCCCATCTCCTGCTGCTGCCTCTCTCTTACCATCTCGGCCTGGAGCTGTGCCTCCCTCTCCCTCTCCAGCTCGTTCTCCTGCATTTGCCTCGTTTGCTCCAGTTCTCTCTCCATCTCTCGGTCCCTCTCCGCCGCCAGCTGCTCGGGCATCAAGCCTCTTTCTTGCGAGAGCCACCAGTCGTGGTGAGCAATCTGGGCATTGCCGTTGTTGTCGTAGCAGTGCTCGTGGGTGTTGGTGCCCCTCATGTGCCCCAGGGCAGCGGGGTGTTGTTGTGGTGAGAGGGCCAGGCCTGCTGGGCGGGAAGCCAACACACCAGCCCCCATCTCCCCTTCCTCTGGCAGCTTCGGCGGCAGGACGCTATGCGGCGGGACCCCTCCGCAGTTGTGCATGGTCGCCGCGCAGTAAGATGGGGAAGCCGGGTGGCTGGCTCGCCGGCGGTACTCCTGTGGAGGAGGGCGGTGGTGCAGAGTTCGGCTCCTCCTCAGCATCCCCACTGAACCGGAGCTGTGGTGGTGCTGCTGCTGCATGGGTGCTAGGGGTCTCCGGTGGCTGGAGGGGGTGCTGCAGGTGGAGAGGACCGGGGCAGTCATCCTTGAGACTCCGGCGTGAGCGTGGGAGGGGTTGAAGAGGGCTCCGCTGCTGGAGCTGTGACGGTTCAGGCACGGCCGGTCGGCTTTGTGGAACTGGACCGATGAAACCCTGGAAATACGAACAAATTAGGGACATATATCAAAAATGGTCAAATTGGTCAAGTTTTTAAAGGAACTAAACTTTGCTTGATACTCGGTTAATAAAGTCTTCTTCCAAGCCTCATGACATTGTCCCTAAACGACAGCCATATTTTCTTCCAGCTGTCATTGTCATTAGGTGTCGCTGATTGTTACCATGGAAACAAGGTGTTGGCTGACTATCGTTTTTGGTCTATATTGTACAGCAGAACGGTGACCGTGCACCACTCTGACAGGTCTTGAACCAAAAAGCCAGATGTTGTTGCTACGTCATTTGATCCTCCAATAGTCTGCACAGGGAGTTACTGTATTCTACCAGCTTCTACCTGAAAAGTCCGCGAGGTGGGATGTCCATGATGGGCCCGTCGTCCTCCTCCATCTCGAGCTGCAGCCGAGGACACTGCATGGTCAGCGTCTCGGGGATGGCCTCCAGGAGCTCGCGGTGGCTCTTGGGGCAGCTGTCACGCCGCTCCCGCCGCTCGCACGGCTCGCCCTGATGTTGCAGCCGGGCGTTGTACATCCGCATTCGCTTCTCCAGCAGCCTCTGGAAGTGCCTGAACTCCCCGGTGCTCACGCTGTAGAAGCCGGAGTCGCTGAGCTCCGAGGAAATAAAGGACTCAGAGGAAGGAGAGCCGCCTCCTCCGAAACCCCCGCAACCCCCCGGGCCGAGGGCCCCGTGGGGATGGCAGTCCTCCATGCCTCCCTCCTCCGTCTCCAGCCCGGAGAGGTCCCCTTGGTGGAGGGAACCATCGGTCCAGCCGAGACCGCTGTCAAGCTCATGGTGCAGGGGCAGGAAGCCCAGAGGCTTCTCCATCATGAAGTCCTCGTCGTCCGTCTGCAAGAACAGGCATCCTCAGCCCCACCATCATTTAAACAAAGAGCAAACCACTAAAAATAACCGCGTCCTTTTCGTCTTTTATCTGTGTGGGAGCGCGTTACCTTCTGAGTCATGACTAAATGTGATTGAAAAAAAAATGAAATGCAGAAGGTTTGCAATGAATTCTTGGTCAGAATATTTTTCCGATATTATTTTACTAGTTGTATCCAAATTTCTTACAGGAATATTGGACAACATTGAACCGATCACTGAGGCTTATTTAGTTAAATAGTAAGGATGCCAATATTCTGTATTTGTGACCAAATATGTTCTTCCGCCTCACTGACGTCCCTTCTCTTTCTCAGACATTTAGCCCCAAGGCTTTTGGTTCCTAATGCACATTTGAATATTTAACAGCTGAATCATATTTATACCTGATTTACAAAAAAAGACCAATTCTAAGGGGTTTGGCAGGAAACTGAATATTCTCTCCAATCCAACCCTTATTCCTTGTAATCTTGGGCGGTAAGAGAATGCCAGAAGACTGGGCAGAATGCCTCACCTCCTGCGCACTAAGCATGGTTTATTTGACACTTTATTTAAAATATTGTTATTTATATTTACAGTTTGAGACAAATTATTATTTGGATTCAGTACTGAAACTCTGCTATCTTCTGTGGCACAATTATTACCTGACTGTGGAACCCGTTGGGTTCCTCCAGGTTCGCATTGCAACATCCCATCAGGCAGTTCTGTCCTTTTGGTCCACGGCCAGCCAGTTCTGGATCCTAAAGCAATACACGATGGGAAATAATGACAAAACGTTTATTTTCGTCTATTACTAATTGTATGACCCCTTTGTTAAATCTGGATTAAACCGACTATGCGAAGCATTTGAAGCTGATCATTGCTGAGCTGACATGAGGTATTTAATGTCTTTTTGAAGATTGTTGCAATTGTAACATTTTCAATGTTTTTTTTGGGTCACCTGGTGGCCGATGTCCACAGTGTCCCGCGGGGAGCAGGACAGGTAGCTGTACCGTCCTGCTTCACAGTGATCTTGTGGCAGCGACAGATGGCTGTAATAATGTCTGAAACAGACGACAAGGACACATGATTAAATTATCTTTAGGACAAAGAAATCCTGCAGAACCAGACCCTAATGAACTCCATTTGTCCATCAATCACATTGCCAAGACAAGACTTTTTGTACCTTTTCATTTCAGGACACAACGACATTCTATTAATAAGTAAATTCAATGGCCTGCAAACCAAGTCCCCGCGTAAAGAGATTAGTGACGGAGTTTCTGGATGGATATCGTCACCACAACAGACAGAATATTCCTAAACCGCACAGATCCTGATCTTATTATCTTTCTGTTTGTGTGTGTTTACCTGTCCTGGTAGGAGGGGCTGGAGGCGTTGAGCCCCGTCATCAGGGGCAGGTTGAGATGCTGCAGATTGAGTGGCAGCGGCTCCCACATTCCTCTGTCGGCTTCAGTGCCACACCCCCTCTGACCCTTGATCTGCATGGTGATTGGACGCTGACTGGCCGCCAGGATCCGCAAAGCGTCGCGCTGGCTCAGGTGGGAAAGGCCCCGCCCACTTACCTGAGACAAGCGCAGAGAGGAAGAGAAGGGGCGTCACCTGAGGAATTCATTTCACCAGATAAACGCTGCCAAAAGGCCGTAGAAAGCTGCTTGGAGGTGCAGAGGTCCTGATTATCTTCTGGAGATCAGCAAACATCTCTAACACGTTAGCATCCCACATCACCCAGTTCTTTAAATGTTATTGATCATCCGCGGTATTATTCTATCTTCTGATCATGTCAAAGCATCTCAAAGAGGAAAACCTATGGGTGAATTTCATGTTAATCATCTGATATCGAACTATTTACAAAATGAGGGGCAGCATGTGCCGCCCGCGGCGCTCAGCATCGATAGCACTGGTGTTAGCTGAGTAATAGCTTACTCAATAAGTTCAGTCAATCACTGAATGCCAGATGAGCTCTGTAGGGGAATGCAATATAAACATCTTTGCATGTTTTAAGGATCTTTCCTTACAGGGGTATAGTGAGTATTGGGCTACAGCGGCACAACACAGAAGCTCTCCACAAAACTAGGAACTTTGTGAGCATTGTAGATCGAATAAGCCGTTTGTTTTGCTGTGATTTGACACACAAAAAAGTTAATGCTGTTTTGCTTTCTTTTTTCTCTTTGCAGTTCGCTGGAAGTGTAAAATAGCCACGCTGCGCCATATGTGAGCTGACTTAAAATAGCCCAATAAATGTTACATTGCTTGTCAGCAATATATATCAACTTAAGACGCAATTAGGCTCTGAGAGCTCTGAATAATTGGGCACGCATCTAAGACACCACGCATAATTTAGGTTTAATTAATGCTCAAATCCTGACATTTGCTCGTGTTGCTCTTCTCGACCTTTAACGCGCAAAATAATGCGAGTTAACAGCTTTAAAAGTAACATTTATTTGCGCTATCTTTTTATAAGTGCTGTGCAGCGGATTTAATTCATAACGACGTGAAGAGTGGTTTATTCCATTCTTACTTGTTTTTTTAACGGTTACATTTGTGAAGAACTGGATTTTTTCTTAAATTTGCAAACAGGTTTGGTTGTTCAGTAACATACAACATGGGGGAATAACTGCGATTGGGTGGTGAAGTGTCGTTGTATTGTGACATTTTTCTTTGCCATATCTTAATACCTGCACTAGGGGGCTAGAAGGAACTACCCAAAATATGTACATCAGTTTACTGGTCACGATTATCAGAGCAACTGGTCCTCCTCAGCCGGGAAAAGCACACTGCCTTTGGCTCTGGAGGAAAACCCTGGTGATGTCATTGTGATGTCATCAGAGTTACCTTTGCTTGGAATGCTGTAATGCATTGTAGGAACATCACAAATAACATTTTTGTCTGCACGCTACCATTTTGAATGGACTTCTAGACTCTGTTTCGTTTTATGCAACACACCATGAACTGGAAACTCTGTGTCAGCTGAGCTTATGCAACTGGGTCACAAGACACGGCTCGGCCTGCAGGCAGACGGTGCATTTTGTCCAAATCAAATATGACGAGTGTGAACATGGTGTCCAAGGTTCCGTTAAAGGGTTAACACAACTAGCCGAGCCTCGTCCTGCCCGGCTCACACACACACACACACACACACATTGAATTAGATGCGTGAACTGTATTGTTAACTCTAGCAAATTACAATCATGAGTCACCCTCTGCTACATTCAACCGGGCGCACACGCGTACAAACACACACACACACACACAAACGCACACATAGGATGAGCCGAGGAGCACAAAATGGCACCTGTGTGTGGATACAGAGGAGGGCGGCAGAATGACGGCGAGCCCTCAGTGGACGGAGATGACTAACAGAGACCACAGTGTTGCACGCAACAGGAAGACCACATATTCACAAAGCCAAAATTTGACACAAGCTCTTTTTGGTTCAAAAGCACATTAATTAGGTTCATTATACAAACACACACATATTCAGAGATCAGCAGTAATCATGAAATACTGCCATTTTTGCATCAGCATCTAAGAACACACACACACACACACACTCACACCGCAAAGCGCCTCCCAGAGCTCATTTCCATCTTCTTCAAATGAGACATCATGAAACAAACGCCGCGTCGTTTACAACACTGAGGCCGGTCGTTGGAGGCTCACCGTTTGGTCCCCCATCCACGGTCCAGAGAGCCAGCAGCCCATCGTCACGGCAACAGAGGACAGCTGCCTTGGTTCCTGTTTAGTTCGACGATGCTTCCTCCGGGAGATCGTCTCCTCCTCCTCCTCCTCCTCCTCCTCCTCCTCCTCCTCCTCCTCCTCCGTCTATCTCTCCTCGCTGGGCCTTTCACTATCGCTCTCTCCTCAGCATCAGTCCTCTCCTCACAAGCCTCCTCCTCCTATCTTCTTCTTCTATGTATCAGTCTTTCTTCCTTTTTTTCATCTATTTCTTCAGCGCCTCTATCCTCGCCCTTCCCCCTCCCCCACTGCTCCCGGTTTTAGCATCCTGCACACACACAAACACACACACGCACAGACACACTCATGCATGCATGCAGCTCTGCAAACATAAAAATATGCGCAGGCTCACACGTTGTGTCAGTAGACGGAGAGGGAGACACACGCAGTCACACAGCAGGGAAGGTGTCTGATTGGTGGCCTGTCGGAGGGTCATCAGCCAATCAGAGGCAGCGGTGTCCCTCCGGGTGTCTTCCTCCACGAGCCGAAACTCCTCGTGAAGCCTCAACGTGTGCAGGAGGGAGCCTGAGCTGCAGCGATGCTCACAGTAACAGAGCAAACACACCACCCGACCATCCGTCTGCTGGCTGTTCATCCAGGATTCTCCCGCTCGAGGCGTGCTGGGACGTGCCGTTCCCCGGGTTCCCTTTCAGTTCCGCGCAAATTGATTCACAAATAGAGAGAGGTACACAAACTGGAAGGGCCCAGAGGACAGCTGGACCCGGCGAGGGCCAACAGACCTGCACTGAAACTAAAGCAATCTGCTCGACTAGCGATCAAACAAATAAAGCCTGGTGATGTCTTTCTTTCTGTTCATTTCTAAAAAAAGATTAGAACCTTCGGGGTCTTTTTATTCAGCGAGCACAGTGATGGAGCATCTGGTGGTGTGTAGGAATTGCAGCAGCTGTTAATAACTGAGGTCAAAGCACTTACACATGTCACTGATTACAAACGTTGAGTGCTATGAGCAATAGATCTAATAAAACAAACCATCTCAATACCGTCTACAAAAAACGTCCAAAGCATACAACTCTGTTTTTCATAGTGGAGACGCTCATGCACCATGATGGGGTGACGCAGTCCGCTCATGCATTTCCCTGCTCCATTTATGTGACTAGATAAAACCTTAATGCATCATTGTATATTAAATGAATCAGCTGGAAACACTAACAAGTCAGTTGGATATTGAGTTTGGAAACGTACATGTCCTCCAGATAATCTTCACAAATGGTCCACACTTTTAGATTGGAGACATAAAAGTCCCTTCTCTGCTCCGCGGAAACACACACATGCATCTTGCACGTAAGGCTTCGTTTCGTCTGATTCACTCACTGACCCTGCTTTGACTGTTTGGTCGTTATGGCAACCCCCTGCCAAATATAACGGTGTGTGAGTGTGTGTCACTTATTCTCGCTTATTCTATGAATTATATTTTGAAGACCCGCAGAGCTGAATTTGTGCAGAGGAGACCTGCGTGATGCTGCAGATGTTCGTGATGATCGTGTGTGTGTGTGTGTGAGTGTCTTGCTGAAGATGAGGATGATGATGGTGATGATGATGATGGGTGCATGCCTGTCGCTGAGCTTTGCCATTTCCCTCACTGAAGTACGGAGGCGGAAAGAGAGCGGGCGAGAGGGGGAGAGAGAGTGAGCATTTGTCAGTGTTACACTCACGCACTCACAAGAGCCTCAGCTGCGACACACAGACCTGTCTGTGTCTAAAAATGGAAAAGCACACTTGCTGTTGCTGTGAAGCCACAAGAAGCTTATGTGAAGCTATATGTGGGTAGTGTGCGTACAGTGATTCATGACAGCATCCATCAGCCTTTAGAATAACGTGGGATAAAAACTCTGCATGTTCATGGCGAATGTTCTGAGGGAACAATTCATTCACAATATCCAGCCATTGAATGGTGCGTTGTGGCCATAGTACCACAGTTTTATCATCAGTGTGAGATGGCAAACTGGGATTAGAAGCTAAGAAATAGCCTCACACATAACCTTAAGAAAAAACCCAGTCTGTGTTCTTACACAATATATAGTGGGCTTTATATGAATAACCAGTTGGGTTACTTTACTTTAAACTGTGAACATTTGCATTTTCCTTGTTAAAATCTGCACGTCCCTTAACTGCACTACACTTTCATTTTATTACACAGATTATACACATTACGTTGAATAATTGGATGTGTACTATTTAAATATATACATATAATATACATTATCAGTGAAAGGTTTGGACACATCTCACTCCAAACCTTGGACTGACTGTCCAAGGTTTGTCCAACCTGACTGGTACCGTAAACGTGAATATATAAATTACATATGAAATATACGTTTGTATAAATCTAGTTATATATATGAGTGTGTATGTATCATTATATGTTTATATACATATGTTTTTTTTTATTTTATAAATGCTCACACGCAAACATGTCTTTCCTATGCGCGTTTGGTACCGTTTGTCTTGAATAGGGACCTATACAGCAACCAGGCTACGCTCAGTCACCTTCATGCCTGTGATTGGTCGGTCGGTCGGAGCAGCATTCTGATTGGTCGCACTGTCAGAGCCGTGCTGTGATTGGCCAGATTGTCAGTGTCCACCGGAGCTGGCGGAACTTTTAGCCTGACCTCCCGTGTTGTTCGGCATAAGGCCACTCTTTATCTTTTTACATCGTTAATTTAGTGCTGTCGCACCGGTTTTTAGGAACCCATCTACTGTTTTAACCAGTTAAATAGGGCTGTGACGCAGTGAGCTGTATTAGCTTAGCAGAGCAACCTCTAATCGGATGTACCCCTAGTTGTCTTTTTAGCTAAATGCTAACAGAAGCGCCACCGGGAAACAAGGTAACACCGATAACCAAATGGAACTAAACACCCATCCGCCGGTTAACGAGGAGCCGGTGTAACGTTACGTTTAGAAGCTTGCGTTCAGCGAGAAACCGCCAGTCCGTTTCCCCCGACGGGACGGCACGTTAGCTGAATTAAACTATTTTAAACTCTCCATCCAGGGCAGCAAGCCACTGGTTTCAGGTCATTTCTGTTAAATCAGCTTCCGGAGACCTGAAACCTGCCGATGATGGACGAGACAATTGTTCTTAAAGTTTTTGAGTCGAACACGTGTGTAAGCAGAGAGGAGTGATAACATGTGAGGATTAGTTCATGGCACATTATCAAAATCCTGAGACTGAGCACACAAGTTGTACTTATAAAGGTCTCCAGGGATATTGACCCCTAGAACCATATTGATCAAGCATCTGATTGAGTAGACAAACAACTGACCTGATCAGAGCACTACTGTATATTCCCTGATGTTGGACCAACAAGTGGGTCGTTTGTAGCTGGTTTACATCTCTGCCTGTTTCCTCTCCCGCAGCATGAACTGCCCCCCCACCAAGCGGCACCGGGGCCTGAACCAGGACGCCGTAGCGGCGCTCGCCTTCGACGACCCGTTTGGAGACGACGACGAATTCACCCAGGAGGACTTGGACGAGATCGACATCATCGCCTCGCAGGCCGCCACCGCGGCAGCCGGCGCCGGGATCGGGGGGAAACCGGGACCCAGACCGGCGGGGCCGGCGCGCGGGTCCAACTGGCCCGGGGCGGCGGGCCAGAGCGGATCTGTGAGCCGAGCCGCGGGCAACGAGAGCGCGTGCGGGTTCGGCGGCAGCGACAGAGGGAATGCTGGGATGCCGAGCAGGGAGCCCCTCGGTGAGACGTCTTCATCACATTTACAATAGAAGAGTGTGTGATCGAGAGGATCTGAAACAGCTGCTAATGACATCATTGTGTCCTCTGGGAGGATTTATTTTCAACCTCTTTAAAAAGCAGAATGGAAAGGATGGAATCACACCAATGAAGTTTAGTTTCTGCCAATAGAAATACAGTAAGAACATGACGAGAGCGTCTTCACAAAGGCAGAAACTAATATTAGAGCGTAGCTGGAGTAACAACTCTGTTGCAGCAGTGCGAAGTGTAAATAAGTCACATGAACAGGTGAAGATCCACACCTCAACGGCGCCCGACACCACTGCGCCTAAAGGTGAAAATGTTTCCCCGTGAATGAAAATCGTGAATCTTGTCAATGCGGAGAAAATACAGACAGGATCTGAACAAAGGAATAAGATGTAGCCTCATATATATATGAACTAATCATAGCTCTTCCACATGTTCAGTTCGTAGGCCACAGCGGTTCGGGGCGGACCGAGAAGAATCCCCCGGAGTGCTGGAGGCTCAGCACGCCGAGCTGAAGAGGAAGGCGAGACTCGCCGCTTTTTTTTCAAACATCACGCATAGCGAGTCCCTCATAGCGGCTGAGAACACACTATGACTATGATTGTATCGCCATTAGCTGAAGGAGGTGGAGGAGGAGATCGTGTTGAAGAACGGGGAGATCCGGGTCCTGAGGGACTCTCTGAAAGGAGCTCAACAGGAGAAGGAGACGCAGCGGCAGAACCAGATCCAGCTGGAGACCCAGAGGCAGAGAGAGCAGAGCGACAGGGAGACGGAGCTCAACAGGAAGGCGAGGCGCTCACAGACACACAAACACACGCGTGCATCATTCCCAGGAGAACACAATCGTTACATGTTGTTGTGTGCGCTCAGGTTCAGTCTTTGCAGTCCGAGCTGCAGTTTAAAGAAGCAGAGATCAACGTGATGAAGACCAAGCTGCACAGTTCAGACAAATCCAAGATGGCCTCTCCGCTGCCCAGACACAGGTCGGACCTCAACGACAGTTTTTATAATTCATTTAAATACGTGACCTTCAGTAAACTAAACTGGACTTTTCGGGATGCACGACATCTACCAGTCAGATAAATTACTTGGTTGTTTATATTTTATTCCTGTAATTAACCAATATTGTGATTTGACACACTCTCTCTCCTCAGCCCTAAAGTGCTCAGCTCTCTCGCCCAGCTGCATCATGGGAGCGGCAGCAGCTCGTCCTCTCCGACGGGAAATGGCTTCATCACCAAGGAGGCGTTTGCAGCTCACGTCCCTTCCAGGACGACGCCGGTGAAGACGCGGAGAGACGGTGGGTCACCCGGTGCCGGCGGCCCCAGTGGCTGTGAAGCCAGATGTTGACTGACGCGCGCGCGTGTGTTTTTTGTGTGTCCGTGGCGTAGCAGAGAGAGGCGGGTCCAGCGGCCGATCCGGAGACAGACAGGAAGTGTCTCGGCCGGACCCCTTCCTGTCCGTCAGACCGGCTCACCTGCAGCACCGAGGTCAGTCTGCAGGGCCGCTTCATGAGAGTTTACAATAAATAACCTGCAAACATAGTTAAATTATTATATCCACCTGACAGGGCCTACGCGCCTTTAAAACACGCATTTTAATGTGTTTCCGACTTATTTCCAGACAGGAAGGGTCCAATAAAGGCAGTATCCAGCTGCATTATGGGAAATGTTTGTGTGTGCCTTGTCATCCAGGTGGCGTCCTGCTGTGTCTGGTGCTTCAGCAGCCTTTGTCCCCCAGCAGCCTCGGCCTGTCTCACCTGCTCTCCATGAGCCTGACCGACGTCCACCTGACATCCAGGTGAACGTCTGTGTAATACAGCACTGTAGCGGGTTGAGGTCAGGTCACTGTGCACAGGATCCACCAAAACTCTTTAGAAAAAACGAATAACACAACTTGAGCAGCAGGACCGACGGTGCTCGTTGTAGCACTGCTGGTTCCTGTTACAGCACAAGCATAAAGGAACTGAACTCTCATCAGAGGCGGTCATAACTAATGTAGACTTATTGTACGTCGCTTTGGATAAAAGCGTCAGGTAAATGACATGTAATGTAATGTAATGTAATGTAATGTAATGTTTTGTTGTGTGTTGAATGCTGTGACTTCAGCAGGTCTGCAGGTTTTCTGCTCCACCCTGATGTGGGCGGGGCTGGAGGTGGAGATCCCAGAGCGGCTCCGAGTCCCGTCCAGAGTCTGGCTGTGACCGGACTCGGCATGCTGAGTCAGAACCGGCCGGCCGCCGACAGAGACAAAAGGTAGGCTGAGACGCTCCGGCCGGTGACCACTGAACCGCTGTGTGCGCTGTGTGCGCCCTCTTGTGGCCACCGTGTGTAGCTGCAGCGCTGATAATGACCACATGGCCAATCACCTGGAGGCCATGTGGTACAGCTACAAAATGTCAGGCCCGTCACCATATTTAAAATACTGTCCAAAGCACCACAGATAACGGTGTTTAAGTGTGTTTTATTTGGGGCCGCTAACATTCACAACAACAATCTTAAAAAAGTATCATCGTGATTCATTTTCCCGTGTTTGTGAAGGTCGTGTCCCGGGGCTGTCCTCTTCCTCCCGCTGTTGGAGCTCCACCTGACTCGACTCTGTCAGGCTCTGGACTCCCTCCGGTCCGTCTCCGCCGGCGGCTCGCTCCCGGCGGGCCGCGCCGTCGGCCCGGGGGGGGCGGATGAGGCCGGTTTGACTGGTTTCAGTGTGGAGGACGTTGGTTTGGCTGCTCTGAGGCTCCTCTACCTGCTGGTGGCCCACAGTGACGAGGTGACGAAAACATCCGGCTTTCACCCCGATGTAGAGACCTTTTTTAGCTCGTCGTGTCCACATCATCATCAGTGGTTCCATGTTGACTTTTGTTTCTTCCTCCCAGGTGGTGGAAGCTGTGTTAACGAAGGAGAACCAGAGCAGAACGCCACATGTAAAGGTACAAAAAGAAACACTGATGGACCCGCGGCCACTTTGGACTTTTGTATATTTCATTTCCCCCTCCCTCGTCTCTTAGACCGAACACTCTGCTGCAGGCGTGGGTCTGACCTCCCAGAATGCCTTGCTGCAGTCGGTGCTGCGGCTGTGTGAGGGGGGGCTCGGTGACGCTGTCGGTTCACAGAATGAGGAGCTTGTCCTCAACGCCATGAAGACTCTGTGCGTCCTCATCGAGAGGACGCCGCACACGCATGCCGACAGGTAGACGGGCAACAGAAGCCAGGAGGTCAAAGGTCACTAGGTCGTGCTTTTGCTTTCATTTAGTACTCGGCATGATGGCGGTTGAGACACTGAGGACAACCTGACAGACTGTTTTAAAAGATGCCAGTTGGTTTAAATCAAGTGCTGTTTAAGCCAAAATCAAAAATTACTAATAAGCCTCAGCTGACTTTACAACGTGTACACGTGCGATGATGAAGTCACATTTCTAACTGCCACCAACCAAAGGAGAATGTTTGAGTTTGTCTGTAATTTGCGAGTGAAGCGCTGAAGGTCTCATGAAACACACACACACACACAATGCAACAATCCCCTGAAATGAATGCTGCTGGAGGAGCTCGGCTGGTGCTGCAGCAGCCTGTAAAGTACCTGCAGGGATCCACGGTCACCATGGTGACGTAGCAGAGAAGAGACACGACCAAAATGATGAATGGATCCTTTTTAAAGGTTAACGAGGGAGTTCCATCGGGTGACGCTGCGTTTCTCTCTCAGGTTGCAGTGTGTGTTGCAGGTGCTGTGCGTGTGTCTGTCGGCGGACTGCCGGTTGCAGACCGCCTCGGGGTGTGTGTCTGTCCTCAGGTCCGCGTCCGACCACGGCACGCTGGCTCAGCAGCTCTGCTCGCAGCACGGTGAGTTTTCGGAGAGTCCGATTCTCCCTCCGTTGGTCGGGTTTCAGGTCTGCGTGATTTAAAATGAACCTCCGCTCGCTGTGTTGTTTCCTTTTTTTAGACCCCTGTATTTTCCTCAAGTTGTTCCAGTTCATCAGAACCAGACCAGACAAGCGGGCGACACACACAGACTGGATTCTGCTGGACCTGCAGGTAAAAACACACACCTGAGTGTAGTAGGCTGAGGCAACAATCAGCGTGGATTGAAGTGTGGAGGTGGGATGTCAGTCTGATGCTTTACTTGTGCATTTCCACAGCTCGAGTCCCTTTAACATCATGCTGAATTTCTCATTGGGAACCTGTGCAGATCCCATATGCTTTGGTCTGAACCGTAAACTCCTCCCACTCTCAGGTGGTGCGTTTGCTGAGCAGACTGATGACTCAGAGAGCCGAGCGCTGGAGCACCGGCCAGCAGAGCAGCTGTCCGTGTTACACCGAGGTAAAACCTGTTTCTAGGGTGACACTAAACTTTGTTGCACCGTCCGACGCGAGGCTCTCACCTCACCTGGTTCCCCCTCAGCTGGTTCAGACGGTGGTGATCGTCTTCCATCGTCAGTGGTTGGACCTCCGTGGTTCTCTGGAGCCGACGGACTCCACAGGTCAGTTTTAAAAGGCTGTAAAAACGCTTTGTCACACGCGTGTCCTCTGGAGGCGACGATTAACAGTCAGCTGCTTCTTTTTTTTTTTTCACGCTTCAGGCCCGGCCCCGCCCTCGCAGGATTGCCCCGCCCCCTCGCTGCCGTGGTGGCGCGGCCCGGCGGCCTCTCTGCTCAGGGAGTGTCTGCTGCTTCTGCACTGGCTGCTGCTGCACCACGGCCGCTTCTCCGAGACCTGCAGGCCGCTGCTGCACATGTACGACCAGGTGATCCCCGCCGTGCGAGACACCCTGAGGAAGATCCCCGAGCTGAGCGAGAGCGAAGGTACGGACACGCACATGCACACGTACACGCATGCACACGTACACGCAGGAAAGTGAACACACTCGTGTGTTTTTCCCGTCCGTCAGAGCTGGCGCTGGAGGAGATCTGCCGCTCGGAGGGCGACGACACCGACGACATGGACACGGATGCTGGCTCCTGATTGGCTGCTGCCACGGAACGCGCCTGCGACCGGCGAGCAAAAAAACGGGCGGGACATTTATACCCGGTCGGATGTTTCGGGCTGAGAATGGCGACGGAGCGAAAATACTGAAGTTGATGGTGGAGAGAGAGAGCGAGAGGATGAGCGGAAAGTCAGAGGTGCGACTGAAGTGACGATTTCCCAGGATTCATTCTGCTGCGACTTAACAATAAATGTGGAGGTGAGAGAAACTGCTGAGGTCAACGTTGAGGTTTTGCAAGTTTGTTTTCCTCCTCCAGTCTCTGCTGAACAGAGGAGCGCCAAACCTTTAAACTCACGTATCTAAACTTTAGAAAAAGATGATGATGATGTTTCTGTGCAGTGAGACTTTGTTTCTGTTCCTAAATGATCTCACTTCTAGAAGAGAATGTTGTGCTCATTCTACTTGAACTGCCGTCTTCCAGTTTTTTTTTTGGTTTGTTTTTTCATTTCGTCTCAGTTCTTTCCTCTTCAACCTTTTTGTTCGGAGGCTCCACAGGTGTTTCCACAGAGATACGGGACGACGACACTTTTAATCACTTGAAAGATCCAGACAAACTTTACACTGACTGCGAGTTTCCTGTTTGGGGACGAAGGCTCGAAAGACTATATAATATATGAAGAACGGTTCGGGACCAGAACATTTTGTGAAACACCTTTTATTTATTCTCCAGCTGTAACTGAGGTCTGAGGAGCGCGTTCATACGGAGGCGTCCTATTGGCTGTCTGCAGTTCTGTGGTTTTGGCTCAAAAGAAACACAAGTGTTGGGAATTATTAAAGTCTAGTTCACTCAAGGTTAAAACTTTTCTTATCATGATTCAAAACAGGGTTTTGTTCCTTTAAGATTAGATTTAATTACAATGTTGCCCTGAAATACAGATTTCATCATTTTTCTGATCACAAATTGAAAGTTAATAATAATACTAATTCTGCAGTTAAAATAGGATTTCATGTCTCAAGAAAACAAACAGCAAGTATTATTTTAAATATGATTCCAGGAGGCGTGATCACTGCAATAAAGCCGCTGTGTTCCTTTGTAACGACGCTGTGTTGAGTCTTTAATCCAAAATGATCTGGTGTTCGTATTCTGTGGTTGAACTGGGGAAAGTCTCCACTTTACCAGTTGGTTGAGAGGAAGGCACCCGGTGGTCCGGTCAAGTAGTCCAGGATCAGACTTTGGTGTGTGTGTGTGTGTGTGTGTGATCTTGTATGTCTATCTTTGCGAGGACATTCGGGTTTTTCTCGGGTTGTGGGGACGAGTCTTAATGTCGGTCAGTTGTTTTCTTTGGTCAGTCCTGTGTCAATTTACTCAACATATCTCTAGCAAAAATATTTTTCTCCAAAGCCCGGTTTCTTAAACTTTACTGGATTTGAAAAAATAGTATAAAACACTTTTATTTTTGTGAGCAAAAATAAAGCGATTTGGGTTTTAATTTCTTCAGACTAGAAAGTCTTTTCCAGTCAACAATATTGCATGTTGACATTTCGTCACTTAGGGTCTCGGTGATGAGAGTAAATGTCAAGTGTTATTAGTCATTGTTTTAGTAACCATGGCGACACGTTTCAGGCTCAAACTTGAATTTAGAATCGAGTTCAGTGAGCGGCTACAGGGATGAAAAACGTCCACCCGCGTCCTCGCAAGCATAGAGACACAACGCTGTGCGCGTTAGTGTTTTTCGGTCCACGTGGGCACCACCTGGTCGCCGTCCTCCGTTCTGCGCTGCGGCGTTTTTTGCGCGCTGGGGTGCGTCCTCCTCGCGGCGTGGTGCGGCGTGCGGGGGCGGCCGCTCAGCCACGGGTGCATCAGCAGCTCCGACGCCGCCAGCCTCTCGGCGGGCGACTTCCTGAGCATGCAGCCGATCAGGCACTTGGCCCGGGGCGACAGCCACTCGGGCACGCCGAAGGCGCCGCGGCGGATCTTGGCGAACAGCGCGGCGGGCTGCGTGTCCTGGAACGGGTACCGTCCGATCAGCATGGTGTACAGGGACACGCCCAGGCTCCAGACGTCGGCGGCGCGGCCCGAGTAGGGCCCGCTCCCGTTGGTCAGCAGCTCCGGGCTGACGTAGGCGGGGCAGCCGTGTCTGTCCGTCAGCGAGTCGTCGCCATGGTCGCCGCGCAGGACAACGCAGTCGTCGAGGCCGAGCAGAGCGAGGCGCGTCCTGCAGGAGGGAGGGAGGGACCACAAAGCGTCAGCAGTGACCTCAGTAGCGTCATTAGTACTGGTGTCAGAAGTAGTATTAATACTAGTAGTGTTAACGGTCTTGATAGTATTTCTAGTAGTATCAGAGTACTCGCCTGTATTCGTCGGTGAAGACGAACCTGCGGAGCTTCAGGTCTCTGAGGACGACGCCGTGGCGATGGCAGTGCATGACCGCGTCCAGCATCTGAGCGAACAGAAGCCCCGCCTCCTCCTCGCCGAGGCGCTTCCTGCTTCGGACGTAGGCGTGCATGTCGCCGTAGTGACCGGGCAGGAAGACGTACACGCTGTCCTGGCCGATCACCACGTCCAGCAGGCCGCAGACGTTGTCATGGTGACCGATGCGGGCGTAGGCGGCCAAGCGCTCTTGGTAACCGCGTAGAGGAAGCACCTGTAACCATGGTAACATTAGGGTAAGATGGCAAGAAGGGTATCTAGAGAAGTATTACGACTGGTAATCGAAGTATAAGTGGTATTTCCAACAACCGCAGTATTTTTCTTAGGATTATGGGTAAAGTTTTAGCAGTATTGGTAATATTCTTATAGTATATCTAGTATTGTCAGAAGTCTTGGCGGCGTTGTGCACTTCAAACACTTGAACTCACCTGGCAGGTGTACTGCTGCTTTGTCTGCGCGTGCTCGGCCCTGTAACTCTTCTCCCCCTCGCAGCGCTCAAACAGGACGTACGATCCGACCCTGGATGGAGATTGGCTCGGGCTGGATTTGGGGGCGGGGCTCCTGGGCCTCAGGCAGTCCGATAGGCCGGTGGGAGGAAGGCGCGGATCCAGACGGGCTACTTTACATTTCACGATGTCCCGGGGCTCGTCCAGTAGCCTCTTCAGGCGCAGCTGGGAGCGGGCCGCCGCCGTCGTGCCCGCGCTCATCTGTGAAGGACGACACAAGTGACCTCATCAGGTTGGCTGCAACTTGAAGCTTTATTTTCACGGTTACTTGACGTATCGGAGTCTCCAGCCGCTGAATGCTCCACTCTGTACTCTCACATACAGCGAGAAGCGTCGCATTAGCATCACGTCTCACCGCGCCGCCCTGCTGCTCACGCTAACGTGTCTATAGGCTCCATGATGCAACTTCCTGTAAGCTGACGGACGCCTCGGCTTTCAGATCGTTGCATCAGAGCACAACAGTTTATGGTTTCAACAGGCTTTAAATACAGTCAACACACACACACACACAGTTTGTGTTGTTCAATAAAGTTTGTCAGAGCCTGTGGTCGCCGTGGCGACGCCGTGTGGCAACCTGCTGTTGGCCAATGCTGCTTTCACTCCCAAACCCTGAGTCACAGCGTTGTCACGGCAACATCATCCCCCTGACGCACACGGAGTGAATCTGTGTTGTTTGATGTGTCATCTCTTATGATGCAGATTGACAATCGCTATTAAGACTTAAAGAAAAAACTAACTCCCTAGGTTCTACTGCGCTTTACTGGGAGTCTACTGACGCTCTACCAGATGTTCAAGTGAGGATTTGGGTTTTTCTTTCCATGGGCATCCTTTGTAGAACTTTTTGAATTATTTAAAATAAAGAAATTTGTGACCAAACTAAAAAATAAAACTGACTTCAGTGGATGATAAACCGCAACACACACGCCTGATCTCAGATCTGCGTCATAAAACTTAACTGCACCTTTTCAGTGTTGATCAATCACCCAATAACTTATTTTCTGTTTAATTGACAGTTTCATCTCAGTAAAGTTTGGAGGGACAAATAATGAAAAAACTAAGTTTTTTGTCTGGTTTTCTCACAGTACAAAAAAAATACAATTTGGTTTACAATGTTTGAATAATTGTTTCAAGAATAAACTGAACCTGCTCATCTATTATCATTGTAATTATCTTACTTTTAGCTTATTGATGTATTTTTTTTCACTTTCATAATAACTTTTGCAATTTAATCTTATTTTGCTCTATAAAGTTATTGTTCACTACATTTTGTCTGCCTGCTTTGTTCCCTGATGACATCGATCACTGACAAATTATCATAAATCATCTTCGCTTCTTTTTTTTTAAGGCTCCCAATCCTTGAATCTGAATATCTTTTATTCCCCAGTTTACTTATTGTTTGTTTTGTATTCATAAAAGCTTTTTCTCTCTCTCGGTCAATTTAAAAGCATCAAGCCGGGACATCACACGTTCACCGGACAACAAAGTCTAAAAGTTCTGAGTTTAATTCTCTGTGCTGCTCCCGCTGTAGAATGATTAATCAAAGTACTGTGCGCAGGTATTTGTACTTTATCTGCTTCCCGCCTCCTAATGAGGAGTACCACGTTTTCAAAGTAAATGCTTGTGAGCTACTGTTTTACTTAGAACTTAGAAAATACAAGTATTGGTGCAGATGAAACCACAAAAAAACACATTGGATCGTTAAAGTGGGTCAACTAGTGTAACGCAACACAACGTTTTACTCACTGAAGCTTCAGTAAAACTGCAAATGAATTCAACGCACATGCTTTTATTCTGCTTGCGTGAACGACTTTTGGATTCTGATGTAATCAGTTTAGCGTGTTTCTTGGTGGAGGATCTGAGGGCATCTTCCCCCGCTGATCTCAGGTCAGTTTCTTACCTTCAGAACCGGTCCGGTTCGGACTGCGGGTCAACGGGGAACCAGTAGACCGGGTAGGAACCAGTAGACCGGGTAGGAACCCAGTGCAGCTGGCGTGGAGGAGATCCGACTGCTTTCCGTGGACCAGAAGTTGTTGCAGACACGAGGTGGAGGTCGGACTGGGACCCGCGGCGGTGATACTGGGAGCTGTGGAGTCCGGGCGTGACGTCTTTGTCTCGTTGTGTTATTGTTGTCTCGGTTGCGCAACGTGTCGTCAGTCAGCTGTTAGTTCGGATTCTTCTTCGGTCGGAATGAGATCGAAGTGATCGAGGAAACCGGGTGAATTAAAGGAACCGAACAGCAGCTGCTTGTTGTTGTTGTTGTTGTTTTTAAAACTAAAAACTTCTTTCAAATCTGCATCCGGAGCCGAAGCGAACAAAGCCGAGTCCCCCCGAACCCCCCCGAGCCCCCTCGAGCCCCTCGTCCCTGCGGAGTTTAGAGCAGAAACCGCCCGCGTGCTGCTGGGCTTTGGATCCGGTCCGACCCCCCACGGTCCCGCTCGGTTCGGCTCGGCTCGGCTCGGCTGGTCTCCAGGACCTTCCGGCGCACTGAGGACTCGGACCGGCTCCGGGTGCGTTTGGTTCGTTGGTCTGGTTACGTGGATTCATCCCGCGGGGGGCGGAGCTTAGATGGTGCAATCCTGAGCCGATCATTCGTCAGAAAACCGACGCGCGCGGTTTCATTACGTGACTTTCTGTTGACTTTAAGGCGGAGGAAGTACTGCTATTCAAAAAAGAACTACGTGTAGAAATGAGGTTGTTGCAGTTCAAAGTAGTTTTAAACAAAAGTACTATTTACATAAGAACTCTACTTTTCTTTTTTAGAATAGATTATTATTGTATTATGCGTTTAGGATGAGTGTTTGTAAATGTCGAGCTAATTTTATTCACTTTTCTGAAGATTGTACTATTGCATCATTTATATATTGTTTATTTGTTAACATAAAAAACTGGCAATTAACAAGGAAGATATACTTCATTTAGACTGAACGAGGGATATTTATGGATTTATATGACGACACGTTCCTTCATCCTGAGTCACAGCTTCTACATTCTGGGCCTGAGAGAAGAACTTTGCGTGACGTTTTTTTGCCACCAAAACTTTCTGAGAGTGAATTATTTTACCGTCAAGTATTATTCCATTAGCACGTTGTTTAAAACAGTTATGTTATCAGCCGCCTGAACGGCGGAGTGGGATATATATTTAAAATATCATGGTGACAGCCGGGCGATGATGTCAGCAGCTGCAACAGTCAGAGATTTGATTCAAAACAACAGATGCCTGTTTTATGGATATATGGAACATTATTGCATCATACATTTTAAATGATACACTGGTGTAAAGATTAAAAGTTTGATGCAGTGCCTCGGAAAAATAAATGATTTTCCTTTTATTACCCTGAATCCTTGATTAGACTAAAAATCACCGCTGAAGAAAAGATATTAAAACAGTATTGAATAAAAATAATAATTATTAATCTTCTTCTTCTGAATGATTAATCTGATCTCATTAATATAATCCAGCAGCGGTATCATAATGGAACAGCCACATACTTGCAGGTAAAACCTAAACAGGTGACCCGCGGCCAGCTGCTGACCTTTGACCCTAATCTGTGTGCACGCGGCTCAGCAGCTGCTCGCCTCACCTGTTCGTTTGAGTTTGTTCCACATTCGGACACGTGTGACACGATTAGCCTTTCCCTGAACCGGCTTCCCCGTCTCACACCTTCACGCACAGGTGAGCGACCTCGTGTCCGCCGCTCTGATGGCGACTCGAATATCCCAGCGACACCTCGTGAGTAGATGTAATACGGAGTGATACAGAACGGCGCTTAGCTGCGATGTCGGAAATGTGATGAATTCCATTTGATGAAATTGCACTTTCTTGTTTCTGAGTTTGTATCCCTGTGGTTGAAATTGCACTTATTGTAAGTCGCTTTGGATAAAAGCGTCAGCTAAACATGTGATGTAATGACGCGGATGCCTCCTCTGCTAACACGCTAAAGATAGCCGGCGTGCTACAAACCAGCATGTGACATAATAGTGTCATTATAGTTTAAAATGTCAGACCGGTGACGAAGCGTGTGCGAAAGCTGAAGGCCGACTGATGTTTATTTTGTGAATTACATTCTGTATTGTGGACATGAATCTGTGAACTAACTCATGTCTTCACATGGAGGCAGTGGAGTAAAAAAAAGTACCACACTTCCCAGATTAAAACGACAATGTAACCTACATATGATTACAGAACGTACACACAGTGTGTGTGTGTGTTACTGTGCAGTCATGTCTGTGTTTAGAGTCTTCACATGGACGTATGGACACGTGAGACATGTGAGACATTAATCTCCAGCAGGAAGCACAGACGCACACCTGCTGCTCTGCAGGAAATGAAGTCATCTTCATCATGCAGATTTGTGTGCGTGTGTTTGTGTGTGTGTGTGTGTGTGTGTGTGTGCGCATGTGTAGTCAGCTGTGATTGGACAGATTCCAATCGACAGGTAGAGAGCCGAACTGACCTGGTTACACACGCGCACACACACAGACACACACACACACACACAGACACACACACACAGCAGGTTATCTACACATGCTTAGTGTGTTTTTACGCCACATGATGAAATATTGAAGAAACAGAGGACGATGAACAGTGTGTGTGTGTGTGTGTGTGTGTGCTGTGTGTGTGTGTGTGTGTGCGCGCCCGTGTTAAACTTTACTGTCTCTTTCTTACACGAGCTCTCTAGCTAGTCAGAGTGTGTAGTGTGTGACTCTACTACTGCCCATCACTGTCACACACACACACACACACACACACACACACACTCTCAGAGACACGCATGTTGTCTTTCACAGGTTTGTCACCTGTACTGCTGAGGTGCTTACGTCTTCGCCACCCGACTCAGCTGGTGTGTGTGTGTGTGTGTGTGTGTGTACAGCTTTAAATCCACTTCCTGTGTGTGGACCTGCCATCTGCTCTGGTGGTCTCTCTCTCTGTGTGTGTGTGTGTGTGTGTGTGCGTTTGCCTCGGGGCATCTTGACTGTGTGGCGCAGTGGGAGCTTTAGGGGCCGTTTAAGCTTCGGGGTGATTCAACAAGTCGATTCCCTGCAGCGTGTTGATGCTTTGAGTGAAGATCACTGCGAGACGAACGTCTTCCTGCCACGTGGGACACTCGGTCTCACCTGTGAGAGACGTTCTTAGAGACACACGTGGATTCACTAAAAGAACCGCAGGTTATATAATAACAAAATTACTGATGTGTTGAAGGACTTGAGAACCTTGTTTTTCTTTTTCGCCGATGCTGCTCTCAACTTTCATTAGAAAGCCGTCAGCAAAACTTCAGTTCTTTATTCTCGATTATTTAGACACATTTCATAATAATAAAGCAGTTTTTATCGGTTCTCAACACGTTGGCTTTGGATATTCAAGCAAAAGTGGAATTACTCCAGTTCTTTTCAACAGTTTTGAGGTTCTTTGAGTGAACTTCTATTTGATGCTATTTTACACAAATACAAAAATACAAATACAAAAAATGCAAATACAAAAAGGGGTTTTGTTTGTTTATATAAATAAATATGATCTGATCTGTTTTGAGCTTCATCATTTCAGACTCCTGCGTAATGTTCCATCACACACACACACACACACACACACACACACACACACACACACACACACACACACACAGAGGTCTCAGGGATGATGCCAAACTGAGATATATATATGTGTATGTATGTGTGTGTGTGTGTGTGTGTGTGTGTGTGTGTGTGTATCCACGCACACGCACACGCCCACACACACACACACACACACACACACACACACACACACACACACACACACACACACACTCTGATACGACGCTCGAACACACGAACACACACATGCGCACAGACACTGAGACAGAGTCTCTGTCTGTGTGTGTGTGCGTGTGTGTGTGTGTGTGTGTACATGTGTGTGTGTGTGTGTGTGTGTGTGTGTGTGTGTGTGTGTACATCTCTATAAACACACACACATACAGTGAGGCCGGCCTGGGATTGTCTCTGTGATGAAACCAGCGGTAATGTCTGCTGTTGGCATGACGACTCCATCCACTGTGACATGACTGTGTGTGTGTGTGTGTGTGTGTGTGTGTGTGTGTGTGTGTGTGTGTGTGCGCGGTTTTGAGAGAGATGGAGAGTCTGACCTTTGACCTCCTCGCTGTTTCTTCTAAAGAATGCGCTGGGATTTGTTATATAATCCTACATGTTACACTTGTATACATCACTGATAGAAGTATTGATACTGATAAGATAACAATCCCGTGTAAAGGAAGCTGCTGAGGATCTTTTGGAGCATTTAATGTGTTTGATTGAATTCTGCTTTTAACACAAGCCGTATATATATTGTATACTTTTGTTGTATTTCCGGCATTGGGAAGCTCTTTGTTTCGATAGTTATTGATTATCTTTCCGACGTTTTGAGCACTTAAGGACTATTTTGTTTCTGGATTTTGTGGCTTTTGTTGATGTTTCTGGTGGTTTTGTGCTTTAAAAGAGTTTTTGTCATTAGTTCATCTTTTCATCGGTTAACACTTTTCTTCTTTTGGTCCGTCAAGGTTTATGTTTTTATTACATTTTCCAATGTGAGTCTTCTAGATTAAAACTGTCTGACGTGACGGAAGAGATTCTCGTCTCAATGTGACTTGAACGTCGTCACTGAGGAGACGTCTCGACAGTCAACCAGCTGGAGAAGTTTTGATTAATACACAAGAAGATCGATACCAGGCTGAATACATCAAATACAGTAAATTATGCATTTTCATGACGAGAAAAAAGTTTAGTTTTTAGTAACAAGACGAGGGCGGTTTGTAAAACCCTAAATAAAGTAAATATAGAAGAAACATCAAATATTAATACTTATTTTAAATCTCGAGTGTGTGTGTGTGTGTGTGTGTGTGTGTGTGCGTGCGTGCGTACGTGGCCCTGGTTTCATTGCTCTCCTGTGCAACTATCAAATGCAACTTGAGGCAATACCCGATACACACACACACACACACACACACACACACACACACACAAACAACCATCTTCGACTGAAACAAACAAAACAAGCAAACACACACAGACGCACCCACACACACACATCCTCCATCGCCATCCGGCGGCTTTCTGCCGTAACGAGGTGCAATCAACACGCAATGCTGACCAACACACGCCAATACAGACACTCACTCACACACACACACAGACACACACTCTGAGACTGGTAAAAGATGAAGTCAGCCTCTGATTGCAGAAGAGTTGCAGACTGTTGACGTGTGTGTGTGTGTGTGTGTGTGTGTGTGTGTGTGTGTTGACCTCGTACTGCCATGATGTCACATCCATAACAGTTGCATTAACAGCGGCAGCCTTCTTCACGTCCACAAACACACACGCACGCAGGCACACAAACTCACACGCACGTTGAAGATTCTGACACGCCTGCAACGAAGAAAACTCAAACCAGAAATCTTTTTAAAAAAATTTTTTTTTACTGGTGCATCATTTTTTATTCAATTAACAGTGAACACTGAGATAGATTCATCTGCGCCTGTAACTACTGTGTGATATCGTGACATCATCAATTACGTAAATGAAACACAACCTCTTCGGAACGATTTGTGTCAGGTGGTGACATCCGTACAACTAAAGGAGGAGGAATTATGGATTAAGAGACTCGTTCGGGGATAAAATCCTCGTCACGCTGACTGAGATCAGCTTTCTTCACACTAAACATATTTATATTGAACCACTCTGAGATCTTCTAGAATAAACTCTTGTGTGAAAATGTTGAGTTTATAATTTTTCAGGACTGCAGGAAAACTTTGGGATCCAAGACATTTTAGTGTGTGTGTGTGTGTGTGTGTGAGGAGCAGCTTTCTGCCACCAGAGGGAGACAAACTCCACCAGAGGAGATTCTGGACCTAACAGTGTCTCCCGCTTTAACGCCTTAAGCCTGACACGAAAATGACATTCCCACGTTAAAAAGTGTAACAGCTCTGCAACGACTTTGTCTATTTGGACAAAGTTCTGTAGGATAAAGGCCGACCGCTGTGAGGACTCATCGAGGTCAAAGGTTGTGGAGAGTATGTGTGGAAAGTTTTACCTCGATGGAGTGAAGCAGAACAAATCCAGAGAGGCTTTAGTTCAGACACTTCAGGCGGTTCAATACTATTATGGACTATAATACTATATTACTAATGGTGTTCAATGATGTGTTACACATCATCTTGTCGCACTCCAGCCGTTGTCTCGCTCGGTTTTCCTTCTTTTCTGATTGTGTTGCACATTCAGGGTTCTACTCACTCGCTTTGTTTGTAGAGACACTTCGGACAGAAAACCTCATGGCCGAGTCCCCGAGTACAACAACAGACACGACTTTCATCCAGACACGCAGCGGCCGGAATGCCAGCTATGCTTGAGTTCATTTAAATCGCATTCGACATGTGACAAAAAAAGAGAAAGTCCACTGACACAAAATGTTTGTCTGTCGTCCAACACATTAGAGCACGCTTTGGATGCAGCGGCCTTTAGAAGGAGCTGGATTCATGACAGCGATCACTTTAACAATTAACTTTTTTCTACATGTTTGGGAAATAGTCACACAACAAGTTTCTATGTACAAAAACTGTATTTTTAATGAAGGGAAATACCAGATGCGTTGTAGCTCTGTGTGTATTTAACCAGCAGCTGTGCTCTGCTCATTAACCTGCTAACCAGCTTCCACGTGGCGCCTGTTAAACCACACACACACACACACACACACACAGAGTGGATCAGGTTAAACTAAAATACAACAGAAGGACTTTTCACGAGAAAAAAAAACCCTTGTGACCTCTTTTTAAAAAATTTAATAATTTTTGCATTTCGTAGTTGAGTGAATTTGAGACTTCACACGGGGACTTGATGGAGACTCACTTCCTGCCCGTCCTCCTCCATCGGACCCACGTGAGGCTCCTTAGCAGCGGATCACGTGAGGCGTAACCGGTCATGAGACTCAATTACCGTCTAGTAGTAATACCAGCTGTAGTAATACTATTAGTCATTTGTAGTAAAATTATTAGTAGTGTAGTTTTAATAGCAGTATAAATATTAGTTATTACTTTCTGTTATAGTAGTGGGAGTATATCAGTTGCAGTGATACTACTAGTAGTAGTAATTTTAATACTACTAGTAGTACTAGTAATACTAGTAGTAGTATTTGACAGAGAGTATTGAAGTATTTCAACAAAACGTCTTCATTCTAAACTTCACGGTTGAGGTACAAATAATCACTGGGGCTCATTTTTTGCGAGAGGTTCCAAAAATCAAAACCATATTATAATATATTAAAAACAATAACTGCTGTAGTACCACAATAATAAGCTCACTTATGTCTACAATGATTTTTGTTCTGCTAACGTTCCTAAAAGTGAAGCTGTTGAATATTTTTGCAATATGTTTTTGCAGACGGTCCCTGCGTCTCACATTCCCGCCGACGCGGCAGAGCTTCTGGTCACATTGTGGTTGATTACGGTTGTCGACGTCACAACGGCTGCAGCGACGTGTCGATGCTTCATTAACAAGGTTGCAGAGTCTCCCGATAACTTCACCCAACGGGCCGACAAAGCCTCTCATCCGGGGAACCGTTGGACCCGGTCGGAAGAGCTCCGTTTATGACCCGATGCGAAGCGGATGAACGTGGCGCTCGAGCCATGCAAAGGGCAGGTGTGTGTGTGTGTGTGTGTGTGTGTGTGTGTGTGTGTGTGTGTGTGTGTGTGCGTGTGCGTGTCCTTGCACCCTGATACATATAGACAATGTAACCAGTTAATTAATGATTTTTCAGCTGGAGGTACAGATGAATTTAGTTAGTTAGCAGTCGTGCTCACAAGTATTTAGAAATAAGTATATTCAAATCATAAAGGACCAAAAGTAAATGTGCTCGTTGTGCGGACTAATATCTGTTAATACTCCATAATGTATAATCATTTTAATTACTTAATACTGCTTCTGAATTCACGGCTGTATTTGTTCGTTTTCCACAAGGCGGAGCGTTGATTGGCTGCAGCTGATGAACGAGCGGGCTGTCGACCAATCAGGAGGCGGTGCGCGGTGAATAAGTAAGCTGGCCGCTGACGGGCCCGCTGCACTCTGACCGTCTGTCCTTCCGTCGCACTGCGACACACACACACACACACACACACACGCTCAGAAACAGAAACACACACATCTGCTTTGCATTGATCGTCAGCGACCAGGATGCAGAGCAAAGAACCCGTCAGGTGAGAAAACTCGTCCCGTGAAAGTAGATAAAAGATAAAAGAATAAAAGAAATTCTGCCTTCTTAATCCGTTAATTACCGGTCAGATTTAATCTTAAAGCGTCGTTGTTATGAAACACGTAAAGTGGGAGAAAACTACTACAACTTAATACATTGTAATAAGTACAGAACTTTTGACCTCAAGTTTACACAAATTGTGCTGACAACACTTGTTCTAATCACGGTGTGACGCATTCAAGAAGAACAACATTCTACTAAAACTTTAGCCTACGGTACGATAACTGAAGCTTTGTCTAAAATCCAGTATTTAGAAAAACACAAAACTGTATTATTATGTAATAACAAAATTTAATTCATTAGATTTTTTCCTCTAAATTGCCATATGGCGTCTGTGCTCGCGTCAGCTACTTTAACGCACAGAGGAAGATTCAGACGATTGCAATCGGCAACATAACTTCTTGTTGACAACAGAGCCACCAGGTAATATTTGAGTCCATGAGATGTGAGATTGGTGCCAATCTTCTCAGCAGGCAGGGATTATTATCTAAACTGTTCCTTAAGAAGAGCAAACACAAATATCAACTGTTTTTATGCACATTTTCTTTCATAGTAGCCCGACGCTTCACGTCTTCTTTATTGTGTCACGTGTAAACACGGCAGCATCAGCACATTACTGTAAATTACTGTAAATATTCAAAATTCCAATTTCACATTAGCTGCGTTCAAATAGTCCTGTTTGCTTAGAAAGGTTCCTAACCGAGTCAAATGACCCGGAAGTATTTAGGAGCCGTTCAAATTCTCTAAATGCCGAGTAAAGGAGCTTCAATGCTTCCTTACTTAGCCCCTTTAGCATAAGAACTACTGGAGCTTCCTTTACCAAAGGAAAGGAGATCATTCTGTCCCACAATTCCTCGCGGCAGCCATATTCAAAAAGTGACGTGATCATTTGCCGTATCATTTCTATCCCCCGTATATTCATTCTATTTATCTATTTATAAAGTAACCCTTTGAACCTGGTTGTTTAATGTCGTCTGCACGAGTCAGCAGCGTGAGAACACGGGCGCAGGCATCGGAGATGCTTCTCTGTAGTCCGTCCACGGGGGAACGTCTGACGTCCCGTGTCCCCTCTTCTCCCCCCGTCTGCAGCCATGACGAGTACCAGACGGCGGCCGATTGGCTGAGGACTCACACCCGGCACCGCCCCGAGGTGGCGATCATCTGCGGGTCGGGACTGGGGATGCTCGCCGACACCCTCGGGTGTCAGGAATCCTTCGCTTATTCTGACGTACCGGGCTTCCCACAGAGCACAGGTACTAATATACAGTATAAGTACTTCACAACATCAATAGTGAATTATACTTCTTAACAGACTGACAACCTGAGAGTGAAAAGCTGTTGTCCACATATTTCATCAAATGCATGCTACACTTATTTAAGTTATATATGAAACGAAATCTTTGTTAAGTCGTCTTTGTGCCTCAATTAGCATCACTTTTTCTCTCACCTTAATCCCACCCGTGTGTGTGTGTGTGTGTGTGTGTGTGTGTGTGTGTGTGTGTGTGGCAGTGCAGGGTCATGCAGGTCGGCTGGTTTTTGGGGTGCTGAAGGGGAAGATGTGTGTATGCATGCAGGGTCGCTTCCACATGTATGAAGGACACACACTCAGCAAGGTACACACACTCACACGCACACTCACACACACCAACGTTGAAGGGGTAGTACAACATTCTACTCATTGGTGTCACTCTCATGTAACAAGAAGAAGTGGGAACATCTCTATTCAGATTCCTTCGGTTCTGCCGGGTGGAGTCAAACTTTTCTTAAAGCTGCATTGAGGTTCCCTGTTGGATTGAACATTGTAAACGTACGTTATTCTGCTCTACATCGCTAGTTTCATGACTTCTTCAAGTCAGCATGATGTTAATTTATCAAACTGTGGTAAATTGAGAGTACAATAGACCACAAAGTGGCCCACACGTGGTAATAATGAAGCTCTGATGCAAGACTCAGAGTAACGACGGCAACGTCGATGGAGCTTTTCTGCCACTGCAGACCGCAAGAATCCACACGAAGGCACTATTTTCAACCGACTCACATGATTCATTCATTCATACAAATTCAGACCAATAAACACACACTGCACGTGAGCCAATTAAACCCCTCCAGTGACGCTGAACCTCATCGCTGTGTGTGTGTGTGACCTGAAGGGAAACAATAGCAGCATTGAACCGCCTAAAGGCTGCATGTGATCGAACTCACGTGTTCATAAAGGCTGTAAGAAACAGGCTCTAGTGTGTGTGTCTCTGGTGTGTGTCTCTGGTGTGTGTCTCATGACACACATGCTGGACCGGTCTGTCCTCTAGTTGCCTCGCACAGGTACAATTTGTGTCATGGTTACTGCTGCCTGAGACATTCAACTTAAAGAGAGAAAATTTTTTTGCCCCCCTTTTTCCCAGGAGGTCCCCCCGTTCCCGGGGTAACAACCCTAGGTAAAAAAGTTTTCAAAAGTGGTGGAGGGGGGTTCGGCCCCCTTGCCCCCCCCCCCCCCCCCCCCCCCGTCCCCCCCCCCGTCCCGCTGTCTCCTCCTCAGACGACGTTTCCAGTGCGAGTCTTCAAGCTGTTGGGGGTGAAGACTCTGATCGTGACGAACGCTGCCGGCTCATTGGCCGACGGCCTCCAGCCCGGTGACATCATGATCATCAAGGACCACATCAACTTCCCCGGATTCGTCGGTCTGAACCCGCTGATCGGACCGAACGATGACAAGTAACATACCTGTATATATATATATAAATAAACACAAATGACCTTGTGTTGTTCTTTGTTTCATGTGCTTGTGGCAAAGCTGCGTTGTTTATTTGTTTGTCATGCAGTAGTTTTCCTCATATCGTTGTGTTTTTTTTGTGTTCTCGTTCGGCGTAATTGAGAGTTTTGTTTCGGTTTTTGTTAATTTGTCGTTTAAAGGTTCGGGCCTCGTTTTCCGGCCATGTCAAATTGCTACGACAAAGAGCTGCGTTGCTTAGCAACGGAGATCGGCAAGCAGCTGGAGATTACCGGCCTGATGCGAGAGGGCGTGTACGCCATGGTGGGGGGGCCCAACTTTGAATCCATCGCTGAGGCCAGACTGCTGCATCGACTCGGCGTAGACGCTGTCGGTGAGACACACACACACACACACACACACACACGCACACACGCACACACGCACATTCACACAGAGACACCAGGCAAACACAATGAACAACAGCGATGATTTGGCAACATATCTCACGGTATTACCCTCTCAGTGGTGGTGACAGTACTAACATACTAACAGTAGTATTGCGTGTTTACAGGTATGAGTACGGCTCCGGAGGTCGTCGTGGCAACCCACTGCGGCCTGAGAGTGTTCGGACTCTCTCTGATCACAAACAAGGTAAACACCGATCAATACGTCGACGATCAATTGTGACCAGCGACAAAACTGCCGAAAGTCACCAATCAACATGATTAATAAGAAGTCCACCAGCTGCTACTTGATTGTTTCATTGATTAATCAATGATTTTATTGATTATCTTTCAAACATATTTGAAATAATGAGTGTTTTTGTTTGATTGATTGCTTGTTTGATCGGTGTCAGGTGGGTAAGAGCTACGAGGTCTCAGACCGTGTTATTTATTGGTTGATTCATTGAGTGCTGCATCAATTGATTGATCCTTGTCAGGTGGTGAAGACCTACGAGGACTCGGACAGCGTGAACCACGAGGGCGTCCTGGAAGTCAGCCGGCTGCGTTCTGTGACTGTGCAGCAGTTAGTGACCGAGCTGATCGGAAAGATGGATATCAATAACAACGGCCCCAACGACGCTGGAACAAAGTTCTGAAAACACACACTGTGCATTGATTGATTTATTGATTGATTTATTTTTTACAACATTTTCTTTGCTTATTTAGTCGTTATTTTTTGGAACCCAAATATTTCCCCCATCTGGGTAAATTTGAGTGTTAATATTGGATATTGATCCTACAGATTAATGTAATGGTCACCTTTTTTATCTGATTTGTATTTATCTGAATAAAAAATATATGACAATGTAAAAATGATGTTGTGTTGTCTCATAGAAAACATTTGTTAAATATCACTAAAAAAAGGCCAATGAATGTAGTTTTTCATTATTAAGCAACCAATCGATTTGAGGGCTTTTGAATGGCTTCTTACTGGACTTCCTCCAGAAAAAGGTCAACAAACTTTACGAATAAAAGGTTTCTTATTTGAAGATGAAAGAAGAAAAGAAAGGTTTCCTCTCTGAGAGAGAATATTCTGTACATGCAACTCTGATTGGTTTAGAAAAGATTTGAACTAAACAGAATGTTATCTTTCAATAATATTTCAGACGGTTAAAACCTTCTAAATAATTCCGTCGCAACTGATTTGATTTGAATTGCAGGATCCCAAAAAGAGGCAGGTAAGTTAAACATATATTTGGTAATAATGTTGGATTTAATTTTATTCTCTGTTCTGAAAGTGGAGGATTAAAACTCCCTCTTGTGATGAAGCTGCTGTGATACAGTCAAACAGAACAGCAAGAAGATTGTTTTCTCAACTGCTGGTTCCAAGGTCAAGAATAAGCTTCAAACCTCCATGTGGATCGACCTTTTTTCTCCTTGTGCTGGGTTCTGAAGCAGAGCCCGTCAATGATGATGACCACTGAACTCTTCATCGTCTCCCTTGTGGTTCTCCTGCTGGCTGTGATGGTGTTGCTGCTCCTCTGCTGGGTCCTCAGAAACAGCCGAAACAGGTAAGAACCAAAGACCACAGAAGAAGTGGACATAGTCGCCATGACTTTGGTTTTGAAGCCTCCGGTTTGGCAGCTTGCCAGTTGTCGCCTAGTTTTTTTTGGGGGGGGAGTTTTGCAACCGGTGAACAGAAGTGAGAAGATATTTGGGCGTAGAGAAGCTCAAGAGACTCAAACAAAGTGTCTCTCTGTGTTTCAACTGTGTAGTGACGTCACAGAGATGCAGATCTCTGCAGGGGAACCCGCCCGCGTCCTGACCATCAGAACCAAGTCACAATTCGCCAACCAGCTGCTGGACATCGTGCTGGATCGAGTCATCCTGCAGGTGGAATCCGAACCACAAACGGGGGAGGAGCCGCAGGTGGAAAGTGAAATGGATCCTGGGGAGCATCTTCGAGGAGAAAGAGGTTCAGGTCCCATGAAAGGTAGATGCTTTGGAACCGAACCTCCTTTCGTGCAGACCGTAAATATTACTCCTGCGTCAGAAAAGTTGAATTTGAAACGCTTTATTCCTGTAAGAGAAACCGCTGAAGTTAAAGCACCAGAGAAAAGAAGAAACAAATGTGTGTCAGAAAGCACAGAAATAAGTTTGCGTAAATGAGAAGCTGAGAGACATTTAAAGAGGACCTCGTTTGCAAAACAATCAAAGACAAACTGTTCCGTCTTAGCAGGTGAAAATCGTGCTGTATAAATGTTTCGATCTCAGCGTGTTTTAGGAGACATTGGCTCAATGAGACGCACTCACACTTGATTGGATAGAAGATGAGGAAGAAGGCGCTTAAACTTGGTTCAGAATCTCCTCGTCATTGATTTATTATTCTAACAGACATGTGTGATTTTGGGCAGTAGGAATACATTTTACGGTTTTCAAACTTTAACCAAACCTTGACTTTAACTCTCAATGCGTCATTTAAAGTGATTCTGTCGTTTCCCTCCTGCAGCTGTGAACAATCTTGCGTCAAAACTGCAGAAATGGATGACTGCAGGGGATAAAAACAGTACGTAAATCCCTTCTTTTTTAACATTACAAGTCTAAAAAATGTATGTTTTCTACATCAACGTCTCTTGTTCCAGCTGCTCGGACGGATGCACCCGAGCACGCCGCTCTCCCCTCGGATGGCGCCTCCTGCAGTGCGTCGAGGGAAGAGGAGAAACAACAGGAGTCCCAACTTTAATAAAGGCAGTGACTGCAGGATAAAGGGCTTCCGTTCCGATGCGCGGCGATGCGTCAGTCCGCCTGCAGGGGGAGGGATGGAGCCGCTGGTGCAGCAGGCGGCGGCTGATTGGACCGACACGCGGTCGGCGATTGGTTTGTGGGAGGGATTAAGCTGCAGGCTCCTCCCATTCAACTTTCCAACTGAGGGGGCGGATAACATCTAAACATCTGTGATGTGTTGAGTTTCCGTGAGGGAGACTCACGCCGACACAAAGGACACAAAGGAAGTGAACTCGGTTTTTCTCTATAATCGGATTTTCCATGTCGGCTCGTGCCAGAAAACGGGGGGGTCGAGGGGGGGTTGAGGGGGGGCATGACAAATGATCAATGATACTTATGCAGAACATGAGATATAACCTTCACAATTTGACTGAACAAGCAAATGATGTGACAGTGAAAGTTCTGACCCGCCCGTCGGTCATTTGTTGAAGTTAACGCGTTACCGTAGCGACGGAGTGTGAGGCTGACATGGTACAGATGTGTTCACAAGGCCGAACTGAACTGACCGGGACCAACGAAGGGACCTTCACGTGTCCAGAACGCACCAATGCTGCATCTTTAAGTGGTGCACGCACCTGCTGATTCGTTTTTGAGGATCCATGTTGTCATTTAGAAGATGGATGATAGCTCACACGTGAACCGACTTTAACACTCAGCAGCTGATTGACAGTGAATATTACGGTGGTGGAAACAATGGATTGAAAGTGCGTCGTTCAGGTGAAGGCATGCGACTTAAACTAGTCCCTCCTTATTTAAACTGCTGTCTTTGGTTCGTTAATACTTTTGGTAAACTCTGTCTTAGTTAGCCAGCTGTTGATATCTCTAATATTCAATATATTGTCCTAAATAAAAGACGCATTCCTAGTTGCATCATTTTGAAGTTAGTGAATAAACTAAAAATGTATATAATTCATTCAGTTTGTGTCGCCTGTGTTTGTGTGTTGGTTAAGCTCATCCTTAATATTTCATAATTTTATGCTTGTTTTTTACATACATACACACACATGTACCTTTCATAACTGTTCCGTCTTGACTGAACTGCTTCATGAAGACAAACTGTGTCTTTTGGTTCAAACAGGAAGTGTCCAAAATCCCTCACGCACACACACACACACGCACGCACGCACACGCACACACTCCCTCCTGAGTTATCTGTTTCTCCTCTGCTGTCGCTCTGACACACACACACACACACACACACACACACACACACACACACACTGTCTCTCTCTCTCTCTCACACGGAGGGCGCTGCATAACTCCACTGATTCCACTCCTGCATTTTTAACGCTGTTGTGGAACTTTTGTTGTTACTGTGCACCGGGTTCGGTTACACGGCCCGAAGGACGGGTTCGGTTCTGTTGTTCGCCGAGGAGGGACTCACTGTGGACGAGGTGTACGGTAAGTCATACATCTATATTTCATCTTTCTTTCTCTCCGTTTTATCCTCCGTTTTATTTTCCGTCGATGACTTAATCAAATTAAGTGTTATTTGTTTTCTGTTAATATCACACATGTCAACAACACGTTTTTCGAGCATTTCACATTTTGGACGTAACTATTATTTCTTGGGCTTTTCTCACTAAGGAGTTTCTGTTCAATATGTAAGTGTTGGGGTTCATAAACTCTTTTCAACTAGCTAACGAGCTCTCGTGCACTCTATGACACGAGTCACCTCTGACCTCTGACCTCTTTTTTTTGAAGAACAAAAAACAGCTGCAGTTATAAGACGTTTCAGTAAATGGTTCACAAATGACCCTCAAACACAGCAGCTTGGACTGACCGATGTGCTTGGCACCTTTAAGCGCCTGAATTATTTATTTGTAGGAGGTTTGTCTGTCTGTCTGTGCTGTCTCGTGCATACGAGAGCTCCTACTTGCTGCATACGGTGTAATTCTACCTACTGTAATCAAACATCATATTGAGTCAGTTATTTTCTTGATCATTGGAGGAGTTATTTCAACTGATTCTGTGACAGAGGAAGTAACGTGTATTTGATAACGTGTTAAAAATTATAAAACCGAATGTACAGCATAAAGCTCAGCTCCGTGTCATCATGAATCCGCCACAGGAAATGGGTCCCCAAATGTAAATATTGGAAAAATGTCCTCCGCTACTCTTCTACCATTAATCTCCAACATTTTCCATGAAACCGACACTGAGCAAAGACTTGTACCTCCTTGGAAACGTTTATCCACGTGTATCGTGAATAAACGTTTATCCAAGCGCTGTCTTGAACGGTGCCCTGTTCTTACTCCCGTTCAAGCTAAAGCTAAGCTACGTTAGCACTTAAAGGAGCATTATTTAACATTCTGAGCTATGGTGTAGCAGTAAACAACGCTGTGAAGATGAGGTGGAGCGGCGTCTACCGGAGCAGAGAGTAAAGTCGCCGTCTGTGCTTAAAGCGTAGTTTCCGTCCTCCGCAGCGAAGCCGGCGTGACTCTTTTTCAACACAACATGATGTCAATTTAGCAAACTATTGTCCGTCTAGAGTCAAATGCATCATAAATGGACAGTATGCTTTAGGGCGGGCTTACAGTGATTGGCAGGTTGCTATGGTTACCAGATCTGATTCCGGTGTCGCTACGTCATTCCTTTACAATCCCAATTTGGTCATTCCTCTTAATTGGACACAACAACAACAAAAAAATGGCGGCAGCAAAATGGCCGAACTCAATGCTTCCAAATGGCAGTCGTGGTTTCACGTTTTTGGTTGTAAACAAAGGCATTAAAGTAGTCCATGAATAGAAGAACAGCCCCTGGTCAGTGTGGTTAGCACTGTTAGCTGCGAGAATACAGCCGTAAAACGGCCTGGTACTTTCCCCGTAACCTGAATCGTCCCGTCCCTCAGGTCAGGCCTGCCCTGATGCCATCGCCGTAGCAACATGACCCTCAACACCCAAAGAGCGAAGGAGCCCCTGAGGCGCCGAGGCAGCACGCCGATTCCTCCCGCCCACTTCTACCAGCACCCGTCTTGGACCCGGGACCTCCAGAACCCCCGGCTCCCCGCCGGCGCCGCCAAGCGTGGCCACCTTCCCCTGGGACAGTCGGCGTCCTACCACCCCGGAGACAAGTCCCTCCACTACCGCGCCCAGTGGAGCTCGGACTCGGACGACGACTCGCAGAGCGACTCGGACTGCGTTTACAGAGTGGTGCTGCTGGGCGACCACGGCGTGGGAAAGACCAGCCTCGCGGGAATCTTTGCCGGAATCACAGAGAAAGATGAACAACCGGGAGGTGGGATGTTGCTTCCTGTTGATTGACTCATTGATGCGTTCAGACGCGTTCATGTTCTCACTTCGAACAAGAGAAAACCCACAAACCCAGAAAGAAGCTGATTCTGTCAAAAACACGCTTTTGTTTAGTTTAACATGCTCTTTTATGGTGGTGGAGGTTGAGTCTAAGTAGCCAGTACCCTTGAGCAAGGCACCAACCTCCCCCCCAAAAAAAACCTGCTTGATGTTTCCTGTGATGCTTCTCAGCTTCCGTCTCTGACTTTGTTCTGAACAGCACAACCTTGACCGAAATAATTGATCATCATCTCCTGTGTCACGTGTTCGTTGGCCCGAGGCCACGATTGACAACCTGTATCGGATCAATACCGGATCGGTGACAGTCTGACGCGGCGCGAGGAGGAGGGGCGGTTAGTTTCAGGTCAACGGAGCTCAATGCCTGCTTCGCTTTCCGCTTTAGTTTTACACGTTTTTAACGCCCTCGTAGTTTGCCTCAAGCTTTTGACTGTGATGTCACTGTTTTCGACCAGGCTGTTTTGGGTTTCTGTCGCCCGCCGAGGCTCTGGAGACGAAGGTGACGTTGTCAGGGCTCCGTCACCTCTGGATTGAGTGCCAGGAACATCTGTAAATGTGAGCGTGCTTTTTGTCTGTTTCAGAGGAATCGTACGAGCGCACGCTGACGGTGGACGGAGAGGAATCCACGCTCGTCGTCATGGATACCTGGGAGAACGACAAACTGGTATTGAGTTGCGTCTGTGTGGGTCTGTGCCAGCGTACGTGTGTACAGTTGTGGAGCATTCGAGGCCAGTTGTGAAGCAGAGGATTATGGGTACATGGCGTTCTGCAAAGGGACCTGATGTCACAGATTTCAATCAGACACTTTTTGCTTTAAATAAATTATGAAAAAAATAAATGATCTCATCTCTTTTTTTGTGATCTCAGAAACATGAGCTAGTTTTGTTGAAATCACAAAATGAAATTCATCTGGAGGAACTTGAGATTTTTGTTCATGCGCGAACCTGTTTGACCTCCTGCTGACCTCTACGAACTTATTAGAAGAATCACCTCTTGAAATCCTTCCACCTGTCAGGAGGACGACGAGGACGAGGACGACTCCTCTCAGCACGACTGCCTGAAGGTCGGGAGCGCTTACGTCATCGTCTACTCCGTCACCGACCGCGCCAGCTTCGACGCCGCCTCCGAGCTCCGCATCACGCTGCGGCGCACGCGCCAGGCCGAGGACCTGCCCATCATCCTCGTGGGAAACAAGAGCGACCTGGTGCGATCCAGAGAAGTGGCTGTGGAAGGTGTGTGTGGGGGCGGCGGGGGGGGGGTTCAAAGGTCACAAGGCCATACGTGAATGCAAAACACAGATAACGTTCGCTACTTCGCGTCTGTTTTTTTTTTTCACCAGAGGGCCGAGCGTGTGCGGTGGTCTTCGACTGCAAGTTCATCGAGACGTCGGCGTCTCTGCAGCACAACGTGACCGAGCTGTTCGAGGGCGTGATCCGGCAGATCCGCCTGCGGCGAGGGGACGCCGAGGCCGCCCGGCGCCGGGGCTCCGCGTTCAAGCGCAAAGAGAGCCTCACCCAGAAGGCCCGGCGCTTCCTGGACCGACTGGTGGCGCGCAACAACCAGCGCATGGCGGTCAAGGTGCGCTCCAAGAGCTGCCACGACCTCGCCGTCTTATGAGGACGCTCGCGCGCCCACCGGCATCCGAGCGGGTTCGTGGTTCGTGGCTCTGGTTCTTTTGTCAACGCCGAGCTGCTTCCCGCCGGTTGCGACATCGTGGACGATGGCGTGCGCGGGTCTGGTCTCACGCTCAGCGAGTCGACGGCAACGCCGGTCGGCATCGGACGAGTCAGCAGACGGTGCCGGAGGTTTGCTGCGTGGAACTCTCGTTTCCTGTTTGTTCTGAGCGTTTCCTTTGGGTGACTTGCAGGACGGGACTGTGAGCTGTGAGGGTTGAAGGTTGGACGGCGTTGTGCGTTTTGTGTGCGTGTGTCTGTGTGTGTGTGACAGAGAGCAGTGGGTGTCCTGTAGTTCTCTGTGTCCACTGAGGTTCCTTCTGTTTTCTGTTATCATCTTTTTAGGTGTTGATGAAACATCCTTCTAGTTTATTATTATTATTTACAATGGACCACTCATTAAGCCCCTCCCCCCAAAAGTGATTGTCCAATCAGATCAAGGCACTTGTTGCACCAGATCCATGGATGTTAGTTTTTTTGCCCTAAATAAGATCAACTACCACAATGCCGAGGGGGTTGTTATTGAGTGTTAACTCATATTTCATATTTTATGGACTACTTTATTGCCTTTGTACAAAAGTCAAAAACAGTGAGTAAACAGTGTTTACTTGCAGATACTACGTGCATGAAACACCGCTAATAAAGTCATTGCACCGCTGAGTCTAAACCGTGATTCTTTTTCTATTTTTTGCATGCAAATAACTTGCAAATCAGAAAAAAGAATTTGGTGTTGAATTGTGTTTGATGTGAGAAACACAAAATGTTTTTATCTAGCTTACACAGACGACGTGCTGTTTACCCCACGTGGGGCCTCTGGTGCCGGTGAAGTAATTTATAGTAGATGACATGCTGCAAGATGCCACGAACCAAACTCTAGTGGTCAGAATTTGCAGCGACCCACCGGACGCACCGATGCAGTTCACACTTTCAGAGTGTGAACGTTGTGTGGATTTAAGCAATCTGGGTCACAAAATGTGTTCTTAACTACGAAGAAGAAGCCGCGTGCAACCATCAGATGAACCGTTGCAGAATGTTTACTGTTGCCACGGTGACGCGAGGTCCCCGTTTGAAGAACAGGCGGCATCACCGCGCCGTTGCCATGGTGTCGTGCGCTGAAGGAATGAGTCCTAAATTCTTAAATAAGTCTTTTCTGCATTACAAGTTTCCTTTTGTGACTGTGATGTTTTGTTCAATAGACCCACTTGTTAATTTTTTAGCTTTTTAAAGCTTATTTAGTTTATTAGTTTGCTAATAAATGCTCATTGAATGTAAACATAAGGAACAGTTGAAGCTGATGGGACGTTTTTGCACTTATTAAGTCATAAACCAAAATACTGGACTAATTTATTTTATTCTCACGTGAATTCTTGTTTCAAATTTCGTGATATTTGTTTGTGAAACGTCAGGAGGCGAAAGTCATTTCGCTCGGCCTCTATTTTGTGATCAGAGTCTGACGTGCCGGGAAATAACAACAAACTGATTCAAAGTCAGTTTATCTGTCAGACTGGTTGACCCAGTTTTCACTGATCACATATCCACTATCTGCTCAGTAGTCGGGCGTGTTGGTGACACAGAGAAACACGCTCACACACACACACACACACACACACACACACACACACACACACGCAGGGACAGTAGATGGAGGAGGGGTGTTTAACATTGATTTGATGAGGGTAATGGAAAAAATGCATGACTCTGTTCGACCCGGACGACACACTCACACTTACACACACAGACACACACACACACACACACACACACACACACACACACACACACACAGACAGAGTGATGTGTAAACATCCTCTGAGCGGAGGAGGAACAGAGGCTCAGAGCTGTGAGTTCAACTCCCTCCTGAAACTTTGGAGAACAGAAACATAAGAAAATCCTCCTCTCTGCGACGTAAAGGTTTTGTAAATATGTTTTTCACAATTCCTCAGCTGAGTTGTTTCAGCTGTTGATAAACCGCTTTGAATCTGTAACAAAACGACAGCAGAAAATATGGAAAGTTCCATTGATCTGGTGTGAACAGGAGGTCAGCAGTTGAGCATCTAACACACATCTGTTCAGACAGGTTTCATTCACATGAGCCTTTTCCACAGAAGACGTTTGACTTGGCAGGAAGAGCACATGTGTCACCAACGCTAATGATGACTGTTCACGAGTGACAGTAAAATGAGGAAGAGATTATTACCAAAACAAGGAGCAATTGGCCAATAGAATATTTGCTGTAATTGCTGGTGTTGGATGTTGTCTCGTGTGTTATTTAATGCAATAGAGACTCTCACAGCAGGTCAAGAGCACTTAGTTAAGCTTACTAAATTGTGTTGGACCAAAGATCGATTTGAACCAAAACAACACGGGTGTTAAAGTGACCTGTGAGGATGCAAACTCTCATAGTCACATTAAAAACATTGGGAACATCTGATCGTCGCTGTAAGGAAAGCCAAAAGCCTCCGACTGACTGAGAGAAACACTCCGAAACTGAACATTACTCCAAACATTTGAGAACCCTTTGAGGTGCGTTTGACTTGGAGACAGTGAGCAGAGGACCCAGATCCTCCAGCGCCCCTCAGCGTTCACTTGAGCTGCACAGTTTCCTCTCCGCCGACCTGTGGTTCAGCGTAAACTCCTCAGGACTGCAGCTCGGCCTCTGCCCTCGCACACTTGCACACTCTGAGGCTGCAGGGATGAAGAGGAACGTACGTTGAGGCCTCGCGGTCTGAGTGTGTGTGTGTGTGAGAGAGAGACTATGGCTCCCCCTGCTGGATGGAGACTAAATATCAAAGGAGATAAAGTTTCCTTGAGGGATTGTAAGTATATTTTTTATCTCAAATGAGAATCTAACATTTTTCAATTCCCTGCTGCCTTCTTTTTATTCTCATTTTCCCAATTCATCTCATACGCACACACATACATGCAGAAATACCTGCCTGGAAAGGTGTGAAACAAGATGCAGTGATTTACTGAGCAAACAATAACTTCCTTTGTTGTGTTCATAGGAAAAGGGAACAAAGCAATAGCGTGAGTTGGCACCTTCAGGTAATCTGACACGCAACCCGGAAAAAACCTGACCGACACCCACGCCTTGAAAAAGGTTGATATTGGTACACGGAGATAAAGTGATCGATAGATCAATAACCTGATAAGATCTGTGAGGCAGGTCAACCTTGAATACCTGAAGACCTTCGTTGCTTTGTGTAGCATTTTGTAGCTTGGTATGTGTTCAGTTGTAGGGCAAAGGGGATTAGTGGGTGGAGGGTTGGGGGGGTGGAGGGGGGTCCCATTTTAACTGAGAAAGAGGCCTCCAGGGGACGCAGACATGTTTGAACAGGGAGAGCAGCTGAGGTTTGAGCTTTGGCCCTGATGCTGAAGAAGCAGCCTGACCTTTTGTCACACGACGTGTTGAAACTGATCAACGCTTCAACAAATAGAGAAAAGAAAAGTTGAGTAAATTTCAGGAATGTTAGGTTTGCAGGTGTTCTGGTTATTTTGTCCATCCTGTAGGCCCTGTTATCCACTCCATAGATTGGGGCGTGGTCGACGTTCAAGCCGATCAAAGGTATCAAGCTACCTGGGAGAAAATCCCAGAGTGTGACATCCGTAGCTTTCAAAATAAAAGCATGCCATCATTTCAAATATTAACTGGGTAGCCTTTTGTCTTTTACAGAGGGTGGTCCACTGTGCACTGTGTGTCCGAGACAATAGGTTCGGAGATAACACGTATTGCTTTTTTGAACAAATTTTAGTTTTAAAACTGCTTCGTCTTTCCTAAATGTTTGCTATTAATGTTTTTAAGCCAAGTTAATAATAATCCTCTGGAAGTGAGGTCAATTCAAATTAAAATGTTTTTATTGCTATTTTGTTTCCCTGTGCATTTTTTATCTGTACATATTGGTTGGGTTTTATTGTTGAATCTATTGAATCTGTTTTTATCAGAGTTTAACATTTTTTAATAGTTGTACGTTGGGTGGGCTCTCGTTTTATACTGTCTAAATAAATTACAGGTGCCATAAACTTACAATGTTGTTATAATAGTTATATGCATTAATTTGTAATACTGAAGCGCCTTTCTGTCATGTAATGTTGATCTCTAACTGATACGCTGCATTTAAACAGTTTACCTCTGAACATACATGGTGGGGTGTACGTCTGTTTTTAATTTCACAAAATATAATGAGCATATTGGGAACAAAAAGGCTTCGGGTTGGTGGAATCTGTGCTACACAGCTTGCGGTAAATTGGACCATTATTTTGAAAAGAATCCCCCGGATGTTGTGCGTTGTTGTCGCTGCCTGGACGTTTTCTTGAAGAAGTCTATGAAGCCAGTGAGGCGTTGATGAGCGAGAGCGAGAGAACGCGTCTGGATTAACCGCCACAGGCCCCCGACGAGCGGCAGCAGGATGAGCAGCGCAGGTACGATCGGACACACGCGGCAGAACCTTAAACAACACAACGCGGGTCACCGAACGGAACACAACACCTCGCAGCTGCTGCGGGACTCAAGCGTGCGCGCGCCCGCGTCCTGCAAAGTGTAAAACAAATTCAAAATTAAAACAAACGAATGGGACTTGGGACCGGTTTTAATACGGGAGGAGTGAATTTAAATTTGCAGGCCGACGGGGGGACCGGGGGGCGATGGGGGGGCCGGGGGGTGATAGGGGGAGGGACCGGGGGAGTGCAGAGGAATGGGGGGCGATGGGGGGACGCGCGCGCTGCCTTTTTTCCTTTGAAATTCCAGGCTTCTGTGTGTGATTGCGTCATGTTTTTCTTTAGAAGTGGGGCAGCACATGATCTCTAAACTCGGGTTTCACTTCGTCTTTTTCTACAAATATTAGAAATGTAATCATAAAGACACACCGCTTTATTAACTTAACTAACTTAACTTAACTACTTTACATTAAAATAAATGCATCATTCAGGTCAGCGAAATCCTTTCATTCAATTTCAGTCCGTACGGGTTATTATCAATGGGTTTGTGATTATTAAATGTTTTAGGTTTACAGGTTAATTGGTTTGGCTCCATTCAATAAATCAGAGTTTTATTTAAGAGTGAGAATGCTAGGGTTCTAAATGCTATAAAATAGGCCTCCGTCCACTGAGAATTACTTAATTAATTAGAATTCGGTCCGGATGATAGTAAAACTGTCCGTCCTTCCCATTCGAGTCGAGGTTAGCTCCCTTTACTCCAACGTCTTTCCTTTTCTCTCCTTCTCTGCCTCCCGCTTCTCTTCTCCCATTCAGTACTTTCCGTCTCCTCCTCCTAGCTCCTTCTTCCCTTTCCTACGCCTTTATCCCCTTCATTGCTGCCCCCTTTCCAGTCTTTGTGCTCGCCTTTTAGCTCCCGTTCAATATTCAACGTACAGAAACTAGGGCGGTATCAGAGCACATTTCCCAATATGTTGACTATTTGTCAACCTGTGCACCCTCTTGCCCCCCCTCCCCCTTCACTGGCGTCCTCACTAATCATGGGCCTTTCTTCCAGCAGTGTACCCTCCTCTCACCGGCCCTGCAGCCAACCCGTTTGGCAACATGCCCGGCTATGAAGGCATGGCGGGAGGAGGTGAGCGGCAATCCAACACTCTACACCGGAAATTCATAATTGTTGGAACCACTTAACGTTTTTTTTTTCTGTTGTCGCAGGCGGTTTCATGCCTCCTCCGATGCCCTTGGAGCCTCTGGCCCCGCCCCAAAACGGCCCCAACCCCGACCAATGGACGTAAGAGCTGACGTCACCGTCCGCCAACCGCCTGACGGCAGATGACAGATGACAGAATATGCTAATTAAACCGATTGAACCTGCGTTGCAGAATCCCCACTCTGTCGGAGGACATGGCCCGCGAGGCGTTCAAGAGCTTCGCGTCGTCCCATTGCTGCTACGGTGAAAGCCCTGCGGAAGACGGCGTGATCACCAGCATGGAGCCGTTCAACACCTACAGGGTGACGTCATGTTCTCTCCCCATGCCGCCGCCAGCCAGTTGCTTAGCGGCGCGTTAGTCACGTTAAGTTATTTCACTAAATGCCTGTTGAGTCACCGTCCGTCAGTGGAGGTTACACGGTATTGAAATATCTATTTCGCAAATTCGTTGCTCATATTTTAAATCCTTCGATTTTATAACAACCACGGCTGTGATATTGCTAATGTACGTTTTTTATAGCATCGTTGCTGTCACTCTTTCTTATTTATTCCACCGTTGTCTGAACGGAATGTTAAGTGTGTTCTCTGCTCCGTAGTATCGCCTGGAGACGTTCACAGAGACCAGGAAAACTGAGCCGGCCGAAAAGCCTCACGAAGGTAAACAGACAGACATTTGTGCAAACTGCACCAAAATCTGAGCACGAAGGCTCCACTGCTGCCTCCATGTTACTTAATTAATGTGTGTCGATGAACAATTTGTGGGGCCTTTATTGGTACACTTTGCATAATGAGGCCACCGCAGGAGGTCAAACTGCCGGTTTCATGGGGTCTTTAACCCTCAAACCAGTGCCTGAGCCTTTAAACGGCCAATGGATTGTTTCTTGTGATAAAAAAAGGTTCCCTTCATTAACCAGAGTGCCCTTAAACACGGCGCTCAATCACATTAAATCAGCCCTCCTCCAGTGATTGATTATTTCATTTCTGTTATAATGGGAATTTCCAAGAAACAGAGTGAGATGCCCTCCCTTTTTGTCCCCACTGTGGATCAAACCACTACATTTCTACTACTACTATTTACCTGCACCCACCTCCTGTAATGTGCACCACCTCTTAGCTTAGCGGTGTTCTGTCACATATCACAGGTGTCCTGAGCTAGCAGGTGTTCTGTGGCCCTTTTGTTTGACTGACAGGTGAGGTGGCTGACTTCTACACCCAGCCGGCTCCCCGGCCCTGGGAGGTGCAGGTCAACCCTCCCAGCCTCTTCACCAATCACAAAGAGGAGGTCCGCGTGCCCTTCACCTCCTCCGTCAAGGTGAGGAGAAGCTGTCTGCCAAAGGAACGCCTCGTTGCCACGGTTAAATTCAGGGATTTGCACCTTCTAATTTGAGTTTGAAGTCTCTATTTTTTTCAAGACCGTCGGCGTGGTCTTTTACCTAAAAATCTTTTCTCCCAGATAATCTGTGACGTCGCGGGTTAAGTTTTATTATTTGAGGAACAGAATCAGGAGGAGGCACCAAAGCCTCGTTATCTGATTCGGACTGAATGAAACACAAAGGGCTGAAAAGTTAATTGCAAAGACATTTTTCTACCTCAGCTTTAACTCAGACTGTAAACTATAAACCTATAAACCTAGGACCTGCTGACAACAGTTGCCTTACATAACGTTATAGGTTACTTAAATTGAAATCTATACAAAATCAACGGGGTGTGTCGGCATGTCACAAACTGGTGCTCGCCAAATAAAGTTACCCAATTAGAAATACATAGAGAATACATTGTGGTATCTGTAATGCTTGCAGAAACGTTGCCTGAATAGGGCAACAGGGACTATTTGCTACCGCTGGTTCTGTAGCGTTTATAGCCGATGCGTGTGCTGCAACATGGGAGCAGCAACTGAAGCATGTGTGACACAAGTTATTTTTAACTGTGTGTGTGTTCAGGATTGCGGAAGCTGCCACGGCACGGGGACGACTGAGTGTAACGACTGCAACGGAGAAAAACACGTAAGACGCCTCAGTCAATTGATCAATCCGTAATTTAAACGGCAGAATAAATATACAATTAGTTGGAGATCATTTATTGTGGATTAACAATGTCAAGACAATTCACGCGTTTGTGTCTTTTTAGAAAGAATGCCACGTGTGCCACGGCTCAGGGGAGTACAACAATGAGCGCTGCACTACATGTAATGCCAGCGGCAAAAGAAGGTCCTGAAGGCAAACGTAAAACTCCCAAAAGTTTATTTTGAATAATTGAATTATGTTACAATAGCCTGTATTGTGTGTGTGTGTGTGTGTCTTTTGTGTAGGTGCTCCACGTGTGATGCTCGGGGAAGGAAGGACTGTGAAACCTGTAAAGGACGAAAACGGCTGCTGACGTACATCAATCTCAAAGTGGAGTGGTGAGCACGCTGCAGATACCGCGGCTTTCACAAGGACCCATGACCAGGTTCCTGGAGCGCCGGAAGAGAAAGTCAGCAGACCTCGTGGAGGCCTTTTTTAAAAGAAGTTCAAAGCCTAATTTGTCGTTCACGAGGTCCGTGAAGATGTGTGGGGTTGCCTGGAGTCACAGGTCCTCGAGTGCGTTGAAGAGTTTCTGGAGATTGGCGCGGCTCTTTAGTCCCAGCCCAAAAAGGAGGACCAATACGGAGCTCCGGATATGGAGCTCTTCAAATATGTAAAAGTGTTTTTTAGAAGAGGTTCAATCAGTTTCCACGGTTCTAAGGAGATCTCAGGAGTTATTGACGATGATCCTTGAGGGTGTTCAACAACTGGTCACAGATCTGACCCATTGAAAGCAACGCTTACTGAATCGTTCTGTCCAGTCCAGTTAAATAACTGTGCCTTAACGTGTGGGTGTATCTTTCTTTTAGGACTAACAATGTGGACGACCACGTAGTGCAGCAGAACTCTGGTCTGATGGTCGATCTTAAAAAAGTGAGCGGGAAGGAGCTGATCAAGAACAACCATAACCTGGTACACGCAAACCTCCCTTACAGTATGATACAGGGCTCTCTGCCGTTCATTATGCTATTGCTTTCATTTTCAGTACTTTTGACTTGATGCTTTCACGTCTGTCCCCTTTCAGCTCTACCCGCTGATCGGGTTCCCAGACCCGTCCATCGCCGAGGCCTCTGAGCGTCTGATCAAAGATCACCAAACCAAATACGCCCAGACCGCCAGGATCCTGCAGCAGGTGAGTCACGCAGCAGCATGACTGAGGGATTTTGTATGAAACCAGCTTTAAGCACGTAAAGCGGTTGTAATATGTCAAGTGAGAGCCAATGAAATGTTCTTTTTGGGTGAGCTAGGCTAGCTGTTTCCCCCTGCCTCCACTCTTTATGCTAAGCTAGGCTAACCACATCCCGGAAGAGAATGCATTTTTTCACAATTGTTAACACAGGTTTCTCAAAACAACAACAGCTTTCTCATAATGGAACCCGTGTACCGAGCATTTACGGCACACTGAAGTGCAAATTGAAAACCCCAAAATAGACGCCAATTGTAAAAATTGCAAATTGCGCGAAAGACCTGAAAATTTAGAAATGTGTGTGTTGTAGGTTGATGATTTCTTGCTAGTGTTTTGACAACAAGGTGATGTGTAATTGACATCAGACTGTAAAGAAGGTCTAAGGTCAAATTTTAGCTTTTTTGTATGTTAGAAATTGAGAAAAACTGTAAGCGTGTATCCCAAATACATGTTGAAACGATTCCTTTTAACATTTCTCTCACAGAGGCAGACTGTGGAGTTGATCCCAATCACTAAAGTGAACTACAAGTGGAAGGGCGACTCTCACCTCTACTTTGTCTACGGCAACGAGCACAAAGTCAGCGCCGACAATTACCCAGCTACCTGCTGCTGTGTCATCCTGTAGAGACACACACAAACCCACTGTTCTTCTTTTTCATGATATTCCCTCCATGTTAACTTTTAATCAACCCTCTTATATATGGAACTAAATAAAGGCATACTCACAAAAATCCTTGAATTAGACGGGGAGTTTATTCCACACACTGGCATTTAATTTCTTGTGTGTAGGGGAAAAATTGAACAACATAATTGGGTTCAACTGGTTTCCATCTGCCTTTTCTACCTGTGTTTTTAAGATAGATACTAATTTTTTAACGAGCAGAAATTTGAGGGTTTCACCAATAACAGACAGGAAACAAACCTCTAATCTTTCTTTGTAAGTGTCAAAACTGTTTTTATTCACCTGTGTTTACTGAATATTTGAGTTGAGAGGCTGTACTACTGCTACTGTAGCTAGTGAGCTAACGTCTTACGCTAGTAAGCTAACGTATTACGTTAGTAAGCTAACGTCTCACATTCAGTCGCAATGTCCATTTGCAAACTCAAGATTTTGCGTTTGTTTTGGGATCAAGATAGTTAGCCCTACTCCTAACCTAACAAAGGAATCATACAGTTTCAGTTTATGGAAACCAACCTTTTTTTGTACCTGCAATTTTTACAATTTAGAAAACATTTGACCTTTAGACGGGCAGATAATGATTTTTAGTATAAAAACATATCACACAAATCTACCTGATTTTTGTTGAATTCAATTGTGAAACATACTTCATATACTTGACATACTTGTAAATGGTAGTCCTAAATATATTGTGCCTTTTTGTTTTTTGAAAATAAATATCATAACATATCGATTACATGTTAAGCTGTGCTAAGAAGCTCCTGTTTCCATTCCTGCATGAAGTCCATAAAGCCTGTTTGACCTCTGACACTTGGTGCCTCACCTAGAACGCTGAAATGTATTTTCGGCCGGGGAACTTTATACTCTGATTAATAAACTAAATAACTTTTGTTTGATAATTAAATGTTTCAGAACAGCGACGTAGCAGTTAAACATGCCATTAAACATTGCAAATACCTCAGCAGGCAATGCTTCTCACCTTGACGTCAGCTGTTAAACCAAAATGAATTCCAACATCGAGGTCTTTTACACAATACATATAACGAATTGCATTGGTATTTGTGCCTTGTGTTATTACAATTCAAATATTCAAGACTAAACAAAACTTTATTTATCCTTTAGTTTAAAAACACAATTCATTTGGTGTTTTCCAAGCTGGAAAAAAAAGTTGCTTTTGGAGACTCGAGGAGGAAGCAGATATTTCAACAGTCTGAAAGAAGAAGTAGACGTCTTCTTGACCCTCAGATCCACTCTGAAATGTCCGTTTGTTTCCTGCCATTGTTGTGTTTCGTGCTTTTTAGCTTCTGTCCTTCTGCACAATAGCAATAATGTGCTTATGTTCCCTTTTACAGGAGTCTTGTTTTACTTTTATGACTGTAAAAATGAACGAGAGTGAGAGACAGCGTTTCAAATTAGCTAATTTAGCCTCAAGAAATAACAGGAAAACCGGAATGTAGAATCGACGATGAAGTCTGTTGGCTGTGTAAACACAAAGCGTCCGTGTCAGTGGCCCTTTTATTAATGTTTGTTTTTTGGATTGATCGGACAGATGGCCGGTGCCTGAGAACAATAAATTCAGGTGTCCGGCGGCTGATGACAAGCTAATGGGAAACAATGCATTCTATATTGCTTTCAAATATTTATTCTCCTTCAGATCAACTTTTCTCATTTAATGCTATCTCTGCTGAGTCAACACACCTGGAGGCATTGATTTTTCCCCCCCTTTTGTAACAGATCAAATTCATCTTTATTGATTTATGAACTGCTGGAATTTAATATATTGTGCTTTTTTTGTGCTCGTGCTCACCAGTAAAATATTTCTCGGTTTTCTGGTCAGGAAATAGTTCAAATATTTCTGAGGAATGAACGTGAGAATAAAGCCCGAACATTTAAAGGAAATGAAATCAACCCTTTAAAACACACTATGTTTTACACGTGAGCCGGTTTGGGTTTTCTTTCAGTTTATTGATAGTTTCCAATTGATTTATGATTTTGGAATTCTGTCAGTTTATCTTTTTCCCCTTTCTGCTTTTGGAAAATTGCAAAATAACGCACAACACAACTGGCACCGACACACACACACACACACACACTTACAGTTGCACATTTTTTCCTACGTTACCTTTTTGTTGTTATTATCTTTTCATCACAGCATCCACCCAGACACATCCCTGTCGGTGTGACATGTGCGTGGCAATCTGATTGCGATACCGATTCTGACACCCCCTTCCTCGCCCCCTTCCTTCCTCTCCCGGTGGGCGGGGCCTCTTGGCTGCGCATCGTCACACTCCGCAACTCCACAAAGAGAAGGAGACAAACCATCAGGCCTCCTCCGTTTGTTCTCAGCGAAGCTTCGTGTCGCGCGACCCGGCCGTTTACCAGGTCGGTGTCGGTGTCTGTGTGTGTGTGTGTGTGTGTCTGTCTGTCTGCCTGTTTAAATGTAGGTGTGTGTGTGTTAACCTAGGTTAACTTAGGACTTGAAAAAGTTTGGTGAAAACGGGGAACTTTTCACCAAACTTCATGCAGATTTTCGCTGATTTGGCTGCCGGTTGTTTTTCGGGCTGCTCTCCTCCGTTGTTGGTCGTAGTTTGTTGCGTGTTTAACAAAAAGGAGAAAACACAGCGGAGACCGACGAGAAAAGAGAGTATTTAAGGGAAGAGACGGGGGGGGGTGTGGAGGGGGGAGTCGAGGGCGAGCAAACTCTCGCCAGACTTTGTGTCTCCCTGACGTCCTCTGACTAACGTTTCTTCAACGTCACGCGTCGTGTGTGACGCGGATGTGACCTCTCGTGGTTGTTAACGTTACGTACTTGTAATAGAATAACGTCAGTGAGCTTCGGCTCGTTCCGCCGCGGGTCTGCGACCGTTAGCCGGCCGCGGGTTTGCGGCGCGGAGGCGACCGTTAGCCGGCCGCCGCTGCGCGCGCAGCCGCCACGCGCCGCTCGGTTTTCGCTGAACGTCACTTTTAGTTCGTTTGAGTTGTTGAGACGTCGTTCATGACACTGTAGCGCTTTTATTATTTAGCATTTTTGTAAGCAGGGCGGACACAGACATACTTTTTTATTGGCACATCGTTCCGGGGGGGTTAAAGACCGATAAGAGTCACGTGGATAAACATTTCTAACACACATCAACATCTCGTCTTTTCCTCTGTGATTATTGCAGACACGTCACAGCGTATTTATATATTACAACCCTATTGAAACTCTTTGGAAGAGGTCAAACTATTGATCCCGAGGAGGTCATTACTATATTATTATATTATCAGTTTGTTGAACCCAGCTTGCTGCTGACAGTGGTTGTACTTCACTGTATCTGTCTATTTGTACAACATGTCTGCACTTTTTGGAGCAAAGAAGAACATACAGGTACATGTTCTTCTTTGCTCGTCGGCGCAACTGCGCCGTACAGTACATATCCTTTGATATTCCCATGATGTGTCTTTTGCACCTTAATATACTTCCCTGTTTCTTCCTCTGATGTTCTTAGTGTTTGTATAGAATCACATAATTTCACATTTAGTCTGTGCATTTTATTTTGTCTTAAATGTTCTCCTTCTTTTAGTTTTTCTAACATTCATCTTCTTTGACGTGTATGTTTTTGATATGTTCTCATATTGATTTGGTGGTATTGTTGTTGTTTTATTTAAGGTTTTCTTCATTATACAGTATCTCCCATGTTTGTTGCTTTAACTTAGCTGGTAGAAGCCTGTAAACCTGTTGCCTCATACCGGTTACTGATCTATTATCAGATAAATCTATCAACTTCTTTCTTCAATCAAAAGATGCTCTGCTCTGTCCATAAAATATGCAGACCTTATGAAAACTCAGAGTCCGGTGTCGTCCCTTTTTTTCTGTCATGGCCACTGACCAGAAGCCGAATGGAAAAAGTGTCGAGCTGAAGCTTCGAGTGGAGCTGCGAAGTCTATTTATCTATTTATATACTGCTTTATGGCCAATATTGTACTACTTTACATTTACATGTCCTGCCGTATTTATCTAGAAATGTTAAGTGTGTTCTGGTCCTTAGTGATGCATTTAGACCGTATAGCATATATTTAGTTGTGAGTCTGTTAAAACCCTCTATTGCAGCAATATAAGGTTATAACAGACTACCATTTGGCCATAGAGCCGGATGTGAGGCCGGATACATAATTACAGATAGAGAGGCCGTCTGGTCTGCCTGTCTAACCTCCATCCCTCTATTTGGCAAGAGATTTAATTAGAGAGGCCTGAATCTAAATCTGAGCTACGGAGGAGTTCTCTCAGACCGCATGACGCCCTTTTCATCTTTTAGAAATCCCGGAAATGAAAACAAAGGCGTTAAAAAAATCCTTTTGATAGAGGAAGGAAAGTGTGAAATGTCATAAAAGCGGCCGAGCACTGAACCCCGGACGGGAAATGGTTGTTGTCTTTGTTGAGTGAACAACTGGAGCACACGAACATAGAGACTACAAATATCTACCACCGAGTCTCAGACAGCGTCTGACTGTTGTCACTGGAAGTGTTTAGCAGCAGATGCTGAAACCGCTATTTAAAAGTGTGAGCGGCTTCACAGCTCCACTCAGCTCGACACTTTTTCCATTCGCCGTCTGGTCAGTGGCCTTAGCAGAAATAACAATGACCTGTTTCTGCCGACGTTCTGAACGATTTCCGTGAATAGTTAAAGGAGGCTGTGGATTTTGCCTTTCGGTGTTGATTCCTCTGGATAAGGGTTTAGTGGACTAGTAATATACAGGACAAATTGGTTTAACATCAGAGATTTGTTCATATCCTTTTATGCCGAACGGAACATTAAAATTGAAGTAAATATTAAGATCAAGTTCAAGAACAACAGACCTTGTGTAAGGACATCGTATTCTTATTATAACCTTTCCCCCTTTTTAATGCAGTGGCAGTATAAGCTTCTTATTTCAGTGCAATCCATCTGTGATTAGACGAGCGTGCTCACATGAGAATTGTACATGTGCACAATTGACTTCCAGCCCCACGCGTCCTGCTTGATCCATAAAGTCTTATTGTCTTCTAACGGCGTCCGCAGCAGAACTAAGAGACCTGGAAAAAATCAGGGCAATAAACTCTTCTGCTTCATCGTGTAACTTTGTACAGACATTCATGTTCCCCAGAGAATGAATCCTAATTAAGTTGAACGCCTGCTGATGAAGTTTCTTGACTTGTCAGGTATTTAATTAGCCGAATTAGCAGACGTTCCTATCAGTCTATTTTCTCCATAAACAAATATTCTTCCTGGGACCATGATGTCTTGTTGGCTGATATCAATTCATATGGTTTGTTAGGTGTCCCCATTACATTATGTAGTAATGTGATGGGGACAGTATTGGTTTAGTCTTCACCCAAAACAGGGCCACAGTCGACTGCCACCTTAGTGTGTTTCCTTAATCTAACTGACCCCACTTTGGATCTCACAGTGTTGACTGAGTATTTCACGATGCAGTGACTTTCATACGTGTTATTTGTGATTAATTGTGTCTCGCTCTGTCGACTCGTTGCTGTTTTTTCTGTCCACTCAGCTTTGTGTGTCCTCTCTCAACATTGACCTGTTGTAACATGAAACGGGTTTAAATGTTACTAACTTGACCTCGGGACTGTTCTGTGATGTCACGCTTAGTGTTGATGTACTCATGTGTCTGCCAAAGAGCACCGCAACAGTTTGTTTGTATTTACTCTTTGAACCATGACAAAGGCCGAAGTTTGAATGTTATGGGCAAAAAAGCTCAGAACATAGATCCAACACATCAACGTGATATCCTGATCAAATAAAGTCTGTGGCTGGTATGATATCATTAAAATCCATCCATCCAGCCATTGTCAAACCGCTTATCCTGCACACAGGGTCGCGGGGGGGGCTGGAGTCCATCCCAGCCAACTTCGGGCGATATATCATTAAAATAAAAGAGAGAATTTTAAATGTTCTTTGATCAGACTGTGAATATTTTTAATGAACAAATATAGCTATCAAGACCACTTTAAAACCCACAAAATTGAATGTAGCAAAAGCTTCATCTGGCACGGGGACCTTTTTTGTTTGACATTATCTCTCCTCACGCGACGATCTTCCTCTCACATCCACTCAATACAAAAAGTGCCATCAAACTGTGAACAGATGAAACTAAGAATACGAATAAGTTGTGATGTTCGTCACTGTGGAAGGTGGTGTGAGAACCAACACCACCCTTCTTCTTTGCTGGTGTCGTCTATCAGCAGAGAGAGAGAGAGAGATTACACCATTCAATATTTTTTAACACAGATATTGATCCATGTGTCCGTTTTCTGTGTGGACTTTCACATGCAAACCAAACATCCCGCTGAACCTCTGTGATGAATCACTTTTGTTTCAGTTCGACTTGTCTCACTTTCTAGCTTTGCATGAACGTGCTGATGATATGGATGCAAAGCGAGCCGTTTGCTCTGGCTTCGTCCGGTGGTTGAAAAGGTGATCATGCTGCCTGTGGTCGTAACGCTTGTCATATTTCTGACGATAAGATAAGCTTCAATCAAATAAAAAACCCATAACTTCCTTGTCTCTAACGGTCCCTAGACTGATAGCACAGGGGTTCAAATGTTGCTCTTAAAGTAACACACACAGGTCGGCGGATTAGGTCTGCACACACACGGTGAGAGAGAGACATTGAGGCAGGCAGGAGAAGATCGAGAGCTGAAACAGGAGACGTTGAACTGAATCCAGATCTGATTGGTATTCAGAGAGTGAGTTTGTCTGCAGGAAGACATTCCTGCATGAGGAGGGGAGGAAGTGGGCAGACTCCACTGATCAGCTGGTTAAATGCCAGCCTGACCTCCCGCCCTCATGCAGGTTCTTTGCTTTGATGTCATCATTTAAGAGTGAACTCCTCAAACATCGTCATCCCGCAGCACCAACATGTGGTTGGACTTACGCTTCGTGTTCCACTCACTGTTGTTGCTGCTTTTGGATTTTCCTCAAACTGAAGAAACACTTTGGGGATGTCGAACACGTTGTTGCTTTGCACATTGTTTGTTGTGGGTAATTAATGTTATAAATAGCTTTTCTAGAGTATAGTTTGGTATAAATGTATGAAATTATGTATCACAATATTAATTACACATGTTAAAAAACAAATACCGTTTCTCCTTATTTTTGATGACGCTGAAGCCCCAGTTTCTTTGAACCAGGTGTGACCCTTGACCCCGTCGTAAAGCAGCGATGGGCACCGGACCGAAGGTCCAGGCCTCATGAAGATGACACTGAGTGGGGAGATGACAGAACGAAAGGAAATGTCCAGATGACGCAGTCCAAATATGCGGACGTAGCAGGCTGTATGTTTGATTGACAGCTCAAAATCAACATCAACACACGCGTCTTCCTGCTGCCGCCCGCTCGTCATCCATCCAGCCATGCTGTTGAGGAGGAAGCTGTGCGTTGCCGTAATCATCGCTGCCATCCTCTTCCTCATGTTCGCCAGTCAGAGCATCCAGATGGGACACTTCCTGCCTCTGTCAGTAGCCCCGCCCACTGGCAGGGAGACAGGTGAGGAGCTGATGTCAACGATCGGGTTTAACACCAAAATTCAGCAAAAAGGTTTTAAAGTTTTGATTCATATTCACCAAATGTACACGTATGTTGGATTTGTTTAAATAATACAGATCAACAATTTTTCTGAAATCTGTATCAAATTTTTTTTTCAAATGAGGTTTACTGAAACCATCAGAACCAGCTACTAGCATTGCAGTTGGTAATAGTAGTCGTCGTCATGAGGGAAATTGTAGCGGCAGCAGACGTGTTAGTTGTAGACGTAGTTGTTTTAGTGGTATTCGTATTAGAAGCAGTAGCTGCTCTAATTTGTGGCAGTATTAAAAGCTTATTTAGTCTTAGCGGCACAACACCACGAGTCCCAGTCACACTACTAGACTGGTATTTGAAGTAGCAATAACAATAACAGGAGTAGCAGTAGAAACATCAGTCGATCAAGCAGTGGAGCTCAGTACTGTGAGTAGTAATTAGCAGTAACAGTAGAAGTAGCAGTATGTAAAAGGAGACAGTAATAGCAGTTGTGATGTTGTAGCGTAGCATAAAGATTATAATAATATAATATAATGCGGTAATAGCAGTACTAGTGGTGATGGTGTTATTGAGTTGAAAGTTGTGATACAGGGGTAATTTTTGAAGTACACATGCAGTAGTATTGAGTAATACTCAATACAGTAGGAGTAGTACAGAAGCAGCAGTAGCATTGTTTATAATGTTTTTAGCAGAATTATTACAAAGTAGTTCCAATACAATGAGCAGTGGTAGTGATCGATTCATGTAGATGCTAACCGTGTTAGCGGAGCTCCCATGATGCAGTGTTCTCTAACCCTCAGTCTTTTGGGGTTTTGCAATAGTTGAACCCACGGCGCCTCCTGCTGATCTGACCCCCGACCCTCCCAAGACACCCACCCCTCCTCCCCGCCCCACTAAACCTGAAGCCAAGGTGATCCCTGAAGAGAACTCCCAGCATGACCCGCGGTAACGTCCAGGAAGCGGCAGACTGTTTCGGATGGTCCCTGCTTTCTGTCCACGCGTCACTCCCGTTTTGCTCCTCTTTCAGGTTGTGTGGTTGTACCGAGTCCTGCATTTCGGACCTGGGGAGTTCAGACTGGTTCAGTCAACGCTACGACCCCAAACAGCAGCCCGTCCTGCGAGACGCCAGCGACCACTTTGACTCTAAGGCGCTCAGTTGGTGGCTGGTAAGGACGATGAGAAACATTTCTACTATTTCTAATCACGTCCCTATTATGGGCCATATTTATTATGCCTTTTTAAAGGCATTGTATATTATGATTTTATATATTTTAGTTTTTGTGAGCCTCCATACAGAAAATGATGACAGGCTGCACACTGGAAGTGACTTTTCAGGATTGAATTGATGTGAATCTGATTTTAAGACGTTTCCTGGATGATGGTCATCGACTGTGTGTCAGTAAATTGCTACGGCCATCGAGAAAATTCTGCCTTTACAGAAAACAGAAATGTTAAAAGTCTTAAATTAGATTTTGTAACAGTCAGCTGTCTGGACGAGTCTCTTTCCTTATGGATCACGTCCTGCTGCAGAAACCATTAGTAGATTAAAGAGGGGTGCTAACAGTCTTATACACAGTGCACAGTATACTCTGTGATGTCAAACAAAGAACAACCAGAGCTGAGTTTATACTTGTAACTAAAAATCATTTTTTACCTTACTGTTGGAGAGTATTTTGGTTCTTAATAGCGTGATTTGCTCCAATTCTCCAGAGTCTTCAGCGGTCTGGCAACGACCAGTCTCTCAAGGAAGTGATGTCAGAGATGTTCAAGGTTATTTCCCCTCCCACTGTGGACTTCAGGCCCCTCCCCTCCACCTGCCGTAGTTGCGCGGTGGTCGGCAACTCCGGAAACCTGCGACGGTCAGGAAACGGCAACCTGATCGACTCCCATAATTCTGTGATCCGGTACGTGTTTGCTGTCCGCACACGCGCACACACACACACACACACACACACACACACACACACACACACACACACACACACACACACACACACCCTTCTCCTCACCTTTCACCTCAACAGGATGAACAAGGCGGTGACTCGAGGATTTGAGGAAGATGTCGGGAATCGGACGACGCATCACTTCCTGTACCCAGAGAGCGCGGTGGACGTGGCGCGCGGCGTCAGCCTCGTCCTGCTCCCGTTCAAAGTCAGAGACTTGGAGTGGGTGACCAGCGCGCTGTCCACGGGACAAGTCAAAATGTGAGACACACAGACGCAAATGTCCTCACGTATACCAAAATTCAACTTTTTTGTTTGTTTATATGAATGTTTAAAGAGAAACATACTCAATATCTAATTCTAATACATAAATCATTATGATCTATTATTTATTTCTGTGTATTCAGGACCTACATGCGGGTGAAAGACCGAGTGCAGGCTGATAAAGACAAGGTAAAATAAACGCTCCATCATCTTCTGTGATTATTATTCATATCATTGTTATTAGTATTATTATTATTATTATAGCTCTCTGCCTTCAATTCTTTTTTTGATTTGAGAAAAACAGTCTTGACTGTTTAGGTTCAGTTAAGTTTTAATTGGGGTTTGAATACATTTGCACTGACTCGTTTAAAGATGTTATAAGTCAAGTTGGTTTGATGCTCTTACGGATAAAATATCTGACATCAACATTTCAATAAATAAACGTAGTTAAACCGAAACCATTCCAGGTGCAGGTTCTTAAAAGGATACGTGCAGCACATTTGGATTTTATTAATATGAACAGTTATTTTTTTTACAAATCGACTCCTTTGCAACAATATAGCTAAACCTAAATGATTAAAATAATAGTAAGAATTTCTTCCCAGTTAAACAGAGGGCCGATGGACACTGAACATACTGTATTGCCATGGTAACAGTCTGTGTGCGTGCAGGTTCTGGTGGTGAACCCAGTGTTCTTCAAGTATGCTCACGATCGATGGAATGAGAGTCACGGTCGCTACCCGTCCACCGGCATGCTGGCCATTATCTTCGCTCTGCACACCTGTGACCAGGTAGGGGGGGCGGAGTCATGAGAAAAGGACCAGAAGTCCTCACACCTCACTTTAAACATGTCCTACATCTGGCCTTGTGGCGCTTCATGACATCACGTCTGTGTGCAGGTGTCCGTGTTCGGGTACGGCGCCGACCAGCAGGGCAACTGGCATCACTATTGGGAGGAGAACCGCTATGCCGGAGCCTTCAGGAAGACCGGAGTCCACAGCGCCGACTTTGAAACGCTCATCATCCGACGGCTCGCCAAGGAGGGAAAGATCAGTCTGCACCTGTGACCACTGACCTGCACACCTGGTATTGACCGATCTGCTGCACCCCTCACAGGCCGACAGCGCTGATGGTCTACTGAAGGACCGACCCACATGTAGACTCACAGAGCAATCTTCTTATTAACCAGTATATCATTCTCCACTCAATTCTTGTAACCACGAAGAGGCTCCATCTCACCGCGTGTCGGCACATACGGTTGTTGTCCAAATTTGAGCCGACTGAGCAAAACTGTCAGCTTGTTTCGGGGTAATCAGACCTGTGTAAAAATCTCAGGTCAGATATCCTTCCTCTGCAGACTCCTGCTGGTTTAAGTGAGTTCCCGCTCGAGCTGAACATGTTTTCTTCACGACCCTCCACTATTTCAACTACAAGGATTGACCACAGCATTTTTTGCTCCAAGCGGGAAACAACCACAGACTTTTTATAGATTTTCTATTGAATTTTTTTAAACAGTATAAAGGTATAACCTCTTTTCCTTTGTACTATGAAAGCACTTTGCCCTGAAGAAGAAATGGCACAAAGGGGCCATTTGGTTGCTTCTCTTCTCCAACAATGTTACCTTTTAGACCTTTTATATTTTACATTGTTCATAATCCATCCATTTATTCTAACGAAGGCTCAACACAAACCATCCTGATTTGGAGGATTGTCTTTGCCCTGACAGATTAGAACTAGCTCAAGTTTTCTGTCTCGTCCACATTCTTCTCGACCGTTGAATGTGGTCCAAGAGGACTCAACTCATTTTACTGATGCTGGAAAGTAGTGATGTAACTCCTGATGATGATGATTCATTTAACAAGAAGAAGTTCAAAACCATCAGTGACACCACATGTGTGTGTGTGGTGTGTGTGTGTGGTGTGTGTGTGTGTGAGAGAGAGAGAGTGTGTGGTGTGTAGTGTGTGTGTGTGTGTGTGTGTGTGTGGTGTGTGGGAGAAAAAGTACTGCAATGTAAGTCCAACCAAAAAGAAGAACCCACCACGTGAATGGAGTGAGTCATCAGGGCTGTCAGTACACCCGTACTGTGAATGTACAAAAACTGTTGCTGGTTGTCATGGTGATCTGAATGATTGTGGCTTTGTTCACACTTTTGCTGTTTCATCAAGTTTTCTCACTGAGAAAGTTTGAGTCTGATTCTGCGTTTGCTGCGTTTTTGAACCACTTATAATACTATACATACATCTGTATATGTAGATGTGTATATACACGCATACAACAGCATGTAAATAACACAATGGCTATCCTGCCGTACCATCATTGTAGGTCAGATACTGCCCGCTTCGATCGTACGCGGGCCAGACCATTGAAATCATAATGTGGGTGGCGGTGGTGTTGTAGGTGATGAAATTTCCATATGACAAAGTCTAAATTTGACTTTTAGATGTTGAAACGGTAATTTGTTAATCCGTCCACCTTTACCCCAATTTTTTTCATGCAATTTGTCAGTTTTCTTTTAAATGTCACTTTTTAATTGGGATTTTCTAGAGGTGGATTTACACCTCTACATTCCCATAATGTAGAAAAGGGAGATTATAAAGAGACAGGCACTATGACAGAGCGAATCTTATCATAAATATTCAGACATCCGAGAACCATTTTTTTTGCAAAACATTTTATTGTGTTTCTCTTACATGTTTAGTAGCAACCCACAGTACAAGTACAACTCTGTAAAATGTCCGTCTCACTTCGGCTGTATCAGTCTCTTCTTCAAATGTCTCTCTCGTAATGTATCTCCTGCAAAAAATGCCACAAATGCAGCCGAGGTTTTCAGTGGGATTAATAACTGTGTTCCGAACCGACACAATTACCACTTTAAGGTCAAATCAGGTCGATATGAGCCAAATTCTGCCGATCGCACCGTAAAAAGCTTCTGCTTCAAACTAACTTGTTGGTGCTCGGCCCTATGAGCCCGTCGGCATAGAGTCCTCCCGGCCGCGTCGCACCGCTTCCCCGAGCTCCGTCCAACCAATCTGTCTCCATGGCGACAGAGATGATGGGATGCAGCTGGTGGGGGGTCTTTTTAGACGACCCAACAAGCACTTTGAAGCCTCTGCAAAGAATCATGAAGCTGAAGTATCATCTGGAGGCTGATGCTCCGATGTTCAAACACGCTGCAGTTTAGAGTTCAACGCGGTTCGTCTGGAACAAGTCGAGTGGTCTCTTTCAAAATGCAGAGTCAACGGAATCTTAAACATCTGCTGCTTGTTTTTACAGTGTTTTGGGGGGCTGAGGCTTTATTGACTTCTCCAGGAAAACAACACTTCCTGCTGGTAAACTGGGTAATGGTTTTCTTGTGTGAAGAAGGTTAAGCCCTTAAACAACAAATCTGCAGCCCTCCAGAGTCCTGATGTGGACATCTGGACGGAAGGTTTTGGAATTTGCAAATAAATGTAGTTATAACTGAGTATAAATCCAAAGTTGTGCTTGTTAGATTCCCTGCATTCCGGATATTTTCAGGTCATTACCAATAGATAAAATCAAGCGATGATGAAGTGTGTTCAGTCAAATAGCTTTAATTCAGCTCATCATGTTTAAGCTGTGATTGTTGATAAAAGAAAATGACATTTTCCCCTTAAGCACCCTGTGGACCGTGGATTGATTCCTTCGTTCATTGTGACACACAAGCACTGTGGATCTCAAACTAAACACTTAAAAAATAAAAAACTATTTGATACACTTGAGGTGTTTGTTTTGACATTTTTTATAAAAAATAAAAAAATGAAACCCAGATGAGAAAAGTTCTGCGAAGAACTTGCTGTTGTGTTGATGTTTATAAAAGTAAAAAGTTCCTCACTGCCGCCACAATAAAACATTCAGCTTAGTTTCAAGTACGACGTGATGCCTGTTTTATTATTACCGCAAAACAATTTATTTTTACATCATAAAAACTTGAGAAAAAGTGTTTCAATAGCAGGAAGAGAATTATAAAGTGATATTTACATAAAGGCGTTTTAAAGACGGTGTCATGTTGTGATAACATAAAGATGTATGAAATAGAATAATAAATATCTTGTTTAATGAGCAGATCCATTTTTGTAACCGTGGCAGTTATTTGCCGCTGTACTTACTCACTTACACACTATTTTAAGGCCTCTGGAAGCATCAGCTGTGTCCAATTTCAGGCTCCGCCCCTTCATGTCTCCTGAGTGACTGGTATTTATCCTTTGTTTTCCAGTATCCCACAACTCTTTGTGCTTCTTTTTGTACTTTGTTAGCACCGCCTCTCTACGGTGGCGGAGCCTGAGATGGGACAAAAGTGCTGATTAATCTCCACCAGATCGATAACATTCAACATACAAAATAATAAATTATTACAAAAGAAAACAGCTTTTCAGTTGAACCTCAAAATAAAAGTAAATTGGATTGTTTTACTTTGAAGTGAAGTGTTTCTGGTTTATAAAATATTATATTTAAAATAAATAAATCAACATCAGTCTCGGAATGTTGCCGATGTGTTTGTGCGAGGCGGTATCCATGGCAACATCATCAAATGACCCGGGCTACATAAAGGTCTAGTTTGGACTAGACTCTTCCCTAAAATATTATACATATTCGCAACGTCTCCATGGTGTCAGAAGGCATAAGAACGGTGGTTGCTATGACAACACCAACCGTGGCTGGACCGTTGATCATGTGGACTGGCAGGATGCTGGAGCTGGTCAGGACCGGATCAGTCCAGTCCCGGGAGAAGGAGTGGGACGATAACCTGAGAGTCGGACCTCGCGTTCAGCTGCTCGGTGCTGATCTGGTTTGGTTCTCCTGAGCTCCAGGTTCTGGTTCTCCAGGCTGACTGATGGGGTCTGGATTGGTACCGGTTCAGGGCCTGCACCGGGTCTGGTCTGGTCCGGTCCAGACCAGCTTCATGTCAGTCTGAGAGCAGCTGGACGAAGGAAGACGGAAACAGGCCTCTCTGGTCGGGTTCATCCTCTATGTAACCGTGCTGCACACACACACACACACACACACACACATACACTTTGATTAAAATTTGCAAGGCGCCATAAAAAAATCACCGTCACCTGTTATATTTTATGGTTTAAGCGGCCCACGTCTGCAGGAGCACCAATCAGAGTGCAGGATGATACGCACCCACCAATCGCTGTCCTCCCGTCCCAGGACCACGAGCACCTGCCCCTCGGTGAAACTCAGCTCGTCGTGGTGGTCGGCCTGGCAGTCGTACAGCGCCTCCACCCGGCGGCTGGTCGCGCCGCGAGGCTGATGGGCGTGAGCAAATAACTTTTACGTACCGTGAATAAACTCAAAAAACATCCAATGCAAGAAAACATCAGAAGCCTCATTCTCATTTAATTATTACACTCGAGAGGTAAATGTTTTTTTTAAAGATCTCACCAATGATCTGCGGGGAAGCGGCTGGGGGGCGGGGCGTCGGCTTTCATTCTCAAAGCTCTGAGAGCGCCGATTGGTCGGGGAGCTGTTGGGCGGGGCTTTCCTGCCGGGGTGCAGGAAGTGGGAGGAGCCTTCCTCGCTGTCTGCTCTCCGAAAACCTCAAAGAGAATGACACAAATTGCGCTCGCATTTAAATAGTATTTCAAGTAGCTGATAGAGGAACAGCAAAATAATTATTTTATTAAATACAGCTCCGGGTAGGACCAGGTGAGTCATCACAGTCACACATGATGGATTCATCAGACCCCAGACCGATTAAAACCCACGCGAGCATCTATTGACAGGAAGTACCTCTTTCTGGTCGTTCGTTCAGCGAGCCGAGAAGAGAAGACGGACTAGAGAGACACAGACGAGAGGAAGAGAGGGAGACACTTTGAGATGTAGTTCACCTTCCGTCCGCCAGAGGCCAGTAGATGAGAAAAAAACCCTTTACCCTTAAAAGGCAGAATCAGTGGGGGTTTCCTAAAAACAATTAATATCTTATCTGTATTATTAGATATCACCTGTGACTAACTAAAAGTGAGGTTTCTGTTCTGGTGGAATTAGAATTTCGCTTTGAGGGAAAACATTTGTTTGTTTGTTGCATTTTTATTGACACAGGAGCTTCCTGAGTGTGAATTTATTCCACATGCATAAATAGCAGAATTGTCTCAATATATTGGCACAAAATCTCGGCTACTAATACTGTACAAATATAAACACTCAATGCCCATCATGTGACCTCAGTCCACCACAGTCAATTAACAGAACATCTTTAACAGAACAATCTTTAATTAATCTTTTATTTAAAATTGTGTCTCAGATACTCACACACACTTTTTAAAGGAGGAGTCGTGGCCGCTGTAGATCCTGGGACTGGTTGGCAACCCGTAATCTACACACACACACACACACACACACACACACACGTAGACACGCACACGCTGGGTTAATAGCAGCCCTTTGGCGGGTTAATTACAGCGTGTCTCTCCGATGTTACCGTGCTTGCCGGACTCGGAGCAGCTCCTCTTGTGTCGGGCGGCGATGGGAGGGGGAGGCGTTGACTTTCTGTTTCCTATCAGGGGGAAGAAGACCTCCTCCTCTTCCTCACCAAACCCTTCCCCCGCAGCGGGAGGCGGCGGGGGAGGGACGTTGGGAGCTGGATCATGAAAGGCAGTACAGATGGAGTTTTGTTTGTTTTCAGAACCTTTATTTATTCAGCAGCGTTATGAAGAAAGCACGACACAAGGAATAGATCTGGAGTGAGCTCACCTTTGACCCTGGGCGGCAGCGGAGGCGCAGGTGAGGACGGAGGAGGAGGCGGAGGGCTGGAGGCGCAGCCCGTGGGCCGGCTGTGGAGCTCCATGGCCATGGCGAGCCTCCTCCCGACACTGAGCAGGCCTCCTCCACCACCTCCGCCTCCGCCCCCTCCGGGTCCTCCAGAGGAGGGAGGGGCGACGGCGGAGGAGGCGGGCTGGCTGAAGCTAAAGGCCCGGGAGGTGAAGGAGAAGGAGGAGGTGAAGGAGGAGGAGGAGATGGAGCGCTCCTTCTTCACAGGACCGTTCTGTATGTGAGTGGCGGGGATTTGAAGAATAAGACAATGATACAAAAAACTATTGCAGTACACATTCTAATAAACATTATTGCCACAATAAAAGAACTTTAAAAGCCATCAAGTACATTAATCGAGTCGTTAAACCGACCGTCCGTCGGTTGCCGCGGTTACCTTCTCGTCGAAGTCATCGTCGCTGTCGTAGAGGTCGTCGTGGCGAAGCCTCCACTCGTACTCCACGTGGACGTGATGGTCGAACTGGTTGGACTGGGCTTTCTGCAGCTGCTCCAACACAACACAGTTACACAACACATCGTCGACATCGACACACACACACACACACACGCACACGGGGAACTCACCAGCGCCTCACACTGGTAGTGCTTCAACCTGCGGCTCACGTCCAGAGCGGTCTCCCCCAACTCGTTCTCTGCTCGCGCAAAAAAAACAACACAATTTGTAAATGTCTTCACCAAAAATACTTGATTTCCTACACATGTGCAGTCGTGTGTGCGCGTGCGCTCTCACTCGTGTGTGTGTTGGCCCTGGCCCTCAGCAGCAGCCTCACACAGTCGCCCTTGTTGTGCAGACAGCTGTAGTGCAGCGCCGTGTTCCCCGATGACGTCTGCGCGTCCACGTCGGAGCTGAGGACAGAAACCAACACGCGCGCAGGTCAACACGCTGACGCACACTGCGACGACGCCACTCGTGTCGACGCTCGTCAGGGCACACCGACCAGTTCTGAGCCAAGAAGTCCAGGATGTGCAGCGACGTCCTGTCGGCCAATAGGACGGCGAGGTGGAGCGCCGTCTCCCCTCTCTCCTGTTGGCACGGAAACAAACTGCTGAGTGTGTGTTTGCTTGTTTCTTTACTCGTATGCGTTGTGTGTACCTGCACGGATTGTAGGGTAAAGTATGTGTAAGTACCTGGATGTGTGTGTACCTGTACCGAGGTGGGCCGACATGTTTACCTGTATCTGTGTGTACATGTGTGTGTAGCATTGTGTTTCTGTCTGTGTGTGCGACCCTCTGCTGTATGTGTGCGTCGGTGTCTACCTGTACGTGTGAGTGTTCCCGTGCGTACCTGTATGTGCGTGTGCAGCTGCTGGCTCAGCTCCGCCCTCTGAGCGTACAGGTGAATCAGACTGTAGATGTCGCAGCTCTTGGTCGCCTCCTGGAGGCCGAGTCGCAGCGCTGAAGCGGATCTGTGGCTCCGCCTCACAAAATGAACATCCTGGTACTTTGAGAGGATAAAGTCTTTACGCTCCCCCCTACACACACACACGCACACACACACACAACAAATTTACAGCATCAACTTTATTAAAGACACTGTTCTTTACTAGAATAAATAAACCTGTGTGTCTGTGTGTGTCTGTGTGTGTGTGTGTGTGTCTCACATGTGGCTGTGTTGTGAGGGCTTCAGTGATGGACTCAGCAGGTTCGCCTCCAGTATTTCATTAAAACCAGAGTTACCAACATTTCTGGCCAACTGCGAGAGAAAGAGGGCGGAAACATCACACGCAATGAAGTTAAGTGAGTAATAAAGTGAAGCCTTTCAACGAAGTCATTTTAAGAGCTGAACCGGAAAATTCTGAATTGAAAAGTCAGACCTGACAGAAGAAAATAAACTTAATTCGGATCCAAATCCAAATCATTCGGATTTACATGTTTTATCTCGTTGGTTAACCATCTAATCCAATAACAATAAATCCTTTAATCATCCGGGTTTAGTCGACGGGAGCCGGATTCCATTCATTTGGGAATGGTGGGTTGTTTTTATGCCTCAAATTCAGCTTCTATTAATTGAGACCAACTCATGTTTAAAATGTTTACTGATGTAATAAATCAAAGCGAAGTCTAGTGATTTTCTAGTGGACTTCCATAGAATGAGGAGTGGCCCCCTGCTGGCCATTAGAGAGAATGCACGTTTAAGTCCCTCCAGTTTCTGCCTCGTGTCAAACGTGGGATACCGTGGAGATTAAACGTGAGCTAATAAGTAAACTATGTCTGATTTAGTATATTAGTATCATATCACAAATCCCTACTTTGTGCTGTGTGCGTCCCTAACGGCCGGTGGACGTTAAAGTCTCATCTAAACCCAGCTGACTGCAGGAGGCATTAGCTCGCCGGCTAACGGGCTAGCTGGACCTACCAGCAGGTCCGAGGTCCCCAGACTGTCCAGGCTGAGGGACTGGATCCTGGAGACGTGGACTCCCATCTCCCTGTGGATCCCTGAGCACTCGATACAGGTCAGGATGCCAAGGTTGGTCGAGAGCCATCCAGGATCTGCAGAGAGAGAGAGAGAGAGAGAGAGTTCACTGCTGTACCCTTCCGACGGGTTTCACCCTGACGAGGTGCAGACGGAAGCGATGGATCACCTGGAGCGCCGCAGTCACAGCAGCTGCTGTTTCCCGGCAGGCGTCTGATGTCATCGGTGATGGCCCGGGTCAGGTCCTCCACGCTGTTCTCGCAGCCTCCGCCCCCTTCGCGCCCTCCGTCCAGAGCCACGCTGAGGGCCTCCTGCTTACTGTTGCTGAGCACCGAGATCCAGCTGAACACACAGAGGAGACGACGCCTCAGCAACCGAAACGCCGTGAGCATCGGCGCCACCACGAGAGGAAGGCCGGACTTTATTTTTTGACTCACGCGACACACTCGGCTTCATCCTCTGCCAGAAAGTGGTAGGTCCGATTATCTGGAGGGAAGAGTCTTCGTTATGTTGTGCAATCAAGAGCGACGAGTGACGACGTACTGTTGCCTAGCAACAACGACCGCGGAAATTCTGAGGTTTCTGGAAATATATCATGTTTTCACAATGTTTTAATTCATTTAGAGGTATGAAATGAATGAGGAATACTTTGAAGATGCATTTTGCTGTGTTACTGTGTTAGTCACACACAAACAGTAAGTTAGTGCTTGTGTGTGTGTGTGTGTGTGTGTGTACTCTTACGAGAGATGAGGTCGAAGCATTTCTTGTCCTCCACGCTGGGTTTAACCTGACAGGTGAGCAGGTTGAGTCTGGTGGGAGGTTTATTAGGCTGAGAGGGACAGAGGATCAACATCATGAAGGTGACGTTAGGGGTCAGAGGTCACAGCTAATCACACACAGACACACACGGGTGAACTCACAGTGGCGTGTGCGATCGTCAGGTAACAGTTGTGGACCGAACATTTCCTCTTCTGCCACATTTTCCTCAACCTGAAAACACAAACCAACACACAGGTTTACTACGACTAAAGTACCACTACTACTAAAGTACCACTACTGCTAAAGTACTCCTACACCAGCGAGTAGTTACTACACTTTTTACCCGTCACTCTTCTTGTAGAGGAATCCGCTTCTCTCCGTCCCGTACTGTTTGTCTCCCAGCAGCTGGTGCATGCTGTACACCTGCTTGGGCAGCGAGTCCTACACACACACACACACACACACACACATGAATCATAGTACAACGGTGTCACCGTGTCAGCCGGGGTCTGTGTGTCTGACCTGCTCGGTGAGGACGACCGGCCTCAGCTGATCTCTGAGAGACACCAGCTGCTTCTTCTCCTCCTCCTGACGCTGCTTCACCTGCACACAAAACATCAGCTCACCTGAGCCAGATGTGGCTCAACTAGTGCAGGACCAACCAGCTGTTAACGGGCGAGGTGGAAGAGTAACAACTACGCATAAAGTCCAGTTTCCTGTTACCGACACAACATGAAGAAGTACTCTGTGCCGTACCGTGTTCAGAACTCCATCCAGCTCCTCCATGTACTGCTTCAACCGCTGGGTGGTGGACACGCACTCCTGCAGGAAACTACACACAGACACAGCAAGTACAGCCATGTCAGCGTGGGAGTGCGCGTGTGTGTGTGTGTGTGTGTGTGTGTGTACGGGTGCGTTTTCTTACTTGTTGTGGCTGTGGTAGTGTTTGATGAGGTTCTGCAGAAGGTCGACTCCCCTCTTGGTCTTTATCTCGTTGACCTTAATCAGATACTGAGAGGAGAGAGGAGAGTGTGATCATTGAACGCAGGGAGGCCCGAGGAGCTCGGAGGGGGGCGTGGGGGGGGCGCGGGGCCTGGTGGTCAGAGGGCCGAGTCACTGGACCTCACACATGGTCATTTGAAAGGAGCGCCTCTCCCTCTCCACTTCTCTGCAATCTCTTCTCCTCTGACCTCGTTCCTCACCATCCCGTACTGACGCGCCAACTCCCTCTTCTCCTTCTCCACCTGCTTACTGCACACACACACACACACACACACACACACACACACACACACACACTTTAAATGCTTTATTCTTTTACTGAATCCACTAATTGAATGAATCCTAAACTCACCAAACATCTTAAGAGCTCCACTATTCAGCACTAATCATGAGCCACCGCTAATGTTTTATCATGTTAACATTTCTGACTTAATAATTCAGTGACTTCTCACAATCGGCTCTCGTAGTCCCTCCACGCTTTGTCGAAGGGCTTCTTCAGGTCCTGCAAAGAGAGGCGCTCGGTTCAGAGTCAGCGTACCGAGCGGCGATTGTTACGGCGATGACAGTAACTGAGCTGTGGGGAAAGGTCCTCACCCCCTTCACCTCCCTCAGGTCTCCTTTAACCACAGAGTCCAGGAAGAAGTTGATGTTGTGGAGCATGCTCTTCAACTGCACACACGCACAAACACATAAAAGAAAACAAGGAGGTAAATATACCCAATATGCACATGTGGATATGTGAAGGGAATTATTGCGACGGATGGTTTTAAGTGGAAGTTTTTAATCGAGGGAGTTCGGGGCGAGTTTGTCATCATTGTTTTTTCTTCAATTGAGTTTGGAGGGGTCGTGACCTCCGACCTCTCGCTGCTGTCCCCGTCTACCCACCAGGTTCTTCATGGGCGAGAGGAGGTCTTTGGAGAAGTCGGCGAGCCGGCAGAAGGCGGAGCCGACCTCCGTCTCCCCGTTGGAGTGACAGTTGACGGACAGCTTCTCCATGGAATTGATGTACTGCTCCAGGTGGGACACGTGGTCTGAGAGCGAGACATGGCGTAAGTGGAGGGAGTGGTGTGTGTCTGTGTCTGTGTGTGTGTGTGTGTGTGTGTGTGTACCTTGTCCTGATGTGTATTTGGCTTTAGCAGCTTTCTTCATCTTCTGCAACACCAACCGGTCGCTGTCCAAAACCTGAACACACACACTCGTATTTAATAGTTTGTTCGTTCGAGTGCGGTTTTAAACATCACGCAGCGTAGTTACATGGATTCCAATAACTGGCTTAGTGGGACTGAAATCGAATGATCCGTTTCATGTAAACACCTTTGTCCGACTACGTGCGGTCCGACTACGATCCGACTAACACGCCTGGATAACTCCATCCGATCCGGTTGATAGTTTGACTATTGCGGCATGTAGCGGCGAATCGGATGAGGAACTGGACTTTGCGTCTTTGCGCAAGCTTGAGATCCCGACGGCGTCTTCCCTCCGTTATCAAATCAGCCAATAGCACCATTCGCATTCGCTGTGCTCCTATTAACATCATGCAAAAACAGTAGAGGGATGTAGCTTCACCTCGCTCTCCGCTCGCCATCTTTCTCCTAATGTTGATGTTGTTGTATCGGACATGACCTGCTTTCGGCCAATGATTTGATTTATTCACTGCCATGTGTATTGGGATAATAGCGCCTCCCCCCGAAAGAGAGCACAGTCCGACTAAGCAAAGATTGCAGTTATACCATCATGTAAACACACAATGAGTTGAAGGTGTTTGTTGACCTGGCTTCGATCATGTGAATCTGCTCAATGTGTGTGTGTGTAGGCACTAATTCACCTGCTGACTCGACACACACACACACACACACACACACAGAGGACGAGCTTTGTTCTCTGCGAACAGGCCGCTACATTCCTGTGTCTCAGTTCACGGTTCATATCTGTTGTTATTATTTCTGTTCAGACCTCAAAAGACGTTTTTCACAGCTAACGTTCAGTCATTGTGGTAAAAGTGCAGAAGTTATTAATAACTGATGATCAAACCGAAACTGAAGCTCCTGCTGTGTGAAAACGGTGACGCACAACAGAAAGCAGTTGGCTGTATCGCCGTCATGTAACACTGAAAAAGGTTTCTCATTAAAAAGTTCTGGCTTAATGTGTGTTTAGGTTACAGATTAACTTTAAACCGCGTTAATAACCATCACTCTGGTTCCTCCTCGCAATAACAACGAATGCCACTATGTTTTAATCTGTTGCCGTGGTAACATATGCCGCATAGCTGGGGGGGGGACTCTGTCTTGGTTATTCAGGACAGTCGAAGGTCTGAATGCTTCGGGTCAATGACTCCCCTGACCAACAATGTGTGTGTGTGTGTGTGTGTGTGTGTGTGTGTGTGTGTGTGATGAGGGGGAGTTCAATGCCCCCCCCCACTTAAACACACAGTAGCAGATTGTTTAAAGGGTATTAATCAATTAACCGGTTTGCAGATGGTCTGCTGCAGATTATTGTGAAATTATTATACTTATACCGGCATTTTTACAAAAGATGCAAATTATATTTCTCAAAGAAAGAATATTTTTCATTTGTCACGGGAAGAATAAATCAAACCCAGAAACTTTAAAAAGATGACCTGGTAAAACTTTAAACGAAAATGCGTATTTTTAAACGATAAACTACATTTCTAGAAGACTTGTTGAAAATTGCTGGAAATCAACCGATGTGAATGTTTATAAAGTACAGAGCACACAGAGGAGAAGTTATGGGGGCTCCTCCAGCTGTTAACACCTGCACCAGATACTAAGGCTGCCACCTCCGTCAGTACTGACCTCCTCCAGCAGGTAGACGGTGTTCCTGCAGCTGATCATCTTGGAGGTGAAGGAGGAGGTGGTGGGGGAGCTCCAGTCCTCCTGAACCTCCTGCAAGAACTCGGACACGGACACGCACTCCGGCATGGTGCTCCTCAACCCGGGACACTCCGGGACGGCACCGGGTCTATTAGAGGTCCTGACAGATCAATGCTGAACAAAAGACCGGGGGAGCCACGCGAGGGTCTATTGTGACGAATAATAAAACTAAAAATGTCAATTCAATAATTGAATGATGCCCGTGCGATGATGCTTGACGGGCTGATAAACCCGGTGATTGAAAACCTGATCACTGATTCCTCCGTCGGTGTGGCTTCACCGTGAGCCGCAGCATCCGCCGCTTCTGCCTCCAAACAAAAGGGGACAGAAATCCTGCAGGAGATAAAACGCCGACCGCGCGGCTTCTGCACGAACCCGGAAATATTGAAGAAGAAAAGGTCCCGGGCCGTTATAGTGCCTGAAAAGCACGGAGTCTCTCCCCGGTAACGCCGCTTCATTCAGAGGAAAAGCCCACAAACCCACCCGGGTCTCTCCGTGTGGGAACCGGCTGACAAAGAACGGAGGAGCGTAGAGGGACACCGGAACCCCCGGACACCTGCGCCGGGTTCAGACGAGGGAATCGAACCGGTCTCCGCGCTGCGCTCCAGAAACACCTTCATGTTTTTTCATCATCAGCTGACGTTTTTTCCCCCCTGCTTTTTCCTCCTTTATTCAAACCGCATGGAGAAGCGCGTTCACGGCGCGCGGCGACGGCGGTGGGGCTGTTTGCCGCGGGAGCGCGCCCTGCTGACCGAACGCGGGGGTTAACGTAAAACACCGCAACACCGGTGACTGTTTAATCCATTAAAATAAGGACTAAACACCTTCTATTTAAACAGAAAATAAAGGAATACACCTCACACACAAAAATGAGAATGTTTTAAGACTAAAGCATCGACTTTCCTCGAGGATGGTCGCATGAAAATGACCCCCCCCCTCCACTATATGATGGTGTGACCAACATGCTAATGTAGACCTGGACATGTAGATTTTAACGTTTGCTTATGAGCATTAAACAAAGCAGATTGTTGTTAGTTTTGCAGTATTTTGGACATTAAGAATATATTTTACTTATTTTAGTTACTTCATGAAAATTAAATTAACTGTAACACAAACTAATCTAAACTAAACAGTTGTGGGGACATGTCACAAAAGGTTAGTGCGTCACAGTCCGTAAGGTTCATCCTCTGGGCACCGTGCTCGTCAGCATAAGATGTCGTTGTTGAGATGTTTCATATTTTAGATTCTAGTAAAATGCCGTTTTTTAAACAAATTTGCATTCTGCTCGTCTGACATCACTTCCCTTCTGGTCTCCAGGGCAACGAGCCGCAGCTTCTCTCACATCGTCAGCAGTCTCACAGGAAACCATCGAGCGGCTGCTGTAAACAAATCGTTTGCAACTTCCCGTCGAACAGCTTGAAGATGATCTGCTCCATGAGACCTCCCGATCATGTTCCTACCCTCCAGAGGATGATCCCTCTACGACCAACAAGTATTACATCCTTAAAATTCTTAAAACTTATCAAAATAATAAACCAAATTCTATTTTAACTTATTTAGTTTTTGAGTGATATTAATTTATTCTTATATTATATCTATTTACGCAGAAACAAAATCTAACTTTGAAGTTGAACAAACTGATTTTTAGCATTTGCAGAGAGTCGCTGCAAACCGACTAAGCATTTAACTGTTTTTATTTACTTTCAAAATATACAATTTGCAACATCAAATATATCAAATCAACAAAACTAGACGTTTATACAACAGAATAATGTTTTAGTTTTGGATAAAGTGCTGATTCATCCACTCAGATCTTTAATTTACATAATAAATATGTGATTTAAATCTGCAGTAAACTGAGTCCAGTTATTCCTTCTGGTGACGTTTTAAAGGCAAAATCCCAGGTTGTTGATGCCATGATCCAGGGTGTGTTTGTATAAAGGAGCATGCTGGGTAATGTAGTGCAGAGGATCATCCATCGCAACAAATGATTCTCTTGTGTTACTGCCTGACTGATCATTTACCGACTTACTAATATTTCCTTGCTTTCCAAATGTCCTGAAATACTCGTATTCACATCAATTGAAGCCAATCTTTTTGTTAAGCACACAATTTAGACGTTTGCATTTCTAAACATATTGCAGGAAGAGATTTACTAATTAGGCTTTGCAGTAACTGGATCAGTTCAGGATTAGAAACCTGAGACTGGAAGTCTTTGGCATAAGGGGGGGGGGGGGGGGGGGATTGGGGGGATTGGGGGGACTGGGGCGGGGGACTGGGGGGGAAAACCCCCACTGGTTTTCTCACCCTTTGATGATGAGGGAGCTGATCTGCTGCGGCAGCGTGTAAATTATGAGGCCGAGGAAAAACGTGAGGATGGCGAGGATTACCAGAGCGATGATGAACTTCTTGAACCTCCTCCAGAAGAGGAAGATGAAGGTCTTCATCGGGTTGACGAACCAGGTGAAGCTGGTGGAGGGACGACTGGAGGGAGGACAGGAGACGGTTTGCAGCTGCTCACCCTTCAAAAGTGTGTGTGTGTGTGTGTGTGTGTGTGTGTGTGCGTCGTACTTTGGTTTGTCCAGAGGCTCCGGCTCCTTGCGTGCCCGACCCACAGGGTTTCCCTCCGCCTGCTCCAATGTCACCAGCTGCAGCTCCGCCTCCACCTTCCCCTTCACACACACACACACACACACACACACACACACACACACACACACACACACACACACACACACACACACACACACAGGGGTTTAAATTAGAATTACAAAAATCTCACGGCATCCGTTGATCTGTAACCTTTTGTAATAGCGGTATTTGTGTGTTTATTTTTGTACCATCAGCAGAAAGGTGCTGCCGCTGCTGTCAGAGTACTCGATGTCCTCCTTTTTCATGTTGCTCCTCTTGTCCTTCTTCTTCTTCTTCTTCTTATTTCCCTTCTTCTTGGCCTCCTCCCTCTCCTTCTCCTCCCTCTCGAAGTCCTCGGCCGTCTTCGGGCGGGTCAGCGGCCACCAGCCCTTCATCTTCTTGGCGCGGAAGATGGACAGCCGAGGGCTGGCCCGCTCCTTGGCCATCTGAATCGTGCATTTGCTGGATTCCTTCGCCGCTCGCACCATGTCGTTGAGACGCAACTCTATGGAGCCTGAGGAGGACGTGAGATGTGGAGAGGATGGTGAAGCTGTGGTGTCCCATGACATTACTCGGCACCGTGAAAAAAAAAACACGAAAAAGGGTTCTGGAGCCATTTAGAGCATTTAGAGAGTTGGACATTATGCTGACGATGACCCGTTATAAGTCTGCTTCAGTGAAGGTAAATGTGTGACGTACTTCCGAATCTGCAGTCTTACCCAGGAAGTCGTTGGCAGCGATGCGGTCGTAGTCCCAGACCTGCAGCGTCAGAACGGCCGGCTGTCGAAACTCTGACTCCTCCAGGGAGAAAAAGGACTCCTTCTTCTTAAACACCACCTCTTTCTGCGGGACGAGAGGAGCGGATTTACTCCCTCTGTTAGTGACAGTGACACTTGCACCACCCCGAGGATTTATGTCTTCTAAAGGAAAGATCTCGCAGTCATTGGAGTCTAAAAGGTTCATCCTCTGGAGAGCTGATCAGGAAAGGAGACTTTTCTGGTCGCAAAAAGTAGTCGGATTGTATAGAAGTCTTTGAGAGGATTTATTCCCTCAGTAAATATTGTAAACATGAGTTTATGGTCTCAATATCTGGTTTCAAGTCTACTTCTATTAAATTATTATCCATTTAGAGTCAAATCAATCATAAAGCAGAGTACACTTTAGGGCGGGGCCATTGATGCAAAGTGTGCGCCATGTTTTTCTCGTACAACTTCAACCCTTTTTAAAGTGTGTTTTCAGTCCGTGAAAGTAATTGTGACATTTTGGACGAAATGCCGTCGCTGTGCTTCGGAAAGGACGTCGCCAAACCAACGCGTCGCATCACGACGGAGAGTAGGAAAGGTTTTGTACTGTGGGTGTCACAGGTGTGTGTCACAGGTGTGTGCGCCAGGTGTGTGCGCCAGGCGTTGTGTACCTCAGTGGGAAGGTAGTCGAAGCGGAACACAAATCTCCAGTTGAAGTTTCCTTCCCCGGTCAGAGAGTTGAAGTGGACGTCAGTCTCCTGTTTTTCTCCTTCCAGTCCTTTAATCCAGCTGCAGCGATCAGAACAGAATAAAACACAAACTCACGTTTACATTACTGAGGCGATGAAACCATCCAGCATTTCAAGCGGGGGAAAGTCCATCGTGACCCTCACCCCTTCACGTAGATGTCGGAGCTGGGGTCTCCGGTGAACGGGTTCACGTCGTCCAGAAACACGTCGTCCGTGTTCCAGATAGTCACTCGCAGCTCGTACCTGTCGTCATGGAAACAATAGGTTTCATTCAACTTGACTGCATTGGAAAGACATTCGACTCTACTGCTCTGTAGATTCTCCTCTTACTGAACCATCTCAAGATTTTATTAGACTTTGCTACACATGAATCATATTTCACACTACTGTACTGCGTGATTCTGTCGGCCCGCTGTTGGTGTGTGACCTACTGTTCAGGTAGGCGGGGCTTGATGTTAACAGCGGGCGGAGCAGGCGTATCAGTTGGAAACATGTCAATCCACATGTGAAGGTAACCCTTGAGGACACAACACACACACACACACACACATTACTGACGGGTAGTAATACAAGCAGAAGTGTGTTGTCGCTCTATTGTTTGTGTTTTGGTTAAAGTGGAAACTTATTGCAATCTCAGACATTTCTATATATTGCAGGAATATAAAGTGATGCAAAGGATAGTTTGATTGTTAACAAAACAAAACCAGACTCTTTAACTCATAAATCGCTTAGAGGGCTTTTATTACTAAAACCAAATTATTTAAACAGTTTTGGCCAGGAGCGTCCAAAGTCCGGCCCGGGGGCCAATCACAGCCCGCGACCAGATTCCATGCGGCCCGCAGTCTCATAATAAATTATTTATGGCCCGCTGGCCACTGTTAAATAAATCATGAACCTTATAAATGCAATTCCTCCTTTAATAGCAGACAACAGACAGCAGCATTTGAGGAGCATGAGGTAAAGATATTTATGAACTTCATGGAAGTTTAAGGTGTATATAAAATTTGTTCAATTATTAATTAATTAGGATCTGACTCCTCAGGTGTGAATGAAAGGTTGTGTTTTTAGAGTTTGTTCACGCCTGCCTGAGTCCCTTGTGTTTGGCTGCTATTTGAAAAATAAAGATAATTCTGACAATTCAAATTGTTTTGCTTGTAATTGTTATTCTTGAATAGCGGAACCTGTGGAAGTCCAGGTTTGTCCTGGTTCTGCAGGGACCGGATCTCCACGTGCTCCGGGACCAGAGGAAGTGCTCCGGGGAAAAACTCGCTCATCTCCCCCCAGCGCTGCAACACGCTCAGGGCTGCGTGCTCCTCCATCTCGGCCTCCTCCTCCGGAGACCGCTGGTTCTTCTTTGACAGACCTGACGACAACAACAACAACAACAACTACAACAACAGTACAAGTACTGGAGCCTCAGTCGTGGTAGAAAACCAGTATTGGTCCACTAACGGACAACGAGGGACTTTTCACTTCCACTTTGTAGATTATTTTCAAACATAAGGACGCCTCATAATACTCATAACCTCCTACCGATGACTTGTCCACCTCTACCTGTCCGTCTTAGCTACCTTCAGGTACTGCGTCCGGCGGTATCTTGAAGATCCTGTTGAGGACTTTGACCTCGGACATCCTGTACTCTGGAGGCGGGACGCCGTTAGACTTGCAGAGTTCTGCCAAGATGGCCGACGGTTTCTTCCCGTCGCGCCACATATTGTAGCCTTCACTGTGGGGACGCAGTCCGGTAGAAGGACACAAGAATAGACATTTAAAGAGGCAGGTACTCTCCTGACAAGGTACGTAACACATGCAGCGTATCAGTGGTTCATCGTGGTACTAATCTTCTGGTCATAGCTCTGGTACTGACGTGTCTTTATTTTGGAACTCAAGTGTCACAATCGTGCTGCCGGCGGTTGAGATGCCGTTTATAAACTCTTTTGGTATCGCGGTGTCGTAGTTGTGGTACTGACGTGTCGTAGTAGAGAGCCAGGCCGCAGGAGGCTCTGTGGCGGCTGTAGAATCGGTTCTCCAGGTCGACCCGCGTCTCGCCGATGACGTCGTCGGCCCCGATGAGATCGTGGTCCATCACCGTGACGACCAGCTCCGTCTCCAGCGGGAACGACACGGTGAATTCCAACACCCTGAAAGACGGCGCGAGACACACAGACAGTTGGGCGGACGGCCGGAGGGGGTTGAGCGGGTACAGGGCGGACGGACGGGTACTGACTCGCCGAACGTGGGGTTGAGCTGCTTGGGGATGTATCGGTCAGCGGTGTTCAGGCTCTGCTGTCCGGCTCGGACCACCAGATATGGGTCGGCTTTACCGTTCGGGTCCGTGGGAGCCAGTGTGGTGGCCTTGCAGGACACAAAGAGAGACAGAGGAAGACACGGGAGGACTCATGGTAGAATACAAACACAGGAGACATTGTGAAAGTCCCACCTTGACGATGTAGGCCCGGACCAAGACTTTGAACGGTGAGTTTTTGGGGATTCCCTTGGTGATCTGACAAGTGGTGTCGTCTTCATCTCCCGGTTCAATGGGATAAACCAGGAAGGAGCCCTAGAGATGGCGGGTGTGGAATAATCAAGCCGTCTGGTCAGAGTAACAGACAGACAGCTTTCCATGCACAGTACCTTGTATTTTCCCATCAGCCTCTCCTCCTCGTCCTCGTCCTCGTCCTCGGGGCTCGCTTTGCCTTTATACAGCGGGAAGGTCTGCAGCCTGTCC